CCGTCCGTCTCGAGCAACCATTGCGACCATTCCTCCCCTCTATCCCTTTCGGCATCTCGCCGACATGCCTTCGACTTATTGGGCATGCCAGCGTCGCCCTCTATCGATGAGGTGTCATTCACATGGCAGCGGTGGAGGTTCGATCGTCTGTGTTACGTTGGCCGGCATTTCCGGCTCAATGGCGCGTTCCAGGCCTACGTGTCCCGGAGGACGGCTGTACCGGATGCGACGGCAGGAGCACGGGGTTTACCAAAGGAGTTGACATCCTGCGAGGTTCAAGGGGGAGGGATTGGGTGGCAATGGTTTCTCGGTATGACTTTGCCGGGGATACCGGTCCCGTGCGCATACTCCATGTGTCTGCGTTGGAGTTGGTAGCTGGGCAGGTGTTTCCCGAGCATGCATGCTTGCTCTGCAGCCGTAGGGAGGCTGAATTGGGCGGGAAGACGGCGTCTTATCCGGGGCGAGAGATGTAGACGAGCGTCGTAGTCGTACGATTAGGTGAGTCGGTCTGTAGCTTGCTATGTGGTGTGTGTTGGATATGTTCGTAGCGTAGGGAGTTCGTAGTGCACAAGGATTTGTGAATGAGAATTCTATCGATTGCTTTGCTTGCTGTATGGCAATACCAGTAAGTATAAGTTACTGAATGGCACTTTGCCTGCTACTTATCACCCTATTGATGCTCTGATCGTAGCTGTATTGGACGTTCAGGTCTAGCATTGTAGTGGCGGTTACCCGTGTCAAAGGTCGTCACGCCCAACATTGACCCTTATATCACGCTGACATAAACGACACAAGCTGTGTAACTAGTTAGCCATTTGGGCCTGGACCGATTAATTGCGAATAACAAACTCATTACATCTGTTTTCATCGGCGTTACCAGGGCCTGGATGTGTTTATATAGGGCTCGTCTGACATGCGTAGAGTTTACCACGTTATACGAAATCTAGTTCGCGATAAGCTTATTTGCTTGTTAGCGAAGATATTCATGCTAAAGTTGGGCAGTCATATCGAAACTTGTATCATGATATCGATGTACTGAGGTATCCATTATGGTGCCGTAAGCTTCAGATATGAAGAGTTGTATGGAGGTTTTCGTAGGACCATGATTGGAATGAATTATTCTCAGTTGTCCTCGCTATTTCCGACAGATGACACTGCTGTCCATATTCTCGTTGTGTTTGTAATCGTCGTAACGGCTGGAGTATGACAGGTGACTCGCCGAGGATTGTCTACTTCCATGACCAAGGATAACTAATCTCCGACAGTCCAAGGCCATCCAATTCTGGCCAGAAATCAGGACATCATAGATGGACCAGACGAGGTATAGAAAGCTTCCAACCAAACGGGCTCAATAGATCTACACTCGGCTATTGCGCAACATAGCTATATCCCCAAAACCAATCTCACATTGTTTCGTATGATCTACTTATCGAAGGCCCTCAGGTCCACGAGAAGAAACGCATAGAGTAAGGGCCGAACAGGACTATAGCCCCCGGCAAACCCCGACGCCTGCATCGTTCCGTTCTTGGAAAGCCGCAATGCAGGTATTTTGCAGCGCACCAGAAACAGGTTTATAGAGCAGCCCTCACCGCAATAAATCTTGTCTTGCACAGACTCGGTGTTTGCCGGGAATTAAAGCAATCAGGTCTCGGAACAAGGCTTTCCTGCCCCCCACACCTCCGCCACTGTTGTGATACCTTGAATATAGATAGTTGTGAACGCGGTATATGGAGTTGTTTCAATTTGTTCTGAGACCTGCATTCGCTCTGTGGGTAAAAAAAAGAATGGAAAAAGAGGTAGCCTTGCCCGACGTAAGGACTTATGTGGAACCTGCATGAAGGGCGCACGGTGATAGGAACGCGTGTGGTCGTGTGCTGGTTATATATTGAGGCGTCTAGGGTGTTGTATGGTGGAAGTTGCAAATATGCACTAGTGGGGTGGCTGAGAGATGTTTGCAGATGTTCATGTTTGTGGAGTATGCCGGAAGTACAGCGTCCTGCCGCAGATAACTGACTTGAAAAGTACCTAGGTATTTCCTGGACTCGTGGCTATATCCGGCCAGAGTATAGCTCGACGACATGCCTGATCTGGGCAGAGCTAGTACTGGGACAACACATACGTTCCCGACTTCTTCGAGTATTAGGTTAGGTAGCTTTCATGGATATCCTATCAGATGTAGTGTCGCATCTTGAAAAGCGTACCTATATCAAGGCCAGGAAGGAAAAAGTACAAGATAGCAATAACGCTATACTCTTTGGACACACTTTAAAGATTATGTTCAGGAACGCTGAAAAATATTGACCATCTTGATTCTGATTCTTACTAACATCTTCAGTCCGAGAGGGCCATGTTCGATAGTTGGATATGTAGCTGGGCCATTTCCCAATTCAAGTGTGACCATGATGATCTCCGATATATTTCTTTTTGTGAGGCCAAGTATTGGTGACGAACTGTGCCAGTGGATAACACACCGAAAAATTAGAGAAATATCGTCAAACACCACGAGACAGTTCCCAGTCAAATGTCGTTGCAAGCACAGGCTTTGACTGTCATTCTATACCGGTCGCAACATGTAGGGGCTATCTACTGAGAGCGACTTGATGGAGGTAAGGGACATTTTTCAGTTCATTCAAATTTAAGCTTAATGTCTTTAGAATTTCCTCGGCAAGGAACCGTTGATACTCTAGTTGAACATATGGGTAATATCTTTAATGGAATGACCCGGGACTTATGGAAGAACTAAAGTAGTCTCGTGGTTCGGTGTATCATGTCAGTCAGGAATAATGGTGGTTGTCCAAGTCCTCTATTCTGAATGTGAAGAAGACGCAGGATGATAGTCCGACCAACAATACGAGCTCATTCCATAAGACACCGAACAGGTGTAGGATATACACCGTACAAAAGCTACTTGAAGTATATCTAGGAACTAGCAAGCGAATCACGCCGGGGACAACATCCGAAGCCCTAAGAGCTTCCTCTTCTTCTTCTCTTGTGGAGTCAGGACCACGATGAGGTTAGCTACGTTGCAGCCGATTTCCTCATTGGGGAAGCGACATGCACGCGGATTCAGCGTGGCGCACGTGCATGAGAGACTTGCGGCCTAAACAGGATCGAGAGATGAGATGCATGCACCACCACCACCACCACCACCACCACCACATGTCGCTGGGGTTGTCGAGGGAGTGGATCACATCGAAGGTTCTGGCGGTGTTGCAACCGATCTGACCCCGCTGGATGTGTTTGTAAGATGTTGGAATGGGGAAGTAGGACTGGCTTGTGATGCTGATTAATGTACGGAGATAAGACGAGGAGATCGACCTGATGCGGTGAGAACCATAAGCGAGGTGCGTGATAGCGACGGTTTGGTCGCCAAGAGGACGTTAAGCGTCATCAACAACAAGGATGATGCATCTCGTTTGCATGGATGGGCCTGTGACTCGAAAGTCGTTCTTATTGCTGACTCAAGACCTCAGACTCGGGTGGTGTGGCGGAAGTAGCCGAAGCCATGTTGCGCTAATCCATCGGTAGTCTAGATATAGGGATGGATAAGAATAAGGTAGGCGATACTTGTTCAGGGGTACCGGGAGATTGGAAGTCCTTGCTGGCGGAGTCCCACTTTGTTCATTTCCAAGTGCCCACCCCGTAGTTACTCCGTGGACTACCTAGGTAACTAACTACTCCAGATGGATGGGAGTCTACCTGATGGAGATGATTCGGAGACTTTGGAGACTTTCTAATTGGGGGTTGGCTTCCGTAGACGGATTTATAATGCGGGTTGATGTTGGTAAGCATAAGTGGAACGCAATGATAAATCAGATGTTTACCAAGCGGCCTATGTATGAAGGATTCGTGATTCAGGTTGGAGACGGAGGAGTATCGAACCCGATGGAAACTGGAGGTGGACCAGGTTGAGAAGGGGGTCTAACCGCTGACCGTCGCAACCACATGGCGCCTTTCTGTTTCATTCGACTTATTCCCATCGACAACAATCATATAAAAGTACTCCGTATAGGTTTCTCTTGCAGTAAAAGGTTAGGGCTTGTCGCTCGGTTCCGATGGACCAATGGGAACCGGGAAAGGGTTGCTGACTGATTGGGCCTAATTCCGGCAGGCTTATCTCCGGGCCGCTAACCCATTCGGGTTTATCCTCGTTCCCTCCGACGGACCACCTCGATTTCATCCATCTCGACGGTCTGTGACCTGTCGCTCATCAGTCAAACACGAACCCTGCTCCATGACTCTGCTTCAAGCGTCGTGGCCCCGTCTGGCCGGATCTGATCTGACCGATGATTCGACTGCGCACGCCATACTGATAGATAGATAGGAGTAAGTTATTTGTATGCTGACTGACTCATGTGGACTCATACCCACTCATCCATCCAGACCCACCATAGCTCCCAAATTTCTTCTTTTTCGCCATTCTTTGCTAATGCCATCGACTAGCTTTGGGTCGCCAGATCCACAGTTCGGCTGTCGTCGCCAGAGCGGATTTTCTGTCGCCTCGTTCTGCCTTCTGATTGACTGGTTAATTCCGTCTGCTGCTCGGATGCCAGACGTTGGACCCTGGAGTCTTCAAGTTCCTTACAAATCCAGAGATTTCTTTCCCGCTTCGCCATCCGGAGTTAGTATCGGTGTCAGCCGTTTATAACCATGATGCAATGCCTCTTATCATCCTCTCTTTTTTCTCTTCTTCCTCGTCAGCCTCATTGCGGTGGCATGGCGATTGTATATCTGACACTCTCCCCTCTCTGAAGACAACAGCCGCGTCCAGAACGATTCACTTGCCTTTCTTTCCTTTCCTTTCCTTTCGTTTTCTCCATTTGTATATACCCCTATACATCGGATATACTTCACCAACTTCTGATTTGCGAACCCTTGCTTGACGAGGATTGTCCCCTACCGACATTCCCATCATTAATCTCTATTTCCTAGCTCCCAGTTGTTGAATGGCCATTTCACGGGATTTGCGATACGGGTCCCTCGCCATCAGCTATTCCGAAATGGCTGACGAACATCGTCAGCCGCACCAGTCACCCAATGCGCCCGTAGAGGGGTCGCAGGGTGACCATCTCTACGACAGCCATGTCGTGTCTTCGGACCAGACCTTGGCGTCAGACTCAACCAGTGTATCTGACTCGTCCGTGGAAGGCCGATGGGGCGAACGCGATCAGGGGGAACCCGTCTCCCGTCGCGCGGCCATGGAGGACTTCGAGGAGATGAAACGAGATTTGACCCGACTCAGTCTTCACAAGACTCGTTCGACCACCCGGGAAGGCTCCCGACTACAGCACCGCGTATCAGGCCGCGCCAGCCACGCGCGTGATGAAGAAAAGGCTCTCGACGAAGAGGATGATTCCACTATCGCGGACGAGTACCAGGGGGGCTTCGATCTCAGCGAGTTCCTGATGGGTGGCCATCTGGAGCGACGTACCACGGCGGGAGAACCCGCCAAGAAAATCGGCGTGGTCTTCAAAAACGTTACAGTAAAGGGCGTCGAGACGGGTGCTTCGTTCGTTCGCACTCTCCCAGATGCTATCATTGGTACCTTTGGCCCGGACCTGTACAAGCTCGTGTGTCGGTTCGTTCCGCAACTTCATTTTGGCAAGCCGCCCCCCGTGAGAAACTTGCTGCATGACTTCAGCGGAGCCATCCGCGAAGGTGAAATGATGTTGGTCCTGGGCCGCCCCGGCGCGGGCTGCTCGACCTTCCTGAAGACAATCGCGAATGATCGAGAGGCGTTCGCCGGTGTCGAGGGTGAAATCAGCTACGGAGGCCTGTCCGCTAAAGAACAGCATAAACACTTCCGTGGTGAGGTCAACTACAACCAGGAAGATGACCAGCACTTCCCCAATCTCACTGTCTGGCAGACCTTGAAGTTCTCTCTGATTAACAAGACCAGGAAGCACGACAAGGACAGCATCCCGATCATCATCGATGCCCTGCTGAAAATGTTCGGCATCACCCACACCAAGAACACCCTCGTTGGGAACGAGTACGTCCGTGGTGTCTCGGGTGGTGAGAGGAAGCGTGTCAGTATCGCCGAGACCCTTGCAACCAAATCGTCGGTTGTCTGCTGGGATAACTCTACCCGCGGTCTCGATGCCAGTACCGCTCTCGATTACGCCAAGTCCCTTCGGATCATGACCGACGTCAGCAAGCGGACCACCTTGGTCACTTTGTACCAGGCAGGCGAGAGTATTTACGAGCTGATGGACAAGGTTTTGGTCATCGACGAGGGTCGTATGCTCTACCAGGGACCTGCCAATGAGGCCAAGGAGTATTTTGTGAATCTCGGATTCTACTGCCCGGAACAGTCCACCACGGCTGATTTCCTCACTTCCCTCTGTGACCCGAATGCGCGCCAATTCCAGCCCGGCCGCGAGGCATCCACCCCCAAGACCGCCCAGGAGTTGGAGGCCGTCTTCAAGCAGAGTGAGGCATACAAGCGCATTTGGAACGACGTTTGCACCTACGAACAACGTCTTCAGGACACCAACCAGGAAGACACCCTCCGCTTCCAGAAATCGGTTGCTCAGTCTAAGAGTAAAACGGTCTCCAAGAAGTCGCCGTATACCGTCTCCCTCTTCCGTCAGGTTATGGCTTGTGTGCAGCGCGAATTTTGGCTCTTGTGGGGTGACAAGACTTCTCTCTACACCAAGTATTTTATCATCGTCTCTAACGCTCTTATCGTCTCTTCTCTGTTCTATGGTGAATCTCTGGATACAAGCGGCGCCTTCGCTCGTGGTGGTGCCTTGTTCTTTTCGATTCTCTTTCTCGGTTGGTTGCAGTTGACTGAACTGATGCCCGCGGTCTCCGGCCGTGGAATCGTTGCGCGCCACAAAGACTACGCTTTCTACCGGCCATCTGCCGTCTCAATCGCCCGAGTGGTAGTGGATTTCCCGGCCATCTTCTGCATGGTCGTGCCGTTCACAATCATCGTCTATTTCTTGACTGAATTGGACGTGGATGTTTCCAAATTTTTCATCTACTTCTTGTTCGTATACACGACTACCTTTGCGATCACCTCGCTGTACCGCATGTTCGCCGCTTTGTCCCCTTCCATCGATGATGCTGTGCGATTCAGCGGTATTGCCCTCAACATCTTAATTCTGTTCGTCGGTTACGTTATCCCCAAGCAGGATCTCATCAATGGATCGATCTGGTTTGGGTGGTTGTTCTACGTGAACCCGATCTCGTACAGTTACGAAGCCGTTCTTTCTAACGAGTTCTCCAACCGTGTCATGGAGTGTGCGCCTTCTCAATTGGTCCCCCAGGGTCCGGGCGTAGACCCGAGATACCAGGGCTGTGCGCTTACGGGTTCTGAGCTTGGCCAGACGAACGTCTCCGGCAGTCGGTACCTTGAGGAGACCTTCCAGTTCACTCGGCACCATCTGTGGCGCAACTTCGGTGTTGTCATCGCCTTTACGGTCTTGTATCTTTTGGTGACTGTCGTTGCTGCTGAGGTTCTCTCGTTCGTTGGCGGCGGTGGCGGTGCCTTGGTGTTCAAGCGCTCCAGTCGTGCCAAGAAGATGAAGACGCAATCCGGCAAGGCCAACGATGAGGAGAAGGTCCAGAGTGTAAATGACAATGCGGCGCTCTCGCGTGGAGAGGCTCAGTCGTCTAGCAGTCCTGAAACTTTCAACCGTATTTCGTCTAGTGATCGGATCTTCACTTGGTCGAATGTCGAGTATACCGTGCCCTATGGAAACGGAACCAGGAAGCTTCTGAATGGCGTCAATGGATACGCGAAGCCCGGTCTTATGATTGCGTTGATGGGTGCTTCTGGTGCCGGAAAGACGACCCTTCTCAACACTTTGGCTCAGCGTCAGAAGATGGGCGTTGTCACCGGTGATATGCTTGTTGACGGACACCCTCTGGGAACTGATTTCCAAAGAGGAACTGGTTTCTGTGAACAGATGGATCTCCACGACAATACTTCGACTATTCGTGAGGCTTTCGAGTTCTCTGCCCTTCTCCGACAGGATCGAAATGTTCCGCGGCAAGAGAAGCTGGACTACGTTGATCAGATCATCGACCTTTTGGAGCTTGAGGATATTCAAGACGCAATCATCGGTTCGCTGAACGTCGAGCAGAAGAAGAGAGTCACCATTGGTGTTGAGCTCGCTGCTAAGCCTAGTCTGCTTCTCTTCCTCGATGAGCCTACCAGCGGTCTCGACAGCCAGGCTGCCTTTTCGATTGTGAGATTCTTGAAGAAACTCTCCCAAGCTGGACAGGCTATTGTGTGCACCATTCACCAGCCCTCGTCCATGCTGATCCAGCAATTCGACATGATCCTGGCCCTGAACCCTGGTGGTAACACGTTCTACTTTGGCCCCGTGGGCAAGGGCGGACGTGATGTGATCAAGTACTTCGCCGACCGCGGGGTGGTCTGCCCTCCATCCAAGAATGTCGCGGAGTTCATTCTCGAGACCGCAGCAAAGGCGACCAAGAAGGACGGCACGGCCTTCGACTGGAACGAGGAGTGGCGCAACTCTGAACAGAACCGCAAGATCCTGGACGAAATCCAGCAAATCCGGGACGAGCGCAGCAAAATCCCCATAGAGGAGAATGCCGTGCAGTACGAGTTCGCTGCTCCCACTTGGGTGCAGACCCGTCTGCTCACGGAACGTCTCTTCAAGCAGTACTGGCGCGACCCGTCGTACTACTATGGAAAGCTCTTCGTCAGCGTGATCATCGGTATCTTCAACGGTTTCACCTTCTGGATGCTGGGCAACTCCATTGCCAGCATGCAAAACCGGATGTTCTCGATCTTCTTGATCATCCTGATCCCGCCCATTATCCTGAACAGTGTCGTCCCCAAGTTCTACATCAACCGTGCGCTCTGGGAGGCCCGCGAGTACCCCAGCCGTATCTACGGCTGGTTCGCCTTCTGCACCGCTAGCATCGTCTGCGAAATTCCCATGGCCATCGTTTCCGCCCTCATCTACTGGCTGCTGTGGTACTACCCCGTCGGGTTCCCGACCGACTCCAGCAGCGCCGGCTACGTCTTCCTCATGACCATGCTGTTCTATATGTTCCAGGCCAGCTGGGGCCAGTGGATCTGCGCCTTTGCGCCGTCCTTCACCGTTATCTCCAACGTAAGCCCCTCCCCTCTCTTCTCCCCTATCAACCAATCTAACAACCAACCCAGGTCCTCCCCTTCTTCTTCGTCATGTGCAACCTGTTCAACGGTATCGTCCGCCCGTACAAGGACTACCCCGTCTTCTGGAAATACTGGATGTACTACGTCAACCCGGTGACCTGGTGGCTGCGCGGCGTGATTTCCAGCGTCTTCCCGTCCGTGCAGATCGACTGCGCCTCCCAGGAAGCCACCCACTTCAACCCGCCGCCCGGCCAGACCTGCCAGCAGTACGCCGGCAACTTTGTCTCCAACATCGCCGGCGTCGGCTACCTCCTCAATGGCGACGCCACCGAAGACTGCCAGTACTGCCCCTACAGCAACGGCTCCGAGTACATGCAGACCCTCAACGTCCACGACGGCGACAAGTGGCGCTGCTTTGGCATCTTCCTCGCCTTTGTCATCATCAATTGGCTCCTCGTCTACTTCTTCATCTACACCGTGCGTGTCCGCGGCTGGTCCTTTGGCATTGGCTATGTGTTTGGCTTGATCGGGGCACTGCTCGATGGGGTGAAGAAGCTTTTTACTAGGAAGTCTGCTAAGGAGCAGAAATAATCAGAGTCCCGGTTAGGGAACGTCGTTATATTGAGCGTTTGGGCATTGAATTCTGGAAAGAAGCCCGCAAAAGTGACTGATCACGGAGGATAGAGATAAAAGGGTTTTGGTTTTGTTCATAGACAGCGCGCATGTATAGGGCGTCTTTGAGTTTCTCATTAGATATTCTTCCTTTCTGATAGGTAATGAATCAAGCCAATCAATACCCGGCTGTACCTTAATATCGTGAACCCCATAGGTAAGAACGCTCACATCTCCGTCTCCATAAAGAACCACGGCTCGCGTCTCCCTCCAAAACGCTTTCCAGGAAGAACCATAGGCACTGGGACGACCTCGCGGAAGACATCGAGCATATCCTCGGACTCTTTATTCCCCGGCGTGACCGCCGGCCCTGAGCCCTGATTCTCAGGGGCCTTGGTCTCAGAGGATGGGACTGGTTCGATGATGGGAACAAGGACGCCGCACTCCCAGTTCCGACAATTGAGCTTGGGTCCTTTCGTTGCGCGGTCCTGAACCAGACGGCCCCTATATGGCAAATACCAGTCCGTCAGGAATTGTGTTCTTGAATTACAAGAGGTATAATCAACTCACCATGCGCTTTCTGATAAGTTGGCGCTCCCGACGTAGGCCCATGCGCGGCATTGCTTGTTATCAGGTAGTGGGATCGGCTCATCGGGCCGAACATACATGAGCTGGGGAAGAAAACGTCAACCAAGTTACGCGTACAACAGAAGAAACCCAAAGAGCATTGAAAACTCACTTTATTATGCATCAACACTCCGGGCCGCTGGCTCTCACAATCCCGTAGTACCTGGCTGGGGAATGTAGGACTCTTGTACCATTTCGACTGGAAGCAGATTGTGCCGGCGCTTGGGAGCCCGCCCTTCGAGTTTTTAACTACGTCCAGGGACGGAAAGTAGGTTCTGAATCTGTCTTTCCATTCTTTGGCGGTGGATTCGTCGATGGACGACGCGGAGCTGGTACCCTTGTTGTGGGGAGGCCGCTTTGCGTTGCGGAATGTGTATTCGATCATGCCATCGTCACCTGGGGTTGTTTAGCTTCGCTAATATCTCATTTGCCGTGCGAGGGATGGGCGTACCTTGACATGCGAAATAGATAGATCTCATGAACTCATCGCTCAAGTTGCCTACGGACGATGTCTAGGAGTCGTTAGTGGCTGGCGTATTGGACAGGAGCTGGGCACGGGGGCATACCACGAAATCAATATTGAGAGGCCTGGAGGTTCGAAGTCCTAGAGAATCTACGGCACGGCCGAGTCCACAGTGTCCCGTCCGGACCCGTGCTTCCCCAACATGTGAACCGCCGCTAGTCCGTCAGCTTGGGAGACGCACATCGAGGCAGGAAACTCACATGCTATGGACAAGTGCGATATGTGCAGTTTTGCTAAAGTCGTATTCATTGAGCTTGGTGGTGACCATTTCGTACGCCGCACTGGCCTGCAGGAAGTAGATTAACTCTTTCTTGAAGTTCGTCTCGATGCGTTCGGAGTCTGGGTGTAGCTTTGGAAGGTCGATGAGGAATACGGTGTTTTCCATGACGCCGCCCATTTCGCCCCAGTCATATGGAGTCAGGTTAGCGGTCGGGATGACGATTCGGACGTGTCCAGGGTGGAAGAGGATCATTAATTTGGAGTGCATGCATTGCACCTGGCCCTCCATTGGGGGAAAACACAGTTTCAAATTGCGCAGGTCAGCTGTCTCCCTTTCGTACTGTCGTTTCTGTTCCGAGATTAGTTAGTCGCAAAAGCAATACATTTGATGCATAGAAGGGCTGATGTCCAGGGAAATTGTAGTTCGGCTCACCGTGGCATCATCCTTGGCCTGCATTAAGAAGACAAACCGGGTGTTGACCTGATCCATTTTTGAAAACAGCCAGTCCATGTCCCACATGAAGGAGCTGAGTACAGCCACCTTCAAATCTGATCTCTGTAGGACTTCTTCAATCTTGATATCGTCTCCTTGACGGGGCAAGCCAAAAGTCCATGTCTTCTTGACTACTCCCTCTGGGAACTGCACAGAGGACTCAGTAGATGGGATTTGGGGCTTATGGCTTGCCGATGGCGTCTCTATTTTTGGATGTTTGGGTTCAGGCTGCGACGCTTCAGGAATATCCACAGCTTTCCTCTTCGCGAGCCGCGCAAGGCGTTCCTGTTCCATCTGCTTCCTATCCAGACCCAATATCCCCGTCGGGTTCTGGGGTTGTTGGGACTGTTGGCTAGAAGGCCTATCTGAGTTCTGTGGCTTGTTGCTTTCATTAGGGCCCGGGATTTCCCATGGGCCATCGTCATCCTTGGTGAGATCCTGCAAAGATAATGCGATTGCTTTCTTCATATCTTCATCTTCACTATCACCGTCTACTGTCTCTTCATCGTCATCGGTCTCAGAGCCAATGACAGAGTTGGACTTGGGAAAGATGGGCACCACGTCTGAGTCGGAGTCTTCCGCCGTCAGGTCGACGACTTCATGTGAGTTTCCGTTGGGCCGGTTCTCCTCACTTGGAAAGTTGCCCAAGGAAGCAGCGATGGCCGCTCTGAGGTCGGGGTCATCCGTGTCGCCGTCACTGCTCATTTTGAGCGCGCGCGAATTGATGAGGTGATGTTTGTTAAAGGTCCGCTCGCGATATGAAGGGAGAGTTTCAAGCTATGGAGCCACGATCTGGTTGGGAGGGGATAGTGTCAACGTCACTGATTTTGGGATGCGCGTCCTAGGAATAGGAGCCTCGATTATTATGAAAGTCACCGAAGGATATAGAGGAGAAAGAGAATGAGGGGGAGAAGTGTTGTTGGAAGTAACTGGAATCGGAATACAATAAACGCTTATCGACACGTGACGTGAGACCAATCGCCGTTGGTGCCTGGAAGATGCCTTGGGCGCCACAAGGTGAAACACAACATGATCAAGACACTCCGATTTTGACGACATCTGTCTCTGTGTAATTTCCTGCTGTTATATCTAGCTCATAAGTTATTATGGCGAGCGTAGGCTCAACAAAACTGCTGCATGGTGCTGCCAGGACGGTCGTATCTAGATACTCTCAAGCTTTGTCAACTGGCTTACGAATTTTTAGACTGCAATACTGTTCTGTCCGATAGTCTATAGAACAATGAAATTCTGGTTTTCAAGAAGCCTAAGTTTGGATATCACAATTTAGAAGTCTGATCGAGGCCGCATACTAAGCAACAAAAGCCTACTTCCCCATTGATACCAATCACATTCACACCTCAGGGCACTAAACCCTCGCCCTGAATCTTTTTCTTCTTGCGTCCGACTTTCAAAGTCGAAATCCGGAGTGAATGAACGAGTTGGCCGAGCCGGTCCCTCTCGTCCGGAGTAAACCCCCTAAACTTGACTTCTCCCAGGAATTCGAATGCGCCGCCAAACAGGGCCTTGACGAGATCGCGTTCGTTGAAACCGGGGAGATTCCAATTCTCAGTGGCGACGATAGTCAGAGCGTGGATCCTCAGCGGCTCTGCCATCCTCAGGGTTGTGATGAACTCGGCAAAGTCCCAACGGCGCTTCAGGGCGATCTTGAAGTCCGCTGCTCCAATGAGAAAGGTCACTGAGCCATAAGATCGGTTCCAGCTGAGCTGTTCGAGGCGGCATGGATATTCGAGCCATTTGTCGTATGATTTGTTGCGGCAGCAGCGGAGTCCACTGGGGTGACGTCGAAGCAGATGTGCGGAGAAAGCACCGTATGACCGGAGGAAGAGTCTGCGGTAGCTCAGCGAATGGTAGAGAGCAATGGATGCTTCGTGGTAAATGAGGTGGCATGTCTGGAGAATGGCTAGGTCTGTTATTCTGCACCGCGGGAGCCGGCCAACCTCAAGGGCTTTGTCGTCGCCCCCAAGCAAGATCTCGTAGATTCTGGACCGGACCTCGATCGGGAGACGAAACAGGTGACAACGCAAGTATCGATTCCCGCTGATCAGGACCGGGCGTACCATCTTGCTAGCTTCGCTGACGATGACAGTGCGATGGCTTTCCTGTTTGTCGTGCGCGACCATTCGAGAAGATCCATTCTGATTGCTGTCCACATGTTTATAGAACCGGATGGTGAGCCTATTGTGTTGTGGCCAATTAGTGGGGGTCTAATAGCACAAGAGGTGACCTTACCCAGGGTTGGAGGGATCAAGTCGATTATACGTCGGGGTGGCTGGAGACGCGTCTGTCTCTTGTTTCTCTTGCGCTTGTTTTTCTTGGTCTGGGTCTCTTGTATCCAAATCAGCCACTTGCTTGGGTCGAATCGACACTCGGTGGGCAGACATTTGCGGAGGTATCCTGTAGCGAAGGGAGAGGTGGAAGGTGGAAAAGAAGTCTGGGTGGAGGGGTACGTGAATTCTCCCGGTAGTTGCAGGTTGGGTGGTGGATGGGCTGTAGGCATAAGGGTTTACGTGGACTGAGGACACAGCTTAAAAGCCATCCCTCGTCTTGTTAGTCCGTTCGATGCTGCGTTATATGCATTGAAGGACCAGCTCTATGATAGCGAAGAAAACATCCCGATCAGCATCCGCCGTTTCAAGCCCCAGTCCCACCACCAGCAGGCGCTTTTCGCTCGGCGTTTTCATCGCAATGGCGCTTGCGATCTGACCAGCATAGAGTTGGCCAACTGTATCATGGCCAGGAGCTCTACCTCCCAGCAATGAGGTGGCCGTCAGACTGCTCAGCGGGAGAAGACTGTCATCCCCAGAGTCAGAGAACGTATGCATTCCTTCTGTTCCTGGGTTCCTATTCTCCAGTGGTACATGTAGCTGCGATCGGTCAGTGTATATCTCACGAGAAACTCTGTGATCTACAAACCCAATGCCCGAGTCTCCCTTTCTGTGAGATGGTGATCAAGATCCTATCACTGAAGCTGATGCGCATGACATCAGTGTGAACTCCCTTCACGATCCCTGCAGCTTGTTTGGTATCTGCCGGAAAAGGAAGGTTTAAGGATTCCTGGAACTGGTTCATATCAAAAGGATCAGCCATGATGGGCGATATGGACGTTCAATCTATAAAAGTCTAGAGCGTAAACAGCTGAGCGGCGGTCGTAGTGGGATGTCCGGGCGGTGAGTGACAATCTCACCGCCTTATGGCAGAATTTCGCCGCCGCCCGATTTTTTTCGGAGCCTGCAATCAACCACCAACTTTCTTGTCACCTTTTGTTTCGGTGAGAGTGATATTCCCTTTGTCTAGACAAAGGTTTGTTGCGCTTGCACCATGCCGAAGTTTGTTCCTCGCCAGCGCAAGCAGAAAAACAAGCAGCGCGACTCCAAGACTGCGCCGGTCGACACCAATGCGGCCGAAATATTACCGACGTCAAAAAATGACAAGGAAGCCAGACGAGAGAAGCTTAGGGAGCAATTGAAAGACCAGCACCCAAAGGTCTCGTCGAAGAAGCAGAAGCGCCTGGACAAATACATAGTACGCGAGTCCCAGCTCAGCTTCATTTTGGCACGGCCCTTCTGACGTTCTACGCAGGAAAATAAATTGAAGAAGGAAGAAAACCTCGAACTGTTGAAAAAGCTCGCACAGTCGAAGATCGATACATCGACGCTTCAAAGTTCCAAGGAATTAGGCAAACGCAAAAGACATGTCACAGACGACGGTACCGCAGCCGCTGCACCTGTTCGCCCAGAGCCCGTCCTCGAGCCAGAACAATCCGACAACGACTCGGACGATTCGCTCCCGCAATTGAAGTCGCATCAGTACAGAGTGGAAGAGGCCCCTCAGAAGGCCGAGCCCCCGGCTGTTGGTAGTGGACTGAAGCGTCCTCTCGAACTTGGCCCGGACGGCTTCCCCATCCTGAAGAAGCGGAAGCGTGCCCTTAAAGCGAAGCCGACCATCATACAAATCCAAGAGCCGGAGTGGGATGGATTCGGCTCGGGCGAGGAAAATAAAAGCGACTCAGAGAGCGAAGAAGAGGAGGGAAAGGATCAGGAGGAGGGCGGAGAATCGGACGAACCGTCGGACGGCGCATCAGATGATAGCGAAAGTGGGGGTGGAAGTGGAAGTGAGGATGATGAAGACGATTCTGAAGATGCAGAGGGATCCGAGGATGAAGAGGACGACGAAGATGAAGACGATGACGACGAGGAAGACAACCAGCCTCGCCAATCTTCCTTCAAGGCTTGGGCAAGGCAACAAATCAACGAGACGGTAGGCTTCAAACCCACGACCGGTCCAATCGTGTCCGAACAACCACAAGCTTTCATCCCAGAGTCCAAAAAGCCGGTCAGAAACACCGTCTATGAGGAAGAGCCGCTGCCGCTAGAGCTCCAGGTGACCCATGGAGATCCTAACAGGAAAGCATTCACTGTTTCGGTTGACCGGACGGAAGAAATCCAGAATGCCCGCCTGGGACTTCCGGTCGTGGGAGAAGAACAGAAGATCATGGAGGCAATCCATAACCATTCTGCGATCGTGATTTGGGGTGCTACTGGTAGTGGTAAGACTACTCAGCTGCCGCAATTCCTTTTCGAAGCTGGCTATGGCCATCCTGATAGTCCCAACCCCGGGATGATTGCCGTGACCCAGCCACGCCGAGTTGCCGCAGTCAGTATGGCGAAGCGTGTGGGTGACGAACTGGGGCAGTATTCCGATCGAGTGTCGTATCAGATTCGGTTCGAGAGCAACGTCTCCAGCAAGACGGCGATCAAATTCATGACTGATGGTATCCTCATTCGGGAGATCGCGGAAGACTTCGCGCTGCGCAAATATTCCATCATCGTGATTGATGAGGCCCACGAACGCAGCGTCAACACGGACATTCTTATTGGAATGGTGAGCCGTATTGTGGATCTGCGAAAAGAGATGGGCAAAGAGAACCCGTCCGTGAAGCCTCTGAAACTCGTCATCATGTCTGCCACTCTGCGCATATCCGACTTCACCCAGAATCCGGCTCTCTTCCGTCAGGGACCGCCGCCGCTAGTGCAGGCAGAAGGTCGTCAGTACCCCGTCACAGTGCACTTTGCGCGACGGACCCATCGCGACTACGTGGAAGAAGCATTCCGAAAAGTATCAAGGGGTCATCGTAAGCTACCCCCGGGTGGCATGCTGGTGTTCTTGACCGGCCAGAACGAGATCAGACAGCTTTCGAAGCGTTTGAAGCAGGCCTTCAAACCCACGCAACGTGGCGAATCCACCCAGGCGAAAGTTCAGATCTCGGCGAACGATGCACCTCTAGAAGCAGAGGACTTGGACCTGGGCGACAACGACCTATCAAACATCGGCAACGAGGACGAAGATGAGAGCGATCTCGAGATAACCGGCCTGGACGAGCCGGAGGACGACGGTGAATTTGACTTGGGAGAGGAGGCGATGAGCTCGTCAACTCGAGTGCACGTGTTACCACTATACTCCCAACTCCCCACCAAAGAACAGCTGAAGGTGTTTGAGGAGCCCCCAGAAGGCTCGCGACTTATAGTCCTGGCCACCAACGTCGCCGAAACCAGTCTTACAATCCCCGGGATTAAGTACGTCTTTGACTGCGGACGAGCCAAGGAGAAGAAATACGATCTGGAGACGGGCGTGCAGAAGTTCCAGGTCGACTGGATCAGCAAAGCGAGCGCAAACCAAAGAGCAGGACGTGCCGGTCGAACCGGACCCGGCCATTGCTATCGGCTCTACTCATCTGCGGTCTACGAGAACGAATTTGCGCAATACACCGACCCCGAAATTCTGCGGACGCCCATCGAAGGCGTCGTGCTGCAGATGAAGGGCATGGGCCTCCACAATGTCATCAACTTCCCGTTCCCCACGCCGCCCAGCCGCCAGGGACTGGCGAAGGCTGAGAAGCTACTCAAGAACCTGGGCGCTCTCACCTCCGAGGGCAAGATCACCCCCATCGGTCAGCGCCTCTCCACGTACCCGCTGTCACCACGGTTCGGCAAGATGCTGCACATCGGCCACCAGCACGGCTGCATGCCGTATGTCATTGCGCTCGTTGCAGCGTTGGCCGTGGGCGACTTGTTCGTCCCCGAAAATCAGATCGACCCGACACCCGCGTCGGCAAAGGACGGCGACGGCGAGAAGGAGGTGTATACCAACGCAGACCGTCTAGAAGACACCGCGCGCGAACAACGCCACAAGGACTACCACCGCGCCCATCGCCTGTTCAGCAAGCACGACGACACGTCCGACGCGCTCAAATACCTGTCCGCGATCTGCGCGTACGGCTACGCCGCTGATGGAGACGCCTTCTGCGAGCAGATGTTCCTGCGCGCCAAGGCGTTCAAAGAAGCCACCCAGCTCCGCAGCCAACTGACAGACATCGTGCGCGCCAACAACCCGGGCCTCGTTGCCGCCTACCAGCCGCGCCTCCCCGAGCCGACGGAGAAGCAGATCAAGGCGCTCAAGCAGATCGTGACGGCGGGATTCATCGACAACGTCGCGATCCGCGCCGATCTCTCGCCCGTGCCGCCGGAGATGGAGCGGACGCCCAAGCGGGCCATCGATGTGCCGTACATCACGCTCTTCAAGTCCCGTGAGGGCCCGGCTAGAGAGCTCACCGAGAAGGCCGTCTACGTGCACCCGTCGTCCATCCTGGCCAGTCTCTCCGCCAAGGAAATGCCGCAGTACATCGTCTACTCGCATCTCCAGCAGTCGTCACCCTCGCTAGTGTCCGGCGAAGTGCCCAAGATCCGCATGTTCCCGCTCGTCGTGCCCAGCGGCCTGCAGCTCTCGGCCATCGCGCAGGGCACCCCGCTCATCGAATACGGCAAGCCCATCGGGAAGATGGAGCCCATCGACGGGGTGCCGCCGCGCCGCGCATGCTGGGTCGTCCCGTCGCTGGTGAGCGAGCCAGGCCGCACCGGCTGGCCTCTCCCAGCCAAGAAAGTCATCCAGCGCAAGGACGCCAAGGACGGCTGGGTGATAGAAAAGTTCAGTTCATAACGTATATACGCATCTTGAATACAAAGAGGAATTTCACCCTAGGTATATGCAGCATGCATCCCAACGCCATCCGTAAAAGCAATAAAAGCACCCCAAAGTACAATCACTCCTCCCTCCGTCTCCTCTCCCTCCTCTCCCCCGAAATCTCTCCCGTCTCCCGATCCTCCCGGATCCCCAGCGCCCTTCGCAACCGCTCACTCTCCTCGATCTTCGCCTCCGCCAGCTCATGCACCTGATACGCCTTGAACTGCCGCCTCTCCCTGGGCTGCTGCTGTCGCCCAGCTGCAGCTTTAGCCTTAGCCTTCCCGCCACCCTCCTGCCCCTCCTCCTCCATCTCCTTCAACAACCGCTCCCGCAGCGCCGCACACCGCTCCTCAATCTCCTCCTCAGATAGAACCCGCTCCCCGTCTCCCTCCACAGCCTCGCCCTCCTCCACACCCCCATCCGTCTTGCCCTTCCCCTTCCCCTTGGCCCTCTCCTCCTCGAGCCGCTCATTCGCCTCCTCCAGCCGCTCCCGCTCCTCCATCACCTTCACCTCGACCGCGCGCCGCCGGTCGTGTTCGAGGATCTGCTTGTCCGGCTGCCGCTGCTTGAAGGCCCGCCCGTCGCCGTTGGCCCCCGACACGGGCGGGTACGGCGCGCCGTAGCCTGTGTTGCGCGGTTTCATGAAGGCCGTGTTGCGCTGAACGTAGCCGGATGTGCCGCTGCCACGCGGTGTGGAGAGGCCTACGTTTGAGGACATGGTGGGTCTTTTGCTTGAGCTTGAGCTTTTCGTGTGGGACGTTTGTCGGGATAGAGGGTTCGTTCTTGAGGGTGGTGGGTGTGGTTTTGCTTTGATCGGCCGTAGCTGAATGAGGAATGAGAAAAGGACACTTAGGAGGGAGATCGGTGCTGCGTAGATTGGTACCAGGGTAGGAGTGGTGTTGGTGGTAGTGGCAAGTGGGTTGCAGAAGAACTGGTGGTGATGAGATGGGCGGTGTCACGTGATGATAAAGTGATAAGCGGCCAATATATAGGAATCTACAAATAATCCATCTCACTTCAAAATCTCCCATCGACGATATGAACTTTGAACTTCTTTTCATTGATCTATCCCTTCTAGAGACAGTCTTTCTATATTATATATTCAAACAAGCACATCACCAGGAACACCTAGTATACATCTGCCCCGACTAAACAACATGCATATACAACTCCGGTGATGATGGGTGCTTGTAGCCCATTCACGGGAGGAAGAAATAGAGTCGACCTCGTCGAGGTCGACACGAGAGTCGGGTAACCTTTCTGCAAGGTCTGTAGAGACCGGCAAATAGACAGGCCAGGTGATCGCCGCAATCAGCAAGACCTGATACCAACCAAGAGGTATATCATGTCCAAGTATGATCACCACCCAAAGATGTCTCCCACACTCAGAGTGCTGTACCGCACACCCAGCACAGCGACAAGCATGAGGACAGTGTCAACAACGCCCAGGGCCACCGCACCCATCATAAAACGCGGGCTGAAGATACGGTACAGCATGAGGTGACGGCGCAAATGGCCAGCCCACATAGTGGTTGCGAGATTGACGGTGGCGAAATAGAGCATATACGTGCAAGCTGCTTGCACAACGTCGGAAAGGATCTTGATGGCAGGGTTGATCGGCTTCTCGGGCCTCGAGCCAGTCGACTTCGACGGTTCGCTCAGTAGTAGAGGCCGTTTCCAGAGGACAGTAAGAGGGACGGCAATAGCGGTGAGGATTTGCGCTCCGAAGGTATTTAGAATAACCAAAAGAGGAGACCAGGGATATTTCACGGAGGAAAGAGGGATGAAAGCGGTTTCCCACTGGATACTGCTCAGCACCGCCTGATGACCGGTCTTGAAAAAGTAGAATGAACCCAATAGCGCCAAAACAACCGGTCCGATAGCCGAGTTGCTCATCACCAGCGCGTTGGTATCAAGAATCTCGAGAAGAGATAATATCTGCCACATAAGCAGACCAATAGCTCCCTGGCCCATGGGCTTTTGCATAAGGATAATTCCAAGGCAGAAGTTGACGACCAAGAGGAAAAACCGCGTTCCGTACACGTTTCCGAATCCAAGGATGGTGACAGTTGCTCTTCCTGTTTGTTGGGACGCGGCCGGAGACTTGTTCTTGCTGTCCGGTTCGGAACTTCCTTGCGTGACATCGATGGTCACACATGGTTTCGAGTATATGAACGCAGTTGTGCCAGCAGCAAAGGCAAGCGCAAGTACGATTTGAGCTAAAAATACCCGCGTCGACTTTAATATTTCCTTGCTGACTGGGAGCCATTCGCCATCGTCCGCACCCTCGAGGAGCCAGAACAGGGAGGTGAGGAACAGCCCTAGCCGGAAACCCATGCCGACCCAGAGGGTCGCAGTCCCCTCATATGATTTAGACCCAGCGTAGAAAGATTTCACCACGCCCGGGAGAATGAGGGTCAGAATGAAAGGAATAGCCAGCTGCCATGGAGCTGATGTCGAGGATGTAGCGGAGGCGTAGTAGGTAGACCGACAGAACGGCATTTGTTCTTCTCTGCAAAGACGAGAGAATGATGCAACTCTCCCCAAAATGACAAAGAGGATAGAGTGATACACTCCGAGAACTCTGTCGGAAGTGGTCTTTTGCCGCATCGAGGACACACCAGAGACAACACCGAAGGTGGTAAGGAAGAACAAGAGGATCTCATCTTCCCAAATGGTGTATGAATTCGATGCAAACCCGATGGATTGAGAGACAGTGAAGAAAATGGCAAGCCAGCCCCACACAGTCTTTGGCAGAGGCAACTCGAGGTGGTTTGCAGGCCTGAAGATGGAGAATGATCCACCGACAATACTTCCTACGGCCGCGAACAAGGCTGTTGACTCAATGAATTTCAGATCCACTGCACTGGAAACCGCCAAGAAGCCCCCGGTTGCAGCACCGACGCCTGAGCCTAGCGCAACAGTGTGTAGCAGAGACTCGGTGAGTTCGGTCCTGTCGGCACGGATGCCTCGTGCATAGAACACCAGAAAAACAATAGCTGCAAAGAGAATCCCAACGCCCTGGAGCATGCTTGGGACATCGAACTTGGCCCATAGACCACGACAGATCTCCAGGGTGTGCCTTTGATATTGCCTGTAGGAGGCGTAGACATCTTGCGCCAAGTTTTGCTTTCCGGACTTCTGCAGCATTCTCCACCCATCTTCCGCTGTCTTCCACAAGCCTAGCGATTGGAACTCTTGGCCATCATCCGCACCGCGGATCGTCGCATATTCGTGTTGGTATCTCTTGATCTGAGCGGAGGTGAGACGATTGACGGCGACAAGGTTCTTCCAATCATTCCCCCGGGCACCAGCGAAGGCTTCCTCGATCGGCGCACCGAGGTTATTGAAAGGAATGGGCATCCCAAGTAGGAGAGATAACGTTGGTACAAGATCGATCTGCGGCACAAACCGTTCTCGGGCCGTCTTCGGCGGCGCAACGGTTTCCGGGCTTGTACGACCAAACACACCTTTCTTCGAGTACATCCAAAGCGCTGCATCTACTTCGTCGTTCGATTCACCACCATGGTCACCCTTCGAGTCCATTCCATGGTCTCCCATGATAACCAGAAGGGTGTCCTCGTCCACCTTAGCAATGAGATCGCGAATGACGTTATCCATTTCCTTCAGCTTGGCGCCCATCGCTGGATGGTTCGGTCCGTATCTGTGGCCGGCATGATCGACGCCCAGATAATGGCCAAAAATCACGTCCCATTTCGTCACGTTTTCCGGGTGCAAAAGGGGGAAGAGATGCTCATTCACGCCATTGTCAACAGTGTGTAGGTCCCACACATTGAACGAGTCAAACGGGCGCGTGAGATTGGCATCGAAGTAGTCCGGGAACAGAGCATGCCACGTATCATCCCCAAGGTGTACCAGATTCTTCCCCGCGGCTCGCAACTGAGCGACCAGATTATCCTCGTCAATTGCAGTGCCAGCAAAGTTGGAGCCGGCGTCGACGAATGTCGGCAGTGTTCCCGTCGTCAAGCCCTTGAGGCGCTGCAGAGTCGTCGTGGGAGGGTCCGCAATGAAAGGCAGCAAGAACGCATTTTGCGGGGTATTGACCGCCGTCTCGTACAGAACAGGAATGTTGTCATGGTACAGATGGGCCATTTCACCGTCGGCCCGCGGCGCAAATGGAACGGTAAAATCATACCTCAAGGCATCAACGATTATGACAATCGCTTTGTCAAACGTTTTCTGGTGCCAGCATCCGTCGTTTCCACCACGAGAACCTGATTGTAGCGCCGCATCGTCAAACGGTAGAACATCACACGACGATTTGTTCTCCAGCACCATCCGGGTGAGGAGGAATCCCTTGGTGAAGAAGAAAATACCCGCGACATGCAAGAGTCTAGTTTTTTGACACAAGAACCATCAGCATTGCGATCCATAGGTTTCCACTGAGTACTGGAAAGACAAGCTCACAGTAACCACCCAAACACCCCTAATAAACTGAGATGTTTGACCTTGAACTCCCGTTCCAGCCCATTCATAAAGCTCTGCTGCGGAGTTTCTCCCCTGGCTGTTTTGGACTGCAATGCCTTCGGAACCGGTGGTTTTCTGGTATCGTGCTGCGCCGAGGAACGCGGGGAAGAAGTGCGAATGGACTCCTCCGAGCGCCGCGAGTCATTCATTTTTGCGCTCTCGGGAGTCGACGCCATGTTGTTTGGGGTTTGTGCAAAGTCACGGGCGAATTGACCTTCAAATGCCGCTGGAAGGGGGAATGGGGTAGTCGGCTTCCCGGAGCGCTAGCTGTCACGATAAAAGGAGCAATCCCCAATTGGTGGAGTAGCGGCGTGGTCACTGGCGCGGAATGAGGGATTAAAGCTCTTCAGGGAACGAGACGGAAAGCATCGAAGCGAGGGCAAAAGGGGGCTCTTGCAATTCAAGCTCTCTTTCTCCTTTTGCTCTTTACTTTTTTTTTCTTCCCTCTAGCTGTCGAGCGGGAGGGCGGCTGTGGTGCGTGTGGGCTTCACTGCAAACACATGGTTACAGCGACGGCTCAATCCCACGCAAGAACATAACCGGAGAGTGTAGGTAGGTAGACAAGATCAGGGGAGAGGGGGTGGGCTAGAAAGAACAAACCGCGACGATACCTGCCAAATCTCTCTCCCCGTGACGTTGGGCAATCGGCGCTTTCGGCAGGCCCAGTCAAGAATTTCCGGCCCCTAATTGGCGGGCGCGGCTCGGAACATCCAGAACCCTGCGCGGTGGGGGCATTTCCTTATCGGGAGATCTGTTTACTCCATGAGGCAATTCCACGTCGCACTAGGAGTTTACGATCTATACAGAGTACGGAGTATATGTACTACTAGGCCTATCACAGTTTATAGGAGCGTATACAGAACCACTTCCATTGATCACAAAGGCCGACCACGGTAGTAGAGTGAAGACTAGTTACATACATTATCCAGCTGTAAGGCACCCTAAAGGCAAACCGAGAATTGTAGGGGCGAGGGTAATATGGGAGAAGAATCGAATCAAATATAGGAAAAGAGAAGGGAAATAAATAAAGGGTGCATAAACGTCTTTCCAACCCTAGTGACGTAGCAGGGTGGAAAGTACCAGAGTGGCCAAGCACAAGAAATGAACGCCTGAACATCGACGGCAAAAAAATAAAATTGTTCAAGAGAAATGGCACCAAATGTCGAAAGGGCCAGCAACCCTTGGCTATACACAATTCGGCTTCGGCATGCCTTTGGTTCGGTTCTCGGGAATGAGGAAATGGATGGCAGTGATGGTAGAGTTCCAAAAACCCGAAGAAAAGAGGTAGATAGGGAGGGGTGGACGAGACAGTTGGATTAGTCGGTATATGTGCAAGTCGCGAATTTACAGCCAAAAGACACAACAATGGCAAAACGGGAAGACTTTCGCTTGGATATCGTCATGGTCCGAAGGGGGTCATCGCAGAGAACAAGGCGAGGTTGATCAGTCGAGGGGTATCACAAGATGGAGATATGTATTGGCGAAGTGAAGGTGGTTGGCCAGGGGCTTCTCAAGACCATCTTTTGATATCTTCCTTCTCCTTGAGGCCGCCCATCCGCTCGATATCCAGCGACTGGAAGCGCTCCGCATCGCTGGACTGATAGGGGGGGAGTTCCTCATTGCATGGCTCAAGACCGACGCCGCCCGAGTCGCTGATGCGCACCACAACCACACGGCCGGATTTGCGTTTGCCCGATTCATCCTCCTCCTCGGGGAAAGTAATGCGGATTTCCGGGATAGGGCTGGGTGGCGGGCTGGAGGAATTTTCCATCAGGCTGCGCTTCTCATCGTAAACCAGCACGGATTCAGTCTGAGTGTAGGGGGGTGCGGATATCGTCAGGCGACGTTGATGGGTTGTGCACTCGCCGTTGTGAACAGGAAGCTCGGAACGCTTGCGGTTCTGGCGTTTACGGCGGAGGATGAGCAAGGCGCCGACAAGAAGAAGACCGACCAAAACGAGGACCAGGAGAGCAATGATGAGGTCGATCATCGCGGACGACAGTCCACCATCATTGTTGTCCCGACGGACAAGTTGGTGGAAGAGATGCATCGCGTTGAATGGTACGGGGTTTTCAGTTGTTGTTGTTTTGTCGTTGTTGTTGATACCGATGGATCTTCTGGTTTCTTTTATACAGCAACGATGGAAGTATTGGCAAGTCGGATAAGTATAGGGCAAGAATCGAAGTCGTTCTAGATCGATGGGGCGCGTTAGTAACCAGCGCTTCTCGGCAGCTTCCGAAGCACCACCACTCACACAGCGTCCCAGCAACGGTTTGTTGCAAAAGAATAGGAATGGCTGAAAGATGTGGTTTTTCGCTTTTGGGTAATTGATGATGGTCGTGATATGCAAAAGAGAGAATGGCTTGGGTCGGTTGGTTGGTATTGGTGGCCGGTCGGCGAGAGAGCGAGGGATCTACCAGGCTGGAAGATGGATGAAAGGAAAGAACGGACAGCAAGGTGAACAGCTGAAAGAGTGAAGCCGACACCTGCTTGGGGATGGGAAGTGGCGAGTGGAGGAAGAGAGGGAGAGAATGAGGGGAGGGAAGGGAGGTTGGAATGGAGGAGGAGGAAGAAGAGAAGGGAGAAAACAAGAGGAAGAGAGAGAGAGACAGACAGAGAGAGGCGCAGGGCCAGGAAGGGCGGCTAACAGGAAGGAACGGACGAGCAGACGGGGCCAGAACGTCGCTGGCTCGATCGGGGATAGCGGTGGCTTGAGGAGAACCTATCAGCACCCGCCGTTCCTGAACTCCTCCCGCGCTGCACCCGATGATTGGTGCATACCCCTGTCGATTGCTGCTAGTTTGTTGTTTAGTTCGAGTTAGGCAGGTTGTTGTCCATCATCGTCTCTCCACTCCACGGGCTTGTTCCTTCTTTTCTTCTGCTCTGTTACCCCTGAATGATGTTCCATAAATAACCTTGTTCGCGATCTCCCCATGAGCACACGACCAGCCAGCACCATGATGATTCCATAACCGACATCTCCCTTGGAGGATATCAGACTCCCCTCGGAACTCTCCAACGCGATACTCAACTCTCGCACTGCACCTCTCTGTCAGGCACTGACTCCCCTGCATCATCGAGACAGCCAACGGCATCCTCGGATGTCTTGGTGGAACTCGGCGCCGAGGACTCCCCTGCTGCATATGATCTCATTATTGCGGTGGAGTCCAGCACTCGCAAACCTGCCAAACTCATGACACGACCGATCCGTTTTCATCGTCCATGATGACAATGGGTCCTGGTAGTGGATATTTTGTTATTCTTAGCAGACTCGAGTAGTAGTTACCCATTAGGGTGAGGTCGAGACCTTCCGGCCTGCTCTAGAGAGCCCACCCCCAGTAATTTTTCTTTCCTCTGAAGAACAAACGGAGCTCCAAGCTACGGTACTTCAATGCCGATTATCCCGAGTATGCGACCATCCGAGGAAGACGATGCGGTGGCGTTCAGTTTCCATTCTCAATATATATCATCGTCTCCCTACTGCGGGAGTTGCGTGATGCAGATTTATATATTCCGCATGTACGCGTAAAGTCCCAGCCATTACCTCCAGCCCGTACCGGCAAACTATTGAATCGCATACATGCCTAAGCCTCAATAGATATTGGCTGTGATGATACAGCCTCCTCCCTTGGGGCAAGTCTCGTGCCTAGGTACAGCCCGGTCACAGGGCTGAAGCGCAACACAGATTGTTGTCATGGAATGGCGACTAACCGTGTATGGCTAAAGAGTAACACTCTGTTGGCACCAGAATATGCTTTGAATATCCAGAACAGGGCGTGAAACATGAACATCATTCCTGGCTCAATGTCAGTGGCTTTCACCCACAGAAAGTACTGTAGTTATCTCAGCTGCCCCTTGTGTTCATCCCTTGATGAAGCATCCCGATCGTCTCGAGGGAAACCACCATGAAACACAACCAGCACCCATGAATCTCCTCGTCGAAAAGAAATGAACACAAATAAATATATCTCTCATTAACTTGGCTGGGAGAAAGCCGATCGATCTTTACACATCGTCCAGAAGCCTCAATCGACCCGATACAGGCAGAACTTTGCGTCGGATGGGACGTTGTTCAATCCTTGGTAGAACAGATGGTGTACTTGTACCTATATATCACGCTCCGGATTTTGGCGATGGATTTCATGCACTCGAATGCTGGTCTAGTGCAGTACTGCTGGACAGTTTGCGTATTCGCATCGCACATATGCTTTTAATCTTTTCATGTGCTACAGATTAAACAGTGGACTCAGCATATGGACGTCATCGTTAGAAGGATATAAGTCAGTCGTAGACGACCGGACAAATGAAGGTAGTTGGGAAGATCCTTTTTAACGATTGGCAGCTTCCGTTGTTATACTAGTCTTCAACATTGCCGTTCAATCCTCATCTCATGCATGAGGTTAGAGCAAGATGTTTGCCGTGTCATTTAAAGCCACAGCCGGTTCAAGTCAAGCTCCTATAGGCTCATTAGATGTGTTATCTTCGGGAATTGACTGCTGTGCAACCCACACCTACAGATCCGCACGCACGGAGAATGTAGATACAGGCATCTGCAGTAGGTTTTTCGTAGAATAGGGAAGCTCGACACCCTTCCTCTGTGCAAAGTCCCATTCAACTCTCGTAAACGCAGTGGGTAGAGCATTTGAGACTCTTTTAGAGCATCTCAATTATTCTCATTGACCCTTGTCAAGCTTACGCTCCAACGGCGTATACTAATTGGCTGGAATCTTGTCACGACAGGTATCTTTCTGACATGTTCGTGTACTCATCTCCAGTAGAGCTCCTCGGGAACGATGGGTTATCTATATGCTGATCGCCACGACGTGTCCCATAAAGCCTGGCCGGCCAGATGATCTATTATCACAATGTCCATTCAGAACGGACTGTATGATACACCGCACCACGATATATAGACTGCATCGGATTTTTCGTTCTATACCGAGTCGCGAAGAGCTAGCGCGGAAACGTTCCGCATCTTGCCTCGGCAGCTTGCCATCGGAGACTCCCCTAGCACCGAATCATTGTTCTTACGGTCTGCAAGAAACCAAGAGCAAGATCTTCTGTGATTACCTATATTCAAGGTAGTTATGAGTGCATGGGTAGCATCGGGTGCTTTCATTTAGAAAAGCCTTTATAAACCCGTCATTGTGGTGACACTGTATCTTTACTGAAAGTCCCTATATATAATCGTGGTGAATACTCTCGAATGACACAGACCAAGATATGGTATATATGATGAAGATATCACTGATTTGTGACAACCGTGCATGACCGGGCTACGTGTATATCGGATTGGGCCCCACTCTACGATCAAAGCTAACGGATATGCGGATATATATGCAGGACATGAACCTCAGTCTATATCAAGTGGGCCCGGGGAGGAATGCGGGGTATGAGAAGGCCTGGACACAGTATTCCGCTATGAGGGTGAGCTCTGCCGATATATAATGGAAACTACCAACCCTCTCATCTACCATTATCTCTGGAAGATCAACCCGGAGGATAGGACAAACGAGAGAGTACGCCAAAATGGCTCACGAAACCGACATCCCCACGCATTGCAAAGCCGGCGTCGTTGTCAACGAAGGCCCCGAATTCCACGTTGAAGTTCAGACAGTGCCGGTCCCTGAGCCAGGTACGAGACCTTCCCGGTGCCGGGTCGCTGGCAGATAATAACCATTCTCAACAGGCCCGGACGACATACTCATCCGGCTGCGCGCTACAGGAATCTGCTCTTCCGACCTCCACATGATGCAGGGAGACCTGGGGATGCCACCCATGTCCGCGTTTGGGGTCCGGTCTCCCGGGCACGAGGGCGCCGGCGTGGTGGTCAAGGTTGGCGCCAACGTCCAGAATTTCAAGGTAGGTGATCGAGCTGGTGTCAAGCCGCTACTTGATACGTGTGGAGCGTGTGAGCTGTGCTGGGGGGAGAGGGAAATGCACTGCCAGCGCGGTGTTCACACCGGGCTCATGGCGCCGGGTATGTATGGCATCCGGGGAGACCGGCCGCTCCTTTGTTGATCTCTTGGAATAGGAACGTACCAGCAGTATATTGTGTCGCCGGCGCGGTATGCATCGGCGATCCCCGACGGCGTGCCGGATGAAGTCGCCGCGCCGATCATGTGCAGCGCGGCGACGATGTATCGGTCTCTGACTGAATCTGGCCTGCGGGCCGGGAACTGGGCTGTTTTCCCCGGCGGTGGCGGCGGTGTAGGCATCCAGGGCGTGCAGCTGGCGAAGGCGATGGGGATGCGTCCGATTGTAGTGGACACGGGCGCGTCCAAGCGGAACTTGGCTCTGGAGATGGGCGCTGAGCAGTTTGTGGACTTTCGGGAGGTAGCTGACGCTGCAGCTGCGGTGGTTGAGATTGCGGATGGCATTGGAGCACATGGGGTCTTTGTCACCGCGCCTGCTGTGTACAAGACAGCTCTGTCGTTTGTGGGTAACCGCATTGGGGCTGTGGTGATGTGTGTAGGGCTTGCTCCGCGAGACTCAGTGACTTTGGGCTGTGACCCCAATTCGCTTATCTTCAAGAGTTTGACCGTCAAGGGTACACTGGTTGGAAGTCGGCGGGATGTTGCTGCTGCGCTGGATTTTGCACGTCGCGGACAGCTGAAGCAGATCTGTGAGGTGTACCCTATTGATCGCTTACCAGAGGCAGTGGACAGATTGCGAAAGGGCCAAGTGGCCGGGAGAATGGTGGTGAAGTTTGATTAGAGATAGACTGGAGGTGGAATTAGGTGCGAATTGTGCAACTGTTCAATGTACAAAAGATGCTCTGCCTTCCGCTCAATTGGATGTGTATCGGTATACAGGATTTGTTTGTGCTCGACACAAGAGTTATGCCTATTGATTACCTATACTGATGTGTATAGACAAAGATAGTAACAACCGACCCCCCCAAATGAAGTATACGTGGATTATTAGGCCTAGATTTGCCAGCCCCTCACGTAGCTTGTTGGGGCTGGGAATCATGGCTTTGCCTCCTATCAGACGACGTGTTCATGAGCAATGCATCTTCCGGTTCAATATTATCTCAAAGAGCCATGGGTCAGGAAGCATGGAAAAATGAAGTCAACTGGAGTCCGTGCCAGTTGGAATACAGGTATACCATGCAACCCCCCTACCAATGTACTAATGGAAATGTAACTATTCAGCAATCACTCAACATGTGGATATCGTAAACACCATGCGTTTCTTACATATAATCTAGATCATCCCGTCTATGAGAGCACCATGGCACGCCTCAAGTCAAGGTCATTGCATGACTCGGCCGAACGGAATGGTTACGGCTTGATGTCAGGTAAATTCATCATCGTGCGTTTGAGAATATTGTACGTTCGACGTGTACGTTGGTCATTGGGCTGCCGTTAGCTGGAAATGGGTTCCATTAACAACTGCTATTAATTGTGGATAATTAGGTGTAGGAGGTCAAAATAAGACCAAGCCGCTTGCTGTCCTATTGCTTTGGAGGGTCGCGAGGCATGTCATACAAAGAAGAATGCTCGACTTTTGTTTTGTTCTCATCTACGGGGTTAGCGCGATGTCTCAGAAACGGCACCTTGTGCAACCCGCGATGGCATGAGAGCGCACCGGAAAATATGTGGCGAGTTACTGTACCATAGTACGCTGCGTCATGCTTTCGTGACATGGACGGATAGGAAGTACAGAACAACCGTAGCCTTACCGTCGGCCGACAACCATCCAACAACACGCCAGGTCTGATTGCGTATGGATGTGCCCACCAGGTACGCGGTATTACCTAATTATCTGCTAATAGAAAATCTTCGGCGTGCCAAAACGGTACAAATTGGCAGACTTCGGCGTAATTCCCCGGCATGGATCGACAGATCCGGGGGTGGCACCAGTCGAGCAGGAATGGAGAGGAAGTATTATCCGCAGGCTGGACTTTGGAACATCATCTCCCGCACGCTTTCATGTGCTGAGCCAAATGTCCTGGGGGAGTGGGTCTGGAGTTGGGGTCGTGGCAGCAGGTATGCAAGGATGACTGCATGAGTTCTTCTCTATTGGGAGGATGCGCAGCGCTCGTTGGGACTAGTTGAGAGACAGGAGGAATGGAGATAAGACCGGATTTGAGTTCGCTATTGCCAAACGGTAGGTTAGATAGCTGAACCAGGGCGTGACCTGTTGGAGAGTTGAGAGAACCGGGGGTGAGGTAAGGCGGAGATGAAAGCCGCTGACGAGACTATTTGTGGACAGGATAGTCGAGCACGGCCCATATATCCCTTGGGTTCCTGACCCCGTCAACAGACAGGGCGGATGAAACCTCAACCACTGTTACTGTTTGGACGCAAGGGGCGGACGTGTTGACTGTCGGTCGTGCGGAGTGGGTTTTAGAATTTGCAGCATACTCGAGTGCGTATGTATGTGCAGGTAGCATTAACATACAGACGTACATACATACATCTGTCCATGGTAGTAGGTAGGCAATGGGGAGGGTCCATACGAGTATAGTATTTCTGTGCGTAAAGAGGGGAAGGGGTCCGACGAGCAGTCTCGAAGTGCGCCTATTAGAATACTGTTACCCTATTTCATGATTGCTATTCATTTTATTTAATATTTATTTTTTCCTAAGACAGTGATTAGTAAGAGGGCATCTTCGACAATCCTATTGTCCATAGAGATATATACAGAGTACGGGTGGTACAAAGCGTTCTTTCATGTCGCTACTACTAATCCGATTGACGATTGGAGCTTGAAATAAAAGAATCAAGCTACTCCTCTAGTGGATCCGATCGGGTGGGCTGGGGCTTAACCGTTCTGGGGTCTAGTATAGGTACGGAGTAAAGGTCACCTCCTCCGTCCAGTAGGAGTCGTATAGATCAATGACCGTATGCTACCTGACCAGTTGATCTATTTTTAAACAGCCAAACTTCTCGCTCGCAATTATGAAGCCCACCATGCTCGAATCTTAGACCTGTCTATCAGATGACATGCCATACCCCAGGACCCTTCGGAATGGCACGGCAGAGAACTATAACCATACGTACCTAGTAGTGTTCCGGGTATGTCAGAGTTTGTCTTGTTCCTGGCAATAAGAGCTACAGAGACGCCTAGACAAGCGCCCACCGGCCCATGGTTAACAGGTGGAGGAGGTTTCATCTGGCGGTCTACGGGCCGATGGGTGATGTACCTAGGTAGGTAGGACGACGTATGTGACTGTCTTGTGCCGCCTTGGGTGGTTGGGTATTGACGGTGCCGCGACCGACCTAGTCACCAGTGCAGCGACTCACCTAGGTAGATGAGTCAACTGAGTTCGGATGGACGGGAAGATTTAGTTTTGCTATTCCCAACAATCCAGTGGTGGACAGCAGCATCATCATCATCATCATGAAAGGCCGACGGTGAGGCTGTTATTTTAGATTTATTTGACTGGTGAGGAATTGATGGAGGATTCTTACCCGGAACGCACGAAACCGACCAGAAAAGAAAGTTATGGTAGGGTGGTACCTGGGGCCAGTAGGTGGCGGCCATAGTGAGAGGAAGTACCCAGGCGGATCGACAGACGGGGAATGGTCTTGTCACAGGGCGGTAAGGGAAAAGAATCGGTCCTCTCCCAAGACACGCAGCATCTTTTTTCCAGGCAGCTTATCTATCATCTCACTCACCTCCGACGCTGGAGAGGAAAGAAAAAAAGACATCATCTTTCTTTTTTTCGCTTTTCTTTTTTCTCTATTCCATTTTTTTTTAATTCTGTTTTCGGTGCTGAAATCTCTTTATATCTAGCCTCCCCCACTGTCCTCTTCGCCTCTTCGCTTCCCTGCCTCGCGCCTTCCATCTTCGGGCATTGCAGTGCTTCGATTTTGTGCTACCATTCTCTTTCAGCTTTTCTTCTTCGCCCCCCCATCAGATTGATCCACCTCCCAACCAACTTCGTCTCTTCCATCTCAATCATCCTTCCGCCGTCTCATCTTCCATCTTACCTCTCTATCCTTCCTGGCCTGCGGACGCCCAATATATCATCGACCTCCCGTCGCCGTGGTGGGGACTCGTCCGTTGGTTTGCAAACCAAGCAACACACGTCCAGGGTGTCATGCTTGCTGTCGTCTGTGTCACAGCTGGTTTACATTAATGCCGTGCTTTGTCTCTCGTCCACATTCCCTTCCTTCGACGCTCCACTAATCACGTCGGATCGTTGCTTCATTTGCGCAACAAGCACATTCCGCTCCATACCAGCTGCAATTTCGTTCGACCCGTCCGCCCATCCCCCTCCCCCTTGCTGCGGCGGACCCTTTCAAGCTCCTCCCAACGCCTGCTTGTCTGATTGAACATCGGTCGCCTCCTGCGTCTCGCCCACGACCATTGTCCCCATCGCCTCTCCACACGGACACGGAGCACATGAGCGTCAGCTGTGAGATTCGAGGTCTCTGGAGCATGCACGGAGTCTAGTCAATACCTTTGATCGCGATACATCTCCATCCGCCCTAATCCATTCGCGGCTGCTTGCTGTACATTACGCTGGCAAACGAACGTCGCCTCGCCTTGCTTCGCCTTTGCTCCTCGCCCTCCACCGAGCATTTCTCACGGCCACTCACCCTCCCTTTCGTCCACCCCTTCGATCGATCCCTTGTATAATTCGTACATTGCCGGACCACGATACTCCCCGGTGGATCGATAAAAAAGACCTATCCATATTTTTTTTCCATCTCCCCTTTCTTCGGGTGAGTCTGTCGCTGCCGTCCTTTTTATCCCTTTCTTCGTTTCACTTCGTGTCCCCTTTGTGAGTTACATCTCCCATGCGAAAATTAATCCTCCTCACTTCCACGCAGTGCAACGGTTGGCTAACCTGGATGATCAGTCGTCGCGCAGACCGACCTTTCGTTTCCGACAACGCTAGACCTCGTGTCTCCGCCTTTGTCTATTCTTACGCAAAGTCCCGACCTGGTCACGAGCGTTATCACTACGAGGACCGAAAAGCTGGAAAGGAACACCTTTCCTTCGCTCCTTCTTGCTCATCACATAACAACGTGCGTGTCCTGTAAGCATCTGGTGGAATGCCCACCATGACAAACCCCAATAACGTACATAATGTGAGTTGCCCTGCCGTCCTTGGCCCTGGTTTGACTGACTCTGGCCAGGTACGATCGAACGGGACATCGAACATGAACTCTGCTGGCATGCCTAGCGAACGCACACGAGGATCCCATACGGGTATGGGCCAAGGATTTGGTGGCAACACCACGAGCTGGAATTCCTCCAATATCTGGGCGGACAATTTGGGAGGTAAGTCGTTCGGCCACAGCCCATGTAACCAGGACTTGGGTGTTGACGCCCGCTTTCCAGATCAAAACTCTACCGAGGCTCCCTTTGAAGGGAAATCCGGATCGAGTTCTCTTCTATCTTCGTCGGAATCCGATGGATGGACTGTTCGACCCAACTTCCCTTGGGGTACCGTCAACGCATCGGCGAACCTGTCCCGAGCTCCCAACAACGCCATGACGACGTCGCCCATCCAGACGCGCGCCGACAGAGGCGTAGTAACGCTACCCGAGACCAGTGATGCCACATACTATTCGCTACCGCGCACCTCGGCCATCGGCACCTCCTCTGGCCATGCCACTCACAAATACCTCGGCAGCACTGGGACGGACACTCTTTCGCCGTCTGGTGATGGAATGCCGTTTGGTGGTCTGGGTGGCTTTCGAAACGGCGACAGCAGGCGTCACGTCAGCACGGCCGCTTTTGGCGGTAGTCCGGTGGGGACTCAATTTCCCTCCAAGCACGGATTCGCGAGCCCGCTCGATAATCAGCGATCCGATGAGATGACTGGGTCCATGGGGGTCTCGTCCTTGCCCCAAGCCCTGCCGGATGCAGTCTCGCAAGGGTTGACCCGCGGTGCTTATTCGCACACGTCTCATAACTCCGCCTCTTTTGCCCCTCAGCGGCCTGCACACTCGCCCTTCCCCTCGTTCCATTCGGAGAGCCAGGGGTTCGATGGCCGCTATGGTGGATCCTTGGACCTGAGCAACAACCTGAACAAACTCCAGGTCAATGATGGTGCGATTTCGCCCCCAGCGGCTGCCAACCGTCCTCAGGTCCTCGCTCATCATCAATCCTTTGAGGGCTCTTTACAGAGATTGAAGTATCCGAGCGGAAATGATGAAGCGAACTACCAAGCCGTACCGGGATATGGGGCGGACGCCGCGGCGGAGCTACAGTATTACCAAGCTAGACCTCGAGTCTCCCCTACAGAGTATTCTCGGATGGACAGTCCCTTCTACGGCAACCTCGAGAACGCGGCCGCCGCTGGCCCCCATTATCGAAACGCCTCTGGTAGTCGTATGTCCGACAACCACGCTGTAGTGCTCGACCGACGTTTCCGCTCCATCCCCACGGATCAGGAACTCGCCCAGGCATCCATGGTTGGATTACCTCTGAACCAGTACAACTTGTCCCGATACCCCGCGAATCTGAACGCGTTGAACGGCTATTATGCGGCACCTCCATTCAGTGCCGCGGCTCTGGTTCCCAAGGGTCACCGCGACCATGACACCTCTATCGTCCGAAGCCCGGTCCTGGAGGAGTTCCGAGCTAACAATAAGGGCCCCAAGCGGCACGAACTCAAGGATATATATGGCCACGTGGTGGAGTTCAGCGGTGATCAGCATGGTTCCCGCTTCATCCAGCAGAAGCTGGAGACTGCGAACAGCGACGAAAAGGAACAGGTGTTCCGGGAGATCAAGGGCGATTGTCTCCAGCTGATGACCGATGTCTTTGGAAATTATGTTGTTCAAAAGCTTTTCGAACACGGCAACCAGACGCAGAAGAAGGTTCTGGCTAATCAAATGAAGGGCCACATCGTGATGCTGTCTCTCCAGATGTACGGGTGCCGTGTCGTTCAAAAGGTACGCATTTTCTTCCTTCTCTCCTTTCATGACCGATGACTGACTGAACAGGCCCTGGAGCACATCCTCACCGATCAACAAGCTGCCATGGTCAAGGAGCTTGAGGGCCACGTAATTAAATGTGTTCGCGACCAAAACGGAAATCACGTCATCCAGAAGGCGATTGAGAGAGTTCCATCCGAACACATCCAGTTTATCATGAATGATTTCCGCGGCTCTGTCGACAAACTTGCAGCTCATCCGTACGGGTGTCGCGTGATTCAACGCATGCTCGAACACTGCAAGGAGGAAGACCGAGAGTCAATTCTTGGTGAACTCCACAGCTGCACGGCCAAGCTGATCCCCGATCAATTTGGTAACTACGTGATCCAGCACGTCATCACAAATGGCCAGGAAAAGGATAGAACCCGGATGATCACCGTCGTCATGTCCAACCTCCTTAACTTCTCCAAGCACAAGTTTGCGAGTAACGTTGTGGAGAAGAGCATCGAGTTTGGAACGCTATCTCAACGAGAAGTGATTGTCAGGACGCTAGTCTTTCCACATGATGAAGACTTTACGCTGCTGGAGGGCTCCAAGAAGCCGGTTGATATAAATGATGAGCGCCTCAAACCACTGGAGGGTGTGATTCGGGACCAGTATGGGAACTATGTCATCCGTAAGTGCCTACCATGCTCCACTCCAGCGGCCACGTTTCATTCAACTAATCCCTTCTATAGAGAAGATTCTTAACATGATTCTTGAGCCAGCGTGGGGCAGCGTTGTGGCTATTGTCAGACCCATTGTCAACAGACTGAAGAAGGAAAAGAACAATGTTCCCAAACAGTTGGCCTCTATCGAAAAGTTGATGGATGGGCCTCCTCCAGCCTCCCTTCGGCCCCAGGCATCTGCAACACCGCCCAACTCTCATAAATCTTCTCCACAGCCGTCCAAACGCTCTGTGATGGACAACTGCCAGGTCGGGGCTGCGCCGCCCACGCCTCCCCCAAACGATACCCAGATCAATGGGGAAGAACCGAAGAATTAGCCGAATGCGAGACGTCTGGGTTGAACCACCGGCACCATGATTCATCAAGTCTAGGTTGCACCATTCTCTAATGGCCGCCGGTACACACCCAAGTGGGACCAGTCGCTGGGACCCCCTCGAGTTACGTTCTTGCTTCTGCTATCTTCTTTTACTTTCGACTGTTTAAAGTTTTTCCACTACTGCTTTCTCGCACCGGCGAGGTGCGACTTATTCTTAATTTGGGCCTATACATATGGGAATTTTTCAACGGCTGCATGAACTTGCTCCATGCACCGACTCGCCCCCATCACTTGTTTTCCCCTTGGCATGACGGTCGGCGTAAAGATAAGGGTTACGGCGGGGCTGGGTTGTTTTGTTGTTTATTACTATCTTCTGCCTACTCCCCCGTACAGTTATGAGATCACTACATTAGTTTGTCCATGGCTTTTTCTTCTCTGTGACTCTGTGAGAGATTGATGTGATGAGAATGAGGATACGTTTCCATAATTGTCGGTGGTTCTACTTTTCTCTTTGTCCAAACATGAGGGGTCGGCGTCTTGAATGAATTTGGTGAACCGGGTCTGGCTCTTGGGACATTGCGCGCTTGATCGGAGCGGGTTTAAAAAATGGGACCTTGGACATATGGGAAAGATCTGGAAATAAGAATGACGGAGCAGTAGAGCTCTACTGTGGTATAATGAAAAGTTCGAAGAATGAACATCTTCACTGGATAGATAGGTGTAGCTACATCTACCTGGTCAGAGCAAGAACCATATACAGGCACTGCATTTACGTTGGTTGTGCCTATTCCGGCGACATAATGTCACTCATACTTCCAAGCACGCATGTCCACTGATTCCATTCGTCCTGCCTCACCGTCCATCCCAAATCTAGGCATCGTAAGCCAGCATAACGGGAGTAGCATTCTCCGGAACGTTCTTCGGATCATAGGCGAGCATGACCGCGTCAGAGCGTTTGTCCTTCGCATCCTTGGTGTCATAAGCGAGCATGACGGGGGTTGCGCCTTCAGGAGCGTCTTTGGCATCGTACGCCAGCATCACAGGAGTGGCGCGTTTCTCCTTTGCGTCCTTGACATCATATGCTAACATCACGGGAGTGGCCCCTTCAGGAGCGTCTTTGACATCATATGCCAACATGACAGGAGTCGAGCGTTTCTGGTTCGTGTTGGCATTGGCATCGTATGCTAGCATGACGGGGGTGGCGGTTCCCTCTGTCTCTGGGAGGGGAGCTGCCATGACGCCGGCGATGAGCGCGGCGGTGATGATTGAAAAGTGCATCTGAAGGAGATTAAGGAAGGAGTGGGAGTGGTTGCGTTTGAAGAGGAATGTATATGGTTGAGTGATTGAGTCAGGGTGATAGATGCGTTGAGGGCTGGATATCACCGTTCTTATAGATCGGGTCAACCTTCTTGTAGGTCTTTGTCTGCAGGGTAGCATAGCTTCTAGGCTCGTTGCTGCAATGCGACCTCGTTCTGACAGTGCTGGGCAAACCGAGCCTGCCGCAGCATCCGCGATATTCTGCTCCTGCAGTTGCTTTGGTGCGAGGGAACGGAGCCTGTACAGTTCGAGGCTGGTAGACACGTCACCGGGCTTTCGCTAGGACGCCTCTGTATGCAGCTGATATTGTGGTTGTCCATCTCGGACTGGCCAGGATCAGCGTTTTGACTGGCTTCATATCGAGGACAGTCGATCTATGGCTGCTCGGGGAGTCTGTGGAGGCTGACTGCGTTTCCTCTAGCAGTCTCGACTGGGGGAAGGACATATGCGACTGCAGGAGCACATGTCATAGAGCTGGAACTGATGGGAATTTTCCGCGAGATATCGATCATTGGAGGGCTAGGGGCTCTATCTGGTGCGCCTGTCAGATAGTACGGTTACATTGCATGGTGTTTCGATTCCTCAGTCTGATCTAGAGGTGAAGGGTGTGTCTGCAGACTTGAGCTCGTGGCATGATGCTCCTCGCTTGATCTCGATATCTCTTATTCTGCATAGCTCTCGAGAGACTAACGTCCCAGACACTTTCCAGACTGTTGTTTTGGTATCTCTTCGAGCTTCCTTAGACACCGCAAGACCATCGAAATGGCTCCCCAATCCAAGGACAAGTATTTCCCTGTCTCATACACGGAAGACACAGACTCCCTTGGGGATACGGTTGTCTACGACACAGAGACTCTACTACAGCAGTCTGAGAAACAGACAACGAGAAAGAGAGACTTACTCCCAGTGCTGACCGGAGTCTGCGCATTACTGAATATCGCGCTGCTGGTGACAATCATCTTCCTTCTTCGACACCCCGAGCCATTCATCACCGATCAACGATGTGCCCGTCAACTCTCAGTCACAGGTAAGCTCCTGCTCTGCACGTTTATCTCCCAGTACTCAGAGCGCCTGCTACAGCCCCTGCTCTCAACGCAATCGAGTACGAAACGATCATCTTCAGAGGCGCCCAAGACGACAACAATCCGTACAAAGGCCATCCCAGCCCTGAACTAGATGCGGCCTGGCACCAACTCACAGAAGGTACACACTCACTTCCCCGGGACACCCCCAACCTGACAACTAACAAACTAGTCCGACACGTTTCTATCTCCCCAGAGATCATGACAGCCATCGACAAGTCCAACAGCAACGCAGTCCAACTGCCGGACGGCAACTACCTCGGCGCCACGGAGGTGTTCCACCAACTGCACTGCCTGAATCTCATCCGCCAGCACTCGTACAAAGAGTACTACGACGTCGACGGACGCCGGCCTCCGGGTCTTACCGACAGCCCGGCGACTCTGCGGAAACATCTGGGTAGGCCAACCCGCCGGATTGGATTATACAGGTAACTGTGCTGAGCAAGTCCAGACCACTGCATCGATATTCTACGACAGAATCTCATGTGCAACGGAGACGCCAGTGTGATTACGCACAACTGGGGTCGAGGGATATCAGTTTCCCTACCCAAATTTCAGTGAGTATGGCGCTTGTCTGCGGGTGCTCGGTCTGACAGTCTCGGCAGATACGAAGCATAAATGTCGGAAGTTTGATAAGATTGTCGAGTGGGAGAAGAAGAACCAGGTATATCCCCATGTTCAAGTCACTTACAGTTGTGTCTGGATCCAGGCTGATTGCTTGTCAGATCAAGGATCCGGTCCGGCCGGAGGATGCAGTGGTGCTGCAGACACCACCGACAAGGTAGGAGATGTGAGACGAGTGGCTGTTCTAGCTCTTACTATGTGTCTCTTGAGAGGAGCAATAAAGAATTATCTATGGATGATGTTCAGTTGTACCGTATAGTTCCGATCCAAATAAGCAAAGATGCCTAGACCATAGCCAATTCATCCTGCCGAAATCCCCCGCACGCTTATATCCGTTGCGGAGATGGACTAGGTAGACAATCCTTCAGCGGCTGGTCAGCAGATGCTCCGCAGGATATGCATGTTTGACTGCAGCTCGTCAGCCAATTGATAACGAAATTAAGACAGTATTGAGAGTAATCTTCATCGGTCAGAGTCTATCTAGATTGCTGCTGCCATGAGGTGGATTTAGGAGATGATATACACAAATCAATTCCTTCGCTCCAGCATCAACCCCTGCTAAGGTTGCATACACCCTACGATGGGACCCTTATCTCTTGGAGGAAAGGAAGTACTCAGACGCACTGATGAGACATTGCTACCCCTCAGTCAATCCTACGTATCTACGCTGCAAACATCAGCTGCGTCCCATCGACAGACGAGCAGCGATCACAAAACCCGACCCCAGGATTAACGATGTCCCTCCCCACGCACAAGCGTAGGTGTACGATCCCCCGCCGCGCTCAATCAGAGCACCCGCCAATGGCGGACCAGTAAGACAAGCAAAGGCCACAATCGAGAGTACCATGCCGCTGCGCACGCCCATCTTACTCAGGTCGGTGGTCAGTGTGGGGAGCGAAGACAACGCCGTGCCCTGCACACCCCCGCCGATCAGTCCATAGCAGACCACAAAGGCAATCATGCCACCGTAGGTGTGCACCGCCATCCAGCAGTACAGCAGGACCCCCGCAAGGAGCCCCAGCACGACGTACGTGTTGAGGATGCCGAAGAATCGGTCCGCGAACAGGGCGGGGATGATGCGGCCGGGGATACCGACGCCGTTGATGATATAGAGCATGCTGAGCGACTCGGTCTCAGACGTGCCAATCACATTGAGTGCAAACGTGTCGATCTAGACGCAGTCAGCAAGCTGTTCGACTCAAGAGAGAGCAATCGCCCTACGTAGAAGTAGCTGAAGTACACGGCCCAGAGCGACAGGAAGATCCCCACGACAAACAGCGAGTATGGGGTCTCGTGGAACGCACGGAGCTCGACCAACGGGCCTCCCTGTCGCTTGGGAAGACGGACGCGCGCCAGACTGAGACACACGGCAAAGCAGAAGAGCACGACGAAACCCACGCAGCGCACGGTCCAGGCGAATCCGATCTTGGGGAGGAGCTGCTGCACCATGAGTGGGAAGATGAGACCTCCCGTGCTCGAGCCCGCCAGTACGATCCCCAGCGCCAGGGAGCGCCGTTTGACAAAGTAGGTGGCCACGAGGGCGTTGGTCGGGCAGAACAGGAGACCGTCGCCGATGCCGCAGCAGATGCCCTGGGCGAGAAACACCTGCCAGTAGCGCTGACAGAGCGAGACCATGAAGATGCCCAGCGTCTGGAAGGTGAAGCCGCCAATCAAGCAGTACCGGTAGTAGCCTGCGTCCATCAGACGACCGGAAAAGCTGCCAATGAAGCTGAGCAGAAAGACCTGGATGGACACGATCCAGGAGACCTGCGAGTGGCTCACATGCATCGTCTGCTCGTAGTAGGCCTGGAAGAATCCAAACGAGTTGATGAATCCCCAGGTGCAGAACAGGACCAGATGCGCCATCAGGACCTGCGTCCAGGCCTGCAGACCTCCATCTGGAGGAGGGGCGGCGGCGTCTCCGACGGGCGTCTCGCGAAAAAGACCAAAGAGAAGAAATCGGGGTGCATTAGCGGGCTCGTTCGCCGGGGATGGCGTCGACGTCGAGACCGCGATCTCTTCCTCTTTGTGTCCGGACTGCATCGGCGGCTACACTGATGACGGACACTAACCCCTGCCAGTGGCGGTACTTTTGGCAGGCGAATGAAAGCCCGACGGGATTGTTTGCTTTGTCGAGACGTGCAGAACCAAACAGAGAGAGAGAGATCGATGTAAGACGGAGGGGGTGAAGAGACAAAGGGGGCACGGAGGACAAGAGGTGAGGGTGATATAAGCACTGCTGCCGTCTTTGTTCTTTGTCTCGCATGCAGCCCCCGTTACCCCCTTCATATCAGCCCTCGCTATACCACCTCCCCTTTCCGCTCGATAAGCAATTAACGCTACATTAGTTGCATTCGGAGTGTAACCCTGAATCTGACAGAGCCAATCACTCAGAAATTGGCCTGTCTTATCTGGGGAAGGCTGGTGTTGATGGGAAGTGGTGACTTGGTGACATGGCCGTCTTAGGGCTAGACGAAATGAACTCGAAGAGAAAAAGGAGAGAGTCATATTGCCTCCATTCTAGTCTCTCCATCTGCAAGATCAGTTTGAATCGTCTTTGATTGTTGTGCACCTTGATCCACGGTATCACCACTTTCTTGTCAGCTTCCTGACATGTCACCAAAGGACCACTCTCCAAGCTGCATGAACAGCCAGAATGACCGTGAGAACCTGCCTCACCTCCTCTCAACCACTCAGACCCATCTGCTAGGTCTCTTGCAGAATGCTCGCACTCGTGACATTTTGCCCTCCCCGAGCTCCCTCTCTCGTGGTGTGCAATCGTTGCCTGTGCATCTGCCACTTCACGGCCGAGGATTGTCCCAGACCGTCGACCACCTCCTCCAGGACATTGCACCAGCGATATCATCCTCCAGCCTGTCGTCGCGATACTTTGGATTTGTAACGGGTGGCACTGCACCCGCCGCCCGGCTGGCCGATTACCTTGTCACAACGCTTGATGAATGTCTCGCCGTGCGGATCCCTGCAAGATACCATAGCCACGGACGTGGAAAACCGCGCTCTTGTCATGCTCGCCGAGCTCCTGCATCTTGATCAGAAGAATGCAGAAGGTTCTCCGCTCTGGACAGGATACTTCACCCCGGGATCGTCAACGAGCAACCTGTACGGTGTCGCCTGCGGACGGGAATACGTGCTGCAAGTCCGCGGCGCTCCTTCGCCTGGGGCCGTGGGAATCCAGGCTGCATGCGAGGCTGCAGGCGTCCGCCGAGTCCAGATTCTGTGCAGCATGGGCCATCCGTCCATCATCAAGGCGGCCAGTTTGATCGGGCTGGGCCGCGCCGCAGTGAAGCAGATGGGCCGGCCCAGCTGCCCGTGGCATCTGGACCTCGAGCGCGTGGAACAAGAGCTCCAACGTGCAGAGGCTGCCTCGATTGTATCTGTCTCCCTTGGGGAGGTGAACAGCGGCAAACTGGGTATCACCGCTGCGGAATTGCGGCGTCTCAGGGAGCTGTGTGATTGCCATCGGGCCTGGCTCCATATCGACGCAGCGTTTGGTGTCTTTATCAATGCCCTGCCCGACGGTCCCGAGTTTGCCTCGCTCAAGAGCATTGTGAAACACATCCATATAGCTGACTCGATAACCGGCGATGGCCACAAGCTGTTGAACGTGCCGTTCGACTGCGGGTTCTTCTACCTGCGCGATCCCATCCGGTTAAAGGATATCTTCAGCATTCCCAAGACCGACTTTTCGGAGTTTGCCATTCCCCCAGTGTATTTTTCTCGGTAAGCCTTCCTTCGTGTTGATGCCTATTTTCTCGAGTACTGACAATGACAATGGAATAAGTCCGGTCCCTGCGCCAGGCGGACCAGCGAATCCAACCGATGTCGGCATCCAGAACGCCCGGCGGTTTCGCGCCCTCCCCGTCTACGCCAACCTGATGGCCTACGGACGAGCCGGATACGAGGACATGCTCGTGCGCCAGACGCGGCTTGCCCGCGGGATTGCCTCGTATGTCTGGGACCATCCCGCCTATGAACTACTACCCCGTCTGCCAGACGCACATAAGGCAGCGGCCTTGGAGTCCATTTTCATTTTGATCCTATTCCGTGCTGTAGATCCTGCCCTGAACGAGAGCCTGTTGGTCCGGATCAACGAGACCGGCAAGATGTACGCGCAGGGGATAGTCTGGGAGGGGAAACGGGCTGTCCGCTGCGCCATTGCCAACTGGGCCGTCGAAGTCGACGAGGACTTGAGTATTGTCACGGAGGTCCTTCGCAGCGTCGCGGCACAGTGGGACGCGGAAGTAAAGGCGCGGTTGTGAGGCTATCTTGATATCTACATCATCGATCATCACAGCAAATATCGCAAAAACGAGATGTATACCCAGCAAGTCAGAGCACACTCTTCCACCGCTTCATATACAACCCCGTCCGCCCCGGCGTATCCCTCTCCCTAATCGCCGCCTTGAACCCTTCCCTCCGCGCCATCTGCTGGAACTCAATCCCCTCCGGCGAGTTCCGCGTAATGCCATCAAACACCGTCGCCAGAACCTGGCTGCTCCCCAGCCCGCCCTCAATCGTCCCATTAAGCACCTTCTTCTGCATCCACAGCTGGCTCACCGGCACCGTCTTGATCCGCTCCACGAGCAGCGCCACCGTCTCCTCCAGCTCCCCCGCCGGCACCGCCTTGAGCACCAACCCCATCGCTGCCGCCTCCGTCCCACTGACCAGGTCCCCGGTGAAGAGCATGCGCTTCGCCTTCTCCACGCCCACCCGGTACGCCCACATCGCCGTCGTCGGACACCCCCACACCCGGCTGGGCGGGTACCCGATGCGCGCGTCCTCCGCCATGACGACCAGGTCGCACAGGAGCGCGATGTCGCTGCCCCCCGCGACGGCTGCCCCGTGCACCTGCGCGATGGTCGGCTTGTGGCTATGGAACAGCTCCGAGAAGCACTCCGTGTTCTCTTTCATCATCATGTAGTCGACGAGCGGGTCGTAGCCGCGCCGCACGTCCTGACTGCCTGCTGTGGCGCCCCGTTCGGCGCCCTCGGCCGACAGGGCGAGGTCGTAGCCGCCGCAGAAGCCGGGGCCGTTGCCTTTGACTACGATACAGTGGATATTGGGGTCGGCGTTGGCGGTGCGTATGGCTGCGCGGAGGTTTTGTGGAAGCGTGCTGTCGATTGCGTTGTAGGCGCTCGGACGGTTCAAGATGATGTATGCGACTTTTCCGTCGGGGGACGTTTCGTATAGTACGGAGGGGGGAGATGTGTTGCTCATGTTTCTGCTTCAAATCTGGATGCTTTGAATCTGGAGATTATGTTATGAAAGTGTTCAGTAGTCGCCAACTGCGATGTGCCGCATCGTCTCCAGTTATATGGCTCTAACCGAGGTAGTAGGTCATATGCAGCAGCTGACTATCCGAGGACAAGAACGATCATCGTCAAGAAAGGAGATTTGACTCTTCTGTTCCTAAAATACAGGCCTAAACAACACCATGTGTTAACGCCGAATCGCCGTCTTTGCATAGATAAAGCGCTGTCATCCTTGATCCCTTCCAACTCCGTAGTGTACATGTCGAAAGACAGATCTCGCGTCTCTCTGCCAACAGCCGATGTCCGACCTGCTTTCAATAACACCACAAGAGAAAATCAGGGAAAATTACATGCTTTGCGCTGGCCGTTCTAGCAAGAGGGCGCCGAAGAACGCATAAACAGATACATCGAATTGAAGCGAATAAACAACCAGACACACAGAAAACAAGAACTTTTGGGAACAGGGCAAATGGGGTATTGACATGGGCTGCAAAACGTGAAAATATACATCAATCCATCGCATAAAACATTCGTGACGCAAGCCGAGACCCGACATGGTCTTCTCTTGTAGTAAACATCAATACTGACCGATTCAGCCGTAACGGCCGGCAGAAGCTGTTGACCACTTTATCAGCGCTGTCGGATAGTGTGCCACAGAACCTCAACGTCCCCAGCGCGAGAAATCCAGGTTTTGGAGGATGTTGGTGTCCGTAGATGCGTTCCAATCGGTGGCGAACTCGGCACGTGAAGGAGTAGGCCGCGACGGCAACTCCTCAGAGTAGATATTGGCCTTGGTGTTGCGACGTTGTCCTGGATAAGTACTCTCTGGGGCCTCGGAACTCTGGGACTGAGATTCCAGAGCCCGCTCTCGAAGTCTCTTGATCTCGCGCAATCTGTTGCGCCAGGACGATACGTGCTCGCCACCCTGGCTGTTCCAAACATGCGACAAGACGGAGGCGTTCAAGGCGAGGAACCGGACGAACGCAGCGAGGTTCTTCCCGGAGATTACCTTGGGTGCCGCAGCAGGCGAGATCTCTGGCAAACCCGATTTGGTCATGACATGCACGGTGTAGGAGAGTTTCTCAAAACCACACGCATCCACATTGTTAGTCGCGCTCTCATGTGCGATACGACACACAGGACTAATCACGATATTGAAGAAGTTGAACTGAGAAGGGATCGTATCGAAGTGGTAGGGATTGTTCGAACGATTGAAAATGATATTGACGAAATCGTTTCCTATGTGGCGTTTCTTGTTGATACACGTGGGATCATTGTCGAAATTGGTCGGCATCATGGTCGCCACGTGATAAACAATCTCAGTCACCCGATCGCGCCAGGCGTAGGTAGCGTCGCCATCGAAATCGGCGTGCAAGCCCTGAGTATTGAACTGTGCGCCTTTCAACGGGACCTTGGTTCCCAGCTTGGACAGGAAGTACTCATAGTCGGCGCTTCCGTGCGTATTGGAAAGAATCTCCGCTTCCGTCGATTGGCCATTGTCCATATAGAGCACCCCAATTTTGTGTCCATCCACGATGTCATTCCTGTCGAATGTGCTTAGGGCACGGCGGGTGATATCGTCTTCAGGAAGGGGGATTGGCTGCATCGAGGTTGGCGTAGGAAACGCGGTAGTCGTCAACTGAAGCATAATATGGCTTGGGAGCACGGCAGTGCGCATATCGTCACCATGAAGATGGGCATCTGGGGTGGGCGGGACTTGGTGTGGAAGAACAGGTGCAGTACGCTGTTGGTACATCGCATATGTGGTTCCTGATGCCTGCCGCTTAGTGATTTGGGTCAAGCCAGACACTCCAGCTGTCTCAACAGTGACTATGCTCATTCCCACCACCCATGACTTTTTCATCACAGGCCCGTCAGCAGGGGACGGGGGGAACGTCTCATACGGAATGGTTTCACCCAGGTCAGTGAAAGCGACTCTTTGCATCAAGTCGAGGAAGACCTGACTTTGCTCTTCGACCATTTCTTTGCCATGTTCATCCTTGAAGATAAGTCTACTGGTGATCCAGTTGACTTGCTTTGCCCGGTCCTGTAGTTTGAGGGACAAGAACCAGAAGACCATGACATGGTGAGTTAGTGTGTAGATGTACCGCGACATTCCGTCCTGAAGAGAGGGGTCCGACATGTCAGGGGGCAAAGCCGTAGTCTCTCGCATGCCGCTTCCAAGTCTGGTCGAAACTTGGGCGTTTCGAATAGGAGACTCAGAAGACTTGAACCTCTGCTCGCGTGATGTCTGGAGCAACCGGATACAAATTCCAAAAACCGTGCGTATCTCCTCTTCCCGTAGATTGATGTAAACATCCGGAAGTCGGGCCAGAAGCGCCAAGAACTCGAGGATATGCACGGCGAGATTGGACATCGTAATGACTTTGGACATCTTATCAAGGATGCCATTCAGTGATTTCGTCACAGAGAGAGGAATCTCATGGCAACAGATGGAGAGAGCATGGATACATCCACGGGAAGTACCGCCCCACGATCCAATGATACCCAGCATAAACGCACGAACAAGCTCGTCTTCTTCACTTTTGGCGAAGAACTCATGGTAACTGATGAGGACGCAGAGGGACTCGAATATGTAGCTAGCCACATCGGTTTTCTTGACCCCCGTCGACGCTGGAGGTTCGCGGAAAGAGTCATTCTTGACTTGATCACACATAATGCTCCGCAGCAATTTGATTTGAGGAACTGCATTGCTGAAGAAACCCCTGTTACGTAGCTGAGGTGCAAGGTGAGTCAGAACATAACTGTATAGATCCCAATTCATCTCGCGCTGCAGCAGTGTAATCACGGTCTCCAACCACATATTGGCCTTCAAGGCTACTCTGGGCGCGGGGTCCGATTCGGTATCAGGGGAGGTGTTGGGGGTAGCATAGGCATAGACGAACGGGCTCGATGCTACAGGAGGGTCTTCTGGAAGAACCTGGAGCGAAGCATAGGTCCACACGGGAGGCGTAGGTTTGGATGTGCGTAAAGGCAGGCTTGCATTTCGTGTCGCTGACTTGGTCGGAAGGCTGGCGGATTGATCCCTACTGGGGTGTCTGCTTTGCACTGGTGGCCTCTGGTCGATCTCCACGACATTGTCAGAAGCATGATCCTCGGAAGAGGATTGCGCTTTGGGAGTAAGATCTGAGTTTCGACTGGAGGTATTAAAGACGAAGTCTTCTTCGGGTGCGCTAATGACCGTGATAGAGCCTGTCGAATCACATCGAAGCCTAAACAACAACCTCAAGGCTGTCAAGCGAGAGTCCGCCGGTCGGTTGGGAGATTCGGCGACATGCAGGAGCGCTTCAAAGGTGATGGCTGATTTGGTTGCCGACTGATTCAAAACTCGAAGAAATATCTTGACCAACCCAAGCGCACAAACATTGGCCAAAGACGTCTCCAGCATAATGTTAACAGACGAAAGATGCTGAGAAGAAGTCATGGACGACGGAGACTCGGTGCCCTGCGATGCTTCTTTGCTTGGATCTTTACTCATTTGTGAGCTGATAGTGTCCACCAAATTTTGAAAAGTACCCTCGTCCCTAGTAAGAACGGAGATATCGACAAGAAAAGACACCAATGATTCCAGGAATAGAAGGTCGTCCTCATCGGCAAAGTTTTCTAGCATAAGGTTCAATAACCCCTGCGCTTCGAAGTGAGCCAAGTGATCGGGATCCAAGAAAGGTTCTTTCACAGTGTCCAAGGCGAGGATGCGGATATCAGAGGGTTTAGTACGGGATCGAACGAAGCAGCGGATAAGCCTTTGGCAATGCTGAACCCAACCGGGACTACCAGGGTCACAAAGCCTCTCGGTCCTCATCGTACCAAGAATAAGCTCGGCCTGAGGAGGCTCAAGGTGCTGTGAGACGTTCATCAGGAAACGTGTGGCATCCAATTTCTGCGGTTCATCCATGCGTTCCCAAAGAGATTCCAAAGCAGATGTGATCTGGATTATGCTGGAAAGGATGTTGGACTTGGTATCATCCTGGATACTGCCCCGTGTGTGAAGAAGCTGAGAACTGGATGAGGGTGCGGGACGCTCTTCGAGTTCGTCGACAGCCCTGAGGGAACACGAAATCATCAGGTCGGCAAAACCTGACCAGCCTCTGGTCAAGGCCACGTGAGCGTACTCTCCTTCCAACACGTTTAGGCACAACTCCAGGATGTCAGCCTCTAATCTTCCATCGTCCTTCCTTGCGGCGACCTTGAGCACCTCGTGAAGAGAGTTGATCAGGTTATCGAATTCCAATGAGGGGATTCCATCCTGGCCATGGGCTCGAATGATATCCGTGAAGACGTGAACCGCGCCGCGGAGAACGTTCAAAGTCTGAGCCTTCTCCTCAGAAGTCTCCAGTAAAAACGAATAGAGGGCGTTAAGCATTTCACCCTGCCTTTTGGATTTTGCAAGATTTCTAACCGCTCGTGATGTCGGGCCAGACAGCGATTTTACAGAGGCATGAATGCTGCAGAGCACCTCCAACATCGGGACAAGACTTCCGTCGGGGACGTCAGCATACAGGATGATGGAGTCAAATACAGCTAAACAATTTTTGATGTCGGCCGCGACGCTAGTCTTCCTGCATACCGTGAACATTTGCTCCAGGAGAGCCTCGACTTCCTCGCTACTCGGGGGCTTTCGTTGGAGAGTGATCACGTCAACCGCGAATTGGAGGAGGTCGTCTAGAGTATCGTCGTCATAACCGAGGCCGTTCGCTTTCGGGACTTTGGACTTTCTTGCTTTTAGCCGGGCCGTGGATATCAATTCATAGAGCGGAACTACACAGGACGAGATGATTGGAAGGATGGACGAGGTGGTGAATTCGAGCTTTCTGCCGTGGTCCGACAGCGATACCAATGACTGGATCCGTGCTGGTATCACATCAGGTTCCGATGGCTGAGATATCGCCTCAAAGACCACACGTCTGGCTGCTGGCGTTAGATCCTGGCGAGCCGCAATTGCTTCTAGCAAGGAAGAGCCGCCCTTCCGAGCTTCCGCCGACTCCGCATGTTGTATCAAGTATGAGCCTGCTTCCCAGAGAGCGAGAGATTGCTCCGGCGAAAACCACTGGACCGATTTCGATACCCGCTCCGCTTCGTCGATGGCATGAGCGAGGTTCTGTCTTTGTGACAAGGCTCTAAGAGCAGCCTCAAAATCCGGAGCACTCGGCGTGTCCGAGGAGCTGGACACGACACTGCCACGCTGCATCGATTCGAATCCGAGAACGACCCGGCTGCTTATGCGCCCATCCGACGATTGCGATACACTATCACTACTATCCGGCACGGGGGTGGGAGACAGTGACTTTGGGCGGCTAACGCTTAGAGATCTGAATACGTCCGCGAAGCTTGAAGAAGGCTGTTTGTAGTTGGAAGGTGATGGAGCATCGTCAGAAGGCATGCGTCCCGGCGGACGGGGTTGAGTGAGGTAAGCTCAATTAATGAGTCTATATCTATACCGGGATTGATTAGCCCAGGACCCATGAAGAAGTCATTTGCTGAGAACAGATGCACTCTTGAAACCAATCGGTGTTCGAACAAAGCGGATGGAGCTTACTTATAGCACGATCACATGAAGCAGAACATCAGGAGACCTGCACGAAATATGTGACGCCGAGCACAGATAAGGCAGCCAGATGATGCTGTAACCGGAGTTCCAGGATAGAACCAAGACAGCTGTGAATGCCTAGACAAACACAGAACAGGACAATCTGGGTATAAAGCTGGATATAAAGGTTCTGTTAACCCCTAGAAGAGCACAACCAGAGGGGAAGACGGTGATAGCGGACGAGGGAGTTATCGTAGCGAAAGTGTGCCAAGACGCTCTTTCCCCCTCCGAGCATCGATGATGATGATCTGGCGGCGTCTCGCACAACGTTAATCCGGCCCAGTCACGTGCCAGGCAGAACACCCCGCGCACAGCTGCTCACCGCCTTCGTTGCTTTGTTACAGAAGAAACACCCGCCAAACAAACTGCCTGACCAGGAACTAAGCTTCCCTCTGGCTGAACAGGTGCTGCTCAGGGAATTTTTCTACTGACGTTCCCCCTTTCCCCTCTTTGAAATTGTCCTTTCTTCTTTTCGTCTATCTTTTCCTAAGACACATACGGTCTCGCCAATCTCTCATCACTTCCCTCTTCCCTCTGTTCCGCAACCTCCCCGCTCCGAAAATGGCTGACCAGGGAGCCGTGGCGCAGCTTCTTGCGGCAACCTTGGACCCAAGGCAAAACAAGCAAGGTGAGTGCCATAACGCTAGTTCTCTGGTCCTTGAACAGAGATATCTTCCATTCTCTATTCATTAAGCTCCAGGCTTGCTAATATCTCCTCTACCTCCAGCCGAACTTGCGCTGAATCAGGAGGAGAAAAAACCTGGGTACTCTCTACAGCTGCTCCAAATCACCGCAACGGAATCCTATCCCTACCAGACTCGTCTTGCCAGTGCGCTATACTTTAAGAACTTCATCAAGTACAACTATGTTGATGAAGAAGGCAACTACAAGCTCCCCCTTGAAGAGGTTGCGACCATCAAGCGGGAGTTGATCAACTTGATGATCTTGGTCCCCAAGGCTATCCAGTCTCAGCTGGGTGAGGCTGTCAGCATGATCGCTGATAGTGATTTTTACGAGAGGTGGGATACACTTGTGGATGTGAGTTTCCGGATTCGTTTTTTCTGGCATACATGTCCGCTGATGCCTCCCAGGACCTCGTTTCAAGGCTTCAATCGAAGAACCCGGCTGCCAATAACGGTGTCCTACAAGTCGCACATTCGATTTTCAAAAAGTGGCGACCCGCGTTCCAGTCCGATGCGTTGTACACAGAGATCAACCACGTTCTGGATCGATTCGGAAATCCGTACTTGAGAATCTTGGAGGTGAGTACCCAGCCATCATGCAGCTCGAAAGTGTGCTAACTTGGATAGGATCTTGATGCCTACCTCGAAGAGAACAAATCGAATAAGGAGAATCTCGTTCTCGGATTCGAGCAGCTCAACCTGATGATCAAATTGATGTACGATCTGTCTTGCCACGACCTGCCTCCCATGTTCGAAGAGCACATTTCCGTCATTGCCGGCCTTTTGCTCAAATACCTCACCTACGATAACCAATTGCTCCACACCGATGATGAATCAGAGGCCGGAGTTTTGGAGTTTTGCCGAGCTGGAATATTCGAGGTCTTGACCCTTTTCGTGCAGAAATTCATGGATGATTTCAAGCCTCATGTAGATGGCTTCGTCCAGAGCTCTTGGGCCTTCCTGGCCACCATCGGGCAAGAAACGAAATATGACATCCTGGTCAGCAGAGCTTTGAACTTCTTGACTTCGATCGTGAGCATTCCAGAGCAAGCCGCTGTCTTCCAGGACGAAACCACCCTCAGTCAGATCATCGAGAAAGTCATCTTGCCCAGCGTCAGTCTCCGTGAATCAGATGAAGAACTGTTTGAGGATGAACCCATTGAATTCATTCGGCGGGATCTCGAAGGATCCGATACCGACACGAGACGGCGGGCTGCTACCGACTTCTTGAGAAAACTTGCGGAGAAATTCGAAGCCTCAGTGACGAAGAGCGTGCTCAAGTATACCGAACATTACCTTGCTGAATATGCCAAGGACCCAGCCTCTAACTGGAAGGCGAAGGATACGGCAACCTACCTTTACTCCGCCATTGCAGCAAAGGGAGTTGCCACTGCGAGCCACGGAGTCACCGCCACTAACTCGCTGGTCAGCGTCGCTGACTACTTCCAAAAATACCTTGCTGCGGACCTGGTATCCGGCGACGTCCACCCCATTCTCAAGAAAGACGCGATCAAGTATCTGTACGTCTTCCGCAGCATCATCACAAAGGAACAGTGGCAAGAAGTGGTTCCAATGTTGGTGAACCAACTGGGTGCCTCGAACTATGTGATCTACACTTACGCTGCTATTGCTGTTGAGAGAGTCCTCTCCCTCACAGACAGCACGAACCAGCCCATCATCGCACCTAGTTCCGTGACTCCCCTTGCCAAGGACCTTTTGGAGCACATCTTTTCCTTGATCGAAAAGGATCCGTCCCCACCTAAGTTGCAGGAGAATGAGTTCTTGATGAAATGTGCCATGAGAGTTTTGATCGTGATCAAGGAAGGAGTGGTACCGTTCACCGATACTATTCTCCAGCATCTCATCAACATCACTCAAGTGATCAGCGAAAACCCGAGCAATCCCAAATTCTACTACTTCCATTTCGAAGCAATGGGAGCTTTCATTCGGTATGTTACAGCTGGAGCTTACTTACTTTCTTGTACTAACGGCGGCAGGTTTGCTGCGCCCGCTAACCCCGAGAAGCTCGAGCAAGCCCTGTACCCTCCATTTGCCGGAATCCTCCAAGGAGATGTACAAGGTAAGTCCGCTGCAATTGACCTTTTTTTATGAGATTGGGAGACTGACTTTCCTTGAGAATTCATGCCCTACGTGTTCCAGCTCTTCGCCGCTCTCTTGGAAGCCAATCCGTCCGGAACCTTGCCCGATTACTATCAGAATTTGATCGCGCCCATCCTTTTGCCTGTTATGTGGGATCCGAAAAGAGGCAACATTCCTGCGCTCGTACGCCTTTTGTCGTCTATCATCCCTCGTGGTGCTCAATACATTCTTGAGAACCAGCAGCTCGAGTCTGTTCTCGGTGTCTTCCAGAAGTTGATTGCACTGAAGGCCTACGAGAGCCAAGCCTTCGACCTTCTGGAGGCTGTGGTTGCAAACTTCCCACCGTAAGACCAACCACCTTAAAATGCGCCTCAGTTTTACTGACCCATCATTTAGCGCCACCCTTGAGCAGTACTTCGTCTCCGTTATGAGCATCATTCTCACCCGCCTTCAAAACCGCAAAACAGAAGGCTTGTCACTGCGATTCGTCCGCTTCTATCACTTCATCTCTGCACATGATGACAAGGGCTACAGCGCTGATTTCTTCATCCAAGTTGTGGACAAGGTGCAAGAAGGGTAAGTGAAGCGCAAGATTAGCTTTGTGCGGCCCATACTAACCTCGTTTAGCTTGTTTACCCCCATCTATCTGAACGTCATTCTGCCGGAGACGCAGAAGCTTGCTCGCCCGTTGGACCGCAAAACGGCGGTGCTGTCCTTCACCAAGACTCTCGCCAGCTCAGAAGCCTTTGCCACTCGCTACAAGAAGGGATGGGGCTTCACCTGCACGGCACTGCTGAAGCTGCTGGAACTCCCGCCCCTTCCGGCTAGCAAGGAGGACATCATTGCCGAGCACGACGTGGAAGACATGGCATTTGGCGTAGGTTTCACGGCTTTGAACACTATTCGGCAGCAGACTGTGGACCCGTGGCCCGACACGGGCGCGGATCTCAAAGCTTGGGTTGGCCAGTACTTGAAGGAGGCGGATAAGAAGACCAACGGACGGGTTTCTGCATTCGCCCAGGAGCGCCTGGATGCCCAGGCTCAGACGGTGCTCAGCAGCTACATTGCATGAACAGGGAGCGATCATCGTCTTGACCAGAAACACGGTTTGCTGCGAGACAGTGGTTTCCGGGACAGCCGTCGTGGAAACTCTTTTAGATCCGGGAGACCCGGAAAGGGATCTAAAACTTTGCATGTCGTTATGAATTGTTACCATAATCAAAAATTTGGGTCCAGATGGACCGAGAGCTATGTAAAGTGTTCCCATCATAAAGCTAATTTATTCGGTATGTACAATTGGGTATATTCTTAGAACAATGCTATTGCACCTGGGTTGGTTCCTCTCTGGGTTCGCTTGTACACACTCTCTGTTCGCCATGTTCCCCCTCGTCCGCTTCAACTGCTTCACCTTTCTGCTCCAGGTCGCGGTATTTTCTCCGACTTTTCTTCAATTTACTGGCCTTCTTCTTCCGCGCGCGGTCAGCCTTGATGGCGGCCCGACTTTGGTCCCCTTTCTGGAGCTGCTCGATTTTATCGGCCAGGAGCTGGCGGGCGATCTTCTCATTCTGGGACCGGGAACGCGTGGCTTGGGATTTGACTACAAGCCCGGTGGGTCTATGGATCAATTGGACGGCGGAGTTGGTTTTGTTCTGGTTGGATTAGCCGTGCTGCTTGTATGGAACATGGTGGCAGTGCATGCGTACAATCTTCTGGCCTCCGGGGCCGGAGCCCTTGAGGTATGATATGGTCAGGTCGGCATCGTCAATTTTTAAGCGGGGAGGGAGGGGTTTTGAGGCAAGAGGGGCGCAAAGAGTGAAGTGTCTAAGGGGCGTGAGTGGTTTCACGGCTGCGGGAGGGACGAGAAGAGGAAGACGAAGCGATCGCAGCATTCTTGATCATGGTCCATGATGGGATCTAGTTAAGACAGTGCAGAGTAGTTGAGATGCATGGAGACGGGTTGGGTTAGGGCGGCATCGGATGCATTGATGAGTCATGCCATTCATACTAATAATGCATACCCTATTGGTCCTAGCGTTGTTTGTGCAAATTCCCAACAATCAACAACCTACTGTACATACGGAGTACGGAGTCCTCCGGCTAATCTCCGTATGTGTCTGTTCCATACCATTAGATGACGCGAGTGAGAGCACAATCTTCTGTCTGGACCGAGTAAGGATATGCTCTGCAGTGAATTGTGGCGAGATGCCAAGTCAGGGGGTGACGTACGCGTCGAGGGGGTGGATGGATTGAATTTGATAGGATTTTTTCCCTGAGATATCTCCGACCACAGGGTTTGCTTAATACCTTAAGAAAGTGTATTATAAGTTGCATCGACTGAGGGTGGACGTATCATCTTGCACAATCATAATGGATAGACTAGTTACTCCTAGGTAAAGGGGGACATTCTTCTGGTGGAATTCTAGACATGACTGGACCCTGAGTGGACCGGGGTCAGACTGAGATCCCCGACAAACTAGAAGAAACTTTGTCCTAGGCTATTCTTAGCCCCCGAGATTATTATTCGCGACCACCTGTCACTCTCTTCAACTGTGCCCTCTGCTCTACTTTATCACCCGCATCCTTCGTTTGTCTCGGCCATCTATCTCGGCGTCCTTGTCCTTATCCTTGGATATAACACTCGTTCTCCCTCCTCCGCTCTCCATCCTCTCTCTGCTCCTCCCCTCCCTCTTCCACATCAAGCCTACCGAATAATGGACGCCTAGACTACGCTCATCCAACAATTACTGTCTACTGCACGCGACCAATTTCCCCCAGTGTCAACTGTCCAATTCGCAACTCCTTCGTTCTCGCTCCTACGCTCCTTGTGAAACATGACCTCCCTCCTTTGGATCGCCACCAAGCTGGTGCGCTGGATTCGCTTGAAAATCTACCAATATGAAGTCACCTTCGCCGTCTACATGCTCACGCCCACCGAGAAGTTCATCTTCAGTGCGTTGTTTCTGTTCTCCCAACTTTTGCGACTATCACTGACCCTCCGCACCAACAGACACCCTCCTCCTCACCCTTATCGCCATGATCCTCACCGGCATCTACGTCTACCTCCCAGACCACATCCGAGCCATCTACAGCCACCTCTACTACTACTGGGTGGGCGAACGCCCCTTCATCTCCTCCAACCTCTCCTCCATCAGCTCCGTATTCCGCGAAACCGGAACCGACAATCTCGAGGTCATGTACGAGACGGCGAAAAACGCCGCCGCCACGGCCACAGAACCCATCGGAGAGTTGTGATATCGTGTGCGATTCAGCAGTAGCCGCCATTGTGACTACGCCGCTTCACCTTAATATCCCTCGGGAGGCTTATTTATAATTTGCTGTGGTTATACTCATACGATTTACGTCCAACTTCCACGCTCGGGAGAGGAAAGAAGTTGAATCGCGTCCGACCGTCAGACCACCTCGGCCTCTCCGCTTCTCGCCTGGTCGGTGCCACGAGGTCTCGGCTTCCACGGAGTTCGCGTAATCTGTTTTGTGAGCGGGCCGGCGCATCCTAGGCGTTCTTGAGAATTTCGGTCTGGTCGATGTTGCAACGACTGATCCTTTCTAGCCGTGACTTGTCTATTGTTGTGATAGAATACCCTTGATAACCAATCATGATGTTCGGCCAGATACCTTGTTGGCTGTGCAGTCGTCACATTTCAAAGATAATATAATAATAATAATAGTAATAATAACAAGAATGACATGAATGAAACACTTTTGCAAAAGCGTAAATCGAACATATATACCAATCCCAATCCCAATGCAACTCCAGCCATGCTCAGAGAAGAGTGTTATACAACAGAATCATACAACGCACAGCGGTACCAGGCCGCACTGGATACCTCGATGGGGATCACATGTCATCCCAGTCTGCACTGCGCAGATTGTAACCACGACCCCTCCTAACCCCCATTTGCATCGTCACCCAACCAAACGACACCATCCAAATGCCCCTAAGTTCCCGCATATATCATCAACGAACCCATCATCCCGTTCACTCCGCGTTCTGCGCAGCTTGCGCTTGCGCCGCCGCAGCCTGTGCGTCGGCTTCCGCCTGGGCCCGCGCCTCTCGCTCCAGTCGCCGTTCCCGTCGAGCCGCGTCAATCATGCGCATGCGCGACAGCTCCTTGTCGATTTCCTCCTTCTCGAGCGGGATCTTGTGGGATTGTTCCGTGGTGGGCCAGAAGCCGGGCACGCTGAAACGGTCGTCGAGATTCGTTCCGAAGTAATACATCCAGCCGATGGGGAAGATGATGTACATGCCGAACTGGAAGGGTTAGCGGGATGAAGTGGTGGACCAGCTGCCACAGACAGGTACGTACTTTGAAGACTTCAAGGTTGCCGCCTTGTAATCTGCGGAGGATGGCGGACATTGTGACGGCGGCGGGGTTATAAGACACCAAAGAGGTATGAGAGATCGATCTAGGAGGGTAGTGTCAACTGAGATTGAGCATCCACCAGAGTCCGTATGTATGCGTCTGTCATGCGAGCCAATATGAACGGCAGGATTCATCAGACAACTGCTGACCACCGCCGATCCGAGCAAACAGAGCAAACCTGCACGTGCCGTCACCTGATGGCTTATATAACGCATCGCCGTGGGCCTCGGCTTGTCTCATTCGGCCCGTCGGCCTCGCAATCCCCGCAAAGCCAAATCGGGAGTTGTATAGCCGCAATCACTGGCTGGTCTTCACGACCTAGCTTACACCAGGATGCAGCCCGATTCCTGGTTATCATAAAAAGGACCACTCTACCTCCACCCTTGTCTGTCGCTAACATCCCCTTGATTCATAATTCCCCAGCCTCAGCATCCACCATGGCGAACGAGGACCTCATCACCGTCACTTACAAGCCCCGCGTGGCCATCATCACCCTCAACAACCCCAAGAAGCTCAATGCTCTCAACCAGGACCTCTACTACCTTCTGGGCGAGCGTCTCCGTGAAGTCGACAAGCGCGAGGACATCTCCGTCACCGTCCTCACCGGCAATGGCCGCTTCTTCTCCGCGTGAGCACATATCCCTTCATCCCTGGCCAGCGTCGTCGCCAACTAACCCTTCCCAGCGGCGCAGACGTGACGTCCTCCCGCCCCGGCGGCGCCCTCAGCGGCAACGTCCGCCGCGAGATCGTCCGCGGCTTCATCGCCAACAACATCGACATCACGCACACGGTGGCGCACCACTCGAAGATCCTGGTGGCCGCGCTGAACGGCCCAGCCGTGGGCCTGTCCGCGGCGCTGGTCTCCATGGCCGACTTCATCTACGCAGCCCCGCACACCTTCCTGCTGACGCCGTTCTCGTCGCTCGGGCTTGTCGCCGAGGGCGCCGCGTCGCGCGCCATGGTCGAGCGCCTCGGCATCGCCAAGGCCAACGAGGCTCTCATCATGAGCAAGCGCATCACCTGCGACGAGCTCGTCGCCACCGGCTACGTGAATAAGGTCATCGCCGCGCCCTCCGGCAAGCCCGACGACTCCGACGGCTTCCTGCGGAAGGTCCTCGAGGAGGTCGAGGACCGCCTCGGCGAGCACCTCAACCAGTCCAGTCTGCTCAAGATCAAGGAGCTGATCCGCCGGCCGGAGCGCGAGGTCCTGGATCGTCAGAATCACATCGAGGTGTTTGCCGGCCTCGAACGCTTCCTCATGGGTGTGCCGCAGGAGGAGTTCCGCAAGCTGGCCTCCGGCGAGAAGAAGCATAAGCTGTAGAGCGTACATGAAGAACAAAGTGCATTGCCATGTCACGTACATCCGCGCCTAAATAACGATTATATACATACAAATGTGAAATCTAACTTTTGCCTGGGCCTGGTCATGCTAACACCGTCTATTCCACCGTAACGCCCCCAAATGCTGTTAGCGAGTACATCACTGCGCCTCGTTCTCCGAGTCCGACTCCTGCGCCTGCTTGGCGAGAATATCCTGCCACTTCCCGAGGAACTCGCTCATACCGCCGGGCCCGGAAAGTGACGCATCAACCACCTCCTTCGGCAGTTTATGCGCCGAGTACTGGGGCGTGGTAAACGCATACGCCTCGGGGTCGTCACGCTTGATGAGGCGGAACTCCGGCAGGAACGGCGAGTCGTCGTCCGCCTCGTCGTCCAGCTCCTCCTCCGACTCGGATGTACTGCCCTCATCCAACTCCGCCTCGAGCGCAGCAGCATTACTGCCGTTCAGCGCCAACCGCACGAACTGCTCCTCCGCACCCTCCTCCGCCTCGCGGATCCCAATCGGATCCTTCATCTGCAGAATCTCCAACCAGCTAAACAGCAGCGGGTCGGTGCGCACCGCCCACGGATTGATATCCACCAGCCACACGCGCTGATGCGGCGCCGGCACATACACATCGAAGACAAAGTTCGGGTCGGGGAACGAGTCGCGCAGCTTCTCGTCGAAGAACGCCTGGATGCGGGAGCGCAGCGCGTCGCGCATCGGAAACAGGAAGTCGAAGTGGTTCTGGTCACGCTGGCACAGACACAGCAGCACGCGATTGCGCACGAAGCAGCGGAACTCGAGCGACGGGTTGAAGTTGACGTATTTGCGCAGCACGAGGTGGTACGGCACCTCCGGCGTTGGGGCGTCCGAGGCTGTGGCGCCGGGGTCTGCGTCCGGCACGCACCCGTCGAACGGGTGCTCGAGGTCGTGGGTGACGAAGTCGCTGCTCTTGAGAAGGAGGTAGATGTCGTTCGGGGTGCGGCATTGCAGGTCGTTGGTGGCGGCCATCCAGGTGGCGTCTTTGGGGGCGCTCCAGTTTAGCTTTGGGGTGACTTTGCCGCCGAAGTCGGCGATTGTGGATTTGATCTGCGCGTGGATTTCTTTCCATTCGGTTGAAGGGTCGGGTTCTTCGGAGGAGGAGTCTTCGGAGAAGGTGTCGAGGTTATCGTCGTCGGTGGGGGTTGCGTCTTCGGGTGGCAGGACGATTCCGTCCGCGCGGAGGTATGATACGAATGCGGGGGATAGGGGTATCGCGCACGATCTGGGGGTTATATTGCGGTATCTGGGAGTGAGGATTAGAATGGATGTAGAATAGATGTTGTAAGGAACTTACAGTGGCTGCCAGTGGTGATAAGAGCAATGTAAGATATGGGAGTAAGTGACTGGAGGAAATGGCAGGCGCTCCAGCGGCTGCTCGTTTGAAGACTCAGCCAACGGCTGTTGCTCAGACTCGATGTGCGGCATGGTTGATCTGTGTGGAACAGTTGAGGGCTCTGATCAAAGAAGATGAGGGGAGATGGCGGGGCGATTGCAAAGAGTCATCGCGATAAATATTCTGCCGTGGTAGACCGCCTTCTTCATCAGTTTCGATGGACTGGTTTCCAGATTCGGCATAGTCAACATTGCTTATTACCGGACCGTTACCAGGTACATTACCACAGCTGCAACACTGTCAGCCAGCTATCAACTTCCCTACATCATCCCCTAGTCTGCACCATGGCCTCCGACGGCCCCGACCCCCAGAGCCTAAAGTCATGGCACGATGCGTTCCAGTATCCGATTCCGACCGTGCGCCGCGTGGAGCAGGAACTGCGCCGAGATATCGCAAGCAATAAGGAGAAACTCCGGTCACTCGTGGGGTATGACCGCGCAGCGCAATTGACCGTTGCAAGTCGCTAATGCCTTTCTCGCGCATAGGACGAGGTACCGAGAACTGGTCGGCACGGCCGAAATGATCGTTTCTATGAACCGTGAGATGCAGGATGTGGATACCACGTTGGGTGATATCGGACGACGATGCAATCCGCGATTGATGGAGAAGAAGTACACCCACTACAATCAGATCAAAGGCGATGTCGATGAGAAAGGTATTTTGTTATTCACATCTTACAAGGCAGGTCAGACTGTACAGACGACTGATGCGTTGCTTAGATGCGGAGAAACGAACACTTGGGGCCCAGCTAGCTCTACTCCATCGCTGCACGACATCTATCTCTCGACTCCTACGACGGCGCGGATCCCTCTTGTTGGTGGCGAAACTTATGGTCGTGTCTCGCCTTCTGTTCAACACCCTATCCAAACAGACGACCGTGCCACCGTTTGTCGAAAGCCTGCGCAAGCAGCTGGCCTCCCTTCGGAATGCGCTTTTGGCAAGAATCGACAAACGGCTCTCCGCATCCGCATCAACAGCGGACGATATAATCGAGGCCTTAGCCGCCCATTGCCTAGCTTCGAGCGTCTCTTCCGACGGTGCCATACAACATTTCCATAAACTTCGTCTTGGCGTCATTGAAACTAAGTTGAAGGCCAACGACACCACAGGAGAGAACATCCTGAACGCCTTGCGACTATACATCCGGACCCTACAGTCTACCAAAATTCTGCTGTCTCGCCGGCTATCGGATGTGTTGAGCAAACTGAAATTGCGACCTCTCCTCGCCGATCCCGACGTTCGCAGTTTAGACGATCTGGGACTTGATGTCCTGGGTCGCTGGGTTGCCGCCGACGTCAGCAATTTCACACCATGGATCAAATTGAGCGAGCTGTCTAAATCGGAGGCCGACAAAGCTATCAAACAATGGTCGAGGCAGGCATTTGATAAGTTTGTGGAGGGATGTCAAACGAGTCTTGGGAGGTGGGTGGACTTCTCGGAATTGCTCTCCCTTCGCCAGCAGACAATCGAGCTGTGGCTGTGTTCCTGGAGCTCGACGCCGACACACTCTCCTTTGCGGGTTCTGGAAGGACTCCGGACCACCTTTAATGCAAAACTCACGCAAATCCTTTCAGATGAGGCCAAGTCATTGGATCGTTTTGGTCTTGATGTTGCGTCTGCTGTATCGAGCTGGGACAAGAGAGACCATCCAGCCGGCCGGTCACTGTGGGATCATGAGCTGATGTCTCTTGATTATTCAAATGGTGCGGGTGCTTTCAAACAGGCAATTGTGGACAGCTTGCTCGGGCGAGATGAAGATACTTCTGCTGCGCTAAAGAAGTACTCGGCATGGTTATCGACCATCGAGAAATTTAGAGTTGATATCGATGAGCTGCGTCGAATAAGGTGGACAGATGTTCTGGAAGAAGGAGAAGATGAGGGCTCCGATGTCGACATCCCGGCTACCTTGAACGAAGATGATACCCGACTATTAGGGGATGCTCTTCAGTCGGCTGTCAACACGGCCTGTCAATCCCTTCAGACTTCGTTCAAGGAAACCTTCGATACATTCCGCGAGTCGGGTCAAAGCGGACAGGCTGCCTTTATGCTCAAGGTCATCCGGTTGGTAAGGCGAGACCTACCAACTGCTTTTGTCGGCGAGGACTTTGTGTTCTCCAAGGATATTGTTCCGCAGCTGCAAAAGCTATTAGCTACTGAGGTCACCACGCAAATCGCCACCACACGCTTCCTGATCAAGGTTGGCGTTGCAGGACAACGAGTACCCGGCCGAACTCTCTGGGAAGGTGATCCTGAATTGCCAGTACAACCGTCTCCTGCGACATTCAAGTTCCTGCGCCGTCTGGTAGGACAAATGGACAACTATGGACCTGGACTCTGGGATGTTTCTACTGTCCGAGCTCTCAAAGAATCACTGCAAGACGAAGTAGCGCGGTCTGCCACTGCAGCAATGGAGTCCACGAGGTCTTTGAATCCAGCAGAGGACAAGGATAGCTCGTCCGAGAAGACAACCTCAGAACACACTGCAGATGGCACTCCGGACTCCGCAGACACTCCTACAGCTGCGAAGACTCTCAAGGACCGAAAGTTCCAGCTTTACTTTGATGCTGTCTACTTGAAGAACGCGCTCGCTGTGAAGGACGTGAAGCATGCAGCACTCGATCGTGCAGTTGAACAGGTCGCTGGCGGCCTTGACTCCGATGAGAGTTGCACAACCATCATGGAACGGAGAGCTCGAGAGTATTGGACCCGGACGCAGTTATTATTTGGCTTGCTGTCGGAGTGATGTGGCTATCTAGATGATGAATGAAACATCTGCTCTATATTTTTCTCAGCGAATCGTACAGGGTGTGCATATTGCAGTCTGAATCCACACATAAACACAAACTGTAGACAGAGATAGTGTCTCCCCTCGTAAATATGGGCAGAGCAGTCACTAAATATAATTATTCCAGTATGTTCCTGTCAAGATGGGCTCTGAAGTATAGCTGCGCTCGCCCTGGCCCGGGCTGGTGGTAGTTACCGAATGGGGTTTAGTAGGTCCCGCGACTGCGATCAGCGCGACTTGCGACGGACCATAAACAGCCATTCAATCAGTTACCACCAGTGTCGAAGACCACATTGTCCACTCTAATATCGTGAAAGCTGATCTAACAGACCGAGGCTTATTCTCCGCTGCAACACTACCCTTCCACACGTTAATCTCGACCAGCGCGCGAAGGTCCCGGTAGTGCGCAATCCTCCGCAATCTACCTCGCCTCGCCCGTCTGGTCCAACACAAACAAATCGCCAGTCATCCAAGAGCAAGCCGTAACAACTGCAACCGATGTCTTCAGAACCAGAGAGAGGTGCCTTTCCCTCCTACTGCTACATTTACTTGATTGTGCTTACAATTCCGAATGCAGAGCCTTCGCCTACGAGCCTTCTAGACGCGATCGAGCATCTTGAAGCAGGTAAGGCCCTCAATAAATCCTACTGCAAGTGCAGAAAATGACTCTTTAAAAGTTGCGCCTGTGCCTTCCAAGCAACGGTACACGGATGCTGGCAAGCTTGCGAAGACTATTGCATCACGCGCGTATGATAGTGGGCTCCCTGGGGCTGCACTGGAGCGCCTAATAAAGATTCTCACGACCAGCAATCATCTCGACCAAGGCACTATCACAACCTTGATTAAGAACTTGTACCCTGCAGAGAGAGTCCCCTCTAAGCTTGTCACGCAGCTTGTGTGTTGTCTGGGGCCCACCAAGAACAAACCCTCACCTGCAACGCAGGTGCAGCTGTTGCGATGGCTTATTCTGGTGTATGACTTCCTCGAAGACCGGACTCACCTGTCGAAACTCTATGCTGTGCTCTTCAACTATCTAGACATGTTAAGCCTGCGCAAGCCTCTTTGCCATATTCTCTCGTTCATCACCCGGCGCAAACATGTCAAACCGTTTAGAATTCAGGCTCTGATGGAACTGGTCCGTTCCTCAGGCGGAGACGAAAAAGAGCTGCTCACTCTACTCAAAGTCTTCAAGAACTACTGTCCCGACGTGATCGTTGGTGACATGGGGATGACTGGGAGGAAGGGGCTTGTCTTCAAGCACCCAGACCCGGAATGGTCGAGCCATCTGAAACTTCTTCAAGACACGAATCTAAAGAGACTACAGGCAACCCAGCCCTCGAGCTTCCAAGTGGTCCACAGAGGATTGGCGAAGAGAAGCAAAATGGAGATCATTGTGCCAGACGTGCAGACTTCGCGCGTATCGCATAACCGCACATCACTGGAAGAACTGCGAGATGTGGACCATTTCGTGGACAAGATCGATAAGATCGAGCTGCCGAATCAAATTATTTCGACGCTTGGAGACAACATTGCTCAAAAGTATCTCTTCTTGGTTGAGCCTGAAGCTGCGAGTCGCCGGTTGGATGATTGGCTTAAGAGTTTCCTAAGCGATCAGTTGGATGCCACGCAAAATGATGCAGATGATGAAAATGAGTCCTTGGGTTATATTTTGAGCCTTTGCGTGGTCTACGTGCGATATACGAAGGTATGTATTTCTCCCATTGCTCCCGGCATGGCAACTAACTTATCATGTTGTAGGACATACCTCCAGCGATCACGTCATTCTTGAAGTCATATCTCCATTCTTGGAATGGCAAGGACCATAGGGAGCAAATATACCACCTTCTGGAGTATGTCGTTCTCGACGAGTACGATTCTGTACGGGACTCATTGCTAGCGCCTCTGGAATCTGCCGTCCTAGAGAACGTGCTATCATCTCAACCCAGCTTGCTCGAATTCCATTCCTCTCTGATTCGTCAATGGGGTGTTAGGCTGAGGACACAGCCTTTCACTCTAGAAGAGTCAAGACCTCTACGTCAACTTATATCCCATGCTCAAACTCTGGCATTGTCGGTTCTAGAGTGTCCCTCCGCTGTGCAGGAGGCCGAAAGTGACGAGTTTGGAAATTCGAAACCAGCCATCCTGTCTGTGATGGACTTCTATTGCACACTGGCCGACTTGTTCTCACAAGCGCCTGCGAATGGTAACATTCGACTTAGTATTCCGCTGGCGCCTACTGTTTACAGCCTTGTGTTTACCCCTCTGAGCTCGATTATTTCAATCACCAGCTCCGTACTTGCTACCTATAAGTCATCCTTCGAGGCTTCGCTGGCATCCCAAGTGCTGCAGACACCGAATTCTACAGATTCGCTCTACCCGCAGCAACTTGTTGGCCAATTCAACGGCTATATTATGGACATCTGCAATCTTCTGTGGCGCGTCCGGGGCCTCAATGCCGAAGACCCCAACGCTTTGGGATGCTTGGTACCCCCGGCGACGACCCGAGTGTTTGCACACTACGTCCAAGACACGCATAATGCTTCTCGAGATAGGAGGCGTGAGACCGCGTTCACGTATACAATCGCTTCGATGTTTTCCTTGAGTCACAATGTTGCTTTGTGTAACTTGTCCGCAGCATGTTTCGCTGACATTGAGGATGGAAGAGAAATCCGGGAAGATCAACCGCGGTTAAGGAAACCGGTGACGCAGAAGGCGCTGAGTGCATTGGAGAAAGAGGGTGGTATCAAGATGACTTGGCAGGAGTACCGGGTACGCATGCTCGACTATCTCGATGAGATTGGAAGCGCCGGTATTGGAAATCTTATGCGAAGTACGATGAAGGCATTGCGCAAGGAATAATGACCGAAGAGTAGTTGAATGATAATGGACATGATTTTGGTATATACAAGGAGTGTCTCTGATGTCAGAGAAGGCGCACTAACGCCAGGCTGGTATCTAATGTCTATGGTACAATATTGAGCAACAGAGTAAGTCGTGAATCATGTATAATACACAAGAACATATGCCCTTTATGAGAAATCCCTGGTAGTGTTCAAATAAATGTCCCGCACACCGGACTCCTCGCGAATGGCACTCAGTATGTCCTCGAGGTCTTTGATGTGCTCTTCATCCTTGACCTCGACCAATGTGTCTGGATTGGGATCCCAGATAATCTCTAGTTCTTGGATTGTGAGACCGGACGTCTTTGCCAAAGATTCGCCAACGCTCTTTGTTTCGTTCGGCTCCGTGAACACTAGTAGACGGCCTTCTTCGTCCGTAGTGATGTCGGTAGCGCCCGCCTCAATGGCTTGGTCAAGGTAGTCGTCCGGATTCAGACCCTCCTTCTTCTCGAAGAGCACGCGTCCTTTCTTCTGAAAGAGATATGTGGTAGGGGTGACAGTTCCCCCGCAATCCTTGATCACATGTCGGACATCCTGCAGCAGACGGGCTTTCTGGTCGGTCTGACATTCGATGACGGCGGCGACGGAATTGGGCAGCATTGCTTCTATCGTCACTGATTCGAGCGCTTCACCCGTAACGCTAATTCCCTGTCCTCTTGCGATTGCTGCTTCAATAACGGCATTGGGGATTCCGGCGCGCTTTGCGTTCGAGAGGGCGAGGGTCAGGCGCGGGTTGAACTTGGTGTCCGGTCCCCACACTGAGCAGTGTCAATTGAGAACGAATGGCGAGGATTCAGACTCCGGGACGCATACTTTGGGTTGCACTGCTGATTTCCTTTCCGATGATCTGGCGTTCCTTGCTTTTTGCCTTGTCATTTTTTGCCTTGTGATGTTTGATCTGGGACCAGCGGTTATGTCCGGCGCAGAGCGGCGGAGCGCTGGTGAAGCTCCGACAGAAATCGGGACATAACGAGCTGCGACGCTGGAGCCAGCGCGTAGATAAGGCGGTAGCCATGGCCACAGGTCTACCAGGTTTACCTGGTGCTAATAATTGTGACTGCATTCATTCTTCCCGACATGGGGAGATCCAGTGGAGCCGGCCCGAGGGTTTCTCCGGGGGGTCTCCGTCCCCGGAACAGTCGAGCCCATCGCGGCGATTATTAAGGGGCCCCCCCATCATCGATGGAGTAAGTGACAGTTGTTGTTGTCGGTTGTTGATTGCGATCCTCAATTTACCTCATTCTCCTTCTCCGCCCATCGAACCAGAATCCTACCTCTGACCGCATGGGTGGCGCCTTCGTCGGAACCGTCGAATGCAATGTCTTCATCTGAACTCGCTGCATCTACTTCCGACAATGCGGCGCCTCGTGCGGAGCTGGATATCACAAAGCTGCATGCACTTCCCTCCGAACAACAGGACCTCTACCTCCTCACCTTCACCTCCGATCTAGTCCAACATGTCTCCGGCTTGGATAAAGCGCAGATTTCGTCCCAGCAGAAATTCCTCAAGAAGGAATTGTTCAAGATCCTGACCCTCTCGTCGCCGACAGTCACACGGGCCATCCGCAATAACCTGGGCCGATGCTTCGGTGCGATCTTCAGCAAGGGCGATCGGGGGATACTCTTCGAGACTGTGACGGACCTGCTGGGTGTGTTGAATGCGGGAAAACATGAAGAGCTCAAGACCAAGTTCGCCGCCGCGCATTGTTTGGGGGAGGTGTTTGTCGTCGCTGGCGAGAGCGTCTTCGCGCAGTCGGGAATCGTGTCCTCCAGTCTGCTCAAATTACTGAAATCGGCCAGCAACCATACAGGCTTCCGCGGATCCATATTCGCTGTTCTGCGGAAAGTCCTTGTTGGTGCAGGTGTTCCAGTCGATGAAGGAACGGCGCGGGACATTTGGAAGCAGGCTCGTAACGCTGCTACCGGGGACAAGTCGACTTTCGTTCAGGTGCACGCCTGCCGCTGCCTCGAACAATTGGTTAGCACGACGCCGTTCTTCGATAACGCAAACGACTTCGATCATCTGAAGACAGTAATCTGGAAGGTCATTGAAAGTCCCGTGGCTCCCGTAAGACATGCCGCAGCGGCTTGTCTTGCGCGTGCCTTGGCCAAACTGCATGCTACTGATGCCCGTATTATGGCCGCCCCGAAACCGAAGAAAGCCAAAAGAATGTCGAAAAAGCCCGCCCCCAGACCGGGGGAGGACGAGGAGGAAGCGGAGGTTTCTGAGTCGTCTGCGCCGAAGAAGTCGGAAGCACGGTTATTCTTCCTTCTTCCTGATCTCTTGCGGCAGCTATCTGCACAATATCTACGAAACACCACGTCGAATCGCGCACGAGCAGGAATCGCTGTTTGCTATAAACATCTTCTACGCATTCTGGGGGACAAGATAGTGGAGGAGCGATACAATGAAATCGCCAATCACCTTCTCTTCGAGCTTCTCAACCATCCTACCATCATATTCAACCGATTCAGACTTCTGATGACGAGGAAATTTGTGAAGAGTATCCTAGAGGATACAGTGGGCCGGGAATCCCTTCGCGAGAACAGCCAGCTCAATGCTGCAAAATGGTTGATAAACGACGTTCTCAAGGATTACCCTCAGGTCATTCAAGAACGTCGCGAGCCGAGCAAATATACTTTGACTAGCGCCCTGGGCGCTTTGACTTCGTTGATATCCTCTCTCGGTTCCACTTTCGGGTCCCTGGCTGAGACCTGCCGTGAAGCTTTACTGCAGGTTCTCCCGCACCCAAGTTATACTGTCCAAATCCATGCCGCGCACTGCCTGCGGGCGTTTGTGCTTGCGTGCCCGCATCAATTGCTCTCTTGCGTCACAATATGCCTGAACAGCTTGAACAGAGAAGTCGGTCAACTTTCCACTCCCCGACAGTCGTCCCGACGATGTGTGGGCTATGCGAATGGGCTTTCGGCTATGCTGAGTACATCCCGCTTGCAACCACTGTATGGTTCTGTCGACGTGTTCTCTCGCGTCTTCGGACAAGCGACCGACCTCTTGAAAACGAGCAGCAATTCTGAATTGCGCGCCGCAAGCACGCAGATTCAAGTAGCCTGGATCTTGATCGGAGGGCTGATGCCTTTGGGCCCGAGCTTCGTGAAAATCCATATGTCACAGCTCATGCTGTTGTGGAAGAACGCGCTTCCCAAGCATCTGGGCAAGGAGAACATCGCGCAGCGGGGATACCTGGAGATGAGCTTTCTTGCTCATGTCAGGGAGTGCTCCTTGGGCGCGTTATTGGTATTTTTGGAGTTCAACAGCAAGCTCATTACTGCTGATGGAGCGAGAAGAATCGCTGCCATGCTCCAGAATACTGTCACGTTCCTGGACGATCTTCCTCGGCAGAAATCTGTAGCTGAGGTGTCACAGCGCCTGCATCCTTCCTTGCAGCTGCACGACATTGCCACTATGGTCAGACGACGTGTATTGCAGTGCTTTACCAAGCTTATCCAGGTCCATCCTCTTAGCCATGGTGATGTGATCTCTCAAACTAGTCTTCTGAGTTTGTCCATCTCGTCGTTTGCAGACCCAGATGCGCCCCTATCTGGACCGCTAGAGAGCTCCGTCGCCGCATCTACCGCTCAGTTCGAGAGCCTGTGGGATTTGGGAGATAATTTTGGATTTGGGTTGACGGGCCTGGCCAGGGAATATGTCCGTGTCACTCTCTCGGGGAAAGACGAAAATGATAACGGGCCGTCTTGGTCTGTAGTTGATTCAGCAGACCAGGCCATCGACGACGCTGTGAGTATATAGGTCCTCCTTTGACACAAAGACATGATCTAATGCTGCGTTTCAGTTGACCTTCCCCATATGTCAAGCCAGCGAACACGATTCCATCCTGTTGTACTCCTCTCGAGATGGGAATCACCCGGCTTCGGATCCTCATGCTACTGGAGTTGTTGACTCAGCTATTGAGCTCTTTTCAACTGCCGTGCCACTGCATGCTCCCAAGGTGCAGGAAAGCAGCATAGAGCAGATTGCGACCTTCCTCTCGTCTTCCAGCCTTCAGCGGAACCCCGGCCGTAAAGCCGCTATGATAGTCAACATCGCCGTGGCTTTAGTCCGTGCTCTGAAGACTGCCTCTAGAGAGAGCAGCTCTGCGTCAGGGAAGCTGAACCCATCAACTGACAAGGTCTTGCAGGAGCTTCTTCAGGTAAGCTGCGATATAACCAACCTTTCGGCATCGGTGGTAGCAGGTCGCTAATGGATCTAGAAATTCGTTCTCGACGCTGATCCGATTGTTCGGACAATTGGTGTTGAAGCACTTGGCAGGCTGTGCGACCGCTCGGGAACCACTTTCACTAGTACGCAGATTAACTGGCTGGTCGACACTATTGTTGAGAATAGGGAACCGAACGCACGTGCTGGTTGTGCGGCTGCTTTGGGTTGCATTCATTCGCAAGTCGGTGGTATGGCGGCTGGCTTGCACCTCAAGACCATTGTCGGTGTGTTGATGTCTTTGTGCAATGACCCACACCCTGTGGTGCATTTTTGGGCCCTCGGAGGACTCGAACGAGTGGCCAACTCAGCCGGCTTGACCTTCTCACCATTCGTGTCAAGTGCCCTTGGCATGCTTGCCCAACTATACAATGCCGATACCCACAATGAGGAGGCTGCATCTCTAACAACCTCCAACATTGAGATGTCTTTCCTGACTCCCGTCGTCATCAGTCGCTGCGTGGATTCTCTGATCAATGTGCTGGGCCCTGACCTCCAAGATATCACAAAAACGCGCAATCTCATCCTCACCTTGCTGCGACAATTCCAGCTTGAGGACAACGCAGCTCTCGTTACCGAGAGCTCTAAGTGCTTAGACCACTTGTCTTTGTACGCTCCTGCATACGTGGACTTCTCTGGTTATGTGAAGCGCCTGCAGGGTGAGCTTTCTGCCGACAACCCATTGATGCGTGATGTGGCCATTCGCGGACTGAGCAATCTCATGAAACGTGATGCTACTGCGGTAGTGCGGACTGCTACACCTACCCTTGAGGAGGAGATTTGGCTTGCCTTTGATGATAACCCGGATAATTTGGTCCTCAAAGATATGATCCAAGACTGGTTGCAACAGACTGCTCTCACGGAAACAGAGCTATGGATACAGCGCTGCCATAATACCCTGACCAAGACGCGTGTCAAGGTGGAGGAGCCTCCCGCAACATCGGCTATCAAGACGGCTGCAAATGATCTGCCGGACGATGAGGTTGCAGGATTCGCGTCGGCCATTTCCGGTGCTGGGCAGACGGATAACGCCAACGAGAACGTTTCTGGTCAGGAATTATTGAAATGGCAGACTCGTAACTTTGTCATGAGTTGCCTCAGTGAGCTTTTAGCAACCGTCCAGGAGGCCATCCTACCAGACCAAACAATCCCGGCTGAGCTGGCACTGCAGCAGAATGTCGGTGATATTGTTCGAATGGCGTTCTCAGCGTCTACTGCCAATGTGATCGAACTACGAGTTTGGGGACTGAAGATCTTGGACCAGGTTCTTCGGGTAGGTTGCTTTCATTCAAAGTATTCATGATATCGCGGCACTAACGATGTTATATAGATGTTTGGCAAGACCCCTGACCCCGATTTCGCCGAAGCTTCCCTGTTGGAACAGTATCAAGCTCAAATTGGATCTGCGCTGACGCCTGCATTTGCCGTGGATTCTTCGCCAGAGCTTGCGTCGGAAGCGATCAACGTTTCTGCCACCTTCATTGCAACAGGAATCGTTACAAATGTGGATCGTATGGGAAGAATTCTGAAGCTGTTGGTTCTTGGCCTTGAGAACTTCTCGAGTACGTACGATGCCATATTAACATTCAAGCATCATTCTCGCTAATGACCTATAGCAAACCCGGATACTACGGAGATCGGTGACTTGAAGGGCCTCAATTCAAATGCTAGGGTTATGGTCAAGATGGCTCTTTATTCCGCCTGGGCGCGACTTCAGATCGCCAGTATCGAACAAGACTACCTGAACGACGTGGTGCAGCCTTACCTTGCCAAACTCACTCCGCTGTGGCTTTCTTCTCTCCAGGAGTACGCCCGGTTAAGATTTGAACCTGATATCTCTGGCAGTCTCGGCACTCCCCAGAGCAGCAATCTGGACGAGATGTATGCCGCGTTGAACCGGGAGACTCTCTTGAAGGTAAGACGAATAAAACTGAGGCATTCATGTTCCCTATGACTTGACAGATGTTAATGCGTTCTACAGTTCTATCAAGATACCTGGTTGAGTCTTGTTGATGCTATCGCCGGACTAGTGGAAAAAGATATCGACTTTGTTTTCGATGCTCTCGATGGGAAATCACAAGTGAAAGAGCCAGAAACCGAGGGAGAACAGGAGTCTGCTCCCAACGGCGAGGTGGAGAGCAAGGGACACGACATCAACTACCGTGAAGAGCCCGTTGCCTTCTTTTTCGTTCTCTTCGGCCTAGCCTTTGAGGCCCTTGTTGACCAGTCCACCACCTCATCCCAAAGACTGGAAATCCTGCAGGCACTATTGCGAATCCTGAGGCCTGTCATTTCAGGAAATGCCATCTACCAGGATGCTATCTTCTCCGAGACCATGGACACCCTTGATCGCCTGGTGCTGACTGAGGGCATCCCCATCCAGAATGTTATTGTCGATATTGCACGAAACCTGTCGCTGGATCACCCATCTGCAAAGGGAAGCGAAGGAAGGGACGACCACCTTACTGATGATATTGAACAACTGTTCGAGTTGACCAGGAGCATCATCCTCGTCCTTGCAAACCTCCTACCCAACCTCCGCGAAACAACGCCTCTTGCTCGTTTCAACATAGGATCCGAGGACGCCTTGTCGCTCATCCGACTTGCCCTGTCTTCGCTAGTCAATGTTGCCTCTATCTTCCCGTCCATTATCCGCAATGACCTGAACGCCTGTATCCTCCACATATTCAGCACCATCCTAGCTACCGGACTATGCCAGGACGACGTTGTCCCGCAGGCTCTCCCCACGTTCAAACAGTTCATCCAGGGCATCAGCCAACAGAAGGCAGTTGGATCTGACCAGTCAGAAAACCCCAAAGTTGTATCGCGTCAGCTCCGTGGATGTCTGACCCGATTCCTCACAACCCTGACGATCGCCCAACGTCGGGAGTCCGAGACGTCGTTGCCTTGCGCCAAAAACACTCTCCTCGCGATCACCATCTTATTGACGACAGGAAGCCACATGATCCCGCCGCAGGACCCTGTCATCCCCCGGGTCCTGAACGAATTCCTCGACTGCCTCCAGGACGTCGGCCTGGCCAACGTCGCAGCAGGCTGCCTCCGCACCATACTCCTCGCTCCAAACCCGCGGTCCTCAACCGACGAAGTAATCGGCCGATACCTGACTCCCCGACTCATCGGCTTCCTGATCGGCTGCCCAACAGAATCCGGGGAAGCTCCCAACGACCCCGAAAACTCACGGACCGTAATCGCGCGCACCCTGGTGGCTTCGGTAGCTACCGCCGCTGACGCGCCCACGGCGATGTCACTGGTGATGTCTGCGCTTCTTGCGCGCGGCAAACGCGAGGGTCCAGCTGTGTACAAAGAGACGTCAGGCAACCTGCTTGAGCTGGCGAAGGCGAACCAGGCTATCTTCCGCGCGCTGGTCGCGACCATGAAGCCAGACCAGAAGGCGCTTCTCGAAGAGATCCTTCGGAGTGCGGAGCCTGACACGCCTGCCAATAAGGATCGCAGAGATAGCGAACAGGCGAACGGACAACAGGCTATGCCGAGTATTGCTTTGAGGTTTGACTTTTGATAGGAGTGTCCGGAGAAGGTATTCCCTCTCGGCTTCCTATGTAATGATTTCTGTGCTTGAACATTGCTTGTCTTTTGTTTCTTGTTTCTGTTCATTTTCAATATATAATATGTGTGCCCAGGTTTTGCTCTGATGTTCTATCCTGTGTGAACGAGGTTAATGACGTGGATGTTTCAGGACATGACGAGTGGGTGATGACGGGCGAATATACATGGACTGAGGAACTTTCTATGCATATATAGATATGAAGCACGATAGATCAATGCATTTACATGTCTATGAATGAGTTACTTCCATGCGAAGTGCTCTATCCATTTTATCTATGTTCTGTGTTGAGAGCAATGGGGGTATCGAAGGTGGCATAGTAGTGTGACACCCAAGACGCGTTAAGATACAGGAAGTGAGAAGAAACAAAGGAGACGTAATTCGGACAGTGAGGTAGATCTATAGACAATAAGGACCGGAACGGAGTAGGCAAACCCGACAGAACGTCGTGATATATTACAGAATAGATCGCAGACAAGGGGTATGGTAGTCATTTAACCGAGCGACTCGCCGATCAGGACGTCTGGAGTGACTTTGGCATCGACAACAGGAGCTGCATCCTGGACGCGGCGTTTCTCGGTGACTTCTGCCACAGGTGGCTCCTTCTTCTTCTCGACGACGTCCTGCGTTTTCCGGACGGAGTAGTACTTGAGGAAGAGGATGATCATGACTGTAACCAGGTCAGTACTGCATTTCCAAGGGGCATATACTGCCACACTCACCAGCACTCGTAGCGATAGCCAACGCAGCTCTCCGGGTGAGAATCCAGCGGAGCCCTTCTATCTCGCTCTTACCGTCACTGTTCAGGGACACAGTGATCTTATAGTTCAGCTCCTGGACCGACGTATCGATGCTCCGCTGTTGCTCGCGCGTGGCCATCTTGTGATCGTTGAACATACCCTTGATATCGTCCTTCAACCCGGCGAGTTCTTGGTTCAACCGCTGGGAGAGGATATCCGCCTCGTGCTGGAGCTGCGTACGGGAAGCACGCTGGCGTTGCATCTCGGAGTTGCGTGCGGTCTGGAGCGACGACTGGAGCTCCGAACAGGCGGCTTTGAACAGGTAGGATTCGTTTTCGACGTCGGACTTGGACGTCAAGCTTTGCTTCGCGAGGTCGAGGTTGTTTTGCAGAATGCGACGGACGGCCTTCATGATCGTGACCGACTGGTCCTCGGTGAATCCGCCCTTGGACAGATCCTGCACAAGCGAATAGGTATCGAAGTGGTGGACATACGGCGCGGGGGTCAGATGCGGAGGCTTTCCGTCGCCATTGGTTGAGTTATGGACCTCGGAGGAGGGCGCTAGGAAGGACGATGGGGATGGCATGTGCAGGACGCCTTCGAGAGGATTGCCACTTAGGGGGTGTGGGTGAGAATCGGGACGCTGTTCGCTGGCCTCTTCTGTGGACGAGGATGACGTTGAGTGCTCGTCGGCATTGTGATCGTCGGTTGTTGTTGGCTCCTTGGGCTCGTCGGAAGAGGGTTTGCTCTCAGCTTGTTCCGCGGACTCTGCGGTTTCTTTGGTCTTGTCTCGGGAAGATGTTTCAATCGCATTATCCTTAGACTCTCGATCTTGTGCTTGCGATTGCGGCTCAGGCGGAGACGGTTTCGAGCTGGCCTCACCGGTATCCTTTGCCGCAGGCGTTGACGGAGGAGTCTTGTCGGAGGTATCACCCTTTGGTCGGGGCGGAGGCGGCAGGTTGGCTTCTGCGGCGGGACCGTAACGTCGATGATAGGCTTCTTGTGATTTTCGGCGACTGGTGTGGAAAGGAACGTGGCGGGAGCCGTTGGAGGGGATTCGAATGGATCGGTAAGTAGTGGGTTCGCACGAGCGAATGGCGCGCATGAAATTAGGGTAGAGAAAGGGGAGCCTGGGATTCGCCATAGTGAGGAAATCTGAAAAGAGAAGAACAGAAGAGCAATAATACGGGAAGAAAGGAGAGGATAAGAGAAAGACTGTATGATGGAAGGTGAACGGGATCCAGGCGTATGATGTCTTTTCCCGCGGCGAACGCAGGCGGCGGTCGAAAACGTGACGTGGGCGGTGAGCGTCCCCCGCGGAAGCTATTCCTCTCTGGGTAGAGGTGATTGAAATGTATATCTGACCTGAGAGTTGAATCTGGATTCTACGGATGAACGATCGAGCTTCCGTAAAACAGCCTGCATTCTATACTATATTATCGAACTTCTAGATTTAAATGCTTCTCCGGTACAAGCGCCGCTCGTCGAGGGGTATGGCCTCCACGATGTACTTAGACGCATGTCCCATAAGCCAGAGGAGCATGGAAAGTTGAAGAAAGAAACGAGGCTATTTCTAGCAAAGAAAGGAGAGTATTTGCTGTCTTACTTTCTCTTGCGAGTAGAAGACTTGTTGTTCTCCTTTCCAGATGCACGAGAGGAACCCTCGTGCTCTTCGGTCTTCGCTTCAGCAGGGGCCGATGATTCCTCTTCCACATCGCTATCACCCCCCTGCCCGAACTCGTTGACGCGCTTGTAATCAACCTTGTATTTGTAGCTCTGGTAGAGCCAGATAAAGAAGATCACGTCGTCGCGCAAAGTCGCAAGCCTGTGAAGCCACGGCATCTTAACCGTAAAGGCAAAGAGATCATCGATGAAGGTGTTGAGGAACTTGTAAGTCAGAGCCTTGCCGGGCATATGCGCCACAGACTGAGAATTCGCATGTCAGTATTTTCCAGTAGTTAGATGAAAGGGAAGCCCAAGAGTAACGAACCTTCAAGCGATAGTTGATGTACAAGCTGGGAACCATCATCAGGAAACCATAGGCATACACACTGCCAACAAGGGTCTCAATGACATAGGAGTACCACGACTTGTGCGTGTTGTAGATGAGGCTGTAAGCGGCGTATGCGCCTAGGAGAGGCACAGCAAAGATATAGAGCCAGCGGAAGGCGATTTCATCATACTCCTTCGTCTTTGCCTCCGTTTCGCTGAGCTTGTGCTTGTCCTCGAATACGATGACATAGGGCAAGAAAGAGAAGAACGAATTAGCTGGCGGAGGGCGCAGCCGTACATCCACGGTTTTCGTGATCTTCCACGCCTCCAGTAGAATACCGAAGCCTTGACTGGCGAGAATCATCCAAGAGGTGTTTTCGCTGTTGTCCATCAGGTAGAGGAAAATGACCGTTTGCATGAATACGTTGGCCAGGATGGTGCGGACGGATGTGCCGACCACATCCTTCTTCTTCCGCCAGTGAGAGATATCGTTCTTGAATGCCAGAGTTTCGAAGACCATGTGCAAGATGGTGACAACACCAGTCGTACCGAGCAGATAGATGTTGGTATTCAGGAGGACCTCCTTGACCATCTCAAACTCACTACCATCGCCGCCACCAGGAGTAGTCTGACCGAAAGCAGCTTGACGAGCCGTTTGCTTAGCACTGTCATCAACACTGGCCATCATGCTGAACTTCCAGTTCTGCAGATTGTTCAGGGTGAGGCGGAGGGGAACAGTGTCGACGGTCGAATTGAGCTCTATCATTTGGCTGCGAAGTTGCCAGAAAGTGTTCAGGAAGACGATTGGGTAGTACCATCCATTTTGTCCAGATGCATCTCTTGCACCGGACGTCTCCAGTTGCATATGCTTACGGACTGCGGGGTGGATCTGGCGATACTTCTGAACCCCAGAATCGGGGATCACGGACACGGTAAAGTTCGGGTGGTAGAAGGACGCAATCGAGACATCTGGAATACTGTCCTCCTCCTCCTCTTCGGCTTCCTCAGAGCTAGAGAGCAGGTTCTTGAGCTTCTTAACCTTCTTCTTCGGAAGATACTGGTTCAGGGGACGGAAGAAGTGGATCGCATTGTCGGAGCTATAGTCCTTCGCGGTAGGATCGAGCTGATGACCAGAAAGACCGACGAAAAAATGAGCCCACAGGGTTCCATTGACCTGAGCCTCCTTCGGGACCTTGATGGTAGTCTCGATCTCCCTGGTGTCAGAGTAGTTGCCGATGGTGAAGTTCTTCTCCTGAAGGACGAGCTGGTTGGACGAGGACTTGGAGGTGGGATTCACCACGGATGGAGAAACGTAGATGTTAATATCCAGGGCACTATCAGCTGGCCAGATGGGGGCAACGGCGTCAGGGACGGGGCTGTAACTCGTGATCTCGGCGCGAGGGGGCCGGTCTGCAAACGCTGGCACGATTCCACTTCCAGTCTTGCCAGGACCACTCTGTTGGTTCTTGTTGAAGAATTGGCCTATAACGAACTGCGCGATAAAGAAGAAAGCAAGCCCCTGGAGGGCGCCCTTCATGCCGGACTAGAAAACTGTCAGCTTCGCCCACGTAAACTGGATGTCAACATCGCATACGCCAGACTCCTCCTCCCTGCGCTGACGCTGTTCAGGCATTGTGCCGAGGAGATGAGAAATGAAAGATAATCTGTCGAGAAGAGCGACAGAGAAGGGAGAAGAAGAAGAAGAAGAAGAAAGGAAGAGGGAGGATGAGAGGCGAGAGGCAAGAGGGACAACGGGTCTAACCAGAAGCACCACTAGCAACTTATCTTGGCGGGTCCTTTCCCCGGTCTTATCGCCGGCCCGCCGCTTGCTTGACATACAACAATCGCCTCACTTCATCTTTTCTACTTCACACGCTCTCCTCCACCTCCTTGCTCCTTTCTATCCCCTCTCGCACGACCCGCGAGCCGCACGATGGATATGCCCGTCGCCTGAATGTCGACTACGCTCTAATGTCGGACACTCAACCCCTTCCCGATTACTCCCGCCCACAGTTTCCCGCCCATAATGAGCCGAGGGTTTGGGTGATCACGGCTGGGGATTCGCCCATCGGGATTTCCGTCACTCGTCAGATTCTAAATCATGGCGATTACGCGCTGGTCGGTCTGGCGCACTCAAGGCTGGATCGCGATGAGTGCCGTCGCGAGGGATTTGAAGCCTTCTTGGCCGAAATTGAGAGCCATCGCGACGAGGGATGGCCGCAACGGTTCAAGTCATCGCCGCTCGACATAAGGTGGGATCGATCTGCCATTGCGCAATGACGAAGATAATTGCCGAAAGACGGTTTCAAGGCGCAGGCTCACTTATATCACGCAGGATGATGGGAGAATGCCAGGCACTCGTCGCGGACGCTGTCGCAACGTTCGGAAGAATAGATATGTTGCTCTGCTGTACAAGTCAAAGTACGAAACTCCAAGCGCATTGTATCACCCTCGAAACTGGGTACTAATCGGCTCCCCAGCTCTCATTGGGACGGTCGAAGAGCTTTCGGCTTCTCAGCAAACTCTCAATCTCGTGCGGGACCAGTTCGAGATCAATTACTTTGGTCCCCTCAATATTATAAAGGCGTGTTTGCCGCACATGAGACGACAAAAATCGGGACACATCATGATCCTCTCCGGAATCACCGCACACATCGGTACACCCGGGCTTGGCATGTATTGCGCAGCTGGTTGGGCACTCGAGGGCTTTTGCGATGTGAGATCGGGCTGTTACAATGTCTGCTGTCGTCAAATGCTAATACCTCGTTTATCTAGAGTCTTGCTTACGAGATCGCGCCGTTCAATGTCAAACTCACAATCTTCCAGTGCAGTATCGAGATAGGGATTCTCACGAACCTCGTCACAAGTGTCCCTCCCATCATTCCCGCATACTCGTCCGCAAATAATCCCGCGCCTCTGTTCCGTGGAATCCTAAACCGACTTATACCTCGCCTACCAAATCCAGTTGGGGGAGACGGTCCCCATGATCCTAGCCAAGCTAGTTCTGCTGAGGATGGACCCTTCTCCGGCCCGGAAGTCCTATCGACATACCCCCCGCTTAGTTCCGCGCACATGGAAGTCCTAGTTGCGGAAACTGTATATGCTATTACGGCTATTGGTGGCCATGAAAATCCACCTTCACGGCACATCGTCGGACAGGAAGGTGTTGCCAGTGTCAAGGAGAAACTGAAAACAGTCAGCGAGGAACTGGAAGATTTCATCCAGTCCAGCTTTGCTGTTGACTACGCGGCCGATGGAGACCCAAGCCGACACACTAGAGAAGACCATACGGGGGTAGCAAGCAATGAAGCAGTTTAACTCATACATGTAATATCTAATGATTTGCGTTATGAAAGATAACCAGAGAACCATTGCGGTATCCACGGAATCTCGATCGAGGAGGTTGATTCCTAGAGTCGTCCCCAGCATTAAGTGAAATTACCCAACTGAAAGATGTCAATTGTGGCCAGGCCAGGGTAACAACCAAAGATCGTAGCCGTCGTCAACAGACAAATCTCCAGGATCTGCCGTTTATGTTCATTTTTTTCTGGAATACCACTGGTATCTGATGTCGAACAAGCTTCCCATGTCCTGATTGTCCCGATGGCAGCGGAAATCTTTCCACGAATTGCCATGAGAGATCTTGCCAGTGACCCGCCCGTCAATTTCCACGATTTTGAGGAGAAGGGCACTAGGCGACTGAATATCGGGAACGATCACCCCGTCGACGTCCGTAGCGATCGGCGACGGACTGTCTTCGTTGGCACATGCAATTTCCGGGTGAACAGACTTGTCTGTTTCCTTATGGCTATCTTCTGCTTCCAAATTGGCCTCAATAGCGTTGTCTTGTGGAGGCTGTCCTAGCTCCGTTCCTACGGGCTGGTTATGAACCTCCACTGCGAATGTCGCCGTGGACTCGGTGGTAAAACCAGTTTCGATTGTATCATTAGTCGGAGGCTTTTCATGCTCGGATTTAGCAGTTGTGTGTGCACGTTTCCTGGGTCGAGGCAACTGGGTGGCACCAGTAGTCCGCGTGTCGTTACCATTCAGATGTAAGTCTTCGGTTCCTTCGACGTGATCCTTCGTTTCCACAATATCGGCGAACGGTTGAACTGAGTTGGAGGTGCCGTTGGTCGAGGAATTTTCCAACTTTTGAGAATCAACGACAGGAAGAACAACCCGTTGCCCGGGAGGAATTAGAAATGTTAATTTTCCGTTCTTGATGTCCACAACCTGCTAACACGTCAATAAACTGGTTCGTGGTAATTGAGGAGATCGACACGGCGCAAGCGTACCTTGGCTTCTTTCTCAATAAGGACCTTGTTCTTCCCTCCATTGGTAAATGTCCGCGACAACCTCCAGACGTCTCCTTTCTGAATAATGCCCTTCTCCACCAAAGTCGTCAATCTCACTTGGGAGCTCTCTCCGGACGCAAGTCTTTGATCCACTTTCTGTTTCTGGCCCCAGAACTCCTCAAACTCTTGCTCCTTGAATTTGTCAAAATTTCCTGCAGCTCGTTGCTGCGAAGCCTCTTCGGCCTGTCGTAGCCATTCTGGATCGTAACGACCGAGCTGCAGATCCAGCTGAAATTGTCGCACTCCGTCTCGCCAGTTATTCGAGTAGCGAAGGAATGTCTGGGGCAAAGGAGGGATCTTTGCATCCGGATCATCTGGCGAAGGATGCAGGCTGGGATGGACGTCTTCCGGGAGGAGGTTTAGGATTTCTTGCTTCTCCGCTTCTTCGAGGCAATCCCAAGCTTCTGGGCGCGCGAGGAGTTTCTATATTTCCAGCAATTCAGTAAGAAGAAGTTTAGATCTATAGGCATCTTCATCATGCCAATGCTTTCATACCACAAGGTCCAAATCCACTAGCTGCGAGTTCGGGCTCGTCATGAGCATGTGTTCCTCGAACCGATCTTTCGCAGCTCTCCTCGGGTTGCGCTTCGGCCTGGTGTTTCCCGCCGACATAGCGCCGCTCGACTTGCCCGCGTTGGTCGACTTCGCCGCATTAGTAGAGCCAGAAGGACGGCCCCTGACATATAATCATTGTCAGTTTTCTATATAAACCGTCGTCGTCGGTCGCGATAAGGGAGGGCGGATGCCACCACATACCTCGCCGGATGCTTTCTGGTACTGCCGCGGCCGACCGCCCTGCGCTTGCGGGCCATGTTTCCCCGGGGCAAATGGAGTGACGATGAGGACAACAACAGGAACTGCCTGATTATCAGTGAGCGCACCCACCAATCTCTCTTTTCTCAGCTATACGACTGTTGTAGAGAATTGGTTTGTGGACTCCACTGTCTCCAGAAACGATGGTGAAATCAACTCAGATCGCCAGGCTTGATGGTAAGATCCGTCTGCGCGGAGGTGGTCCAGATGAAGGTGAAGGTGAAAGCTGACGATGAGAGAAAAGGCCTGATGCTGGCCGCCTCGGTAGACGATGAGCAGGTTCGTCCCCTTTGTGAATGCTATCTGCCTGACAACATTGCCCCCAGCGACTAACACTTGTGTTTCACCGCACCCTTTAGGCCGAAGTCGAGCTCTCCGAAATCAAGTCGCAGGTCAAGATGATATTCCGCCGATTGAATCGCAACGCAGCGCCGCAGGCTAGCATTGAATCCGGGCAGTTTAACCTCCAGTAAGTGAGATTGTATGGTGCTTGGTGAGATCTGACACAGCTAACTCATCATTACGAATACCAGCTATCTGATCCAAGATGACGTCTGCTTCCTCTGTATATGCGACCGTTCCTATCCACGCAAACTTGCTTTTACGTATCTTGCCGACATCGCCTCGGAATTCACCACCACCTACTCCTCCGCGCAAATCCACTCCCCCAACCTGCGACCCTACGCCTTCGTAGAGTTCGACACCTTCATCCAACGGACCAAGAAACTCTATCAGGACAGCCGTGCTTCACAGAACCTGGATCGCTTGAATGATGAGCTGCGCGACGTAACGAAAGTCATGACGAAGAACATCGAAGATCTTCTCTATCGTGGTGACAGTTTGGAACGAATGGGAGAACTATCGGGTCGTCTGCGAGAGGATAGTAAGAAATATAGGAAAGCCGCGGTGCGCATTAACTGGGAATTGCTTGTTAAGCAGGTAAGCCTGCCCCAACCAGCCATGCTTGGTCTCAACGGCTATAGCTGACCTTTAATAGTATGGTCCGGTCGCGGGTGCCGGATTGTTCTTTCTGTTCCTTATCTGGTGGCGCTTCTTCTAGATGTCCGCACGAGGCCCCCGACAGATACCCAATGCTGACATGGATGTATGCATAATTAATTCACTGGTGGCTGCAGGACACCATCGCTGTACCCTTAAATCCCTCAAAACATTGAGTCTTCAATCGCAGAATCGTGGCTGTTTGGCTTTATTCGTCGAGCCCTTCGTATAGAGACGCAGTGAGCAAGCGGAAGGGTAGGTGGTGGACCTTAGAGAAACCGCTTATATCTCATCTTCCTCTTCATCGAAGTCGTCCTCTTCTCCCATGTCATATAGAATCCGCCCACCTTCACCGGGACCATTACCCTGCTGCGCATCGAAGTATGGTAGAACAACGCCTTCTCTATCCCGCCTCTGCTTTTCGGTGAGGCGCAACTCAAAGGTGGACTCTGGCTCTTCCTCGGCCGCTCCAGCATCCAAGTCCTCAGGCGGGCGATACAGCGGGTGATCATCAAGCAAGATGACAATCTCTTTGACTTGCTGAGGGGCGTATTGAGATGCTGGCGGTATAAAATACCACTCCAAGACACCTCGTCCGCTCTTGCGCCGATGTTCCATCTCCAGGACGATCCCCTCGGCCGCTTCATTTCGCCCGGGCTTGTCTAACCTGCCAAGCAGGACTCCATCCTGTTCTTCCTCTAGCCCGAAAACAGGTGCTGCTAAGCTTCGGTCTCGAGCGGCTTTTTGCGCCAGGATGTGAGAAAACGAATGGAGACGGATCACGGTCGTGGCGAGATATTTTAGTATAGAGAGGTGTGACGGGGCATACGGCGAGTGCGTTGGAGGGCTGGGGATATCTTGATGGAAGGTGACGATGAGGGAGACCTCAACTTTTGGTGCGGAAGGATGAGGAGGGGCGAGGAACGTGCCTAGGAATGTCGAAAGGCTGAACTGAAGGTCTGTTCTCCTTGAGTGGAGAAGCGGGTTGATGGAGTCGATGAGGATGAGGCGTCCTGTGATGTGTAAGTAGGGAAAACTATAAGGTTTTCAACGAGAGGGTATCGCATACGGCGTGAAGGGCTCGCCGACTGTGTGGGCTGATATGCGGTTGCGACTTCCCTGATGATCTCTCCGGGAGTCTTTCTTCGAGCTGAGACAAAGGCGTCTACTCCATCTGGTGACTTCAATGTCTCGAATGAAATGAGAGTAATATGAACTTTGGATATCTTTACTGAAGTCAGTTGATGGTTGTTTCAACCCCGCATAATGGGAGTATGAGGTCATCTGCGCAGGCACTGATCCCCTTATTCCAAATCTGCAAGAAAAAAACTGGAATGAAAAGCACGAGCTCACCTTCGCACGTCGGATATATTCCCTGATCAGTGGTGTAGCTGGTTGCTCCAGCGTGTCCAACAGCAAGGTCAGCGGTGAAGCGGTATCTCGGAGACTCAAAAGTTTCGAGATTAGGAGCAAGTTATGCGTTTGACGGTGAGATAGATTTGTAGGAGCCATCTTGGTCTTCAATAGCCGACTGGCTCCAAGAATTGTGGTGATCGCGGTGGCGGTGGGAGTGCGGGGGTCTCTTGCTTGGATGGAGGGGTCGGAGAAATCGGGCATAAAAGATTTCCTGGGATTGGCGGATCTTTACCATTTCAGGGTAGTCAGAGGCTCCGCGGAACGGCCCGCTGTGGCTAAGGTCCTGCGGCTGGTCATGTACTGTTGTACCCCCTCAGGTCTACCCTCTCTCAGATTTCGTTTAAGGGAATTCCAGTTCCCACATGGCATTAGCAATTTCAAAATCAACTGGAAAACGAAGAACTGTCCCGTAACCTTAAATCAGTCATAATCAAGAACAACACGGTCAGAGCGTGACAAGATATTGCAAGTCAAACAGCTAGAGTTTCATTAATTTGGCTCCTATCCGAGCGATGACGACTAAGGAATATGCTTTGGCGAAAATCGCTAGATATGAAGCTCTCTTTGCTGATAACCTCTAGTTCATAGCTTCTTTCTTCATTGGGGATGTTGAGTAAAGTAAAGTAATAGCCAATATACTACCTAGGTATCTACCTAGACAAGACGGAAATTGTTCAGGGACCGCCCTCTATATTTCTGTACCCTGGATGTGATTGGTCCTTGTCTGGTCTTCTTCGATGTGGCTAAGCGTATCTTTGCATAATAATATGAGGGTGTCCGCACAAATATAAACTACATAAAACGCCGATTGCTTAGTACTGCAGGACCCAGTTAACAAACAGGAATATCTTCTAGGAGGGGAGGAGATGCTCAATGATTCCCTCTGGAAGTTCCACAAACTGCAAGAGCTGCAAGTGTACATCAACTTTGTGCTGCATACCTTGCCATACAAGCTACGCCCCATTTCCCAGACAGCCTACAGTCTACCTATTCTTTAAGACTGGGTGTACATTCCGTCCTCAATCTTAGTTGTATATGATGCTGGAAGCTGCCAATGTGGTTCTACATGCAACCTCCGTAGCAATCAATTTTTTCAGACTCAGGCTTTGTCACCCTTCAGCTTCGCACGCACGGCATTTGCAGGTAACTCAGATCTTGATCGTCAGTCTCCTATTTCTACACGGCCTATTGCTGATAATTCGTGTCGAATACCATATAGCCTCGAACCTTCTTAGAGCAGCGTGTATTGATGATTGTCGGAGCTTGTCATCTCTGCTTGGTCTTTCTTCGCCTCGATCCGATGTGTTGCGACATTTTCAAAGAGAGTCCTCCAGTAAAATCAAGACCAGCGGAACGCCTACTCCGATTCCCACACATTCGACAATCTTTGCGCCGACTGACCCTGGGTTTGAGAGGGGTCTGTCGACGACCGGGTAAAAGTGTTCAGAGCGCTGCAGACACCGATCCACTCGAGCTGGTATTTGCAGGTGATATAAGACGAGCAAGCCGTTTGCGCAAGTCTCTTGTCTTAGATTTCAAAGTCTGTCAGAAAGGTGTATATGGTTAATTTAAGTAGATTCGTATGCAGACTGATTTGGCCGGTGACATAGAACAACTAATAAGGCTTCTCTGCCTTTCAAGAGCGCAAATAGACGGGAGCTGCCTCATTTCATCGCAGAAACCCGTCTAGTGGGCCAAGCTGCGTCAAACTTCTTAGATGTGCCGCAAAAATATGATAGCGCCCACTGGCCAAAAGCATTGGTGCTGAGCGGTTGGATTGGCTTGATCTTATCGAGATACTGATCAATACAAAGGTCTGATCACATCTTGTGTCCATGAGAATGATCCGCTTAGGTATCCTGCTAGTCCGTTCTTCTGCAGTGATTTGATATAGCACGGTATCTCCTATCGGATCTACCACCATCACAGGCGCGGCATATATACTAGAGAGCCACTCAGGAGCCTGTAGGCACTAATGAAGTGGTGCAGTGAAGTTAGAACCTAGGTACTTGTATCTTGATTAGCAGCCTTATGATGAGAGCGCAGTTATGATCTTGATCATTAGCTAAAATCAAAAGGATACTATAAGAAGTGGCTTGATGTATGAGAAAGAACTGCAAGTCAGAGAGTTGACGTCCCTAAGAGTGACGGCCTGCGCGAGTGGTTCATATGGACCCCCGTATAAAGTTTAATGTTCAATTTCCGTCGGATGGTGGAACACCCGCTGTTATCATACAGACCTGCTGCCTCATTGTTTTCTTCCCATTAACTGATACCCCGTTAAAAGCAAATCATGATATGAGCCAGTGAGATCATTACTTTCGCTATTCATTCAATATCCACCCTTACAAGACCGATCGTGTGACTGCCACGAAACCGATCCGCCTCCCTCATCGCACTACCTCCACTACCTCCAAACATACCAGAACGACGCCATAGTCTTACAAAACATGTCCGAACCCCCAGCGAAACGCGCCCGACGCGTAGATAGCTCGACCATGTGGGATATGAATGATCGAAGCACCCGCTCCCCGGAGCCCCATTCGGACTTGGATAGGAGTCCTCGCCGCGAAGCACATCCCAAGGCAGACGGGCGCCGCGATGACCGAAGGTACCGATCGCGCTCACGAGAGCGAAGGGATAGACGCCGAGAGAGAAGTTGGTCGAGGGATCGTCGCGATCGTGACCGCGACCGGAGAGACAGAGATCGTGAGGGGCGGGGAATGAAGGATAGAGAAAGAACTGTCAGCCGCGAAAGACATCATGATAGACGAGGTAAGTGCATTCTCAGGGGAAGAGTTTGGCATGTTTCTGATTTTCGTTCAGGGTACCCTTCGAAAGGTGACCGATACCGTTCTCGATCTCCCGTTCGGAACGGCAACAGAGATTCTCGGACACCGCCTCGCGGCCCTCGGACAGAACGCAGGGGCGATCGCAGGGACGTTCGGGCACATGAAAATGGATCAAGCGACTCGAAGCTCCCGCGTCGGGCCAAAGATGACATGGACATGGATGTGGATGATGTGGACGGAGATGATGTGGAGGAAATGATGCGCAGAAGCATGGGATTCACGAAATTCCGAAGCACGAAAAACACCAAGGTCCCTGGCAACGACATCTACGGCGTGCGGAAGGAGAAGAAGACGGAATACAGACAGTACATGAACCGTGTAGGAGGATTCAATCGGCCGCTCAGTCCTTCGCGGTGATAAGCTGGTCGGATTTGAGGGTTTCTTTGCTTTTGCCTCATACCCTTGTGACTTTCTTTGTTTTCTTTCATTTCTTCCTCGGGCGACAAGCTACTTTAGACATGTCTTGCTGCAGGTTATGCATTCTTTGGCGCGGGTTTCCTGGTTGTCATTATGTCGGTTTTAAAGAATCTCTTCTATTTATGTTGAAGGTACATGGAAAAGAAACATGAATTTTCCTCAATCTTTACATAAAATCCCTGCAAAGCTCGAAAGGGTTCATCCTTGGGCTGCAGCTTGATATCGCTTGTGCAGATAGAGTCCTGCAGTATCAGGATCGATATCCTGGCACATGACTTGAGGTGACGTAGTGCCTTTCGAGAGCATCTTATTTCACCGCAGCACTCCTCAAATAGTTCCACACTCCCAAACCCACCATCGTGGCTTCGAACAGGACACTTACTTCTTGCATTGCGCAAATTGGCAAAATGGCAGCCAGTAACGAGCGCCGTGATATTGTCATTGTCGGTATGGATTCTACCCCGCACTGCGAGTTGATGCACCATACTCACGAATTTACTGCAGGCGGAGGCATCATCGGATGCTGCTCGGCATATTATCTGACAAGACACCCATCCTTTGACCCGTCGCGTCACTCCGTCACTCTCATCGAAGCGTCCGAAATTGCAGGCGGCGCGTCAGGTAAAGCTGGGGGTCTCCTGGCATTGTGGGCGTACCCCAGCAACATTGTGCCGTTGAGTTACAAACTACATTCTGAACTCGCCGAGGAACACAATGGAAAGGATCGCTGGGGGTATAGAGAAGTGGGATGTGGACAACTTATCGCTCGAGGCCGTGCACTCAACGAAAAGAAAGAGGGCGGCGACGGCGGCGACTCTGTGTCCCTGCAGAAGCGCAGTGCTGCAGCGTTGGGAAAGTTGAAGAGGGCCCAAGTTCCTCAAGACCTAGACTGGTTTGAACCTGACCTGCTTAGAGGCTATGAGAGCATGAGTGACCCGGGCGAGACTGCTCAGGTCCATCCATACTTGTTCACTACATCGATGGCAAAACTTGCTGAAGAAAAAGGTGCCAAAGTCACACTGGGCTCAGTCACAAACATCGGATATGCAGATGACGCTGTGGAATCTGTCACCTACACAGACAAAGAATCCGGTGATTCAAAGACGATTCCTGCTACAGACGTCGTCATCGCGGCAGGCCCTTGGACAAGATCTGTCTTACCCGAGGCGCCGATCTCATCCATGCGAGCTCACAGCGTTGTGATTCGCCCTACGAGGCCAGTCAGCGCGCATACTTTGTTCACGAACATCGAGATCCCGGCCAACTTCGACCCTGCGAAGCCCTCGCGTCCAACCGTTGCAGCGCCTGAGATCTATGCTCGCCCCGATGACACCGTTTACGCATGTGGCGAGGGTGATCAGACCGTCCCGCTTCCTAAAACCACAGCAGATGTTGAGGTTGATCAAACACGGTGTCAGGAAATTATTAATCAGGTGGGCAGTATTTCTGATGAGTTACGCAATGGGCAGATTTGCGCCCGCCAGGCTTGCTACCTTCCAAACGTCACCGCGGTGCGCGGAGGGCCTTTGGTTGGTCACACAAGCACTAAGGGTTTGTATCTTGCTGCTGGGCATACATGCTGGGGTATTCAAAACGCTCCGGGCACTGGAAAGCTGATCAGCGAATTTGTCTTCGACGGCCAGGCTAAGAGTGCAAAGATTGGATCTCTTGATCCGCGGAACTACCTTTAAAATATATACTATAGACACGGCTTTAAACTATGCAGGAGTCCCTTTTGCATCCCCTTCTGAAAAGCCTGGATGCTAGTAAATGAGTAATACTAGGTGGTATTTCAAATAGAATGCGTATATTACTCCAGAATAAGAAACGCTCACCATATCGAGTGCATTGCATAAGTACCTGTATGGAGTACATAGGAGCTTGGGCCACATGGTGCGGGCCCCGTACGTAACATGCGGAGCGGAGGCCGACCGATAACCTGCCGTTTGGAGCTCATGCCAGATAAATAACATCGTTCTGCGCAACCCGCAACAACAACACCAACACCAAGAGAGCTGGACCTCTGATTGCCAGAAGATATTACAATTATACATGGGATCCTCATATTGAGTCATTGTTTCCTTTTACTGGGTTGCCTGGATGCTCTCTGTGTAGAAAATGCATTGGTTCAGCCCACTCCCTCTCTTCGCATCGTTATGGCTCTATGCGGTTGCGGTCCTCGCCAATCAAGAGCCCGTTGACGACCTCTCCGTCCTTTCCAAAGAGTTCGCAAGAGCCAACAATCAGTCACTATTATGGGGCCCCTTCAAGCCGAACCTCTATTTTGGAGTCCGGCCCCGGATTCCCAATAGCTTGTTCGCCGGGTTGATGTGGGCGAAGGTGGACGACTACAACACGGCACAACAGAGTATGCCCCGAAATACCATCTCAATGCCATTCTGCTCGACCATTTCGAAACCTCCTCGCTAATTACCACCAAGACTTCAGGCACACTTGCGAACAGAACGAAGGGATGGCTGGCTACGGATGGGACGAATACGATATCCGAAAGGGCGGCCGTGAGACGATCCGCGACGTAGGAAACTCCTTGGACTTGACTATCAACTTCATCAAGGTCCCTGGCGGCCAACACGGAGGAAACTGGGCTGCTCGTGTGAAGGGTGTCCCGCGCGATGATGCTTCGGCGGACCAACCGACTTCGGTCGTATTCTACAGTGCCCTGGAGGGACTTGGGAATCTGGGTGTCGCAAACAATGTCGAGGATACTCGTGGCATTGAAGGCGATGTGAAATTGACGGGGTACACGCCCGATCTTGGTGATTTCTCAATTGATGTCACCGCGGGCCCAGAAAGCAACGAGCATCCAGAACACGACCATCCGATTTATGACGACAAACCACTGGATCGTACCTGGGTAGCTAGCGCAACCATGCCGTCGGAACACATCTGGCAGACCAAAGGTCGGTTCCGCATTATCCAAGATAGGGTGTATGCTGACAACGTGTAGCCATTATGTTTGCCCAGATGAAGGAGAGCGTCAACGAAATGGTCGCGAAGTATGGCCAAGAAAATCCGCCCCCGCCTGCGCAGGTCTTTACTATAAAACACTCGCCGGGTGATGGTAATATTCAACTCGTGCAGAAGGTCTTCAGGGGCGCATTCGAGGTATGTCTGATCGCGGCAACATGTGGGACAACGTATAAACTTACGGATGTTAGTTTGATATTCTGTTTTCTTCTGGATCTTCTCCGCAACCGTTGACCTGTAAGTTCCATCACACAATGGGTCTAGAATTGGTGCTGATTGAATGCAGCCGACGCTATCACTCAAGAGATTGAAAGCGCCTCGCTGTCTTTTGCCGAACGTTTCGATAGAGTCCTTTCACCAAAGGCTCCGTTCGATTCGGTCAAATACTCAGAGTTCTCTAAGTCAATGCTGTCTAACCTGGTCGGTGGCATTGGCTTCTTCCACGGCGCCGATGTCGTCGACCGTTCGGCAGCTCCCGAATACGACGAGGAAAATGAGGGATTTTGGGAAGAAACGGCTGAAGCCCGGGCTCAAGCTCAGCCTGTCCTCGAAGGCCCCAAAGAGCTTTTTACATGTGTGCCTTCTCGTCCTTTCTTCCCGAGAGGCTTCCTTTGGGACGAAGGCTTCCATTTGATTCCTGTGATGGAGTGGGATCTGGATCTTGCGTACGTGCTTGTCCAAGCCGTCTTACCCTAGACAAAGCTGCTAACATTCGAAAGCCTCGAGATTGTCAAAAGCTGGTTCGGCCTGATGGATGAGGATGGCTGGATTGCTCGAGAGCAAATCTTGGGCTCGGAGGCCCGTAGCAAAGTCCCGCCTGAGTTCACGGTCCAGTACCCCCATTACGCGAACCCCCCGACTCTGTTCGTGATTTTGGAGGCGTTCATCGATAAGCTGGAGGCGAATAAAAACATCTCTGTTCAGGACACGCCTGATGAAGATGAGACTGAGCGACTTCGTTCTGCTTATCTGCAGCAACCCGAACTGGGCGAAATGTACATTCGCTCAATTTACCCGTTGCTCAAGAAGCACTACTTCTGGTATCGGAACACTCAGCGGGGTGATATCACCTCATACGATCGAGAGGCATATTCTACAAAAGAGGCCTATCGCTGGCGGGGACGCTCTGTGCAGCATATTTTGACCTCCGGCCTCGATGACTACCCTCGGGCGCAGCCTCCACACCCTGGTGAGCTGCATGTGGATTTGATCAGTTGGATGGGAATGATGACTCGTGCCCTCCGCCGCATCGCGGAAACTCTGGGTGAGACTGAAGATGTGGAAGAGTTCAAGGTATACGAGACCGCGATTGAACGGAATATCGACGACCTCCACTGGGATAACGAGGCCCAAACCTACTGTGATGCTACGATTGATGAGTTCGAAGAAAGCGTCCATGTTTGCCACAAGGGATATGTTTCGATCTTCCCCTTCTTGACAGGCATGGTTGGTCCTGGTAGCCCTCGTCTCAAGCCCATTTTGGACCTGATCAGTGACCCGGAGGAGCTTTGGAGCGACTACGGTATTCGGAGCTTGAGCAAGAAAGATGAGTTCTACGGTACAGCTGAGAACTATTGGAGAAGCCCTGTATGGGTAAACATTAACTACCTCGTGTTCAAGAACCTTTACGTGAGTCAACTCCCCTGAACTCTAGGTGTTAGGAAATGCTGACTTGTATGTAGGATATTGCAACTGTGCCGGGACCCCACCAGGAGCAAGCCCGTGAGATGTATTCGAAGCTGCGGAAGAATGTTGTTGAGAACGTCTTCCGAGAGTGGAAGAAGACTGGGTTCGCTTGGGAGCAGTATAACCCAGAGACCGGCAACGGTCAGCGGACGCAGCACTTCACTGGCTGGACAAGCATGGTGGTGAAGATGATGACCATGCCGGACCTCTCAGGCGACAAGAAGGGGCATGATGAACTGTAGAGGGTCCTACAGAAAGGGTGTAGATTATAGCAGATGCCAAAAGAATACAAATGTTTGTACGCTATTACCTGCCGATCAACGCCAAACTCCGTAATAGGTGAAATGTGGCACCAACATAGTTCAGCGGCGTCGATGGTAGTCCGAGTCCCTGTCCTTGGGATGCGGACGATGACGATCGTCTCGATGCCTTCTCCCATCATCTCTCCTGGTCCGGCTTCTTGACCGCGATCGGGAATGTCTAATTCGGCGATCCCGATCCCGCGACCGAGATCTCGATCTGTGCCTGTGGCTCCTGTGGCGATGCTCACGTTCGTCTCGGTGTCTGTGATGTCTGCGGCCCCTATCTCTTCCGCTGGGCCGGTCCCGTCGCCGATCCCTCCCTGGGCTCCTGCTGCGGTCATGCTGCCGTCTCCTTTCTCGCGGATCTGAATCCATCCCGACAGCTTCGAGCTTCTCGTTGTCGCTAGTCCCGGGCATAGAAGGGCCTGTACCACGATAAGAGCCATACCCAATGCCTTTGGCACCTTCATCCCCAGCCAAATCTGCTGCTGCACTGTCGTGAACCGCTTTCTGAACATCTTTGTCGCCCAAGGGCGTCATGTTGGGATTCGCAGAAGTATCCTTCACCGGCAATGGAAGTCCCAGCGCCCGCGCCATCGCTTCCGCTTCAGCGTCCTTCACCCGCTGTAATTCTTCACGTTCCTTCGCAGCTTTATCCTCATCATTGTCTGACCTTGCGTACCACATTAAGTCCCGACCGCTCTGCCAGCGTCCCACAGGGGCCATGACGGAGTGGCCGAGATAGTTTTCGCGATGCGAGGATTCTTTGACATCGGACCATTTGAAGTCGGCGCGGCCGCCGCTGGTGAAGGATGAAGTCAGTACAAGTCAGCGCATGACCACAAGTGAAAGACTTACCGGCTGCCTTCTTTGCGAACACCCGCCACGAGATCCATGTTGGCAGGGTAGGAGGTCGAGAAAGTTGTTTGGGAGGTGGGAGAATCAACGGCGGATGAGCGCCGATAAATGCGCGGAGAGCTATCGCATGTGGCACGTGCGCTGCGCCGTCTTCAGGCGGCGAATTTCCATCTCTGCTCGACTTCATCGACCGCAACTCTCCCCATCTTCGGTTTTTCACCATGATCCGACTCTTGCAAGCCTCTTCAGCACGGAGATAGCCCCCAGACAGATCATGTTACCTGAAACGATCCTGCTCGGCCAAAGAACACTTCCCGCTTCTTGTGATGTCACTCCGCCTATAGTTGTTACAGATACCCCTCATGTTCAGCGAGTGGTTCTAATATAGTTGATATCCCCGCTAATACCACGCTCCCTTTCCCTTCCACTGCAGCTACTGCTTCCTCGGAGTCTAGGGGCTTTCTGGGGCCAGTGTTCTTTTGTCTCTTCTTTACATCTCCCTCCTCTCGTGCATTGCGCGTAGGTATGGCGTTCAACAGTCGAAACGTCCATGATCGGTCTTCTGGCTGGAGGACCCGACCCAGGGAGGGCCTGCAGCTCCGCGCATTGAATGTCGAGAGAGGTTCCAAAAGAGTGCGTCGCTCTTCACCATGGCGCCGAGATATCATACTGACGCTTGGCTAGTTCTCTTTGTAAGCCCTGTGGTTTGCTGTTGGTGAATTCCACTAACTTAGGTGTTGCTGCAGAGCGGATGATTCATACCCTCCTCAGACAGCGACATGGAGAAACAACCTGGTAAATCGTCTCACATCAGTTTCAGACATATCAAAACAAGCTAACCAACAAAGACTGCGCTCTCTCAACGCCGCAACCTCTTGTTTGTTGCGTACAGCCATCAGATCTATGTCTGGGAACCAGCCGGGTCATTTCAGACCCTTGGTTCCAAACCCGAGATGAAGATCACTCCAGTGATGAAAGATCCTTATAGTGATGGTTACATATCGCCAGCCACGCCACATGCAATCAACAATATCCTTGTAGATGATTTGGGCCGCGAGGAAGTCCTCCTTCTTGTCACTGATTCTGGAAACGTCTGTGGCTACCGTGTTGAGGCTATCTACTCAGCGTTGAAGAGAGCCGCAGAGAACAAGGAAGAACGCCCACTGGACGGCTCCCAAGTGGATCCTTTCTTTGTCGAGTATGTCGATGCCAGCGCTTGGGGCCTGGCCATTCACAAGTTCGCCCGTCTTATTGCTGTATCGGCGAACACAGGCCTCATAACCGTCTTTGCGTTTGCGCTGGTCAATCCCGCATCGACTAAGAGCGACGACTCGGACCACCACTATGCGGGGGATGAAGGGAATGGCGATGGTGACTTTACCGATTATGGCCAGACTTGGCTGCATATCAAAAATAACGATCAGTTTGCCCAACTCCGCCATCTGATGCCAGAGGAACACCGCACGCGGAACATCAAGTTGACATACACGGGGCACTTCTCCAACATCCCCTCCATCTCTTTCCTGAACTGCGATCTTGACCCGAATGGGACCTGGATGGTCAGCACTGATATCGACAATAAGCTTTTGGTGTGGAAGATCTGGGAGAGCCTCGGACCGTTTAATGTGTATCACTTCAACGATATCACATTCAAATCCTTTCCCCAGACACTTCGCAATGAGTACGCACCCTGTTTTTCCCTTTATACTCTTTTTATCTCTACTGACGGATTCAGTAGCGAACGTGGCTGGTCGGTCATAGCTCTCGACCCACGAACCTTCCACCTCGTCAAATCTACAGAGCAAGCGTGTGGCGGTCAACCACAACGCCGGCTCAAGAACGGACAAGCGGTTCTTGATTTGACAAAGCTCAGGAACCGAGTTCCGAATGCGTCTCGTCTTTACAACTACTTCCCTCCTGCAGCCAAGACAGAGCCAGACCAGGCTGTCTTGCCGGACATCTTTGATGCCGATTGCTGCATCAACAGTTCCTCAACTGCCAATCATCGGTTCTCTGACAATCCCTCGGCGTCGAATGTCACCATGCCCGATGCACATCAACCCAATGTCGACACTCGAAATCTCCGTCCTTCAAATTCAGCCGATACATTCAGCCACAGAGCTGTTGATGGTTCAGTGCGTGACAACCTGAGCTATGATAGCGGGTCCGACGAAGATATGGATGTCCAACCAACTCCCAGTCAGCATAGCGGTCTCGTCGGCGGTAATCGGATTCTCCAGACCCTCGAGGACTCGGATGAACCTTCAGACAATGCTATAATACAGGGTGGTCCAGGCCCCCTGACAACTCCCGAGTTCTTACAGTTTGCTCTCCTCGAGGCGCTCGGTGGAGATATCCCAGAAGCGGAGGAATACTTTGGCGAATATGCCCTCGATGAAGACACGGACGGTCTCTTCATGGTTGACGCGGCAGGAGACTCTTCCGATGACGACATGTCACCCGCAGGGGCAGTGTACCAGGTCCTTGACCGTATGTTGTCTCATTCCCCTCTGGCATCAGGTAAATCCAACAGGGCTAACCCATCTCCAGCTCCAATGAACGCAAACTTCCCAATTCTACACTTCTCACAAACCGACATCCGCCTCATCCCCCATCCCTTTGCCCCCCACGCAAGCGTCGTCTGTGGCGAACCCCTCCGACAACCCTTCACCCACCCCATCACCTCCATCCGGGCCTGCGATCGCTTCAATATGGTCAAATACATCCCCGAACACGGCATCGTCGTCGCAGCCTCCCAGAAAGGCCGCGCCGCCATCATCGCCCTGACCGAATCCAAAGACACCGGCCTCACCTTCCGCCTGGACTGGGTCGTCCCCTTCGAAAGCCAAGAGAAGTACGGCGACCGTCCGCTGATCCCCCTACTCGGCATGAGCGTCAGCCCCATCCAGGGCTTTGAGATGCCCCCAGACGTGCCGTATATTCCGCGCGCCGTGAGCGACAGCAACCTGTCATTCCACTACAGACCTACCACCGAAGGCGATACCTCCAGTCAGAGTGGCTCCTCGGCGCATCGTCCAGGTGACGATGCCAACGTGTCATCTGAGCTCGGTGATCGCAGCGATTCCAGCCCCTCCACGCCGGTGCTCAATCCCCGCGACGGGTCCTTGTCCGACACAGCACAACAGCCGCCGCTCACGCTGCCGGAGTGTCATGCCAAAGCCACGCGTGCCTACCAACCCGAGGAGCGCTGGCGCGGTTGGAATCCGTCTCGTCGGTACCGTCTGCTTCTCATGTATGCGGATCATACTGTCATGAGCTACGAGTTCTGGTACAATTGGAGTACTACTGAAACTTCCGCGGATGAAAGCGAGGACGACTATCTTGTTGTCTAGGAGGACGTCGTATGATGGGCGGTTTTCTATTTCAATGTTGTTTTATATGTATTTTGTAGATAGATTAGCCCGTGGTTGCAAACATCATGCTGGAAAGCAGGCGCATGGGGCAATTTGACAAGTCTCGTTTCTCAAGCGTCGATTGTACTAGAATCGACTGAGACATAAAATACCTTCTTAACCTAGTGAACATGGTATACATTACACAGAGTACATATCAGGCGTGAAATGGACATAACATCGTTGGTACAGAACAGGGAACCCCAACCTGGACCAGGCAACGCTAACAGTAATAAGTGGGCCATATGCAAGAACATCATCATCATAAATATGGGGTAGCAAGTGCTCAAAACAAACATGAAGCCAGATCCAAGGTAGTACACGACTTTTCGCTGAAGATGCACAAATCGTAACACGGTCTTAGAAATCATCATCGAGTTCGTCACTATCCCATTCATCTTCCCGGTCATTCATGACCAAATCCAAGAATCTTTGAAGTCCCGGACGATGGATCGGTCCGTTGCCGTTGACAGGTTGACCTGCCCGTCCTGGCATCGGACGACCGCGTACTTCAGCTATCGCGCGCGCCTGGGCCTGACGTTCGGCCTCCGCAGCACGGCCTGCCGCATCGAGACCATTCGCATTGACTCCTCGCCCCGCACGGTTGCCAGGATTGCCACCGCCCTCGCGGACTCTTGGGGGAGCTGGTGCCGGCGGGGGCGGTCGTCGTGCTGGTTGCGCGGGGAGGTCGTCGATGTCATCATCAAAGTCCCACGCGGGCTGGTCCTCGTCATCACTGCTCTCATCGAACAGCAGCTCGTCGGGGATCTGATGGAGGGCCTCTGCGCCGTCGGGGTTGATGCCGTCGCCGCCTTCCATGTCCCACAATCGATTGAAGCAAGAGCTGCTGATATCGTTGAAGTGGCGATAGGGATTGTCCTCGCACAGCCAGCTGGAACACAGGTAGCAAAAATGCGTGTCGCATTTGAAGCACTTCATATGGTTGCAGCCCATACGTTTCTGGCAGGGGGCGTTGCATGTCGGACATGGAGAGGTGTACAGTCGAAGATACTCCTCGGTAGCCTTTTCCTCTGCCGACAGCTCTGCCTCGCGGCGGGGGAAGCAACGTACGAGCTCGCCATGCCAACCCTTCTTGCACACGCAGCAGAAGGCGTAGTTGCAGTCCTCACAGATGGCGACGCGGTCTGCCATGGGTGGGAGCTGGCCCTCGTCACCGAGCGGGTCGAACACCCAGCCTTCCTCCTCAGAGTCAGAGGCGTCGAGGTCGTCATTCATCGGGTCCGTGGGTTTGGGGTGTTTCTTGGAGCGAGCGGCGCCCTGGCACCATTTTCGCGGACAGTAGATGGTTGACTTGTCGGCCTCGAGTTTCTTCTTTCGTTTCAGGAAGACATATCGCTGGACGGTTTCCTGCTCGAGCGGGATCTGGAGAAGTTCACTGGGGCTCAGAGTGCGGTCGACCTTCTTGGGCTTCTTTCTGGGCGTGGTGGCGTCCGCATTCGCTCTGGCGTCCTGTTCCTTCGCGCAGTCTGGAGCCAAGCACCGCACGCTTTCGACATCACCTTCTGTGATGCAGTTGTTGTAGAAGTCCTGGAGACATGGGACGCAGAAAACATGCGAGCAGAGCAGGAGACGGTGGCAATTGGCGCCTTTCTTCGGCTCAAGACAGACGCCGCATTCGAAGGTTTCTTGTTCAAATTTCTCGCGCTCAGCCTTGTTATTGAAGTCGAGCATGGCGACCTTTAGGGATCTGGGAAGTTGTACGCCGTCGTCTGCGATGTCGTCGATCTCGAAAGCGGTGTCAGCCAACTGCTGCAGGTGGTCGATGTACGAGTAGATCACAAGACTTCGGCCACATTCCTCCCAGAGGCGCTTTCCATCATCTACGAGTCGAGAGAGGATCGGCGCGGGAAGCCATGGCGGGTCTGTGCTGAGCTTTATGACCGGGGAGCGATCGGCGGGGTAGCCATCGGGAAGGTCGATTTCGAGCCGTAGAGGCGGGAGGTGTGACAAGACATGTATGTCTTTGTCTGCATCCGCGGCGGAGTCCTTCCTTAATGAATTGGATGTAGACTCATGGCCGAATCCGGCTTCACTGACGTCGAGAGATGTCGGCGGCGTCAGGACCGTTTGGAAATTCGGCTTCTTGTTGTTGATGGAAGCACACCCGAAGAGGGGTCGCCGGTTTGACGGGCAGATCGAGAGTGGCACGGAATGGCACAGACGGGTCAACGGCGATCTCCGGGAAGATAGCTGTAATGGAAGACAGCTCCATAGAGCGGTCATCCTCTGGAAGATATTCTATATCGGACATTGTGATGACGGTTCGGTGGTGTATGAATAATCAAGCAAGTCGATCCTGAAGGACGGTGGCAAAAAGTTCAGTGGATGTCAAGTAATCCGAGGATGACCATAGTAGATGCAAGAGAGTATAGTCGTCATTCCTTCGAGGTCAAGGCCCAACGGACGCTGGTCAGAAGTGTTATTGGCGATGGTGAGGAAATGATCGGGTAGAACTAAGGAAGTGAACCGTCGCTTAGTTGTCAGGTTTGAAAATATGGGAAGGGTGGCGAAGAAATCAGGTACCTCCAGAATGTACGGAGTACGGACTACCGAGGGGTCATGGAAGTAATAGTGTCGTCAAGCGAGCGAAATAGATGGAGGATAACGAGGTGGATTGTGGGGGGAGAAGAGGATTGACGAGATGAAAAAGGAGAGAGACAGACGGCGTCATGGTTTGCCTGCGGGATCAACAAAAGGCGACGATCATCGAGAGAAGAAAAGAAAGAATCAGGCAGGATTGCTGCCCAGCGGACCTTCTTGTGATTTGTGTCCAGAGGATGTCTATATTTTTTGCAATTATTGAGGCCATATCGAGACTCCCCCGCCAATGCACGTGATCCGGTCCCTGATAAGCAAATCACATGATCCCATGGTCATCCCGCTGTCAGGCTGCTTTACGCAGACAAGCGGGCTTAAAGCGGCATCACCCTGGGGAAGTAGACTCCAACAATGATTATCATCACCACTTCGAGTTGATCTGACCCTACTCCGTACCACCGTCATAATGGACGACACTCACTTGGCTTCATTCTCACTCACTCACGTCCATTATGTACGTCTGCTCCTTTCTCCGACCCGATTTCCGCTAACCACTGACTCCAGAATCCCAACGACCCCCTTTCGTTTCTCTCCGCCTGGCTAGCCCTCGTTCCCCAAGCACTATGTGTGGTCTATGCCACTCTGATCTGGTCCTCTCGCGAGGCGGAGGTGTTACTGATGTTCGCCGGGCAAATGGGATGTGAAGCGTTGAACTTTGTGCTAAAACGGATCATCAAGGAGGAACGACCGAAGCGTATGTGTTTTGTTCACCGCTTTGATTCCCAACCGGCTGACAAGACATCAATGGCTTAGAAATGTTCGGAAAAGGCTATGGCATGCCTTCGTCCCACGCGCAATTCATGGCCTACTTTGCCGTATATCTCAGTCTCTTCCTCCTGTTTCGTCACGTCCCGACCACCTCATCCCAATCCGCCCTCTCGTTCTGCATGCGAAGCATCCTCGCCGTCGGGCTTAGTGTAGGCGCCGCTGCCGTGGCAATCAGTCGCATCTATCTGAACTACCATACTCCCCGGCAGGTTCTCGCCGGTTGTGCTGCGGGAATCGCGTGTGCGTTGGCGTGGTTTTGCATAACGGGGTCCCTCCGGGCCCATGGATGGATAGATTGGGCGTCGGACTTGGAAGTAGCCAGGTTCTTCCGCTTACGAGATCTGGTGGTAACTGAAGATCTGACTGAGGCCGGTTGGCAACGGTGGGAAGCAAAGCGGAAGTTGAGACGTCGAGAAAATAGTGATTATCTTGCTGCGAAATCTAAGTGACTGGTTGGGCTCTATTATATACGGAGGATATATCACATAGTTTATTAGTGCATGGTTTGATACCCCTTGTGTTTGTTGATTCTTTTTTGACTCGGAGACCGTGGATATATATGTTTGTCGCGCGATGTATATTCTGAACTACATGTATGGACCTGACATGGATGTGGTGAGCACACAGCCCAGTAATCTAAAGTCAATATAAGCATTTCAATAATAGTAACAGGATTAATTTCTATAGGTGATCCAGGATACAAGAGTACAAGAGGAATGGAAATGTCCCCCGTCTTTCGGTACCTTGCACGTGACTGTGCGGAGATCACCTCGAAATCCCGCCGCTGTTGAGATCGTTATCAACGATTGTTGCTGCCGAAATCGCCCCCCGCAATCGCTTCCAACGCTTCTTCCACCATGTGTTTCCAGCTGGACTGAGTACCATGCCACGGCCTATTCCATGGAATCTCAGGTTGCACGCTTGTCAGTGTCCTCGGTTCCGTTAGTCGGCACTAAACAACCTGGCCATTGATTGTTGATCACCGACCTTTCTCTAAACCTGAGTCTCTCCTAGCAACATCAGCTCCTCCTTCTACAAACATGGATGAAGCCCCAGTGTCTGCCGACCTGGCTTTGCAAGATCCTCATATCGTCCGCGCCGATGAGGTCGATCAAACTGGGACTGACATCAGTCCGGTCTCGGACGACCAGCTGATGGAAGAGGTTGCCGAGGGCCTCAGACAGGAGCAAGCCTCACAGGCTGCACAACCTGCTGCGTTGGGTGCACCCTCGGAGCCCCAACATCTCCCCCGCCGTCCTGAACTGCGTCGGGATGGATCTGCGCCCCCGCCTCCTCTACAGCCACCTCCGCCGGCCCCGATCCAGCAGAACATGGAACGGCCTCCAGACTCTCTCAGTTTGGCACAGCTCAGGCAACTCGTCCAGGAAATGCCCAAGGTGGAACAACCTGCCTACGCCTTTGAGTATGCCGATGCGCAGCCATTCGCAGAGGAAATTGAAGAATGGTTTCAGTACAGCGACTTTGATAGAGCTATGCTCCTTGGAATGAGGTCGTCTTTCGACAAGAAGTGGAGCTCGTTCTGCCAGAGTCAGCAGACTGAGACGCGGGTTTCGTGGATAGATGCCCCGGGTGATCTACGGAAGCAGTTCATGAGTGAATTGATTACAAGCCTTGGGGAAACTGCAGTATTTCCTCGCATCGAAGCCTTGGAGGCCATATGCTATGCTGTCACTGGCGTCTGGGCAATGACTGCCGGCAGAGCTACGGATGACTATCCCGTGGATGAGTCTCAGGCAGTGGATCCCAAGCCCAAGTCGCTCCAAATCAAGTGGATGGAAACTAATGTAACCTTATTTTGCGAATGCGCTGGCATCGAGCCATTATTCGCGTGTCTATGTCGAGCCTTCGAGAAGACTCGGAACCCCTCCAATAACGATATGGACCATGCGGGCGTCGAAGCGAATCAAGCCTCACTTGCTGTTTCAGAACGGGAGGCCAATCTTGTTCTCACGGCTTTCTATTTGACAGTAGAGGTTGGTCGAAGGCAGGAATCCCGTGACCCTTCGAATGCACCTCTCAGGGACGCCCTCATGGACTTGAAACCTAACCTGCTAGTGTTCTTGGTTGAGATCATAGCACGATTGCGCTGGGACGATGCCACGAATGTTCCGCTCACGAGAATCATTCTTCTCTTCTGGAAGTCTCTCCTTCTCTTTTTCGGCGGCAGCGACAGCTTGAAGAAAGCCAAGGAAGAACTGGAGCCGTCGTTTGAAAATAAAGAGGATGCCTCTTCTCGGCGGACCCCCTTCCTCACTGCATCCCCTCTCGACTATCACGCCTTTCGACAGGAGATCACATCCAAATACCCATCATACAACCCGCCTCCACCGGTGGTCCCTCTGGAGTTAGAAAACAGCTCTATCCTTCCTCCTCTGCCGCAACACCCGAGTCGAGCAGTCTCCTCCAACGGCCTCTTTTCCGGAGTTGGACCCTCCGTTGCAGGTGGAAATGGTTCGATCCTTCACCAGTCTGTTCATATTGCGACCCCGGCACCATCACCTCCCCCTTCTCCCATTGGGCCTGGAGGCAAAGCCGGAAAGAAACAAAACTATCAGACTAACCAAAACTTCCCCTTTATGTATCCTCCCCTCGACAATTCCAGCAACGACCTCGGTGGGAAGGGCACTACTGAGCTCCAGGATGTGTTGGTGGGAAAGAAGTGGGAAGGGAGCGATGTCCCCGCATCGATTATTGAAGCCGGCAAACTGTTCTCCAGTCGTGTGAAGATGACGCGGGCCATGCGTCAACTCTGGGAAGAGCGGGAGCGATTTATGAAATATGATCGTGGTTGGTGGCTGGATGACAGCGGTAATGCATCGGATGACGATGTTCAAGATGAGCTTGCCGAAGAGTTGGAGGGTCTTGATCTTCAGACAAAGAAAAAGTCTGGTCCTACATGGCCTTCGCAGAAGGAAACTGAAAATGAAGATATCCAACGACGTCTGGACGCCGTTGAAGCTTTTTACGTGGGTTCCCATGCTGAATGAATCGGAATGTTATTACTGACGCTCCTGCAGACCGAAGCACTTGTGCATCTCCAGTCGATTACGATTGTCTTCTTAAAGGTCATTTTGACAAATGTCAGTGCGATGGTTAATCAGGCCAACGGGCAAAGTGGCCAGAGCAGGAGGTATGTGACTGCCTGTATTTCTGCCGAGGGTCTTACTGAACAGGTTCTAGCGATAGTTACGGGGCAGTCAATGGGCTTGCTCGACACGAAGCGGCTCTAGATTTCGACGCTGTGATTGATGAGCTTGATAATATCCGGCTACGTGAGATCACAGGCAAAGCCATCTCAGGATCGCTGCTGCTGTTAGTCAAGTGGTTCAAGAGATCTCGTAAGTTGAATTTATTAGACGGGAGAAACTTAGACTAACCATGTCTAGATATCCTGAAATTCGAGTATATGACGCAGCTGCTACTGGATTCGAATTACCTCCCATTGATCCTGAAAATGTTTGCTCACCAGGATATCGATCAAGCGGTAGCACAGAAAAATGACCGGGAGGAATTGGGGTAAGTAATATGCTCGTTTGAGCCCTTGAAAATATACTGACGGTGGCAGGTTCTTCCATTTCTGCCATGTCCATTCGGACCAACCGCCCGAGTCACCGTCAACGGACGAAGAGTCCAGCGAGGATGAGGCCGTTCCTCCTCCCATCGCTCGACACCGTTCCGACGCCGCAGCAGGCAGCACGTCTGTGCGAGGCCCGTCTCCGGAGGAACCCAGCCCTGACTTTGGCGACGGTCCTCATCGCCCGGAGGTTGACGAGCTGGGCTACCCGACGGCACCGCCGCCCAAGGAGCCGATCAAGGTGTTCTCGTTCCGCAACTTTTTCTCCGCCATTAATTATCTGCATATAATGCAGAAGATCACACGGAACAAGGCCCATCGGTGTCTTCTACTCGTTCAATACAAATCGAGCACAATTCTGCGGAAGGGACTCAAGATCCCCGATCCTCATTTGCGATTCTACACCCTCAAGCTGTTCAAGTCGCAGGTCCCGTACTGTGGCCGTAAGTGGCGACAGAGCAACATGCGTGTCATAACAGCCATCTACCTCTACTGTCGACCGGAACTGCGCGATGACTGGCTGGCCGGATCGGATATCGATGCTGAGGTTGAGGAGGCTCTTCCTCTGGAGCAAGCGCTGCGCGGTCTCACACATTGGTGGCATCTCCGCCGTTACAAGGACGTGATGGGCGGCGAAGAGGGCGCTTCACTCATGGAGGAGGAGCGGGACTTCTTTGTCCGCGAACTCGAGTCTATGGGATGGGGGTTTGCTGGGGAGGAGATGCTGAACGGTGAGGACGACATGGGTGGGTCTATGATGAATGGAACTGAATGGGAGGGCGCACCTATGCAGATGGAGGGATGGTGAGACGATGATAGAGGCACGTTAATACCCAATAGATGAATATGATTGATTGTTCCGAGTGAATTTTCTTCTTTACTTGCTTCTCATCCGTTCATTACGAGTACCTGATAATTTGGTGCTTATCGATAAGAGCCACCACGTGACCATCGCTGCGGCAACTTTTTTTCTTGGACCATCAAAGCCTGGCCGAGTTCACACCCCCAACCAACACACCCCCGGGTCCTACAGCGCGGTCGCTGGGTTATTCGGAACAAAATGTCGTCAGACGAGATTGTCTGGCAGGTGATCAACCAGCAATTCTGCTCCTACAAGCTGAAGTGAGTTGAATGATGCCTTCTTGCCCCAATCCAAGTTTTTCTACGGCTCGTCCTAGACATGTGGAACGACAAACCCCAATGCAGCAATAAAACTGAATCACGAGGAAACAAAACTTACTGACACAAACAATCTCGACAGAACCACAAAGGGGCAAAATTTCTGCCGAAATGAATACAACGTCAGCGGCCTGTGCAACCGGCAGTCGTGCCCGCTGGCCAACTCGCGGTATGCGACGGTGCGGTCTGACCCGGAGACGGGGGCGATGTACCTGTACATGAAGACGGTGGAGCGGGCGCACATGCCCAGCAAGTGGTGGGAGCGGATACGGCTGTCGTCGAACTACGCGAAGGCGCTGGAGCAGGTGGACGAGCGGCTGATCTACTGGCCGAAGTTCCTGGTGCACAAGTGCAAGCAGCGCCTGACGCGCCTGACGCAGGTGGCGATTCGCATGAAGAAGCTGGCGAAGGAGGAGGAGCGCCTGGGCGAGCGGGTCGTGCCCAAGCTGGCGCCGAAGATCCGTCGGCGAGAGGAGACGCGCGAGCGCAAGGCCGAGTCGGCGGCCAAGGTGGAGCGGGCAATTGAGCGCGAGCTGATCGAGCGGTTGCGCAGCGGTGCGTACGGCGATCGGCCGCTGAACGTGGAGGAGGGCATCTGGAAGAAGGTGCTGCGTGGGTTGGAGCGCTCCGGTGATGGAGAGCGGGACGAGGATATGGATGATGGGGAGCTGGAGGACGAGGAGGAAGAGGGCGTTGGCGAGGTGGAGTATGTGAGTGACCTCGAGGATGAGGAGGATCTGGAGGATATCGAGGACTGGCTGGGTGCCGATTCCGCCGACTCGAGCGACGACTATGATGAGGAGGATGATGAGGACGAGGATGAGAGCGATGAGGAGAGTGACAAGGAGGACAGCGATGCTCCTAGCGACGAGGAAGAGGTCAAGAAACCCAAGCCAGGCTTCAAGCGGAAGCGTCCTGCTCCCCAGGCCAAGCCGCGCAAGAAGGGACCTCGGATTGAGATCGAGTATGAGACCGAGGGCACTGGCAAGGAGAACATCCTGGCCTAGGTGGAATATACCTAATGACCTCTTACAATGTTGGCGGGAAAACGAAGAGAAAAAGAAAAGCAATGGGGCTTGTTTCTGTATGGCGTTGAGTGGTTTTGTTGAGATTTCTTCTACTGTTTATCTTTCTGCTACTGTTGTGATCGGGTCCGTCATACCCTGCGTGACTTGCATATAGTGTTTTGCAGTAGACATCATGGAGTTATTCAAAGTTGAAGCCGAACATTTTAATGTCTCTATAGATAGGCTTAGCAGGCGGATCACGTGCGGGGGGAAACCAAGTGGAGCCAACATCATCATTCAATCCGACACACTCGCAGTGTCAACCATGTCCTGATCCCGCCCCTGCCATCCTCCTATTTCTTTGCTCCCTGCATTAGTCTGCTCTGCATTTCCCCAGTTCTGGTGTTCCTGGCGTTGTCGCATTTGTTCTCCTTCGTCAACATCGCCTCATCCATCTATCTGCACCCCCCGCATTCGTGGGCTATCGCCTCCCACGGAAGACCACATCACAAACGATACGCTCCACCAAACCACAGAATGACCTCGTATTTCTCATCCCTGACGTCCTCATCGGCGATCTCGAATCTGGGGACGCGGTTGAACTCGCTCCGACGTGCCATCACCCTCGGCGACGAGGGCGACGACCCCGATCACGAAGATTGCTCCCACATCTCCAACGTCCTCCGTGCGTACTATACCGAGAAGGGCCGTCCGTTTCCCTCCTGGCTCCCACCGGACCCCAAAGCGCCCCAGCCCTCGCCGGCCCGCACCATCGCGACCTCGCAGATTCAACCCGGCACCTATGGAAGTGCCCCTGGGGCGTCGGCGTACGGACGCAACAGCGGAGGCGGCCTAGGTGACCTCTGGGGAGACTCGGGAGCAGCCCAACCACCCGCTGCGCAGACGGCCAGCCTGCGACGAGGACGAGGGAACCCTGGCAGTGTGGGCAGTGCCCCTCCTTTGACCACTGCCAAAAGCGCACCCCACACTCCGATGGAGTCGCCGCCGATGCAGTCGGGATCACCATCGCTGCACCCCGCCGGAGCACGACCGCTGCCTAGCCAGCGGGCCGGATCCTACCAGACGGTCTCGGGAGGATTGCCCGGCACTCAGCCGCTGGAACGAGCTGCATCGGCCCAGGAGCGACTTCGCGCGAGATTACACGGCGGCCGATCCCCCAGCCCAGGTCAGGCTCCGGGCAATCGGCCGGGCTCGCCGTACTATGGAGGTGATCCCAGTGCGCGGAAGCCAGTTGGGTTGTCGGGGCGGCGGTGAAGGGAGTGCAGTGTATTTCAGGAAGATGGAAAAGTGACTGAGGACAGAGACTTGACATTCTAGGGTGATTCGTGGCGAAATTGTGTACATACAAGAAGAGATAGATCCTCTGGGTACTGCTGGCTGGTCCTGGGTTGGGATTCCGGGGGAGGTGGTTTGATTCAGATGAATATTTTATGATAATTAATACAGTCACTTCTATATGTTCTGTTGCTTATAGGTTGTACTAGGTAAAGGACAATCTGAAGAAGTGGATGGGTTGTTGTTGGGTGGACTGCTGACTGGGGAAGATATTCTAGAACCATTTTGGCCTTGTTGCTTCTTCCGTCTTCCCTTCTCCAACTCTTTTTTCCATCCACACGGAACAGGGAGCCAACATCCCATATTCTGGCACTAGTTTACCGACGTCTTCCGGATCACATGTCTGAGGTGCAGATGCAACAATACGCTAACTCTTGATGAGAATTGCCACCCCCAAGTATACCTGGTCGGGCAGGCGTAGGGCTTCTATACGTCCCCTCACGTATTCCCTGCAGGCTGACTGTTGGATAGATTGACAAGAAGCCAAACCAGGACAACCGACCCCTCGAGAAGATTCTCGAGAAGAAAAAGAGACTCGGATTAGCGTTGTCGGGAGAACGCATTGCCGTGAGCAGGAAATTCTCGTTGAGCCAAGCCAACAGCCGTCGGACGACTCCTCTCCACCATCGCGGGCCATCCCACGCTCTGGTGGGGATGGCCAACCCATGGTCGTGCCCACTCAAGCCTTCATCGACGAATCTTAACAATCCTCCAGGGCGAATGAAAGGCTCGGGAGTGAGATCCCCTCGTGCTGGGCGTTCCAAACTCTCCGAGACCGGCATCATTTCTCCCCTTTTGGGCCATCTCGACCGACGCGGCCCCCTGTTATGCTTCGTAAAACTCCGTCTGAATCTCACCCAACACAACAACAACCCCCGGAATCTCTCCGAGGTTCCACCGTCGCGGTTCGGCTTCGGCCTCGTCCCATGGGGATACTCTCGAAATGCCGTCTCGATTCTGGCCGGCCCTGTGGGGGATGGAGAGGCCTCTCCGTTTCTTCCCCATTCTTCCTCTCCAGACTCCTTGCGACTGGCCGTCATGCCCCCCCAGATGAACTTTACAACCCCTTCATCCCCACCCTTACGGCCTGCGGTTTTTTTTCCTGACCCCCTCTTTGCTTACCTTTTCTCCAATACCCTGTCGTTCTGGCAGTGTCATGGCTCCACACTCGGCCGGCGTGACCTGACTCGATGGTGAGCGCACAAGTCGACCGATGTCCTTATAACCCGGCCCGGGTGCCCTGGGGTGACTGGCTGGTCTCCCGTGAGCGTTAGCATTCGGACTGGATTTGTATTCAGTCCTCTGGGCTACACGTCGTCTGCGTTCCTCGTGCATCTACCGGGGCCATTTCAGGCGATAAACGCTTATTTCCAGTTATATCTTCCCATTATGTCTTCCCTGAAAGATGTCGAGGCGTCTCACGACGACCACAAGGAGGCTACCGCCTTGGAGATGGACGATGTCCTGCAGGATCCCAAGGCAACTGCCGAGTTCAACGAGGCGGCTATGGACGCTGAGATTCAACATCTGGAGGAACAGCTGCGCGATGTGAAGTCCACCGGCCTGCTGTTTTCCTTCTCGAACCCTGCGTATTTCACCTATGTGCTGGTCGCCTTCGCCTCGCTGGGTGGTCTCCTCTCCGGCCTGGACCAGTCCCTGATCAGTGGTGCCAACCTCATGATGCCTGGCTCCTTGCACCTGAATGACGGGGAGCAGAGTCTGGTCAATGCCGGCATGCCCCTGGGTGCCGTGGGTGGTGCCCTCATCCTGTCGCCGGCGAACGAATACCTCGGTCGTCGCATGGCTATCATTGTCTCCTGCATTCTTTACACCATCGGTGCCGGCTTGGAGGCTGGCGCAATTAATTTCGGTATGATGTTCGCCGGCCGTTTCGTCCTGGGAATGGGCGTCGGTCTGGAGGGCGGTACGGTCCCTGTCTATGTCGCGGAATGTGGTATGTATATCCTTTCCTAACAGTCTCTACCCCCGTCTGCTCCTCGCTAACCCTATCCAAGTGCCGAGTAAGATCCGTGGCAACCTGGTCTCGCTGTATCAGCTGAACATCGCCCTCGGCGAAGTCCTCGGCTACGCCGTCGCTGCCATCTTCATCGATGTTCCCGGTAACTGGCGCTACATTCTCGGCTCCTCTCTGGTCTTCTCGACCCTCCTCTTCATCGGCATGCTCTTCCTCCCCGAGAGTCCCCGTTTCCTGATGCACAAGGGCAAGCCGGTGCAAGCGTACGCCGTGTGGAAGCGCATCCGCGGTTTCGACACGCTGGAAGCCAAGGATGAGTTCCTCGGCATGCGGCAGGCCGTAGAGGCCGAGAACGAAGAACAGGCCAGGACGAAGAAGTTCGCCTGGATGGACTTCTTCACCGAGCCGCGCGCCCGCCGCGCCATGGTCTACGCCAATGTGATGGTCTTCCTGGGCCAGTTCACCGGCGTCAATGCCATCATGTACTACATGGGCGTTCTCATGCAGAAGATCGGCTTCGACGAGCGCAAGAGCGTCTTCATGTCGCTAGTGGGCGGCGGCTCGCTGCTCATCGGCACCATCCCAGCCGTGATGTACATGGAAAAGTTCGGCCGGCGCTACTGGGCCAACGCCATGCTGCCGGGCTTTTTTATCGGCCTCGTGCTCGTCGGCGCCGGTTACACCATCGATTACAACGTCCACCCCGCCGCCGCCGAGGGCCTTTACCTCACCGGCATCATCCTCTACATGGGCTTCTTCGGCTGCTACGCCTGCCTCACCTGGGTCATCCCCGCCGAGGTCTTCCCGACCTACCTGCGCAGTTACGGCATGACCACCGCCGACGCGAACCTCTTCCTCTGCTCGTTCATCGTCACCTACAACTTCACCCGCATGATGAACTCTATGACTCGTATCGGTCTCACGCTGGGTTTTTACGGTGGTATTGCGGCCATCGGCTGGGTCTACCAGATCCTGTTCATGCCGGAGACGAAGAACAAGTCGCTCGAGGAAATCGACGAGCTCTTCTCGCGTCCGACCTCGTCTATTGTCCGCGAAAACGTCAAGCAGACGGCTGGCATTATCCGCGACCTCTCTCGCTTCCGTTTGAAGAAGGTTTTTAGCCCGGGTGCCTAGTGTTCGAAATCAAAGAGACGTACAGTGTGTCGTGGGGGTAGTTGAGCTTCTTATACCATGTTGTTGACGATGATTATGTATGATATACGCATTATGTGTTAGTGCTAACGTGACACGTGCTCTACTCCAGTATAACATTCCCAAGAGATAATGGTTCACTCGTACTCCTAGTCGAAATAAATGAGATGACATTTCAAAGTCTATATCTAAATGAATGTCAGGAAGGTTACAACATCATACACGAAGCAGAAAATCGCTCCAAACACTTCCGAAACCCAAAGTCAGGAGGAAAGACAACCAAATAAAGGAAATTCATATGAAGAAAGCGAACGACTCAGCCACGCACTTTGCGATAGCTGGGCGGGCGCCAGGACCGCTTGATCAGTTTCCCAACCCAAACCGGCACTACGGCCACAGCGCAGACGGCGACCACGCGCCAGAGCCAGTCGACCGTGATGACGTATCTCAGGTCAAAGTAGCTCCCGAGGAAGGGAACGCTGGCGGCGTAGACCAGGGCGGTCCCGATAATACAGAAGATCATCACCGGGTGCCACGTGGTGATGGCAATGGCGACCATGAGGAGCTCGTTGAGGACAAGCGCCGTGAAGGACACGCTGATCAGCCGCGGGCCCGTTATCGTGTCGAGGAGAATCTGGGATAAGCCCTGGATCACAGCACCTTGGTAGACGGAGACGAGCACCCAGCCGAAGAACGACCGGTAGCTGAGACTGCGGCCTGTCTTGAGTTCCTTGTACAGCTCGGGGTAGAGGTTGGCCAGTTCTTCGTCCACGTCCCGGTCGAACACGAGCGAGAAGACCGGGGCGTTGGTGTAGACCGTCGCATAACCTACCATGAGCCAGTTGATGAACAGGCCTTTCGGGTCGAAATGGCTGGCAATGCTGTACATGGTTTGACAGGCGCTGATGATGAGACCACGGTGCATGATGAACTGGGCTAATTTGGCGGATCTTTTGTAAGAGTTGCGTCCGTGCCATACGAGGAGCTTGGTGAGGTGATGGAATTGGGTGATGCTGAAATCAGCGGCGAGAGAGGCTTGACGTCCCTCTTTGCCGACGATGCCGATTCCGACGTCTGCGGCTTGGATCATTGAGACGTCGTTTCCGCCATCTCCGATGCAGCATACTCGCTTCTTGGTGTGATGTCGAATCAGATCGGCCACCTCGGCCTTTTGCGTGGGAGAGCATCGACAGGCAATGACAGCGGGGAGAAGGACGGCCACGGAGATAAAGGCCGATCTGAACTGGCTGAGCATAAGGGAAAGAGATTCGCCGTCAATTAGCAGGCAGCAGTCGGTCTTGTTGCGCAGAAAGTCCAAAGCTTCTTGTGCAGTAGACTTATCCTTAACTTTAGCAACCGTGTGGATGTACTGGCCTCTGGCAACCAGCTTGGCAGAGATGGCCACACAGCGCGCGGTTTCGACTTTATCGCCGGTCAACATCCAGATCTTGACTCCTGCATTGCGGAGAAGCTCGAGCGACGGTTTGACATCGCGCTGCAGCCGATCCTCCACGCCAGTCACTCCCAGCAGCTCCAAGTCCCGTTCGAGGTACTCGCCGATGACTTTGGCCATACCAACGTCTCGGCCGTGGAGCGCAAGCGAAGCCTGTTTATATTTCGTGGTGAATTCCTGATACTGCTGGGAGGAAAGCCGTCTGCGTCCGACCACTAGCGTCCGCAAACCTTCGCGGGCCATGTTCGCAGTTTCTTCATCCAGCCAGTCATTGGCTGCAACGATTGTGGACATAACGGTATCCGCACCCTTCTGGTAGAACCATATCTCGCTCTCCGTCTTCGGTGACTCCAGTATTTCCTCGCCCGTCTCAAATTGAACGATGATCCCCATGCGCTTGCTATCCGACGTGAAGGGGAATATCTCCAGGATGCGGACCCGCACAACAACGTTGCCCGTGTGGGTAGATTCAAGCACAATCGACTGGCGATCACGATAGGATAGCTTGAGCCCAACCTCCTCCGTGTAACGTACAATGGCAATTTCGTCAGGCGATGAAGCTTGGTAGTTCGTTACCTTCACTCCATCTTCTTCGTCGGTGGTTGGGGTGACATTGTGGCATAGAGCAAGAGCCAGGACGATGTCTCTGACGCGCGAACCAATCTCCCTTCTCGTCCGCGGAGCCGCTCCAAGTCCAGCTTGGGTTCCGAATGCTGCCGATGGTGTCGTGAGGGAGTTGCCCGTGAAGCTTTGTCGGATATATGACGCGACCTCCTCCATGGCATCATTTGCGTAGGAGACAGTGCCAACATGGATCTTTTTCAGCTCCATTTCTACTACTGTCAGCGATATGATAATTCGAATAAAAAGCACAGAGATGGGATTACCATTTTGGGTCAATGTCCCCGTCTTGTCCGAAAGGAGATACTCAATCCGGCCGAGATCTTCGGGAATTGTACTTGTTCTCACAACAGTATCCGGGATATCTTTGTCTCGTTCGATGAATCTGCCATACACGGACTTCGCCATGTCTAGGTTGACCCGCAAGCTCATGGGAATGATCGTGGAGAAGAGAATCAAGTAGATCATGATCGCGATGTACCACTCCTTGTCGTTGGTCGGTTCAAAACCTTCTAGAGCAACCAAGATGATGGATAACGTGAGGGTCAATGCACATAGGATTTTGGTCAAGTTGTTGATTTCATATTCCAAAAGCCCGACCTTGGAGCGCGAGGGTGATGTTGACAACGCGGCGCGAGTTTGAGAACCAGTGTAGATAATGACGGCGTACGTAATCGTGTTTGACGCGAGGACAGTATTGGCCCATGCCGTATTGTCAATGGTGAGAGGAGCCGAGTTTGCTTGCGCGCCCTCATGTTCGTCGGGTTCGTCCGTTTTATTTAGATGAGGGTCGTAGAATCCAGCCGGCGGTCCAAGTTCGATAGCACCCACGAATTCATTGACCTGTTTGTCCGGGGCGCTTGCGGTGACCTTCAATCGTGTAAAGTCCCTGAAGGAGAGACTTTGAGATAGAACGGAGGGTAAGCGCAGCTTCCAGTCCGTTTCTCCATCGAGTTGATCGGTACGAATGAAGGTATCGCTGGCCGACGAGACAGCCGCAGCATTTGGCGTTGCACTTGAGCTAGGCTCTGCGTCCACCGGATCCTGGTCTGGATTGAGAAGATCTGCAGATTCCGTGATGGGGTCTTTAGTGATTGTGGTCGAGTCATTGGATATGCTCTTCAAGATCACAACATCGGCCGGTAGACGTTGGTTCTTGCGAACCTTCAAGACGTCACCGACCTTTAGGTCACGCGACCTCTTTGTTATCTCCACCGCCCCGTCATTGTCCGGGCGCGGCTCGCCGGGATGTGTCCTTCTGCTCAAAGATCTGTCAAAGGAAAGGACAGTAAATTCCTCCGCATTTGCTTCCGCGTCCCTTCTCCGACGGCCGATATCATCCAAGGCTTCCTTTCCCAGGGATATGGAGACGACAAACGCTAAAGGTGCAATATAAGACGACATATAACCTATCCGAAGGACGGGAATGATTTGTGAAAGTGCGACGAGAAGGAAGTAGATGTTAAAGAAAAAGGAGAACTCGTTGTATAGGGTCCGTGGGAGGAAGCTCCACGGAGTGTATTTCGCGTTGGAAACGACATTTGCGGGGTATTTGGATGTTTGGGCCTGCCCAACTAGGACATCTCGAGGCGGTTTGGTCTCCGGGATGTTGTTTGCTGCTGATCGACGCGAATATCCAAAAAGGGAGGCTTTGAGACTGGAGAAGCGTAATCGGCGACCTGGCGGAGACACCCGCTCATCATCTCTGAATGAGCGAGTGGAACTGCGCCTGCCCTCGTGAAGGAGGGGCGCATCGTCGTCCGTATAGTTGCGTGAACTTGCGTGTGATCTTCGTTGTCCGTCATCGTCGCGTTCCTCCAGTAAACCTTCCATATCCTCCGAACTTCGTTGAAGTCCAGAGGGAGTCCGTCTCCACATGCGATTCCCTACACCGACTCGCAGATTTCTCAGCGCTATTCCAGGGCCCTGGCTCCTGTATCTCGGTGGCTCATCCCGGATTTGTGCTGTGGTTGGGTCGAGTTCCTCCAGGTCTAGATCTGTATCGGAGCCGGAGTCACCGGCGATGCTGGCGCGGCTGTGGGGATGAAGGTAATCGGAGGACGAAGGCATGACGGGCAGTGCAATCGCGGATGTTATGGAGAGATCCTCATAAAAGTGGCGCGGTTCCCAAGGTCCTGCACCAACCGCTAGAGTTCATGTCACTGTGAGCTACTGACAGGGTGGTTCCGCGGGACCATTGTTATTTGATCGTGGAGAAAGCCGGGATTGCGCTAGAAGGGGCGATGAAGACCAGCCGATGAAACAAATGTTGCAGAGACAATTGGAAAGATTTGAGGCAGGAGAGTTGAGCAGTGGTTGGAGTCTTTGTTTCTTGGTCATGGCCATGGTGGCCTGGAATGCGATGATGGCAGGCGGAGACAGCTCCGATCACATGATTGGCCGTGGCGGTTCAGGTATATGAGGATGAAACCGCGATGGTTTACAATTTCAATGAGGAGATTGGGCTTGGAGAGTATGCAAAGAGCTCTATGACTGTGTATAGACTGTGGAACATTATGATTCGTGTTGTATCTGGTGTTGAGCAAAGTCTATAGTCGGTATACCAACATAAGATATTTGTGCATCTGCTGAGTCATTCCCCATTTATGCACGGCAAACGCATAGGTGGCAGTTATGATGTCGGAGTTAACGCTATCATTTGCTTTCCTTCCGGTGTAATCCATCACGGCTCCCAATCGCGACCAAACGCGCCATCTCCCTCGGTAATGCAGTCATGACCTTGCTATGCTTCAACTTTCTGTGATGCATCCGGTCTAATTAATCACTACGTCTCTTTGACTCCGTGCATCGTTCGTTTTCTCGCATCTGACTTTCCATGTCTTGTTAATTAATATCTTTGTTACCCCTATACCTCTGCTAGTTGCCGCGTTGATCTGGGTAAGCATGATTTTTCAAACAACATGTCCGGTCTCCCATCTTAGACTAACAATTTGAGGATTTTTAGCGACCATGGCAGCTTCTGAACAGTTCGCCTCGTGGAATCCAGCGTTACGATCCGAGGACCATTCGATACCTACGATAGAGAACACCCTCGACCAACAACCAACTTCCCCGGCTGAACAAGTGGAATCTCAAGCTAAGACCGTCACTCCACCACCCCAAGAAGACTCCCCACTCCAAGAGGTTCCGGAAGATGTAGTGGACACGGTTGTTCCGCCTGTGAGTGGTGATACTCAACCGATCGCAAACGCCCTCGACCAAGATCAAACCCAACCCCAGCCTGAAGAGACCGATCGCGATATCCCACCTATGATTGTCGATACCCCCAAGGATACACAAGAAACTCAAGAGTCGGTCCCAAGAAATGCGACTGATGAAGGAAACGTTTTTTCGCTTGAAAGCAACGACTCGGCATTCCCAACCACGCAGAATGCGCCAGATCTGTCGTGGGCTGAGGACAGTCAGCCGCAAGCCGTCGAGCGACATGATGATTCGGTGTGGACTCTGCATCAACAAAGCAAGGAAACTCCCACCTCTCCCAACGGCGATTTCGGCACTACGAGCCATGATCTCTGGGGCAGCCCTACTTCCCCCGGTGGTGAGCACGATTTCTTTGACCAGCTGAAGACGCAAACAAAACCGATTTACGTACCCCCCGAGTCCGAATCCCGATATGAAGAAGGTGTCCCACTGCTGGACGAAGGCGTCTCTTCACCGACCGAGCCAACGGCCAACCAAGAAAGCCGCATAGACCAGATATTCGATGGTGACGAAGATGAAGAGGGCGCTTTCTTTAACGAGGTGCAGGAGTCAGCTTCAACAGACGAATCCCGACCCTACGGCCACATGACACGTAAAAGCACGTCCCAAGTTCTGGACTCTCTTGACACTTCCATGAAATCTCCGGTTAGCGATGCTTCGCCAACGGCTCGGGAGTTCGACAACATTTTGGCTGCGGCGGCCTCCGGGAACCAGGTGAAGAAGTCCACGTCGGAGGAAGATCTAGCTGCGAGGTGGCAAGCCGAGCTCTCGGATGAGGAACCTGAACCGGCCCCTGAGGATGACCTGGCGGCGCGGTGGCAGGCAGAACTCGACGATGACGATGATATGCTTTTGGAGGATGAAACTTCGGGGGAGTTGCCAAACCAGGAGATGCACATGAATGGAATCGCTTCACAGGCCGCGCCGCCTGTTCTGAGCAGCCCTTTTGGAACGCCGGAGAGTGCAGCTCGGCCCAAGGCACAGCCAACATCTTACACGCCGCATCAACCGTCTACATCAGATCTACTTCAAGGGATCCCCGCGCAGGGATATGCTCAGGGAAACACCACAACAGCTCCCAACTACTTTGCGCCTCAGCCGCCGAAACCCGCTACGAGCAGAGCGGAAAGCTTCGCGGAACGTTCCAAAGAAGGGTACAAATCACCATACGATCTGCCTGAGGATCTGGCTCGCCCTCGCAGAGCTGCCGCGACGCATCGGCCGGTGGTGGTGCCTGGCAATAATATGGCTCCAGGTCCACCCGCCGCCAGTGTTCCCCCTCCTCAAAGGGCTCCCTCCATGCCGACTCCCCCAATGGCTACATTGCCAAGTACAACAACGGCTCCGCCAGCTCCGCCGAAGAACTTCTATGAAGAGCTACCCCCGCCACCGCCTAAACCGCAATCTAGGCCGTCCAGTTCTGGACGCTATACTCCGGGTCCGGCGTCGTCTCACCCAGTTCTGCCGCCACCTTCCAATCCATATGCTGCTGTTCCACCTCCACCCACGGTTGATTCTAGTATACCGCCTCACTTGCATCAGCCGGAAAAGACGGATCCATATGTAAATCTTCTCGCACCCAGTGCGCCAAGCGCACCAAGCGCGCCCAGTGCCGCGTCTCGGTATTCGCCCAAACCTCCTTCTCTACAAGGTGGAGTCAAACCTCCGCCGTCTCCTCGGTATTCTCCGGCACCACCTCCGTCCACCGCGCCTGTGCCCCCTCGCAATCGCTATGCGTCTCAACCTTCCAGTGGACCTGGTCAGACGGCTGTTCTCCCGTTCCAGCCTCGGACGTCGAGCCCATTGGCTTATCATGAGAAGGTCTCTTATCAGCCACAGGAAGGCCTCCGGAAGCCGTCATTTGCTGAGCAAGAATCGGCCGCGGGTCCTCAAAACGAGATACAGGAGCAGCCCGTTGGACATCATGTCGGCCAATCTGTCCCTGGTGGAACGGTGGTGGATACGCAGAACACCGGTGCGCCAATGGCTCCTCAGCAGACCTCTCCTCCCCGGAATCCCTATGCTCCCCCGGCTTATGTGAATGACTTTTCCAAGCGTGTGGCGCCTATGACTAGCGCTCCTCCACCAGCTTCTGCACCACCAGCCACTGAAACACAATTCATGCCACCTCGCAGATCGCAGACACAATCCCCTAGTCAGCAAGTCTTGGGCCCCAGGCTTTCCGTGCCGGCGGTCGATCCTTTGCAACGACCTGCTTCGGTTCACGGCTCCGGGTCTCCGACAAAGTCCTCTAGTCCGTATGCTCCTTCAGCTCCTGCCCATAACCGCGTGGCTTCACAGCAGCTCGAATTTATCCCGCCAACTGATGGCCAAGAATTGGATCCTCTTGAGAGGTGGAGAGGAGCACCCATCGTCAAATTTGGATTTGGTGGTGCGATCGTTTCGTGCTTCCCCAAACACATACCACGCTACACGGCTGGCCAACCTGCGCCAAAGATCATGGCCGCTCCCGGTGAAGCTAGGATACACCAGCTCCGCGACTGGGTTCCCATTGCAGACAGTATCGTTCAACATCCTGGCCCTCTCAAGAATAAGTCCAAGAAGAAGGACTTGCTTGCTTGGTTGTCTAGCAAGATTGCCCAGTTTGAAAACGAGGGCATCTCGGAAGCTGCCCAATTACACCCAGAATCTGGCATGCGCCATGATGAGAAGATCCTGCTATGGAAGATCATCCGAATCCTGGTGGAACATGACGGTACTTTGGAAGGATCAGAACCCATCAAAAAGGCCTTGCGTGGTGTCATTTTCCCTCATCTGGCAGAGAATCCTGACTCTAGTGAAAGCTATGGAGCCAATGTCCCGTCTTTTGGTGACATTAAGCCATTAGATGCGCCATCAAAGTCCGACGCGATGGATCCTCAAGCAATCGGGAACCTTCGAAATTACCTTCTTCTTGGAGACCGAGAAAAAGCAGTTTGGAGTGCAGTAGATAACCGGCTCTGGGGTCATGCGATGGTTATCGCGTCGACCATGGACAAGTCGGTCTGGAAGCAAGTGGTCCAGGAGTTCGTCCGGCGCGAAGTCCGGTCTGCAACCGGCAACACCGAATCCCTGGCCGCGCTCTATGAGATATTTGCAGGCAACGTTGAGGAAAGCATTGATGAACTCGTCCCACCGTCCGCAAGAGCCGGTATGCAGATGATTAGCACGGTTGACGGACATGGGCCAGCCAAGAACGCCTTGGACGGTTTGAATAGTTGGAGAGATACTTTGGGTTTGGTGCTGAACAACCGTAGCCCTGACGATCACCAGGCGCTTCTGTCTCTTGGCCGGCTTCTTCTGTCCTATGGCCGCGTCGAAGCCGCGCACATTTGTTTCATTTTCTCGCGCGCTGCAGTCTTTGGCGGGGCTGATGATCCGCAGTCATGCATCGTCCTCCTCGGTGCTGATCATCAACATTTGCCATCTACTATCTTGCAGGATGAGGATGCCTTTTTGCTTACCGAGGCGTACGAATATGCCACAACGATCCTGGCGGGAGCTCCCATGGCCACACTTCCTCATCTCTTGGCGTTCAAGCTGCTTCACGCTTGGTCTCTCGCTGACCGTGGACGCAAAGCCGAGGCTCAACAGTATTGCGACGCGATCGCGGCATCCCTCAAATCCACCACGAAGCCTTCCGGATACCACAATCAGCATTTGTTGTTCGGCGTGGACGAATTATCAGCCCGCCTTAGACAAACTACCAATGATGGCGGGTCCTCTTGGATATCAAAGCCAAGTATGGAGAAGGTGTCAGGCTCGATGTGGGCGAAATTCAATAGCTTTGTCGCGGGCGATGATAGCGATGCAGCCTCTACAGGCTCTGGAAAGGCTGGAGAAGGTGATGTCGGTCCCTTTGCCAGATTTACGGGGACTCCTACCGTGAGCCGATCACCGTCGGTCACGGATCTGTATGGCCCCTATGCGGCGTCTGCAGCTCAGCCTATTCCTAGCAGCGGACCCTCCCGTTACCAGCCAAATAACCAATATGCCCCTAATGCATCTCCTGAACAACCTCGCGGACGGTCTTCGATGGACTCCCAGCGCTCATCATCCTATGGATTTCCCTTTCCCACAGCGACGGGGATCTCAGGAGCCTGCAACGCCCATGGAGAACACCTTCTACCAGGGAGGCGGGCCTTACGGCTCTCCACCTGCCGTTGGATACCAATCCACGCCCCCGCAGACGTCTTACATGCCACTTGCCCCTGTTGAAGAGGATTCCGCTACTCAGTCTTACCCTGCTGCATCCGCACCGCCGCACGAACCTGCCATGAACACGTCTCCGTACTTGCCGCCTGGCGGGCCATCTAGCCAGCCACTCAATCGGGGTTCCATGATGGACTCTCAGACGGGTGCATCTAGCTACATGCCGGCCGAAACTAGTGGGTCTAGCTATACGCCTCCTACTTTCAACACTGGCTATGAACCCCCCACCATCGAGACAACGGCTGCACCGGATACCCAATCGACGGACGAACCTGCTGATGATGTGCCTCTGAAAAAGAAAAAGTCTTTCATGGACGACGATGATGACGATGACATTGCAGCCCGTGCTGCGGCCCTTCAGAAGGCGGAGAAGGAACGAAAGGACCGTGAAGCGGAGGAGAATTTCCGCAGAATTGCGGAGGCCGAAGGTAAGAGTCTTGATCTACACGCCAATTCAGAGCAGAGACTGACTGTCACTTCCAGCCAAGAATGCACCTCAACAAAAGAAGTCGTCGTGGTGGCCTGGGTGGTTCGGAGGCGGCAAGAAAGAAGAGAACAACAACTCTGGTGGCCCCATCCGTGCTAAGCTCGGCGAAGAGAATTCGTTCTACTACGACAAAGAGCTCAAGAAATGGGTCAACAAAAAGGATCCTAACAGTGCCACTGTATCCCGTGGTACACCACCCCCACCAAGAGGAGCTGCTCCTCCTAGCAGGACTGCCAGTGGCAGTAGTGCTCCTCCGCCGGCTGCTTCTCCTAAGCCGCCTGGCCCTGACAGTCGACCTACCTCCTCTGCTGGTGCTCCTCCGCCGCAAACTGGAAGCCCAGCACCATCACTACTTGGTGCTCCTCCCCCGTTCCTCAACGCGGTTCCCCGATCTGTCTCTACAGGCGCGGCTGCACCACCGACACGTCCCGGTAGTTCTTCCGGGCCGCCGCCTCGTCCAGCAACGTCACTGAGCACAGCAAGCTCGATAGACGATTTGCTTGGTCCGCCGCAGGCACGCAAGGGCGGCACTGTCAAGGGCAAAAAGAAAGGCAGATACGTCGATGTGATGGCGAAATAAGATGTCTCCATTGTCGATGACCCGTACCTAACACTTTTCTGCGATTTGCTTTCTTCTCTATGAAGCGCGTTCTGGCTTACGGTCAGGTATAGAATTGTTGAACAAGCTTGCAAAAAGTCTTTGCATATCGTGTCCCTGCGGGGACACGACTTGATCTTAGGACCTTCTCGAGTGATTGACGACGTCGATCATTCATGTATTCTACATATGTCATGTGCATTTACATATTGGCTTTTCTGCGTGTTTCCCTTTGCTAATGATTTCATTTTGTTTCCTTTGTTTGAGCTTGAGACGTGATGGCTGAATGAGAACCAGCCACCTGGGAGGTACATGATGGAACATGATTTAATTATTCAACGGTCTAATATTACGCTAATAATTTTATTCCTGTGCCATAGTTGGCAGTTTTGTCCAGTCGTGATATTTCATATATTCATAACGCCTTCGTGATGAGATCAAGTCGAGTAAGAATTGATATAGTACTGCGGATTAGCGACGTTAGCAGGATATGTGTCCAGTGTTGCAGCTGAACTCACCGTCAGACAGGAGTCTTCTCCATTCCAGCTACTGGGCAGATAGACGTAGAGCACCAGCGCCGTCTCATGTATAAAACCTAGCCCGGTCAGCTCCACCAACACAAGCACCACGCATACAGCCTCTGTCAAACTCACAAGCAACCACCTTCGGACTCAGCCGACCCACACTCAGCACGCGGCCCCAGTCCTTCCCATCAATCCTCACCTTCGCCCACCCGGCCTCGTCGTTCTCGCCCAGTCCTCGCATGCGCTCACTCGGCAGCTGCTCGATCTGGCTCTGCGACAGCTGCCCCGGGTCCAAGGCCGGATTCACCAAGTCCGACCAGACACTCGAGATGCGCAGCGCATCCGTCGCGATCGCCAACTTCAGCGAGCCGTGCATATTCGCTGACAGCTCGAGACGCGGGGCGCCAGCCGCCCCGGCTCCAGCTCCAGCTCCAGCCCCCGCGCCCTTCGCATCCGCCGCCAGCTTCGTAAACCGCTCCGAGATGCTCTTCAGCTGGATCAGACTGGGCAGGATGATGTGAACGTCTGGGTCGCGGCACCGCGGCTCGTGCAGCCCCTCCACGGCCGACTCGTGGAGTACCTTGACGGGGATTTCCTGCGAGATGACGGTCTCGCGTTCGCGGGGGCCGTTTGCCGCCGCTGTTGTGTCAGACCCGGTGGTGGGGTCGGCGATGCCCAGCGCATTCGAGCCCGTGGTCCAGGAGGAGGCAAGAACGGTCAGCGCGAGGAGAGGCACGTTGCCCTTTTTTGTGAGACGGAGTTGGGCGGAGGTGGCGGCGGCGGCAGAGCGGAGGGCGCGGTGGAGGGCGCCGACGGGGACCTCGAGGTTGATTACGCCCGAGTTGGATTGGAGGGTGTAGGTAGATTCTTCGAAGATGGCGTCCTGGGGGTGTCAGTGGGATGGTGGATATGGGGTGCATTGGGGGGGAGGGACGTACGACTGGAAGCTGGGCCCAGACCTGGGTGCCCTGGTCGGGGATGATGGTGAATCGGACGGCGGCATCTTCGAGACGTAGCCAGCAGACTTTTCCCAGGGAGGAGAGGGAGGCGGTTAGTTCTGGGAGGGTGGTTAGAGGTTGGTTGATAGATGTCTTGACGCGACGCGCCAACTGACGCGTGCGGAGGGACGGAGACGGACGCGGGAGACGTACTGGTGAAGGTGGTGATGTTGGTCAATTGGGTTCGAAAGCGCATGGTTAACTCATAGTAGTCATTCCTGGATAGGAGGGCTGTAGGGGGAAAGGGTGTCGCATGGTGGTGGTTGAAGATGAGGTTGGAGTTGGAGATGGACAGATGCGGGCGGTGGCAGTGGAGAAGACACATTCATTCTCCGCATTCCTCATGGATAGGGTTCTGTCTACATTCTTTTTACATTCTTTGTGATATGGTGCGTTTAGGTTAGAGTGTTGTATAGATTAATGTAGAATGAGTATAGGGGTCACTTAGAATTGGAGTCTTTCATCGGATCATCTACAGAGAGGGGGTTGTATACTAGCTTCCACTCGGATAAGAACGCACACAATCCAGAGGCTGGATGGAACCTCCTTACGGTGGAAGTCAGTAAGGGCAGGGCATCTCTTGCATCCCGAAGATTTCTGCCCTTGCATCCATTCTGTTCGTCCGAGGCCTGATCGGGATAAATATAGAGCAATAGTCGGCCTAGTATGAGCTCCACCACCCACCGCGTGTCTCCATCTAACCGCCACCACTTCATCTCTTCCTCTTTCTCTCTCTCTCATCCTCTTCTCTCGTCGCGACAACATTCTCGAGCTGGTCTCATTTCTCTCCACTCCTTTCCACCCCTCACACACACACTCTCGCTCACTCACTCCTCTTCTACCCAATCGTTCTTGGCTCTTCGTAGCCATCTCCTGTCTCTCTCTCTCCTGATCTCCGTGGTCCACCCCCCATCCTCTATCCCAAACGCTTCTCTCGTTTCTACTAAATTGTCCTCGACCTGACATTCTCCTGCCTTCTTCCGAACAAGGATACCTACCATCTTTACATTCACTGCCCGAATCCCTCGAGGATTCACACCTTGCAACCGTCTCGGATCCCTCCCTCCACTCCGGATCCTCCCCCTTATCCAACCCCGGGTGTTCGCCAGTATCACCGCCGATCTCGACGCGTCCCAGCATGCGCGCTTGTCAGCCATTCTCTCGCCTCTCCCCGACTGACTCCATATTACGACCTCCCTCCATTCACCCGCGCCTGTGAACCGTCTCTGAACGAGCCTTCCACGAAGATGGCTACTCATCCTGCCAGTCCACCTCATCCCCCAATATACCTCCCGCCGCCCCAACTTCAGTCTCCCTCCGCCCGCTCCCCGTCTCCAAGTCGAATAGCAGTACCAGACTACCAGTCGATCGATCCACTCCTGGGGAAGTTATCCCCCGAAGCCACTCTCCAAGCCTTGACCTCGGCCGACGCGGTCCCGACGAACGAAAGGGGCGCCCACGATATCCTCGCTCGGAGTATTTCCCAAGTCTCACCCGCAGAACGCGCCCTCGGTATTCGAGCCGCCATCGTCGCGCAGAAACTCGGACTGTGGTACCGCGAACTCCAGGGCTGGCAATGGCCGAAAGGCACCGATGCTCACTTAGGAAAGGGATTCATCTCTCCTCCCGTCGAGACCGAGAGCGCGGAACAGGAATACTATGGGAGTCTCCCTGCGGCCGTCGTTGCACAGCATGAAAAACGTATTGAGGAGATCCGGGATGAACTCGAGAATCTAAATGTCGATGAACTCAAAGAACACGTGCTCAGTGCCCACATTCCAGCCCGGTCTCGACCTTCGTCATCCAACAGCACCGTGTCGACGCCCCCTCCGCTCAGTTATGTTCAATTGAGTGACTTTACCGCCGTCATCACGGCCACGATCCTGCGCGCCCTTCCCCTTCTGTCCCGTCTGAATAGCCTCCTTTCTGTCTGGGATGTTCGATTGTTGGTCCTCCGCCAGATCCCTGGACTACTTCGGGGCCTCCGCCTGGCCCGTTCCGAATTGAGCTCCGCGATGGACCTGCTGAATTCCAGCGATGCGCCCACCGAAACGGACCCTTTGTATTCGAGAGCGAACTACCATGTCAAGCGCACCGCATTAGAAACCACCGTTATTTCGGCTGGTAGGCGCATGGATCGGATCCTCGACTCGTTGGAAGGACGTGAAGACTCGTTGCCTGAAGCGTGGATCGACGACTTGGAAACCGTCGAGTCGGAATTTGGATCATGGGTCATGGAGGCTGAGAAACGCAGTGTCCAGAATGAATGGCGACGCGCGATGACAACCAAACAACAGAAAGCGACAGCACCCGAACTCGAGCCTATCAAAACAGATTCACTGCCCGAAGAATCTGCCAGTGCAGATGTCTTGATCTCAGCCGGTTTCCTCCCATCCGACATCACACGCCCGCATTCAATGGAAACGATAGAAGAGGAGCCACACAGTCCACTGAAAGCCGTTGCTGCGGATCTCCCCAGCCTTGATCGACCCTCTATCGTCCTGACAAGTATTGAAGCCACTACTTCTGAAGTACCTGGCGCCGTCTCATCTGAAGGCGTGGGGTCGAGTACTCTTGACCCACCCCTCGACACCAAGGCGGATGAATGCGACGTCCAAGCCACTACGGCAAGCCCAGTTGAAACCGAGTACCCAGAAACTTCCGAAACAAGGGAAGATTTGCCGTCTAGCAGTGAAGCAGGCGATTCCGAACCAGCTTCATATGTGCGCGAAGAATCGGATGGCGCGGCCAGCCCTCAATCCACCAATCTGCCTGCAGAAGAGCATTCTCCATTGCAAGAAAAACCGGCCGCGCAACTTGATGACGATGAATCTCACAACTCTGTGCCGTCTGTTTGTGCTCAACATGGAACATCAGAAACGGAGGGCGAGACGCTCCGTGCTGGATCTCCGTGCCATTCCCTATCATCTGCAGATGCTCCTTTCCCTGAACCGTCGTCGGGACCTGAGCTGGTACCTGAGCTAGACCCTGAGCAAGATGCTTCGCCTCCGAAAGATATTGACGCAGGCAAATCTATTCCAGTCCAGGAGGTATCCAAACCTGGTGAGGTGGAAACACCGAAAGGATCAACTGCGCTTTCTCCTGAGAATGAGAGTTCTCCCCACCCCTCGGCTTCATTGAACCAAAGAGATACGCAGCTTACTACTACTGACGTTGCTGCTGTGTCTCCGGTTTATGGCAACGATCTTTCTACGTCTCAGTCAAGCGCCCCATCAGAAGATTCGTCCAAGTCTAATCTATCGGACGAAGAGGAGAAAGCAGTGTCTTCACTTTCCAATACACCCGGAGAGTCCGATGAACCTCAACCTCCCAAGCGGCCTTTGGAGAGTCCCATAAAGCTCTCTAAAGGGGTATCGGCACGCCCACACTCTGAGAGGGACGATACAAGACCTCACGCTCGTCGGTCGTCTATTGCATCTGCGGCATCCTACTCCGACTACCCGTCGCTCATATCGAGTCCGGAATTCCATGGACCGCGCACAACCACATCAACGAATGAAACACCATTACCCTTGGAGACACCCCCTCAGGTCCGATTAAAGTGTGAGCCGACCGATCCTACCCCTTCAAATAATCATACCTTGCGCGCAGACCGTCTTCTGGGCCTAGACAAAGATGTGACGCCTCCACGAACCGCATTGAAGCATAACCGAGCTCTGAGCCTTCCCTTGCAGCGCTTTATCAATGAGCGACTTGATTTGGACTACGAGAACGAGAACAACCCCAGTGTGGAGAGCGCCACAGCCGACAAACGTCCAAGAGATGTATCTCAACCAACGAGGCTAAGTTCTCGGCCAGCCTCTGCTCCACGATCACTGAAGAAAAGCCGACAGCCTGCGCCGGCTAATAATACTCGTCCGCATAGTCCGATACAGCGGATGGAACCGCCTCTAGAAGGAAGCCCTGTGATTGAATCGGAGGTCGGAAAGCCTGACCGCACAAACCAATGGAAACATAACGAAACTGCTGGCCAGGAGAGGATGTCAAGTCACCCTCATCTTGAGCAACCCATCCACATCGCAGCTGCCCGCTTGAGACGGCAATTAGCCTCGCATCCCAGCCTTGAAGACATCGGGGGACATAAATCTTTTGCAGAGGAACCACATTCGAGGTCTGTGGCCAGGAACTCGTCCCGACCATCGTCTCGGAGCAATCGGCCGAAAAAGCCTAAGGACCAGATGGATGAGAAAATCAGCTCCATCCTGACGAGCATCCCAGGCAACATCTCCCTGATGCAAGCCGAGGATTCAGAGCAGGAGACATCCTCTGTGGCGTCCTTTCCTTTCAAACCTAGAGAGCTTCGCACAGCATCACGGAGTCGAGCATCATCGCGCAGCGGCACCCCCGGTCCAGGCTTGACCATCACGCCTGCTCCCTCTCGCCGGAGGCATTCCCACGCCCCGGGCGCCAATGAAATGAAGGTATATCACCTCCATGGGGGCGACAAGCCTGTTAAGCTCGCATGTCGTACCGTTGGCAGAGATGGAGAGCGTGTCATGGCACGCATTGGTGGTGGTTGGTCCGACCTCGCCGAGTATCTGACGGTATATGCTATGCATCACCGGAGTCGACATTTCGCCGAGGCTCCCCGCGTCGAAGTACAGGAGCTGTCCTCTCGCGAAACCACGCCGTCATATGTATCACCTGCTATCAGGGTGCCTTCCGGGAATGGAAGAAACACTCCATCTCGGCCTCAATCAGTTTTGAGCAATCGACCACCCTCCTCGCTCGCTGTTCGCAAACCCCGACGCTCTTCAAACGCATCTGATGTAGCTGGATTCAGGGCTGTCAGTGCTGGTGCAGCTCTAAACTCCTCGGGTACCCCGTTGTCGACAGTGTCGTCACGTAGACGCCTTTCAGTTTCGTCCAATACCTCCGCGGGCGCGGCATCGTCTGCAAACTTCTCACCCTCAACCACAATCGGCGGTACCTCTCCCACCATCCCACTGGGGCTCGCCGGGCCCAAACCGAGGTCCCGGCGTATCTCGATGACGCCGGAGAGTGAAGCCTGGGTGGAAGATGTCCTCGGCCAAGCACGACGGAGCGCATCTTTGCGGCCGCATCCCGTCACCCAGGACCAGGAATCCACCGGGCGTCGAACACCGGCTCTCGCCAAATCTCGAAGCATCAATGATATCGGTGCGGCAGGTTCCAGCAGACGAGTTGTTCTGCGTGGACTTGGAAGCCGCTTAAACTGAGATCTCCCGGTCCTTCTAAACCTAATCACCATTTCTCCCTTTACCTCGATCTTATCTCATTAATCTCCCCATAGCACTGGCGTTACCGTTTGTCCGGGTTTCTGTTTGGATCACAGCACAAGCGCGTGTCAAAAGTGTCTGGCATTTGCATTTTTATTGGTGTCTGTCTTATTTTCGTTGCATTCTCGGGCATACCTTTTATACTTCTATACAGGGCTTTACATTCCGCTGCAGCATTACAAGCGAACAGGTTTGGGGTCTTTTTGCATATACGATCTTCCGGCTGGTTCATTTGGGTGTTATTCTATTGAGCATCTTTCTGATATCTTGATACCCTTGTCTTTTTCCGGTGTCGGCCTTTTGTTAGGATTTTAGGACAATTTTCCATGTCCTGTTGCCTGTTTGTCTATCATATCGCACATAATATTTGGCATAATAGTGCATGTATCTTTCTCATTCTTTGCATATCGTATCACCCTAGGGTAGAGAACATAGTGTGAAGCAGAGTCATCAGCATTGCCATTCATAAGGTTGAGCGCCCTAGAATACGAGACTAATAAGAAGTTGAAAGATGAGAGCAGAAAATCTTTGCTATTTAGACAATCCTTTGGTCCTTGCAACTTGCAAACGCTCAACGCAAACGCCGTATCCCCGGCCCGATTCCGAATCTCGCAATAGTTCGTTAAGCTATAGAAAACACATAGATGTAGCATCTAGCAGATACTGGTATCATATCTCGTCATCCATATTCCACCTGAACCAGGTGACCCATTTCAGGGCGCCGCTGGAGCATTTTGTTGCCGTCCCGACGGCTCTTGTTTCCAGAAAATATCCTTGCGGAACAAATCTCTCAGTTCTGGTGAAATGACCTTGGGCTGCTCCGTGCTGTCACCCGCTAGAGGGCTGCCACTAGTTCCTGCGCTGACGCCACTACTATATGCAGTACTTGAGGGGCGTTGTGGTGATTTGCCTTTGTCTGGGGAAGACGGGTCCGCAGTCGCAGGTCTTCGTTGGTGGGCTGCGGGAGCCGGGAAATTATTCTTCTTATCGATGGCCTGAACGGCGCGTTCAAACCGGCGGAAGAGTGATTCCGCGCGGGTCAGTATTGGGACAAGTTCCATCGTGTTCGACAGTTCGTTGACTGAATGATCGATTAGGCTGCAGCTTTACCAGCTGGTGGGGATGGAAAATCGACTCACTGTATTTGAGGACTTCGTCAAAGTGTTTGAGATGGTCCATAATCACGTCGCGGTGCTTCTCAAGAATGGCGAGCGCAATAAACAGGTGGAAACTGCTCGAATAGTAATCTGTCCATAGTGTTTCCCAAAGACGGAGGACGTCGACCCATTCGAATTCGCGCTTGTACCAGACTAGAAGCATGCGGAAGAAGAAGAAGAAGTTCGTGCTGTCGGCGGATTGAAGGTGCAGATAGAGCCGAGGGTCCATGAGTTGCACGAGGTGGTCCAGGGTGAGGAGCTGCACGCGCATGCCTGACTGGTCGCGTAGGAAGTTCTGTTCCTGTACTCAAGTTAGTGGGATTTGTAAAAACAGAGGTTGCAAGGCTGGAGGATTGTACCATTCGATCCATGAATCCGACAAATGCCCAGAATGCAACAGCGTCGTCTTGCATGACGGCGTATATCGGCGCCAACAGGTCACTCATACCTTGGACGTAGCCAAGGTCCGGGTTGTATTCGTTATATGTTAACAGCATGTCCTTCATTTGCTCCAGATGCACGTTTGTCCCTGTATCCGCAAATGGCGAGTCTGGGTCTGGATGGGGAATGTCCTCTCCCGCGAACAGAGGTATTGTGCGATCGGTTCGGTGGACATCCTTTTCTACAGTTCGTGAGGTTGCCATATTAGCAAGGGCTCCCCATTCCAAATCAACTGCCAAACTTACCAATCCGATTCCTTTGCTCTTTCCACCACTCATACTGCTCGACCGTGGATGATCCTTCGATCATTCTCTCCCACCAGGCGCCCTTCAGGCGGATGTACTCATCGCGCTTAGAATTCATCATGACCTGACGTTCCTCTCGACTGCTATCCCATGAGTATACCCCAAGGAGGAACAGCCATGCCTCTTTCCGGACACCGTCGTTCGGCTCGAGGCCTCCGTGGAATATCCTCTCCTTCACCTCGTCGACAGTGACCTGTAACCGCCCAGTCATTGGGTCGAAGAACCCCTCCCACTCTTTCAACGTCAGGACTTTGCGACGCTCCTGGATAGACATGGTCCCAGTCTCTAGGTCGAGGATCTCAAAATCGCCAACAGAGCTGTTTTCCATTTCGAGGACATCGCGAGCCGTCCATATCCGTTGGTTGCGCTCACGTTCACTTTGTTCCGAGATGCTCATAGCCCAGCGAGCCAGATATAAACGAGCGCTATCGAATTCATCCTGCAGAGTCTGGATCTCGGGGGTCTTCATCAGACGCCGAACCTGTGGAGGGATGCGCGGATTATCGGCGATTTCGTTTGCTGTCCGGCGCGTGAAGGTGGTGATCTTGCTCAGCTGTTCCAGCACTTTCCACCTTGTTTCCTTGATTGCCTTCATGAACGGATCCATTCCAGCGTCTTGCGGCCCGCCAGCACTTGGACCTGCCGGTGTGACAGCTTGGTCCTGCGAGGTTCTCGCAGTTCCGCCTGAAGACAACGGGCGTCCAAAGGAGATCCGGTCCTCGTCAGATGGATTGATCAGGTAGACGCTACTATCCACGGCGGACCGCTGAACCTCGACATACTTCCGAAGCCACCTGAGCACCTCGTCGCCACCCCAGAACACAGTGCCATCCTCGCCAAATGGATCGAAGGACTCTTGTGTTCTTCGTTTCTTCTGTAGAATAGTGGACTGGCACTCACTGTCATGGAAAAACAGTGCGGGGAAGCTATCACCTGCTCGGGAGTTGATCACGAGACTGCCGAACCACCATCCTAGACTTGGAGGTCGTACAAGGAGGGAGTAGATCTCTGATAGCGGGACAGCAAATGCGTAGAGACCGATGGGATCTTTGTATGTCGTTGTGGCAGGGAGGGGCGGTACGAGGTATTTCTGTTTCGGCGGCGAGTCGTCTTCGGAGAGGTCGACTTTGACGTAGGTGCTGTAGGCATCACCCAAAGACGATTCGGGAACCCAGGCCAGGAGGTAGGAGGAGAGATCAGATTTTTTTGGAGAAGAGGTGGGGGTCGTGGTATTGGAAGAGGAGGGGACAGGCTTTTGTTGAATGAGGGCGATGAAACCAGGGATGTTGTCTTTGAACGAAGGCGTGGGATGCACGTAGACCTATAGAGCGGGATGAATCGGAACCGCGGTCAGCCCGGAGTAATTGAGTGGGAGGTGCGAGGCGACGCACCTTGCTTTTGGAGAACAAGAGCTTTACGCCCCTTCGGCTTGTGGCGTGGGAAATGGTGTTGTATTCATCCTCCTCGTCGTCGCTCACATCGTAGAAGGATGCTGTCGGGGAAGGCGGCGAAGGCGGAGGGGTATACTTGGCTCCGGAGCTGGCCATGGTGGATGGGAAGGGGGGATCGTCACTCAAAGCACTAGGGAGTGAGTGAACATGCTTTGAGAGGAGGGAATAAAGAGGATCTTGTTGACAGACAGCGCGACGAGAGAAGAATGCGGAGAGAGGAAAGATGAAATGAGTGGAAGAATGACTTCAGCGCGACAATCGACGTAATCGGCGGACTCCACCTGATTGCAACGCCGAACATGTGATCTATCTAGGCAACTATACACTCTCAACTATTTCAACCACCTCCCTTCGGATCGTTACTACTTGGATTAGGTTATGAGGATATTGCATTGTGATGGTTTAGGAAGAATCCATGCTAATTTCAGATTTCAGACTCGGACCTATCCGGACGTGGAGAGAGCCAAGCGTAAAGATATATTCCAAACTACCCCATTCGAGACTCCTGCTTAGCTCCCTCCACAGCAGCAAGATAGCTCGGCCGGTCCTTCACATAGAGCTCTACATCGATCTTCCCTCCGAGGTTTGCGCCTCCATTGTCCAAGGTTCCAGCCTTCACACAGGTGATGTCGGGCATGATTTCCAGTTCGGTATACAAGCTCGACCCGCAGGTAGGGCAGAAGAAGTGTTTGTTAATCTTGCCACTAGCACCAGTGGCGTCGTAAGACGAAGGGGTCCCTACAATCTGATCAGACTTGTCACAAGGGTAACTGTCAGATGAAGGCCTTTGTACCTTTGGTGACTTTAAAGCTGGTCCGAGGAACACATGCGTTGGAGGTGAACGCGCCACCAGTCCACTGCGACGGGGCGTAAGTAAACAAGTCTGGAGGACTTGTGGTTCTGACACTCACCTTTTGGCAATCCGTACAATGACAAAGTGCACGAAGGTATTCATCGGCTGTCTTAGACTCAGCATGTTGCTCTGGTATGAAAGACAGTAGTGGTGTTCTCACCTTCGGCGGAGTAGGTGATCGCGCCACACATGCAGCTTCCTGTGAGTGTCATGATAACAGAGTTGTAGGCGGTAATATTGAGGAACAGAAGAGATTGGAGGAATTTGAGGGTTTCCGGACGAATGGATCGGAGAATATTTGACTTTATATACAGTGGACAATCGCAAAGCGGGGTGTTCAAACACCGGAACACCGGCCGGCGTTGGCTTCAATCCCCGAACCTCGAAACGCATAGCTTCGCGTATGATGTCTGATTGAGAAACAGTTACAGAAAGTCGCTGCTGTCCCTTCTGAGTAGAACTTCACTTGCTGGCCTATCATTGTCATAGGCGCTGCGAGCTTCCCCAGCCATTGCTGCTACCCCTTCGAAAAAGGGAAAGCAGCGGTCCATAACCCGCAGCACATCTTGAATCGCATGAATCAACTCCTCTGTAAGTCTCTCGATTTCCATGTGTCCTGCGCCCCGTTCAGGACCATTCAGTAAATCCCGATACCTATCCCAATTTCCGGATGCTAGAGAGCTTCTCAGAGCATACTGCAAGACTAACATACTAGGTAGTGTATGCTGCTTGCATCGCGCAGCACGCAAAGCACGCAGAGTGCGGGAGCGGTATTGACTTGACAACTAACGATCCTCCGGAGCAGCTGCCTTCGAGCTGCATTGGTTGAATCAGAGCAGAAAGGCATCGCGTAACCGCTAGTGCAGAGGTCATATAGATTGTTGAATATTTCATCACCTGCAGGTCGTCAATGGTTCCACATGTATTCCGTACTTCTGCCGACCTGGATGGTTGAAACCCTGGAGTGTCAAAGTACACATCCGCAACATCTGATGGAGTGATGGCGGCCAAATCGCAATGCGCCATGGTAGAAACGGCGCGGTCAGATAATGCTAGAAGTCGGTGGAGTTTCACGCGTGCACTCTTCGATGTTAGGAACCTGTAAAATCCACCTGAAAGCCGGAGCTCTCACTAACCGGATTACCATTCTAAGCAGGCCGGCCTGACCGGCGGCTGAGGAAGACGGTGATAAATACTGGCACTTTGAAACATGAAGACATTAGATGTTGATACCGAAGAGGACTTGGCATGGAAAGTCCAGCGGAGACAGGGGGAGGGATAACAGCCATCTTGTTCGAGTTTGATCATCTCTTTCTGTGGCCCACAAATATGTTTATTGTCCACAACAAACTCTCATCTATAAAAAGTTTCAATGATGCCGCTGATATCAGAGCTTTATCCAAGTGTAGGGTCCTTCTGAGACACAGATATGTAAGGCTATTTGGTTGATTATATCGAGAATTCGGATATAATACTGTCTGTTGAGTGTCAGCAAATACATCACCAGTTCTTTGATATAGACGATAATGAATATTGAGATCTCGTTTGCGTGATCCTTCCAGAGGCACTTAATCTCGGACATGTGATAGTTCGAATCGCACGCTACAGTTGAACTATATAGGTAGGAAGCTTGCTTTAGTATATCCGCAATTGGCGACAGGTAGGCCACACGGACTGCTCTTGGAAAAGACAATCTAGATTGCAGATCAATGCCCCTCGTATCATTTGGCGAGCAACATTGAAGAAATTACCTAAAAGCAACCAAGCTCTGCGGGGGAACACATAACCTCTTCAGGTAATAATATGCCTGTCCAATTGAAGGCGTATGATTCACAGGGATCAGATCTGCATCATGCATCTAGTTCCCCATCCTTCATATACAGCCGTGCCTCCATGCTCTAGATATCATATTCTTCTATCTGACAAAACCAATGTTTGATATCTGACAATGTCTGAGCTTGCACGCACCCTTCCAGCTTCATGGTATCGCAGCCTCCCGCTGTATCAGTTGGAGAGGAGAGCGGTCTTCCTGAAGGTATGTACACGGGACCACACACTGCGTGCGCAAGAGTCTGATGGCCATAGTCCTGGTACCTCCTTGGGCCTGTGACGAGATTTCAAAATATCGGGGAGAGAGTCGAGTATGAGATTGCCCAGCAGTCTATCCTTGCCTATCGAAGCTCAGGAGATTCGAGCTTTCCTGGACCGGACGAGATATGCGTGATCTGTGCAAAGACAGTTCGTATCGCGCCAGTGGGATGAGATACACAAACCATTGACCCTGCTATAGGAGAGACCATTACCCAATCATGTAACCCCGACAGGTCTCGTATTTGCCGCTTTGTCCGATGAAGCACCTACTTTTCACCAGTACTTTCCCGACCTAGAGCCGTTACTTGAGCGGGTGGATTTCACCAAACGACCGTACAAGCGCAGCATCAAATACGAGGGTCGGTTCAATTGGAAGACCATGTAATTGCATATATTCGACTAGTGGGAAATCGCTCGCTGACCAATATCAGGGTGGATGGGTACCAAGAATGCCTGCATTGCCAGTATACCCACCCCTCGTTCTCCATCTACTATCCGCCGACATTCTACGAAGTGCACAACCACCAGAATTTCTCGCAACATATTGCAGACCCAATGAAGCCGGATGACGGCTTGTTCCTTTATTTCTTCCCAAATTGCACTCTGAATGTATACGGTGGTGGAATGTCATCCTTCCGTGTCTGTCCGACCGAAGATCCCAACGTTACCAGGATGGAATTCGACTACTATCATGTCGAATCTGGGGAGAAGTTCGAGGAGTATTACAAGTTTGTTCGACAAGTTGCTCTGGAGGACTACGAGCTCTGTGAAAAGGCTCAGGATAACCTCACGAAAGGGGTATATAGTGAAGGGATTCTGAACCCATCCAAGGAGAACGGTGTCTCCTGTGAGTATTCATTCCCAGGACAGGTTTTGACTTGCATCTACTAATGTTCTTTAAGACTACCAAGACCGTGTGTTTGAACTCGTATGTGAACAGCACGCTGCAGATATACGGGGTCAAGATCAGAGTCGTTCCATGGACCTTGAAACTGTCGAGTCGGCGCATGTTGAAGCAGCGGCATAATACATCGTGCTTCGATTAGCCAACCTGTAGGAGAAGATCTATAAAGTTTGCCCCGAGGCTATATAGCATCAAGGATAGTGTTTAAATGTCGTCCCGACCTATGTAGTAAATGCCCTGTTCATGGCTTGTACCACCGATCGATGCATGGTGTATTTCAGAATTTCAGATAGTATAGAAGATAGAGACTATCATGAGAACCCCACTCCCCAGTTAAATGCGACGCATTCAAGTAACCAAGGAAATCAGGACCGTATAAGGCTATGGTATGACTTCTGATATCATTTGCTGCTCCTTCCTTGCTGCAGTGGACCATGTGAAATCGACATGCAGGCAGGTGGTGGAGACGGGATCAGTGCTCATTTGGGATCCGTAGCTCCCAGGGATCCTTAAAAGGCAGGACGGTGCTTTATGTTGCTCAGATTTATTTGCTCCTACGACTGTATAACGGATAGCCACTTGTTGATGCCGTCAGAATGGATGCTTTGAACTCGTATACCCCGGCTCCAGTGCTGGTTGCCATCATGACACTTCTCTTCTTCTTCTATCGCGCTCGGCCATATCTCTTTCTTCCAGACAATAAAAAGCTTTGCCATGATGAAAGCGAGCGTACCAGTCACACCCCTCAGCCAGGGCTGTCCCAGGCCGTTTCGAAAGAGTCGGAGTTCCCCGAAGCATGGTTCGTGGGCAACGATATCTTTGAGCTCGAGAGACGGGCTATATACAGCAAGGTAGAACCACCACCAGCAACAAGATAATTACTTAACAAAACATCTATTCGCATTTTAGAACTGGCTCTATCTGTCCCATCGCAGTCGGTTTGTCAAAGTAGGCGACTACCAAACGTTCAACATCGCAGGGTTCCCTATATTCCTGATCCTGGGACGCGACGGAGACGTCAGGGCCTTCCACAATGTCTGCAGGCACAGAGCATACACTATCACCAAGAAAGAGAGCGGATCCTCCCCGGTTCTGGGATGTCGCTATCACGGCTGGAGCTATAACGCCTATGGACAGCTCATCAAGGCCCCTCACTTTGATAACGTTCCGGGGTTTGATAAGTCGCAAAATGGCTTGTTTGCGGTTCATACTTTTATGGACCCAACGGGCTTTATATTTATTAATTTGGATGCGAGCCGGGCTGTTCCTCCGGTGGATATCGATGGCTTATCTTTGTTCGTCCGGAGCAATGCAATGGAGGGCGCCAAATGGGTTAGAGGGAAATCTGTGGAGGGAGGATTTAACTGGAAGCTGGGCCGTAAGTAGTGCATGGTAATTTCGGGACTAGATACGGCTGACATTGTTTCCAAGTCCGATCTATGAAGTTTTTTGATATTACACCAGTGGAAGATGAACTCTCACAACAGAGCTCTCTACGGTTTGCTCTCAACCTGCTGGATTTCCGCCGACCACCTCAACACCTGCACCTTTTCCCGATGAGCTCTTTTCATACTATCAAAGGGACACGGGCCTGGTATACTTTGAGCTTTGTTCCCATTTCCGCGAAGAAAACATCCGTGCGATACGATCTATATACTCGTGGAGATGAATGTTCGCATTCCGATATGCTTACCGAGAGGTTTGACAGTCTATTAGTCAGGTTTAATCAGGCGCTAGAAGAGTATCAAGAGGGGTATGTGCCAATCATGCGTATAATTAAGGATAAGTACTGATATAGTGCCTTCATAAGGGCTTTGGTGTCCATGAGCTCGGATGTCGAGTTGGACGGTATAGGTCAGTTCCCCACGACCCTGTTTATTGATGCTAATCACCAACACTGGAATGTGAAGACATGCAAAGAACTATTCTGGAACGCCTTCAGGCGCATGTAAAGCTGGAGAAATCTCTCGGCGCCGAAGTATTTCCAGCCATGCGGAAAGGTCGAAACAACGCCAGGTTTGAACAGGCTGAGCAGCGTGAGTTTTTCAGCAACCGCAATACTGCTCTCTGAAACAGATCACTAATTCGTATGACAGTCTGTAGAGAGATTGAATGTTCTGGATCGTCTCGTGCCGACTTGAGCTGGTGATGCCAGCAACCACGTGGTCTAAATGAATAGATATAATTAACAACTGGTACACTGCTCTCATTTGATGTCGAGCCATTGTCCTAAATTAGTTATCTCCCGTTGCGGTAGATACAGTGACGCAAAGACTCATCAGCGGTTGCGGCGTTCCTTGGATCACCGTATCATCGTATGATCTCCTTCAACACATAAATGGTACGACGTCATGCTTCTCGGGGGTCGATTTCCGCAAAATGAATTTAAGCTTGGTGAATTGTACCTTGAAAGCAACTTTCTCTCGCAATGCCACTCCATGCAAGACTTCTGTCTCGCAATTTAGGGCTGCGATTACTAACTCAATCCAAGTGTTCACGTACACCATTGAGCTGCTACTCACGAGTGCCAGGGCGTCTGTATAGTCACACTACCAAATTCAATGTAAGCCAATCCCCCTTCCCCCCGCAGAGATCTCAGAATTGACACTATACAAGTCCGCAACCCCCAGCGACACCATGAAAGCCCTCGTATACAACGGACCCCAAAAGCTGGGAGTCGAGGACCGTCCGAAGCCAGAGCTGAAAGAGTCCACAGACGCGATCGTACGGGTGTTGCACACCTCTATCTGCGGCACAGACCTGCATATCCTGAAGGGGGATGTTCCCACTGTGGACGAGGGACGCATCCTAGGCCACGAAGCAGTCGGGGTGGTTGAATCCATGGGCAGTGCCGTGTCCGGGTTACAGACCGGCGACAAGGTGCTGATTTCGTGCGTGTCGGCCTGCGGCGTGTGCGGTCCATGCCGGAAGGGTCTCTCTTCGCACTGCGCCTATGGGGGCTGGATACTGGGTAACACGATTGACGGCACGCAGGCAGAATACGTGCGAATCCCGCATGCGACGTCTTCGCTCTTCAAGTTGTCTGACAAGATCGATGTGCGGACGGCGGTCGTGCTGTCCGATGCGTTCCCGACGGCGCTGGAATGCGGCACGCTGAGCGCGCATGTGCAGCCCGGCAATACGGTGGCGATTATCGGTGCAGGCCCGGTGGGCATGGCTGCGCTGTTGACGGCGAAGCTGTACTCGCCTTCGTTGATCGTGATGGTTGATACGAATGATGCGCGGCTGAAGAAGGCGAAGGAGCTCGGTGCGCACGAGACGGTCAACTCTGCTCAGACTGATGCGAAATCGGCGTTGAATGCCCTGACGGACGGACGTGGGTTCGATTCTGTCATTGAAGCCGTCGGTATTCCTGCGACTTTTGAACTGTGTCAGGGGATCATTGGTGTTGGTGGTTCTGTAGCGAACGTGGGAGTCCATGGAAAGCCGGTTACTCTCCATATGGAAAGGCTGTGGGATCGTAATATAAGTAAGTGTCTTACTTGTCCAATGTTTAGTGTTTAGTGGCAGACTAACGAGTGGCAGATATCAGAGCATCGCTGGTGGATGCAACTACTACGCCGATGTTGCTGCGTCTCTTTGATGCGGGTCAGATAGATGCTCGTCCATTAATTACACATGGTGAGCTCATAATTTGTGCGGAGTTATCTCCATTTACCCGGCTGATCCATACTAGTATTCCCGTTTAATGATGTGATAAAGGCGTATGCGACTTCCAAGGAAGCCGCAAAGGAAGAGGCAATGAAGATTGTGATTGATATTGCGGAAGAATAGGACAGGCTAGGTATGATTCAGCCCTGCATCGTTACAGTAAATCAAGCTTTATCAAACTTTCTGGGGCGCTATATGCTCTTATTATATTGTGTTACTCCAGTTGAATGAGAGAGATTGCCAGAACAATCTAGATAGACACAAGAGTGCCACTCGAACACACAAACTAGATGAACTACCTACTCTATAGAAGCAGTACCAATCTGCTGGATACAGCCACAAGACCTATATCAGTTCCCCATGCTTCTTGACTTTTGTACATCCATGGTTGTTGAATTCACATGGCGAGGTATTACGAAAGGGATATTGGCCATTGGATGGACGAGGTTTCTAAGGTTCGATGGCACATAGTTACTCGAATCATTTCATCTGCGGTGCAGCGCTGTTTGGCAAACATAATGCTTGTCTCCATCTGAAGAGATTCCGAGGAGATGTAGTAGCGTTACATCATCGTCCGTTTGGGCCTGCCACGCCGTGGCCGCATCCGTCGCAGACTCCAGAACATTATAAGTCACTGGGACACGCGCAGACTCGTTCATTAAACAGACATTTGTCGATGTATGATAATACCAAGGCATACTGTGATCCAAAATTATGAGTAGAGCTCCTGTTCTCCGTCGGCGGATCCTCTCCGGGGTGACCTTGGATGCGAGGCATTCCTTCTACTCCCCGAATGGGATACCCAACAGACTGCCTTATTTCTCTACACAAAGGAGTTTTGGCAATGTCCCAAAGCGATATGCTCTGGGCCGCGACCGTCCCTGGGTATCCTATGCGCTTGTTCTTTCGGCATCCGCCGCAGCGAGCATATACCTCTACGCGCAGAAGCAAGGCAAAATACGACTCGAAGGCGCCCAGGAGAAGAGTCACGGTGCAGACCCGTCGCTGAATCCCAATGCGAAGGAAGTAATGCGCCAACATTCGGGTACATCTCCCGCCCATATCGCCGACCTTCCTAGGGAAAAGGCTGTCTTGACGACAGCCCCCGACGTTCCTCCCCCTATCGAACGCGACCATCCTGTGCTGTTAGAAGTCCCGCTGGAAACAACGACCAAGATGATCCAATTGACAAGCGCTTATAAATATGAGGCATGGACGTTCAACGACTCCGTCCCGGGGCCCTTCATCCGCGCCCGGGTCGGCGATGTGGTCGAGCTCTCTCTGACGAACCGCGACGAGACAGGAAACCCACACAACATCGACTGCCACGCCTTTTTAGGCCCCGGAGGCGGATCAGCCATTACCACCGCCTCCGAGGGCGAGACAAAGAAAGCCTACTTCCGGCTCATGTGTCCCGGTGTGTTTATCTACCACTGCGCCGCCGCTCCCGTGCCGGTGCACATTGCCAACGGCATGTACGGGCTGATATATGTGCAGCCGGAGGAGGGCGACCTGCCCCCCGTGGACAAGGAGTACTATGTGATGCAGAGCGAGTTCTACCACGAGCCGCCGGAGAAGCTGGACAACGGGCGATTGTCGCCGGAGGTGGAGTTTTCCTATCCCAATGGGCTGCGCGAAGAACCGAGCGTGGTGGTCTTCAATGGCCACGAAGCGGCCGTGACGCGAGACAAGCCGCTGAAGGCGCGGATTGACGAGACCGTGCGGATCTTCTTCGGCAATGCAGGGCCCAATCTGACGAGCTCGTTCCACATCATCGGCAGCAACTTTACCAACCTCTACCGCGACGGAGATGTGATCAGCCCTCCCGGGCGGTTCGTGCAGACGACGAGCGTGCCGCCCGGATCTGCCACGATTGTCGATATGAAGATGGTGGTGCCAGGGACGTATACTCTGGTTGACCATGCGATATTCCGCCTGGACAAGGGGGCGGTGGGTTATTTGAATGTGTCGGGTCCGGAGAGAAGAGAACTTTATGGCAGCAATGAGGCTCCGGCACCGTGTGTGGGATGCAAACTGCATCCATGAGATACTCCGTACTACGTATCATGAGGAATGGATTTGGACTGTCCAACAGCCTAATATAATGGCATTACTAATGGGGATCCAGCTAAAACCAACATAAAACAGCCTAAATGGTTGAAACGGCGGTGAGTTCTTGGCTACAGCATTAGCCGCTGAGCTGGAATGGAAGCCCAAGCAGTTGCCAAGTATCGGTTTCCGGTCGGAGTAGATAGACGACTCGAATAAAGTCGGCTTGACGGCGGCTGGAATTTTGGAAGTGAGTAACTGTGCCTCGACAGGAGCGTGAACACAAGCCCCACCGGCCTCAGCGCACTGTCCAGCCTCTTGTGTCTTTATTATCGTCTCGTGTTCCGTGGTCTCAACTGCCCAACGCTTGGAGTCTCACTCCTCAGGGCCCTGTACTCCGTAGGTATTCCGCGCGGGCAGTTCCACCCGCTAAAGCACCTTCAAGGAGTGAGTTTGTATGTTGCTATTCGTATCAAATGGATCAAAGCGGTCGTCCATACTGATCATTTTCGAGCTTTGTTCAGGATCCAAGCTGGGTTGTTGGTTGTTTTGGTTTACCCATCCTATACAGCTCGTGTCAGCACAATGGCTGTCCCTCCCATCGCAAAGGCCACCTTGCAGGCTGCCCTGATCAACGCCGGCTCGAATGTGCTGGCGCAGGGAATCAAAGCCTACAAGAATGAGGTATGATAATATAGCTTTGTGGTTTATCGTACGAGATCTAGCCGTGATATGGAGTACAGGGCTTTCAATCCGTGTCTACTTCCTGACACCCATGTCATAGCATTTCAAGCTAATTGCCATTCGACGTATTGCATAGACACCCTTTGAGCTCGATCTCCAGAGTCTTTTCTATTTCACCACCTACGCTTTCATATCTTCACCATTGATGTTCTTGTGGGGAGAAGGACTGGAAAAAGCACTCCCTGGATCTGTCGAGTCCGAACGCACGAAACCCAAAACGGATAATGACAAGACGCAAAAGCCGAGGCTCAATGTGAAGAATACCGTGTTGAAAATCACGATCGACCAGACTGTCGGAGCTGTGTGGAATACGGTCCTGTTTATTGCGACCCTCGGCCTGCTGCGAGGGGAAGCCTACGAAACTATTCTTGACCAGATCCGTACAGTAGGTCCATCCTGTCTTCGGGATACCGTCATTATCTAGTAGTGTTCCACGAAACTGACATTTATCCTAGGACTTCTGGCCGATGGTAATTGCTGGGCTGAAATTGTGGCCCCTCGTTTCGATCCTGAACTTCACTGTTGTGCCTGTTGACCAGCGGCTGCTTGTTGGCAGTCTATTTGGGGTTGTATGGGCTGTCTATCTTAGCCTGGTGACGGGATAGATTCTTTGGTGCAAGGGAAGGCAGCTTTAGTCTACTGGGGTCTGAAGATGAATCGGGTCACAGAAACACCACAAATTGGATCGCATATCTGATTTACTGTCAGTGAGCTTCTTAAACTAAAACCACGTACTCAGAGGTAACCATGGTGTCTGTTAAGAACTACTAAGTAGCACTCCAAGGACGAACCAAGAGGCCGTTGATGAGCAAAGCTGATGGGATTACCGGTTGATCGGGCAAAAGCGACTTTTTTTCCCTGCTAATATCGAGCATTCTGAGTCGACCCACCGCCATTTGCCTCTTCAAAGAGAGATGCTCTCATCGACATTCTCACCTATCGGAAGAGCTTCGCCTAGGTCCTTGTTCATGCTTTCTCCAACTCGTATTCCACTCTATAGCCTTCAGGGAAGTACTGCTTGAGGGTTTTGGTTTTTCCCGGTTTGCCTCCCCCGACAATGGGTAGTGGAATGGATGGATCAGTAACCCGAAGAACAGTCGGCAGTTGATGTTCTTCAAGCCCTGTCCGCCGGAGGTCCTCTCGAAGACGGTCGATCGTGATCTCAGAAGGGGGAATAGTACCCTCTCTAGGACGAAGGATGGCTGCCACCGCCTGTTGTGATCTGGCCGTCGGGAGAGGCACCACATGGATCTGTCGAACATACGGCAAGGACATGACGGCGGCCTCAATGTCCGCCACGAAGACTAGGTGCTCATCAATCTGGACCACTGCGGTTCACGAGTTAGTAGACCCCCTCAAACAAAGGCGAAGGAGCTAGTCAAGAACGAGATCGTACCATCGACCCGAAGGCGTCCTTTGATGTAGTATTTCCCACCTTCGCGCCGGACTATATCGCCCGTGCGGTAGTAGCCTTCGTCATCAAAGGCTTGCTTGGTGAGATCTGGCCGGTTGAGGTACCTGGGAGATCTTAGCGACTATGCTAGGTGCAATCTCAGCAGAAGATGAGATAGCGTACCCGAGAAACATGTATCGCGTCCGGACTAACAGCTCCGACAGCGGTCCTTCTCCAAGCTTTACGTCAACCCCGGTCTCCAAGTATCCCACGCAGTTCTGTGGGGTCAGTTATGTGCATTTCCTGGGATTCAAGTCGTTGGATGACAGACGGGGCTTGCTTACGTTGGAGAAGTCTTCATCAGTGGGGATAGTCAGGCAGATATGCCCAACTTCCGTCGCAGCATAGGTGTTGATCAACCTGGGTGCGTTAGGAATAGCCAGCCAGCGTTGTCGCATCGGCTCTGGGACGGTTGACCCTATGACACCGGCATAGACCAGGCTCCGCAGTCCGCCAAGATAGGCATCTTTCTCTGCGGGTGGAAGAAACGCCAGGTTCTCCCAGTAGAATTCGATTAGCTCCTGATAGACATTCGGAAAGTCCACCAGAGACGACACGGTTCCAGTGCGGATCAGCTCCCATGCCCACCGAGGCGTCCACACGGCCGGTGGGAAATGGACTATACCGCCCAAGACAATATAAGCCAGCGAGTATAGACTCCCTGTCGCCCCCGAACCAGGCGCAGAAGTCATCAACGAAGCTAGGTTGGCTATGAGTTTGGCGTCCAAAACATCGCTCACCCTCTTATTGTTTGTTTCTCGTGAGTGGAGGACCCCCTTGGGCCGGGAAGTGCTGCCACTTGTGAACATGACGGTCCCGATAGATTTAGGATCGGGCCGATGAGCGGGATTGACTGTGAACTGTTCGGTTCGAGAGAGCGGCCGAGGGGGGAGAGATTGTTGAATGTTAAGAGCAGGACACGTTGCGAGATCAGAAAGTGACTGTCTTGTTACCCGGGCATGGCTTGCCAGGAGGACGGCAGAGGCCTTGGTATCCTCGATGAAGCGGGCGATCTCAGGCCCAGGCAAATCATCAGCTATGGTACTGATTAGTACTATACTTGCATCCTTCCATCTATGAGCATCACGCTGCGCTCTATTTATGGACACATTGAACTCACATATGCAAGCTACCACTGCCCCCAGGGAGAATACAGTCAAGTATCCAACAATCCATTCGTATCCCAACGGAGCTACAATCAGTATAAACACACCTTGACCGGCGCGAAGAGCAGAACGAGCTTCAGGTGTTAGTATATCCAATACAGCTTTTTGTAGGCCTAGGATATCAGCGAGGAGGTCGGCGCAATTAGTGTTCGAATTAGTCCGGTGGTCGTAAAGAGTGACTGCGTCGCTCTCAAGATGCTCGTTGGCGACTTTCACCAGGCTCTGGAAGATGAACTCGTCAGGCAGACCGGGGATCTCCGTTTCCCACGTCATTTTCTGTTCTCGAGGGGCCTTGGTGCGTTGGTCGTGGTATAGACAACGCGATGTACGATGTTGAACATGACTGCAGGACAACCTTTTAAAGTGCCCATTCCAACTTGTCACCCTTCTGGCATAAGTACATCGGCTCGCAACGTTCGCAGAAAGGGTTTGACCGCCATTTCGCAGAAAAGCTTGTGAAAATACCAGATCAGGGGCGGGACAGACCCGAATAATGTGTCCGTCCCACCCCAGGGAAGAAGGGATCGAGCCACGGCAGACGCAAGGGACTGAATCTAGGCGCGTTGGCGCGAAGTTGGTCGGCATCAGTGCGCCAGAGAAAATCAGGCGATATCGGTGAGCTCCAAATTGTCCTTGACTTTGAGCATAGATTCGGGTTGGGCTAAAAGGGCTCTAGGGCTTCCGTCGGACGATCCTGAAGTATATAACTCGACCGCATGCACCCCTTGTCGTTTGCACCGTCCCTCCGAACCAACCATGAAAGTCCTATGTTTGCATGGCGCGTTCTGCAGCGCAGAGGTTGGCTCTCACTAGGCAGACACCGTATCTGCTGTCACTGACATATGTCACAGACCTTCAAGGCCCAGCTGGGCCCTCTGGTAAAGCTCTTGGAAAAGCCGGGCTCGATTGAATTCAAATGGATCGATGGGTTCTACACCACCGAGGCACCTCCGACCTTTGGGGAGTATTTCGGCACAGCACCGCATTTTCGCTTCTTTCCCTCCGAATCCAAAGACTTCAAAGACGACCCTATTTCCAGCATCCTCAACTGCCCAAAGGGCGTGACCGCGGAGGACACGTTACGAATGCTACACAACAGCCATGAAGTATCCTATTCGCAGCGGATCCAGCCAACCATGGACATGATTTTCCGGGTTCTGGAAGATGATCCGGAGATTGAGGTAAGCCCATTGCTCAGTGTTGGCTGAGCCGGTAGGCTCAGAATGTTGATAGGGACTGTTTGGGTATTCCGAAGGGACCATCCTAGCCTCCATGATTGTATTGGAGGAGCAGCGGCGCTGGCATGAAGACGGCCGCCATCGTCAGATCAAGGTGAGCCTTGACGTGCAGCTTCCATTCTCGTGCCGTTAGTCCTGACCATCCCGTTCCATACATAGCATGCCACCTTTTTCGCTGGCTGGCCGCCCTTCCTCCGCGATAACAACTCGACCAAGTTTGCCCTCGCCGATGAATGCGACGACGTTATCACTGTGCCCACATGCCATGTCGTCGGTTGCAATGACCCATACATTGATGCGGCTCTGGCGTTGTATTCGATGTGCGATGAAGATACGGCAACGCTATTTGACCATGGAAAGGGACACACAGTGCCACGCGACATGAAGACGATGCAAGAGCTGGTGTCGGCTATCCAGGACACGTGGAGCAAGGCAGAAAAGCGCATGTCGTGCAGGTAGACAACTTTGACGAGCATACAACGGTATCGCATTCGCTAGGTTTGGGAACTTCCGGGTTCCTACACTAGACTTGTATATTAAGCTACGAAATGGTATACTTCTTTCCCTCCAGGGAGTATCTTCTAGCATGCTGTAGCATTACAGATAGTTAATGCTATCCCAAATCTGCGTCCACAACGCTCAGATCTTTTGTGAAGGTATCCGCTTGAGCAAACTTTCTATGGTGGAGGCAATCTAGGGATGCTTGGATCGTCCTTTTAAGGGCCGAAGTATATCGGTGTTTTGACTCCTCGAGCTAGGGATGGCCCTAGTTCCAGCCCACGGAGCATAAATAAACAAGGAATGAATGAATGTGTCTGAGTCTTTCTTCAGCACGAGAGTTCATCAGGCGATTCTCTTACTATCCTGACCAAAAACACGGTAGGCCACATGGCGTTCCCTTGGTTCTTTCTCTTCTGCAGCTATTGCGCATCTATTTGTGCTTTGGCTTCTTTCCAGAAAGGTTCATAGACACATCCAATGAAAATCATATTACAGATCAAGAGGCAAAAAGCCGCGCAGTAGTAAGGACGGGGAAGGCTACGCTACCTTATTAGTCCCTTGCTCATGTTTCTACTACTCATTGCGGTGGTCGGAGAATGAACGGGTGGCACGATAGAGGCCACTATATCTCCGATTGCACGCTGTAGAAGACCATAAATTAGGATACGACGAGCAAACATCGCGTAATATCGACTGTGTTTTTGGAATACATAATGTAGTGATCTTGGTGTGCATCTCGAATACCAGTGCTGCCGCTAATCTCAGATTCCCAAGTTCGCGTCAAGGGATGCGAAGGGATGAAACGGAGACTCACCCCGGGCCACGAACAGAACCTGGTATGTAGGGCAGGGACTGATGGGTCTCCAATCCCCTGATCGGCAAATTATGACTGCTGGAGGGGTGATCGCGGGTTCGCGTAAAGGAAAGGGCGGGCGTCCATGGCGCTCCAGCTGATACTCGTGAGGTATTCCACGTACTGAATTCCTCCCTACGGAGGGGGTCAGCGGTAGCCATCCTCAGTGAGAAATACATATACTGTATGCACTCTCTACGAGTTTATCGCCTCGTCCGATTTCCTGTTTGCGGCCTACACTCCACATATAATGTCGACACGAGACGAAGAAGCACGGCAGGTCGCCCCCATTGCCATCGTTGGCATGGCCTGCCGGCTTCCCGGCAATGTCTCAACGCTGGACGATTTCTGGACCATGGTGTCGCGATCTCGCGATGCGTGGTCCCCCGTGCCCAAGGAGCGATTCTCGAGTGATGCCTTCTACCACCCAAATCCGCAGAAGGGGGGCTGTTTTAACCAGCGAGGGGGTTACTTTCTCCAGCACGACTATTCGAAATTCGATGCGCCGTTCTTCCAGATGACGCGGCAGGAAGCAATCGCAATGGGTGGGCTTTCCTTCTCCTCAATGTGTCCAACGAGCCACGCACTCATGAGAAGTAGATCCACAACAACGGCAGCTTCTGGAGTGCACATATGAAGCCCTCGAAAACGCCGGGTTGTCGAAGATGTCGGTTTCTAGCGGTAAAATGGGGGTTTTTGTGGGCGGACGATCACCAGACTATCGGATGGGGAATCTCAGAGATCTGAACCAGGTCCCTATGTTTGATGCCACGGGGAATCATCAGTCGATGCAGGCCGCGTGGTTGTCGTACTATTTCGATCTCCATGGGCCGTGTCTCACAGTTGATACTGCCTGCTCATCGAGCGTATCTGCTCTACACTTGGCCGTTCAGAGCATTCGATCCGATGAAGCTGACGCAGCGGTTGTCGCTGGATGCAATCTTAATCTAGAACCCGCTGAATTCGTTTCCATGTCCATGCTTGGGTAAGTGCTGAGATTGAGGGCTGTCAGCGCACAGCTAACCCGGGCAGTATTTTTAATGATGATGGGAGGACATATTCTTTTGACCACCGGGCGAAATCCGGCTTCGCTCGCGGCGAGGGTGTTGGGTGTCTTATCCTGAAGCCGTTAGAACACGCTATCCGGGATAACGACCATATTTACTCTGTCATTGTGAATACTGGTGTCAATCAAGATGGAAGAACAACTGGTGAGGCTTTTGATTTCCCTCGGGACATACCTACAATTCTTGATGGTTTGACTCACTCCATAGAAAGGTATCACGAATCCGAGTGGCGATGCTCAAGAAAAGCTCATCCGTGAAGTCTACACGCGCGCAGGGATATCGACAGAAGATACAGGTTTTGTCGAAGCCCATGGGACAGGTACTAAAGTCGGTGATCCGATCGAAGCAGGTGTTTTGTCGCGCGTCTTCAGTCCTGGACGGACGAAGCGATTTCCACTCTATGTTGGCTCCGCGAAATCCAACTTTGGTCACTTGGAGAACACGAGCGGTATAGTCTCGATCATCAAAGCCTCACTCATGCTCGAGAAGGGCTTCATCTTGCCCAATGCCAACTTCGAAAAAGCGAATGACGCTATCCCGTTCGACAAATATCATTTGAAAGTTCCCACGACTATTCGCCCCTGGCCCAAGAACAAGCGCTTTATTAGCATCAACAACTTCGGGTTCGGTGGCTCCAACACACATGTTGTCCTGGAAAGATTCCGACCACCTTCCGACACCGAGACATCATTCATCGAAGCATCGCCCAGGTTATTTGTTCTATCTGCCAATGACGAAGCGGCAGCAAAGTCCATGATGACGAAACTTTCGGTCTATATCGAGCAACACCCAGAAGTATTTCAGAAACGTTTAGCGTACGATCTCGCATATACCCTTGGTCAACGAAGGACGCACTTTCAATGGCGCGTCGCGATTGCCGCATCTGGGTGCAATGAGCTGGGCGCAGCTCTCCATGGTGTCGACGTCCGCCCTAATCGGGCCGTCAAGTCTCCCAAAATCGCCTTTGTTTATACCGGTCAAGGCGCGCAGTGGGCTCGCATGGGTCAGGAGCTCATGAGCAGTCATCCAGTTTTTGCGAATACCATGAATGCTGCTGCTGCATGCCTCGAGAAATTTGGCGCCGATTTCCCGTTGATAGGCGAATTGTCGAAGGGTGGGAGTGAGTCCAATATCAACCAGCCGCATATCTCTCAACCTGTATGCACAGCAATCCAGCTCGCTCTCACCGACCTGCTCTCATCCTGGGGTGTTAAGCCATCCGCAGTGACGGGACACTCTAGCGGTGAAATCGCCGCTGCTTACTCTGCGGGCGCCATTTCCTTACAGGATGCCATGGCAGTAGCATATTATCGTGGTCACATCGCACGGAAGATCAAGCTTGAACATCCCGAGATCATCGGTGGTATGCTCGCTGTCGGCAAAGGGCCCTTGGAAGTAAAAGCCATTATCAAGTCGGCCGGCCTGTCGGGGATTGACGTGGCTTGCGAAAACTCACCACACTCTGTCACAGTATCTGGTGATGAAAGTGCTTTGAATGATCTGTCTGCTATACTGGAAAGCAAATCGATCTTCAATCGCAAGTTGCGTGTCGACATCGCATACCACTCCTCTCATATGCAGCTTGGAGCAGACGAATACGGGAAGATCATACGACATATATCACCCAAATTGACAGACGGAATAGATTTCTATTCTTCGCTGCTGGGCCAGAAGCTTGATACGGGTCTAGCTCTGAATGCGTCGTACTGGGTGGAAAACTTAACCAAGCCCGTCCTTTTTTCATCTGCGCTTGAAACTCTTTATGCTGAGAGTAAGCCAGATCTTGTCGTGGAAATAGGACCGCATTCTGCTCTTGAAGGCCCGATCAAGCAGACGTTCAAAGGAATCGGTCAAGAGGCAGCTTCGGAAGTCAAATATCTCCCTTCGCTGGTTCGCAACCAGAACGCAACCATTACAGCCCTCAGCCTTGCAGGAAATCTGTTCACTAACGGCCAAGCTCTCGATTTCGGGGCAGTGAACCAGACCGATGACCAGGCTGTCAAGCCAGTTGTGCTCACAGACCTTTCGCCGTATGCATGGTCTCATCAGAAATACTGGCACGAAACGCGAATCAGCAAACAACATCGTCTAAAGCCATTCGGTCGTCATGACCTTCTTGGTACGCTTGAGGATACGTACAGCGAGGCGGCGCCAACTTGGCGTAATGTGATTTCGACTGATGACCTGCCGTGGCTGCGTGGTCACAAAATGCAGTCTTTGACGACCTTTCCACTTGCAGGATACATTTCCATTGCCATCGAGGCAGCCTCGCAGCGAATTCAGCTTAGAGGCGTCTCAGCAGACCAGATTGCTGGGTTCCGTCTTCGGGAGGTTCAGGCTTCAAAAGCTTTGATCCTTGATGACGGGCCCCCTTACGAGACACTTGTGGCATTAAAGGCATACTCCGAGGGTACGCGGACATATTCCAAGGATTGGGATGAGTTCACCATCTCCTCGTGGACGTCTGGGAGAGGCTGGCTTGAGCATTGTCGCGGTCTTATCAGCGTCAAGAAAGTGCAGTCCGCGAACCCGGTCAAGGCTGCTCAGCTCCAGGGCGTAATCGGTCGACGAGAGCATGCGAGCCGTCTGATCGATAGCGACCTGAGCTTGGATCGATTCTATGAGGAGCTGCATTCTCATGGTGCCGGGTACAGCTCCCACTTCACAATCCGGCCCGGCAGCATCCTCAAGGCACGAGGAGAATATTCCACTTGCAATGTCACCGTGCCAGAAACAGCATCAGCCATGCCATACTCTTACGAGACGCCTTCGAAAGTTTCAACCCCGTTCATGGACATATTCTTCCAGCTTGTCTTTCCAATCCTGGGTGCTGGACGCGGCGAACTGCAATCTCTTTACATGCCCTCGTCGGTCAAGGAGGCCGAGATTAGCTGCTCACTCCCCAGTCAACCGGGTGACCAAGTGCAAGTGGTGGCACATGGTTGTCCAGATTTCTCTAACCCCGGACCTGTTGACTTCAACTTGGAAGCCTGGCATGACACGCAGACTGAACCCGTTGTCAAAATCTCCGGGTTCAGGATGACGCCGGTGTACAGTGACAATGAAGACAGCCAAGGGGTGCGATCTTTATGCTACTCCTACGACTGGGTCCCTCTTGAAAAGCTTCAGGCCAATGGTGCTGGCCAGAATGGAAACCACACGAATGGTGACAAGGCTCTGGGCAACGGTCAATCCGACGGATCAACTATTAACGGCACTCTTTGCGTCCACGGCAACCATGTGCCCTCAACACCAAGCACCCTCGACACTGACTTGATTCTCGTCACCGATAGAAACGATAAAAACCCACTTGTGTCTGCTCTGTCGAATCTCATCGAACTCCGAACCGGATATAAACCTCGCGTCTCGCCTTTTTCCCATGTACAAATTTCGCCTTCCGCTCAGTATATTTTCTTAGCCGAGTTGGATGCACCGATTCTCCATAACGCAACTGCTGAGGTGTTTGACCGCTTGAAGAAGCTGTTGACTACGTGTTCTTCTGTCCTTTGGGTCACCTCTGGTGCCTATCATTTTGCCGAACACCCTGAGTGCAACATTAGCCAAGGGTTTCTCCGCACTATTCGTTCCGAATCCTCCAAGTCTGCGGCTACGTTGGACCTAGACCCCAATAGTCAGCTGGGAGACTCCGATCGTGCCAAGCTGATATTGCAGGCGATAGAGTCGTCGTCTTCTCTGCCGGAGGATGGTACCCCGGTAGATTACGAGTTCGCCGAAGAGGATGGTCATCTAGTAGTACCTCGCGTGGTTGAGCGAGAGGACATCAACCTGTCCCACCATCGTGCTACGCAGTCAACAACACCTTATCCCCAGGACTTTAACCAACCAGGCCGCAGACTCAAGGTCGCTGTTGGAACATATGGGTCGCTTGACTCGATCTACTGGAAGGACGAACCGGAACAACCTCTGACAAACGATGAGATCGAGATCAAGGTGGCTTTCACTGGCATGAACTTCAAGGATGTTGTCATCGCAATGGGCCAAGTTGCCAGTCCCTACCTCGGCGTCGAGTGCAGCGGCACTGTCTCTCGTGTTGGATCACAAGTCAACACTCTCAAGGTCGGTGATCGCGTTTGTGCCATGTCCCTCGGGGCTTATGGCACGTACGCGCGATGCCCGGCCACAAGCGCCGCCATCATCCCCAATGACATGACATTTGATGTTGCGGCCTCTATCCCAGTTGTGTACAGCACAGCTTATTATGGGATTGTCGAGCTCGCACGCCTACAACCGGGAGAAACGATTCTGATCCACGCAGCGGCCGGTGGTGTCGGACAAGCGGCCATCCAGCTTGCGCAAGACATCGGCGCCGAGATTTTCGCAACCGTCGGAAGCCTCGAGAAAAAGCAGTTCCTCATGGAAACGTATGGCATCAGCGAAAATCACATCTTCTACAGCCGAGACACTGCCTTTGGGCCTGCCCTCCGCGAAGTCACCGGAGGCAGAGGGGTTGACGTCGTGATCAATTCCCTGGCGGGCGATATCTTGCGCGAATCGTGGGAGTCCCTGGCAGAGTTTGGACGGTTTATTGAGATCGGAAAGAAGGACATTACGTCCAACACTGGGCTTGAGATGTCGAAATTCGAGCAGAATTGTACATTCAGCTCGGTCGATTTGACGCTGGTTGCGGCGAAGAGACCAAAGATTATGGGGCGGGTATTGAGTGCTGTGATGAGGTTGCTCGATGACAAGACTGTCAAGCCGATTACGCCAATCTCGATTGTTGGGATTTCCGAGGTTGAGGTTGCTTTGCGAAACCTGCAGAGTGGAAGGACTTCGGGCAAGGTCGTGGTGAACCATCTTGTTGACGAGCAAGTCAAGGTATGCACAGCGAATGGCTACATTCCATTTCATTCGATCGACTGATCGCATTGTAGGCTACGCATCCAACGACCTACAGCTTCCTAGACGGAAACGTTACGTATTTGATCATTGGTGGCACTGGAGGTATTGGTCGCTCTATGGCCAGACGAATGGTGGAGCGTGGAGCGCGCCATATCGTTCTGCTTTCTCGGAGTGGGAGAATGAACAGCCAGCTAGAGAAACTGATTGTCGAAAGCCAGACTGCCGGAGCATCTATATACGTGATGCCGTGTGATGTTGGCGACCAGACTGCAGTGACATCTCTGGTCACATATTTGCAGGCGACTCTGCCCCCGATCCGAGGACTCGTCCACGCGGCGATGGTGCTCAAGGTAAGCCTACCACCGCTAGAATGCTGGAACACACACTGATAATAGACAGGACGTTCTTTTCGAGCAAATGTCGTTTGAGGACTATCAGTCCGTGCTGCGGTCCAAAGTTTCTGGCGCATATAATTTCCATCAAGCCCTTCTCGACACCCCGTTGGACTTCTTCGTCATGCTCTCCTCGGTGGCTGGTATCGTGGGCAACAGAGGCCAAGCGGCGTACGCTGGCGCGAATACCTACCTCGACGCATTGGCTCGCTTCCGTCGTCGCAAGGGCCTTGCGGCCTCGTCGCTTGACCTGACAGCTGTCGAGGACGTCGGGTATCTGGCGGAGAACGCCTCTCGCCAGGCGCAGGTCGCCAAAAACATCTCCGGATCGGCAATGAACGAAGCGGACGTCCTGGCGTTAGTGGAGAGCGCGATGGCAGGCAAACTGGGCACCGACCAGTGCATCACAGGGCTGCACTTTGAAGACGCGTCTTCATTGCCGTACTACGCCTCCGATGGCAAGTTTTCGCATCTCCGCGATGCGGCCCTTGCCAGATCGGCCGCTGCCGACGCCAGCGGATCATGCTCGTCGGCCGAGCTCCCGATCGCAGTCCAGCTGCAGCGGGCGTCCCTTACGGAAGAGGCGCGGGAGCTTGTTGCGACTGGGGTCCGACACAAACTTGCTGGGATCTTGATGATCTCACCGGAGGACGTGAAGGCGCAGCCCGCGACGCGGTCCATCAGTGACATTGGGCTGGACTCGCTCAACGCGATTGAATTGCGGAATTGGATCAGTAAGGAGATACATGCGCATCTACAAGTGCTTGAGCTTCTTACGAGTGGGAGCGTGGATGACTTGGCGGCTTTGATTCTGCGGAAAACGAGTCTTAAGGGTGTGTGGTCCGAGGAGAAGTGAGCCTGACAGACAGCCTGTACTCTAGAATTTATTAAGTGCCATATTATATGTAATCACAAGGATTATATCCTGTTAAGACTCCTAACTGCATACGTTGGGGGCGATTTGGATATGTAGGACAGTGTTGTGTGAGATGGAGTAAGAATGCTAGGGGCCAGAAAAAAGCCTCGGACCTAACAGAATCGATCTAGACGCAGTCAGCTTTATACTTTGTGCAAATCGGGACATGCTCCGTAGACAAGCCTCTCTGCCACTGCAAGGCGAAGGGAGGAATTCCCCGAAGATACGACATGCAATGCAACACCACCCTCGGGAAGGACGAATAAGGTGCTGGTATTAATAGATACGAAGAGTATATCGTGACTATTAATATCAAGGGACAGGCGTCGGCACAGCCCCCGCCTGTCACGATGGGGGGAGCTCGTTCGGGTGAAGATGCGCACAGCTAACGGTTTGATACGAAGTGGGAGAATGTCGATCCTGCAAGTGAGTGAGCCATCTGCTGTAAGGAGGCAGGCATCTTCTTGTTGGATTGCATCACATTTGGGCTTAGTAGGAATGAGAGAGGGAGGGGGGCGATTGATTGTTTGTTCGATTGTTGGGTTGTTGGATGCTCCCTATATAAGACAGGAGACCATAGATATGAAGTACTGGGACGATAGTGACAGTGTTATAACAGTGTTAATTTCTACTTTAGGTTTAGTTCCCTGTGTATACGAACCCTCCATACGATACAATACTAGCCCAGTACTTCCGCCCCATGTGTTATTGTCTGGTCGGATTCCGTGCACGTTGACCATCTCAGGCTGTCTGCAGTCTTCATTAATGCCATTCTTGCACCGGACTCTGCCGATCATCCTCCATATTTAGCTATTTAGCCCCGTGTCTCCCGCTGCAGAGCCCAGCAGTGGGTCGCGGTCCGTATAAGGAGTCCGTATAACTACGCCGGCCTCGTTTCCTTTCGAGTTATAATTATCATGACTGTCTGCTCTGATTATAATAATCTCCTTCTTACATGATCACTCTTCTCCCCCCCGCATCTGCACGCATTGCTTCTTTCTTTGTTCCTGTTCCTCTTCCCTTGAGCATGTGGTGTCTGTGACTGTTGCACAGACCCTTCCATCAGACCAATCCCGCCATACTTGATATCGCCTGCCTTTGTCTTGCATTGACTGCAGGTCATCCCTGCGCGGGGAATATACGACAAAGAGGGAGCATTGGTTGCCTGCATCTTTAACAATCCAGTCCCCGATCTATTTCAGGCTGTCAAGGGCTGGGCCATTCTGAATCGACATCGCCATAGAAACAACATCTGGTCGGCCCATTGATCCCTTGACAAAGTCCGCAAAGAGAAGACATAGAGAAACAAAGAAATTGCTGGGGATTCGAGTAGATGGGTTCTTGGACAGAGTGGTAAAGCATTGCTTGTCTGGACGGCATTGTCGCCCCTTTAAGAGCAATAAAAGACATCGATAACCACAACGTGAACGTGCTTCCTTCCTCTCTTCTCGCCTGGACCCTCCATCGATAGCCCTAATCTTGGCGAGAGGCGTCTTCCAACATGAGCGTACTGGGCACGTCACTTGTCGAGATGCCTGCAGCAGATGATGGCTGGACTGACGACGAGCTGTACGATGACCACTGTGTTTCCCCATTGTCAGACAAAAGTCCCCGAAACCCGGGGACCAATTTCGTTCGCCTCTTCCCCGAGCTGGCGTCGCTGGTGTCGCCGATGAGCACCACTGGCGCCCAACCACTGACCGTCCATGGGCCTCTGCCGGGCAGCGGCCGCAAACGCTTCTATTCAACCGACACAGACCACACCGCCGATTCCTCTCTTTGTTCCAACGACCTCGCAGACAGCGCCTCGTCGTGTTATAGTCGGCGATCCTCGGTCACGAGTGTGGGCTCCGAGCCGTCGAGATCCGTCTATAGATCAGCCGATGCGTTCTCGATCATCTCCCCCATCAAAGCAGGAGTGTTTGACGACTCTGTATCGGTGCGGAGGGCGCCATCGACGGCCCTGGTGAGATCTGAGACATGCGACTCGTCGCAGGATAAGCCGCTGCCGCGTGAGCCAGCTATCCAACTAGCCCCGCTGGCTATCAGGAACAGCACGCCGCAGAGTACCACGAATCCCGGTGGTATGGATAATTCCCGGCTCCCTGTCTTTACCCGTGCAAGTACTCGACGTCGTCGCCACCAGCCAACCCTCTCGCAAGCGGCGGAGGAGTTAGAAAACGCCCTGGCCGGAGTCATGGAGCCTGGAGACACTGATATACGGTTGTCGGTTCTCGATGCGCCGCTCCAAATCAGCCGGGGGAATATGGATATGATCCCGTCGCGGCCGCCTCCGCTGCCACCCATTGATACCCGAGTTGTCTCACAGATGCGCGAGCAGGTGCCACCTGTACGACCAAAGCACCAGAGGAAGTTTCACAGAAGCATGATTCCTTTTTCCTTTTCGATTCCAGTGTTTCACCGCAGGCATCAACGTGTGCACGGGCGCACGCGCAGCAGTCCGGATGTATTGGAGTCCCCGACAGTCCCCAGTCAGGGACAGCTAGCATACACAGAAACGGAGACGAGGATGGACGTTTTAGAACCACCGAAATACCCACACACAACCTCTCCAAGGCCCCTGTCAGCGGATGGCGAGAGAAAACTCCGTGCAAAGCTGCCTCGTCTATGGACAAGCACGACCGAGCTCGTTAACCAGCCATCCAAAGAGGTTGACAACGCTGGGACAAATCCACATCAGACAGTTGATAAGACTGAGGAGAAAATGGTGGTCTCTTCTAGCAAAAACCCGAACCCTAAAATAAATCACCAATACTGTGAACTCGAAGCATACCCATCCGCACCAGAAATGATCTACGAACTAGACAGCGGGCCAGCCCCGAAGGATACGCCCGTCACAATCCAGGTCTATACAGTGCCAATGCCGACGACGATGCCCGACAATGTTGCTCTCGCGCTTTTTAAACAGGTGTGCTCCCTGGATGATCTGTTCCATCTCGCCACCATCTCCCGGCAATTCTACCGCGTCTTTAAGGCCCACGAGCTCGAGCTGATCAAGCGGACTGTCTTCACAATGTCGCCACCCGCATGGGAGCTTCGTGAAATGAGCCCTCCATGGGACAGCGAATGGCAGATCCTGGTCGACCCCGATGCGCCGGTACCGGAATATACGGCCTCCAATTATCTGCGCTGTTACGCCATGGACATCTACACCTTGGCTCAGCTTAAGTCTTTGATCTTGGCTCGCTGTGGGACATTTCTTCGTCCGGAAACCGTTCGTGGTCTGGCCGGTCTAGACACTGCGCGGGCTGCAGAACTCGACGACGCCTTCTGGAGAATCTGGACATTCTGCCGTATCTTTGGTAGCGGCAAAAACCGGGAGGGAGACATTCTAGGCCAGCTGGACTGGCTGAACGGGGGCGTCGCCGCCATGAACAACCACAAGGCAATGTCTGTCTCTCTTACCGAGCCGTTCGGCATGAACAATGTCTTGTTCGAGCCCCCGGCTGGGTTCGCTCGAGGGAACCTGGGCGGGCTTTCGCAAAGCCAGCTGTACGATATGACGGAGATCTGGAACTGCCTCGGGGTGCTCCTACAACCGATCCATGGAAAGTGCAAGGAGGCACGGGAGACGGGGATTTTTGAAGGTCACAATGTGTCGGACAAGAGCCCTTCCAAGGAAGAAGCAGTATTGGGTAAGCAGATCCTTTTCCCGGTTGTGTGTTTATCAAACTAACGCGATACTAGAGGAATGGACGTTTTATATCCTCTCTCTCGGACCGTCCGCAGTGCTGAACCTGGGCTCCATCTGTCCAGCGGACAACGGCCTCGCCACGTTCCAGAGGGCCAAAGTAATCGGCCTGACAAAATGGGAGCAGTCCGAGTCTGGTATAAGCCGTGCCTCGTTCCTCAAGGAAGCCGTCTCGAAAGCCTACAAGCCTCGCGAAGAACCTCGACCTCGGGGATCTCCACGACCCCCATCATCCCGTTCCTCTGCCTCCCACACTTCAAATTCCAGCACCGATGCTGCTGTCAATGAGGCCCCCGTCCCAAGCCATCGGCGCAGACAAACTGCGTACGCAGAGCAACTCCGCAACCGCAAGAGACAGCCAGGATCACAGCCCAACGTATTTGCCGAGGAGCGTCCCATCTCGAACTATGGCTTCATCATGAATCGTCTCGCAGGCTTGCCGCACGAACAACCGCCCCTTTTGCCAGTGTCTCCATCGATCATGACGCCGCTATCGCCGCCGCGCGCGAATTTCGGTGTACCGACATCTCGGTCAACGCCGTCGGCTCAACCGGTGCACACAGCGCCGCTGAATCAACCTGCTCATCCTACACATACCACACCTCCGACCCAACTTGCGCCATCTACTACCCCTATGTACCGTCCACAAGTCCTAGACCCTGTCGACCAGGCCCTCGAGTTGCTGGTCGGTCAGCTTGGATTCGCCGAGGAGGACGCGAAATGGGCCTTGAAGATCACAGATACTGGCGAAGGCATCAATGCCGACGCTGCGGTGGACCTTCTTTTCCAGGAGCAGCAGCGATTGGGAAGTCGTACTTCTGTCTCATCGGGCCGCAGTAGTCTTGTTTCCTCGGTCATGGGCAGCCAGGCTTCTTGGAATGCGGGTTGGAGATGGGCGTGACCTATTCCCATTTCGGAGTTGCTCACGTGGCATACCTTTAAGGGCCATGCATTGAAGGGCTTTTTGTCTAGTCATTTGGTGATGTTTTGTTTTTCCAGCATTTTGTGGAGTTGCCCGTTATCATTGATACCCATGTCTGATTCGATTAATGCATTAGACTAGATAGTTATTGGAAGTGAATATGTAGATTCTAGTTATATATGAATCGCTATATTCTCTGGGATTCTACATTTATTCAAGGGACATTTTATCGTGGACTATGACCATCTTGTCTACCTCTTTGGAAGCCAGAAACAGCCACCTTTCTAATTGTAACCAGCCCACCAGCACACTGACAGTCGTCCATCGTTTTGGCATACCTGTTGTTCTACCACCCAAGCTATTCTCCTCAATGAGGCGGCCAGGCCGGAGTCTGCAAGTATATAATTTGATCTACTAGCATGGGAACGAAATGACATCATCTGCGGCGTAGCCACAAGCCCTGGCAACAAATTCAAACTCATGATCGTTTCTGCAAGTTGGTAGGCGCGACCATTCCTCCTTCGATACGAGTTGACTATCCTCGGTACCTGCTTTCTCATCCTCTTTCTTAGCCCTGTCGAACATGTAACGGAGCACTGCCCGAGAGCCCATCTGCGTACCAGCGCGTCGCAGGTAGTTCTTGGTATGAGGTGGCCACTCGCTCTGGTTGTCACGGAACCATTCGAGATTCTGTGCGGTGGGAACTTTTCCCGCCTTAAGACACTCCACGGCAATTTGGAACATATTCACAAAGCCTTTTCGTAGAGACTTGTTGGTTTTGAGGTTCTCTCGCACCTCGAGATCGAGATGCTCGAGCCTGAATCCGTGAAACATTATCCATAAGCCGCCATCATCAATTCTATACGGCGCAAGGTCAAACGTAACCTCGCCTTGAATGATCAAAGAGAACCTCATTCGGGGGGATAGGAATCCTCCAACACACCCTCCGCATGTACATCCGTAGCGGAGGTGTGCTCTATTCAACCCCAAAACTTCCTTCCCAATCAGCAACGAGAGACAGAACACTGCGGCGTCAGGGTACCCTTCAAAACAGTCTGATATGTGCAAGATCCGGAGTAAGCCGTACTCCTTTCGCGTGCGTATTGTCTCTAAAGTCTCATGTAACGCTTCGAGCGGAGTGTACCCGTCAATATTACGGGCCGTCTTCCAGCGGTTGGCGTTGTGGACATTGTCGAGTAGCCACTGTGTACTCAGGGGCTTGAGCTCGCAAGCTGTTATATGTAGAAGCGTAGCTTCAGAGTTCGTAACTCGGTCCCAGCCAATCTCGTCGTCCGCATGAGTGGCGAAAAAAGTTTTGAGCTCTTCGTCCATCAGAGTAAGGGCTGCATGATGCAGCGGCAACGCGTCACGAAGTCTTTCCATTTTCTCCATTTTCTTTTTCTTTGCCCCAGAAAATCGATCTGCTTCGTAGATGACTTCGAGTTCTTCGTTCTCAAGATCTTCAGCATGGCTTATACGCGGGTCGAAATCAGAAGCCGCCGCAATGGCGCGAGACTGATGCTGGAGGTCAAACGAAAATGCGAAACACCGGGATGCTCCGATTCGGCGAAACCCACACGATCGCCAAAAGTGAATAGCACTGGAACGAATTCGAGTCCGTATCGCCAAGCGTTCTTCTGCAGACTTGCCCACTAACTGTGGTTCGATATCAGCTGTTAGTACTCCGGGACTAACTAGAGCATGCAGAGTCCATGCTAGCTCAAAAGCCTTATGAGAACCGTAGGAACGATCCGCATATTTGCCATCTGGCTTGTTGTTTAGGCAGAACAGCCGGGCTTTGTTCAGAAGTAAAGACACTGTTTTCTGCCCCAGACCTTTCCGGCGCAGATTCGGTTCTGTGACATGAAGTCTTTCGATCAGGAAAAGAGGGCCATGGTCAAGCTCATTTCCCCATACTCCAGTTCCTCTTTGCACTGGATGGTCCTTGTACTTGGCCCTGACTGTTCCATATCGATCAAAGACATGGAAAGCCACATCGCATGTTTCCTCGCTGGGCTCTTCCATCTTTTCCCAGAATTCGGAGCGGATGCCCTCTCGACTAATATACCGAGCCAAAGCAGTGGCGACAACGACGCCGTCGCAGGTGCATTCAGCGACAAAATTTGTCATCCATCTAGATTCGCCCATTTCCTCATCGTACTCATTGGTCAAAAAGAGCCGAATTTTCACCGTTTGTGGCGTATCACCGGAGGTGATGTACTCGTGCTCTTCAATGTCCCGTTCACGATCCAGGTCTTCACGCTTATCTTCCTTCCACCATTCTTCTTCCTCAGAGTCGTCGAATCCACTGTATTCAGAGATATCATCTGTTGACTCTTCGTCTTCGAACTCGGCTCCTAGTCGTCAAAGAATTGTCAGTATACCTGGCACATCTTGTAGGGTTTTACGCTCCCTTTGTGTTAGTGAAGGGAAGAAGAGCGCACTGCTTCGCTTGAGGGATTCTCGGTCCCCTCTCACTTCCTGTCCATCACATTCCTTTTTTGCTCTGAACCTTGCTTTCCGGTCTGGTATGGGCGAGGTCCTTAGGACGTAGGAGAAGCAACGGCAGGTGAAAAGCCGGATGGATAAGGGAGGTGGTTTTGTATTCGCCGTCAAGGTCAGTGTTGTGTCCAAATTGGCAGGGACCCTCCAAGCTGCTGGCAACGTCACCAAATTTCGGTCACGTTCGATTCGGCCCACGAGGTGAGCATGCGTCTCCGGGTTTCTAATATGGGAGACTTTGACACAGCCTCGCGCTAATGCACGGGTGATCACACTGGGCTCTGCGCTATGTTTCAGTTGTTGGCTCCTCTATGGCGTTATTCGGTCATATTCATCTTGGTATCTCTTAGCGGTTGTGGAAGAATCGACATTGGATGTCGTTCGGCTATGACCATTCCGAAGAGTTTCAAAGATCTAATTATGGTTAACTACCCTTGTCCATTCCACTCGAGGATCTCTATCACTACTAGTCAGGATCTTGAGGGGTGGTCGTTCTCTCGTCTTTTTGCATGGCGAAAGGGGAGATTATATAGGTCGTCAACGAGCGCAAGGTAGAGGGGGTAGAGAGGATGAATGGGAGAAATCAAGAAGGTAGAGAATAGATAGGGCGAGGCTGGGTCTCGTGCTCTGGAGTATCTAGAGGAGGGCGGCGTCTTAGTGCACTAAACAGACACGGATTCCATCTGTTGTAGCCTTAGGCTCTGAAGTTGCCTCTTGAGGACTGGCGCGCTTCCATACGGAGTATATACCTGAAGTCATCCAACGTCTCCACGACCTTTACTGGGTTAAAAATGCAATTCACCCTCTCTTCTTGAGCTTCATCCCTCTCACCTTGCAGGCACGATCAATTCAACGATGGAAATACCAAGTAACCAACTCCTCCGGCCTTACGCGCCGGGGTCGCGCTTAGCGCTGCAGGGCCTCGACTTGTGTCAAACCACGTACACGGTCATTTTTGGTTGTCAGACTAACACATTGGGACTTTTTCCACTCCAAAAGCTGGCTAAGCGCCGAAGAACATTTCCCCCTCCTTTGAATCACACCTGCCTTGCGGTGTTTTCCTCCATGTGTGCTGATAATATTCATTCTACTCCATTCTCCCCACCAACCAACGGTCTTCCTACATGCTCTCCTGTAACCTACCATGGAGCAAGTAGAACGGGGGTTCCCGGGCTCTCCTGAAGACTACACAGTAGGATGGATCTGCGCCCTCGAAGAGGAATACCTATGTGCATGCCGCATGCTTGACGAAGAACTTCCTGGGCCTGAAACAATCGATGATAAAGATGACAATACGTACGTCTTTGGCCGCATCGCGAAACACCGGGTAGTGATCGTTTGCCTTCCTCCCGGTCGTTATGGGGAGAGTTCAGCCGCTCGTGTGGCCCGTGATATGGTTCGAACGTTTACAAGACTACGTTTTGCGTTGATGGTCGGTATTGGCGGCGGAGCACCCACTCCCCAGAATGATATCAGACTCGGAGATGTTGTCGTAAGCCAACCAGCTGACGGATTCGGGGGAGTGATACAATATGATTTTGGGAAGAAATTACAGAATGGTCGCTTCCAACGGACAGGCCAACTGAACGCTCCACCGGAGAAACTGCTGGGGGTGCTACCGGAGATGAAAAGACGTCACAACGACAAACGACTGCCCGATCGACTTGCCGAGCATCTTGCGCGCATGGACGATATGGAGGATTACAAAAAGCCAGACGATGACCGACTCTACCAGACCGATTACCACCATGTTGGAGAAGAGGATTGCAATCAATGCGATCCTCGCAAGATGGTCAAGCGCTCGAGGCGCCAGAATGGTCGTGCTATGCATGTCCATTATGGTACCATTGCGTCGGGAAATTGTATTCTCGAGAACGCCGTCGTGCGCGATGCATATGCAACAGACCCAGAGCTGAACGTATTATGTTTTGAGAATGAGGCTGCGGGTCTAATGAACAATCTTCCGCCTCTGGTGATTCGAGGGATCTGTGGCTATTGCGACACTCATCGATACGACGAGTGGCATAAATACGCTGCATTGGCTGCGGCAGCCTATGCCAGGGAGTTGCTACTTGTCTTACGGCCACAGCGCGTCGACACCACGCCCATTTGGGCGGGTCAACTTGTGCACGAGCTACGAAAAGGTCAGATACCCGCCACCCAATGTACAGAAACTTGAGGCTCCATCCTTATGACACCTCGCACTGACAGCTTTCAGTTGACCAAAAACTGACAAATATCCTTAAAGCTCAAATGTACGGCGACGATGAGACCATAGAGGTAATAGCTAACTCTGCGCAGGGCCATCCACAATCGACTTAGATCCGTCGAACAGAAACTTGATTTTGCGAGGTTAGCTGTTGCTAAAGGCACAGACTTTGATCCTGAGAATGGGGCATAATGAATGTCTTCCCGGGGCTGACCCACAGTTGCTTGACGACCGAATTCACAAAACAGAAATGCATATTCTAGTTAAGCAGCCTGGCGTGCACTGAAAAACCAACGGTCAATCAGATAGTTGCAGTCCGACAAAATCTCCTATGGTGAGTTTGTTCTTCAAGAGGGCGAAAAAGATCGACACAATAGAAGAGGTGTTTCTGACCAGAATAGCATCAACTTTGTGTACAGTAGCCTCTGACAGGCTGTGACGGTGTGTTGTCCCTGAACACTTTATATATATGCAATAAATCAGTAAATGTCATTTGTGGTCTATGTATGGTTGTATCTACAATCCTACTGTGAATGGTGACGCTCAAGGAGAGAATGAGCCGCATACAAATATCAGGGATCCCAGTAAATGGGTCCCGAAAACCCCGGCCTTTACCCAGTCTTTATCACTATTTGCATTTCCAGTCTTCGTTATCTCCATGCCGACGCTTCGATCAGGCAATGGAGTGCCCCTACGTTTAAACATTGTCCGCAAGGGCCTCCAGCGCGAGCTTTCTAGCTCCGATCGTACATTACATGGAGTATGTCCATCTGGAGTTGTCTCGAGCCGGGTCTACGTGTCCATGGTGTTTTGCTTCTGTCGCGCGTCATGAGCGACGGCAGGGTCAAGATGAGTTGGTATACTGTGAACTCTGTTCCTTCTATGGGTTGAACAGGTGTTTACGACTTGTTCTCTGACGCCTTGCTGACGATATGGGAAGGAATCTATAGAGGTGTCGAGAGCGATGGCTTTAAACTCCAGACTAGCAATCTTGGTGGGCTCAATAATTTTTTCTCCTTTGGCGATATCAACGCTCGAACTTCTTGGCGCGACTTGATCATCGACTGCTGATCATCCACTGGATGTACCCACCATCACCCACCCAGATCTTAGCATTGGCCTATGCTTTCGTGAAGATTAGTTCGGAGTAGATCCCTCGGTGTTCTTCGCGTGTTCCACACTGTCGATTGCTAATTTGCCATACCCGAACAAGTAAAGGGCGTTTTCTCGGCTGGGCAGCGGACCACGCAAGACCACGCTCAACGCTGCAATGAGCCCGTCCCTCGCGGGGAGGACTATTGTCTGGACTCTAGCATGGGCCAGTCAATTATTGAGGACTCCCTTGAGGCCGTGTGATCCGTCACTTCGGTCTGCAAGTACACGCGATGATCGTCGGAAATCTGACAGGTGGCCACGCCACCCGAGCCAACACAAACCAGAAGAAACGTTTGTACAATCGAAGACTGGAAGCACACACATCGACGCGAGAAGCAAAAGCAAGAAAAAATAAAATAGGATAGGCTCGAACTCACGCAACAGATGCAGCACCAACGCGGCGAACGCGATCCGTAACGCGGATGGACTGTTTTCTTCCTCTATCCACCACACTTCCGACGACGCAAGGGGCAAAAGGTCTAGTGAAGCGCGTTCAAGGGAGAAAAAAAAGGAGAACACCACCCGATCTCCAGCTCCATTGGCTGAATGAAGAGAAAGGAACGATGAAGCAGCGAAACACGCCCAAGCGCTCGCTGGCGTTCAACCCCGAACTATCCCCCACATGGGCCACGCGAGGGATGAAGCAACAGAGCAACAGGCCACTCCTATATTGCCCTCCTTGAAACAGGAAAAGTATGCGGGAACGCCGTTTACTGCTTCGGTCCATGTCGATGGATGATTGGGACTCCTAGAATCCTCCGCCGTTGACCCGCATATGCGTCCGGACAGTTCATTGAAAATGATGCCTCACCCGGGCCTCCAGCTCTGACCTGCTTTCGTTTCTCTTCCGGGAGCCTTCTATTGTACTCTCAGGGTTGTGGACCATTGAGGGCTGCCGCTTGTGTCTCTCCCTTTCTGGCCTTGTTTCTTTTCCTCTCCTTTGCCCTTTCTTTGTCTTGTCTATGTGCCTCCCTTTCCCGTGTTGAACATGGAGTACGGTCACTACACATCGCCGTCGTCGGAACGGTGAGTATTTCATGTCCAATGCCATGTACAGTGGTACACGCGGCAAAGAATAGCATGTTGATTATGCATATACTCCATGTAGACATGTCGGCGATCAATCACAGCTGCAGTCAGAGGCCAGACGCGAGTTCGAAAAGGAAATCCTGCTAGGCGACTCTCCAAGCGGCACATCCAACCGATTAGGCACGAAGACGCGCGTGCTACGAGCTTCCGATGTTCTGTTGTCGTTGGCTGGTAGACCTACGCCTGGTACGCTGTCCCGGATCACCTACCATGTATACGCGGTGCGGTCGGGCGAATAACAAGCTAATCCCACAGCGATGGGGGGCTCTCCAGATTCGAAGGAGTCGTCAGCTGGTGTTGAGAACTTTCAAGAAGCGCTACGTCTGTTCCCTCCGTTCCGAGATGACGACGGGGCCACCCTGGGCTCAGTGGACGTGCGATGTCCCGACTGCGACGCGGTCTATTCTTCCTCGAGCGAACTGAAGCAACATTATCTGTCCAAATATTGCGCCGGCGCGGCAATTGCGGTATATGTCATGATGCGGGACCGGTTGATCACGAAAGGATATCGTATGGAGAAACGGCTCATACCGCTTAGCTCCCCGTCGCTACGATTCTTCTGCAACCACTGCGAGCGCCATTTTGCCATTGGAGGGGATGGTGAGCGAGTGGAAAGACCGCGGGATGGCCCCTCGTTCGTCGACTGCAAGAACTGTGGTGGAAAATGCAACATCTCGTACGAACCGGTGTTGAACGATCCGCGCGACGACGCCAGTTTTCGAGACACCCAGAAAGAGATGGCGAGCCCGTGCCACAGTCGAAGCCCCAGCGTCACGCAAAAGGGCGCCCTAGGTTCGAAATTGCCCACTATGGGAAACGGACTGGAGCAACCGTCGTTTGTGAAGAAGGCTCGCAAGATCCGCGATTCCTGGTCTTTCCGAAAGTTCTCGCAGGGCGATGAGGACGAGCTGGTCGCGGTTAGTTTCGCTGGCCTCTATGACTTGGAGAGGGTGCACGCTCCGAATGGCATCTATCAGCCGATCGACAGCACCGCAGCCGAAACGCAGACCTTGCCGTCAAATGCGAGCTTCATATCGAGTGTCGCCAACGATTCGTTCATCTGCGATGGAAAACGGTCGCCCTTTGAGTTCTGCGAGGATGAACAGCACAGAGGAGAGATGATGGATTTGGACGGTGATTCAGATGAGAGTGGAAACGCCCGAGGGAGGACCACACCATCGCGCAGACAATCCTTCTTGCAGAAGATATTCGGCCGCAAGACAAAGGGGGTATCGCGCTCACGGTCTGCGTCTAACCGGGGCAAGAAGCTCATCAAACGAGCCAACACCATACGATTTTCCTTGGTTGGCAAGTATACCAGGAGCGAAAGCAGGGCGGCTGCGCTTGACAGTGTCAGAACTTCGATTGACGAGACGCCGCAACCGGTCGAGCCACGGAGAGAAGCAAGTGCGAGCCCGACTGGGGTGAACGATGCCGAGTATGTTGCCCTCCTACGCAGCAGTCAAAACATATTCGTGCACATGCAATATCTCTCCGGGGGTGTAGTGGTACACGATGCGTCTGGGCGCCAACGCATCCTCAGCCTTGACGAGGTGGCCCAGCTCTTTCTCCAGCTGAAGGAGGAAGCGCTCGCAGCTACTATCTGGTCACGCACGGTCAATACGCGACTGCGGGCAGAGTCGGCATTGAAACACGGTAACTGTAGGGCAGCGGTTGTCGAGTATCATGATGCTCTGAGGATCCTGGACAGCAACCCAGCTCTCGATCTTGATAGGCTCTCTCGAGCTGCTATGCTCCATTCGCTGGGTCAAGCATACCGTAACCTCGACATGCCAGCCGAGTCCGAGGCGTGCTATCTCGAGGCTCTAGGACTTTACAAACGCACGCTCGGTCGAGACAGCCCCAAGAACTACGCGGTCCTCCACGATCTCGGTGCTCTTTGTGAGAAGGACGGCTACGCCACCGAAGCAGCCGCGCTGTACGAACGCTCATTCGCAGGACGACTGAAGACGCTAGGTCACAACGCGCCCGAGACTCTCAGCAGCATGCAGGATCTTGCTTCTTTGAAAGTCCTGCTCGGTGATCTGGAGTCCGCACTTCTGCTACTGGAGAAGGCCGTCCCAGCACTTGACACCGTCTTCGGAATGCAAAATGCAACCACGCTCAACGCGATGAACCAGCTTTCTCTTTTGTACCAGAAGCTCGGGCTCGAGAAGGAGTCCCGCACCATCTGCGCACGCACGATCCCCCAGTGCCGTACTTTCTTCGGTATCACCAGCCCGGTCACTCGAGATGCCGTCGTCCGTTATCTGCAGAGTTCCGATAACTTCGACTTTCCTCCCGAGATCCAGGACATCCTCGATCAGTATCAGCGGGCCCGCGACCCAGATGGCCTCCGTGTGATCCACAGGTTGGGCCGGTCTTACATGGACGCCGGACTGAACCGCGATGCCGCTGAGCTCTTCGAGGCTCTTGTTGAGGACTTCCTGGCTGTCAAGGGACCGGAAGCCCCGGAGACGTTCGACGCACTGAGCGCACTTTGTGTATCACGCGAGCATCTCGACTCCGTCGACAAGGCCATTCTTGCCTACAAGCAGCTCGTCAACATGGCCCACCGCACGCCAGAAGATCACCATTCGCGCAAACGAATCGGCTATGCCGAGAAACGCATTACCGAACTCAACCGGCGCCGCGATATCCTCGCCGCAGAGCGCAAAGAATGGGGTCTGAGTGCTCCTGGTCCCTGCGAGAACTGTGACCAGGCCACGACCGTCCTCTGCAATAGTAAGTCCGCCATAACTTCCCTCTCAATCTAATGCATCTAACCTGAACACGCGATGAACAGCCTGCAAGATTTTCCGCTTCTGCAGCGATCTTTGCCACAAAACCAACCTCACAACACACTTCCCCTCTTGCATTCCTTCCGTGTCCCTGCGCGAGTCCAAGTCGCTGGCCGTCAAGCCAAAATGTCCCGCGTCGGCGCGCGAACAGGCCGTCTCCAAGATCCGGCGGTTCAACAGCTCGCGTGGCGTGCAGGTCACCGCCAGCTACACGTTCTACCTGGACCCGCGGAACTTCACGACCTTCCGCATGAAGCTGAACTCCGAAGCCAACACCATCATTCTCTTCTCGCTCGACTCGGACATCCAGTATGCCACGGTTGACAATCCGCCACTGGAGTTCAAGGCGCCGTGCTCGTCAAACCTGACGACAAGTAATGCTCCCACATCACCGAGTGGAAGCGGGAGTCGGTCTTCGCCTTCGTCGATGGCGTATCCTCATGGCGCTGGCGTGCAGTGGCTGTCACCCGAGAGACAGGAGGCAGTCTGCTATGTGCCAGGTGAGGTCGCGCAGCCGCACGCGCGGTATGTGCTTGTCACGCCGGGCAAAGAGATGCTGAAGGCGGTTATCGACAAGCGGGTTGCTGTGCGTGGGGGTAACGGAGAGCAGGAGCGGTTCCGGTCGTTGGATTTACCTGATAATGAACTTATGGAGTATGCGCAGGGGCTGCTGCTTACGGGGTATCTTGGGGAGGCGTTTATGTATGTTATTGAATGGGTGTGGAAATAGTCGACGCGTATGATTGGGCAGTATATAGTTAAGTAGCTATTAGGTACTATCGTTCAAAATTTATGAGGACTTTTACTTCCTTCGGTCATTGTCGCCTTTGAGGAGATGGGTGAGTTATGATGTATTATCCCGAATATTTGACAAAAAATTGCGCAACGTCATCATGTAGTGCGGGATGAACAAGCAATAGGACGAATGCGTAGAGCACGATCGAGACACCAATCTCCACGACAAGGACCTCTGCAAGTATTTTGCAGAACTGAAATCTAGCAGACCAAGGGAAGCTCTGCCATGATCTCTTGATATCAGGGACTTGGGGTGAGTCTCCCACCGCAGAGGCAGCTACTCGAATAAAAGTAGCATACGCAGGGACAACCGCGCCAAAGTATAGGATCACAACTGTAGAGAGCACAATGGCACATTGTACGCCTTCAGAGACTCCGTAGTCCCCACCCCAGACCCCTAATAACCGAACAAGCATGACGGGGAGGTAAAAGCCTATACTGGAGGCTACGCTGTATAGTAGCGTGACCTGGAGGCATTTCGACCATGTAGTCCCGCTGAAGATATAGCGTGTGCATGGAATGCTTGAGTTTGGGGTAATAGCGGCGTGTATGTTAGCTACTTTCAAGTTTGAAAGTAGTACCTCGGCGGCCATGTTCAAGAGGAAACATCCCGCTACATCAGAGCCCCGTATCGGAAACACAGAGAGGATAGAGAATTTCAGCAACCGATGAAGGAGAAAGATTGGGAGACCTCGGAGCCGCCGTCGTAGAGGTAATGATTGCACTGCAGCTGGTCTTTGGGCCGCGGCGTGCGCTGCATTAACCACTCCATCAACATATATAACCTTGAAATATTAGGTTAGATGCTTGTTCTTGTGGAATTACAACGACTCACTAGGATCAGCCCAATGAAAGTACCCGTCAAGATGAGCAGGAGTTGTATATTCAAGGTCGATGTTGCCTGGTCCGGGATGCCACCGGACAACCTGTCCTTCGAGATATCCAACGACATGGAGGACAACAGGTTCGAGGGCAGCTCGTAGAATCTTTCCCAACAGCCCGCCAGTTCGTAGGATCAAAGATAATCCAAAAAGGCGGAAAGTGTCGGAAATCAGGCGTGGAGTCGGATGCATTAGAGTCGTGGGGGCCACCCGGTTAGCTTGTTTGTGCCTAGAAATCAGGGCTTAGGCCCAGTGCTGTAGTCCATGTTTCACCTCCTCAGTGGTTTGGGCGTAACCGACTTTGCATTCTGTATAAACTAGAAAAGATCTCTCCGATAGTATGCAAGCGGAAGACTCGACCTTCCCTGTGCAGATATAGGTGTGAGTAATATGTACCGAGTAGATGCCACCATTGACCAGACCCGGGGGGTGGGGGGGTTTCTTAGGTGGTTAAGTAGTGCTTACCAGTGCGACGTGGCAACAGGTTTGGGCTGGGGCTAACAAACGCCAAACAGAGTGCTCATAGGTCTGCCTTAAACCACCCGGTATATGTCGTATGTACGAGAGTGTTTTGGCAACACCATTGGAGTATTAAGTGTTGGGGCCCCTTGAGGCATGTGAGTATAGATGGAATATCGAGGTCTCTATAGGGACTTTCTATGCTAGCTACAGACTGAAGCTTTGGGCTTAAGAATTGCTTGGGCCCTCACCGTTGTCCGGGTTGCGAAACCGGACACTGGCAGGCTTCGGAACATATAACTTGGCAATCTCATCTTCCCATTCCAGAAGCTGCTGAGTCACCGAGTCGTAAGTCTGCAAATGCCGACCAGCAATCCGGGCTTGAACATATCCTGACCACACTTCACCAAGCGCGTCGCTGGCCCAATCTTGAGCCATCCTTGCTACCTGCTCAAGATGGTCCGCTGACCAGGCTTCCCACCAGTCCTGAAGACCGTCTTGGCCCCAGGCTTGCTCTCCGTAGTATAACTGTCTGTACATTTCCTGATGGACATTGCTGAAGCGAGCATGGTATCCGGGCTCTTGCATATACTGAAAGGCGGCCAATCCCTATACATTGTCAGATTTTTCTCCCCTGAGACGGAATGCACGAACTGGAAGGCCATTACCATTTGAATCTTCGAAAATAAAGCGTCAACATCCTCATTGGTATCGGATTGTAGTGCTCTCCTCACTGATGTGCGAATACTTTCGATGCTGACGGGACTTTCGAGCCTCAGCGCCCGTCCCTTGGCAAGATTGAGCTGCTTCCAAGTAGGCAGGAAGGGGTATCGATTCCTTGTAGAACCGAAAGCTTCGGCAAGACGGAGGCCAAGGGTCGCGGGTGCCGCTCCCCCTCCCACTCCCACAGCTGGCCGCCTAGCTAGCTCTTGGTTGACTTGATTGAATTCATTAGCCAGGAAAGAGACCGGGATTCTTGGTAGATGTGACGTGTCTGCCCCAGACGGAAGCTGCCTACGTGCCATGTGCTCGACGAATGTGGCCAGAAGGATTTTCTATAGAGAGTAAGCAATGAAGTACCTTTGCTCGGACAGTAAGGTTGAAAGGATTCTGACTGACATCCCAAGGGTGCTCTGTTTCAAGTCCTTTCAGCTCTTTAGGAGTCGGGTTCGCAGATAGGTCGTATACCCTGCAAGACCGTCCACTACAAGGTCCCGACGCTATGCTGTAGGCCGTTCGCGAGAGAGCCTTGCCCTTCTTAGTTTTGAATAATTCACTAATTGGAGGCCACCCGGCGAATCTGACGGTGATCCTGTAGCCTTCCATGGTTATTTCCTTTATTGACGAGGCACCACGTTTGGTAAGATCTGTTTCCTCTGGTTCCACCACAATGAGGTCTTGGGATGCTGCTGCTCCCCTGTGATGGAGATGAGAGTGGCTATGTCCATGGGAGTGACTGGATCGGTGAGACTGGGCACTTGACAAACCCTGTCTCTTGTCGAAATGTCTTTCGCCGCCATCATCAAGGCAGAACTCGTCCATGAGACTGCATAGGTTGGTACTGCAAGTCGCCTTACGCACAGGTGCCTTCGTAATAGTACAGCATGCGGCTTTGCTACGACCCCCTGGTAATCAGATCATTAGCAAGGAATGGTACCTTCTATAAGGAAACTGAAACGCGGCGCATACAGTCACACGCCTTCGACTTATCTCCATATGTTGCAAGGTCAATTTGAACCTCCGTTGCATTGCATTTCGCATTGGCACAGTCAGAACCACCACCGCCGCCACGCCAATGACAGCTCTTGAGTTCTGTGTCGATAGGGCAGCAGTATTTTTGTCCTTGCCGCCAGCAGTTGTCGTACTTGGTCAAAACGGATATCTTGCCAGCTGGGCAGTCTTGCCCGCTATATATGATCCTCGTTAGCCTTTCTGCGAGGTGAAAGGACATGGCATAAAACATGAGCAGCCTACCAATCTGCATAGGAACATTGGGATTTGGCCGTATTGTAGTCTGGATCAGGACAGCAGAATATCTTGTATCCACGACCACACTTATCAGTGTCACCATCATTCTGAGGGCCTCCGCCCCATGAAGACCGAATGCCATTGATATTGATTTCACCAGCCTGACACTGACCGCTGCAGTCAGAGCTGACCCCTGGGGTCCCAGTATTGTCACCGCGCCACATGCAGTTTTTAGGCGCTTTCTTCGTGGGGCAACAGATAGGTTTTCCGCAGTGCTATACTCGTCAGTTGGATGTAATCATGGCCGCCCAAAGATACGCTGACTCGCAGTGGAATGCGGCGTATAGGTATGATTGCAACCTACACATTTAGACGTTCCACAACCAGCATCATCCCATCCAACCACAGTGTTACCTGCGCCGCAAGCCCTCGACATTGCTTCGTTATCATTGAGATTGACACACTTTCCATCATACTTGAAACATTTCTGGCCATCAAATGCGGACAGATCGTCTATCACAGACTCGGGATTTGAAATTGCTTTGTTGATAGTCTGAAGGTCAGCGGTAGATATGATTTTTTTGCCCGTCAGCCCAGCGTGAGCAGAGTATTTGTCGTCGTCTAAGTGAAACAGTCAAACAGAGGAGCAACATGTATATAGAACTTCATAACTTACCAAGATCAGATGCCCAAATCATTGCCCCTCCCATGCCAATAGTGTCTGCCCAGTCAACTTTCTGCTTGAAGGTCGTCTTGTCGTCATAAGACACCCACTGGTCATCATCAAATATAAAATAGTTCACCGCGGCGTCTTTGTCATGGGTGGGGGTGATCTTCGCTCGTTTCTTACCAGATGCGCCGTCTAGAATACTCATAATCTCATAGTATCCTAGCATGCCACCAGTGTTGGAGCAAGGTCCTGGGTCTGAGGCCCCCTTAAAGGGACATCCAGGCTTACTGCATTCAGGATCGGAAAGAGTAAATGAACGGCCGTAGAAACCGAATCCCAACACAAGCTTCGAGGGATTAATGTCGACCCTCCAAAACAGCTCAAGAGCAGTTTTGATTTCAGTAAGGTTAGTATGGCCTTGAACGATGCTACCAATTGGGTTTTCCGCATCCCATACCCCATGAAGATCGTAGGTCATAACATTAATCCAATTCACGTATTTGACCATTTTCTCGAGGTCAAACCAGCGAAGATACCAATAAGAAGATGGGGCGGTGAATGTCAGCCCATAATCACCTCCACTTTTATCGAATACTTCGCGCATGGTCTTAAGCAATAAGACATAGTTTTCTGTGTCTTCGGGCTTGCCGCCTCTGTCTCCTGCTCCGGGATACTCCCAGTCAATATCGACACCATCAAAGCCATACTGTTGCATAAAGTGCACGGTATTTTGAGCGAATGTCCTCCTCTTGGACTCAGATGCAGCAATCTCCCCAAATAATGGCTGAGTAGCAGTATTATTGTCCGAGAAAGTCCAGCCACCGATGCTGACATACACAGACAGATCTTGCTTGATGGACTTGATGTTTGTGGTCTCTTTAAAAAGGCTAGCCGGAGTTTCAGAGTCCATTGTGACGACTTGATAGGTTGATGGATCGATAGATGCAAATGCAAAGTTGACATGAGTCAGGGCATCCAAAGGTAGATCTGTTGGAGTCATCTTGTGACAGCTCTTGCGAGCCATCCAAGCCTCATAATACCCAATCACTTTTCTCTGCAGAATGCTTGTCGAAGCAGTTCCCACAGGTGGCATCGGGTTCAGTACACAGTTGCTTTGGCATTTTTCTATTACCCGTTAGTGCCATGATTCATATGCAATCAAAACAGAGAATGGAGGCCTCACTTCCGCAAAATTCCTCAGTAGTACCGCACTATAAGAAGCGTTTTTAGTATTATTGAACTTCAAACATGACAGAAGGCCACTTACAAATCCATATTGACTGCAGCACGTGTTCAGCGGGCAGGTCTTTCCAGGCTCACTTGCAAACTCTCCACACTCTGCGGTGGCATTGCAGTTGGATAGACAACCAGCGCCACAGTATGTAGGACCAAAACCACAATAGCCACCAGTGCCACAGCAAGCACCGTTTTTACAAGGTTTGTTGGCGTTGCATGCATACTCGTCTCGACGAAGGAGCGGCGTCGTTACTCCTGGCGAGATGACGGTCGAGGTCTTATCATGAAGGGAAAAGCTCAACTCCTTGGTGATTAGAGGCCATGATAAAACACATAGGACGCTTAGCAGACTTCCAAGCAAAGTTGCCTGTCCCCAAAAGGATCGCCCTCGAGTGCGTAGTTCAGGCTGATCAGTAGCCATTGCAGAACGAATAACAACTCACAGGGTGACCATGTGCCTGGTGTATCACTGGATAAAAGTATGAGAATTGGACTGGCAAAAGGCAAAGAAAGATTTAGGTATATGAGAAAGAAGGAAGGAAGCAAAATGACGGACCCTCACAGTGAGAAACGCGGTCTATTTCGAGTTTCAGATAATGCTCAATAGTAAGGATTCTGCCTCCTGTCGGAACTGAAAAATCAGAGGCAAACTTGAAGTATGAATGCTGTATAAAATTACTATTGCCTCTTAGCGCCTTTAGCATGGGGGCCGAATATGTGTTGCCCCACGCATCGCTTGGGATATTTCCTTTCGCTATTCTTGCTATACGGTAGGTAGGTGCTTGTCCGACTAAAGTAAGCCGTAACGATCTGAGACGGTTTTATGGTGCCTAGTTTGACAGTTATTTGCGGCGACTCCACTCCGTAGGTATGAATGATCTCTCAACCAGCTGCTGCGGTATAGACGAATTGCCCTACGTCCATTTATGAAGAAGCGGCCATGCCCAATCTACCTAAATAGGCGTATCAAACGGAGACAAGTACTGGGTACCTAGGTATGCTATACTGCTAGTAATAGGAATGATGTCTTGGTTCAACCGTGTGATCATAATCCTTGGCGAGCTAATGGAGCTCAGCACTCGATCATACCAGACTTGCAGGAAGCTGTAGAGTTTTCAATGGCCTTTGATTAGCTATTGTCATTGGTGAGGTCTGAAACCTGGGCGTTCGTAGAGATGATAGCGCGTTGGTAGTATTACGGAGTAGATCTTAGATGTAACGTTCTGGTCCCTGTAGGCAATCTAAATGATGCACTAAAGATCCCATGGACGGGGGTTATCCAGGGGTTTGACGAACTAGTCCTCGAAAGACTCACACTTCATTTCCACAACGTAGGGTTTGTCTACACGCTATATCGCCCTAAAAATGGCCGAGGCTCAAAAAAGCTTAGTAACTGGGTCTATATCGCGCCGGAGTATCCGGAAAGCATCGTTTTAGGTGGATCCATGATCGGTGGAAAGTCGGATCTTGCCCGAATTCCCTAGCTTGTGAGAGAAAATCCCAAACGCTTAAGACAAGAGGGCCCACTTACGGACTACGCTCACAAGCACTGGACGACTAACTCCATAGTAACATGATTCACAGTATCCCCTGAGCGTGAGACTACAGCGGACGGATGTGTTGTGTCTTCGGATGGGACTCATTATTGATAACTAGTAGTTGAGGAGGCCACAGAATATCCTTACCTTACCCTCTGATAAAAATTTTCTTCGCTCATACTCTCCGCCGCACCTCCCAAACGCCGCACTCGTGTAGTATAGGTTGATTTGCGCCAGTTCGCATGAGAGACAACATGCGAGTGCAATGGTTCGGTCTGATGGCCTTGATGATGGGACAAATACATGCCCAGCAACTTTCAGGGACACAGATGTTTGTCGACTACCCAGGTCTCAGTGACACCTGCAAAAAGGCCTTGGCTACCGATGTCACTTGTCCACCGGCTCTGGCTATATGGGCCCTTGGGTAAGCTCATTTCAGATCACTCTCTCACAGCTTAGACACTGATTTAACTCAGGAATCCTCTCCTGAGTGAAGATGAAGTGGATGAACTTTGTGTGGCAGATTGCCAGAATTCATTGAAAACTGCCCGGGCTGTGATTGCTGCCGCTTGTACATCGGATACAGATGTGATTGTGGTTGAAAATGTCGCTTACCCAGGTGAGGAAAGGCCCATGAGTCTCCACGAGTACGCCAACATGACTGATTATCCATAGCCACTTTCATTGCAGATAGTTATTTATTCACATATGAAGTGTCCTGCTTCAAGGATAGGTGAGCCATTATTCTCCATGAATTGTTCAAGTAATACCGGTTTCACTGACACGCCCTAAATGTTAGATCTGGAACGTTTTGTGAACCGCAGTTCTTCTCGTGGGTCAACGGCACATCGATCATGAATGCTACAAGCCGGTGCTCTGATTGCTGGCTTGGGGTCCTGGCTTTGCAGCTTAGCAACCCCTTAGGCTATGATGCAGGTCTAGAGTCTAACTTTCAAGCATTGACCTCTAGTTGCAACGCAACTGGTTATAGCTATACTACGCCAACAGCCTACGCACTGAACAAGACAACCACCGCAATTTCGACTTCCGCGACACCCACGAGTACTGCAATGCAAAACTGTGTGGGATCGTATACAGTGCAATCTGGCGATGACTGCAACTCCGTGGCCAAAGCGCACAATGTGTCTACGTACGCTCTTATAGAGGCAAACAATTTGGACCTTTATTGTGAGAGTTTTGCCAATGCTGTAAACCGTACTCTTTGCATTCCACCGCAATGTGAGATCTACACTTGGAAGGCATATGACACCTGCAACGATGTTGTCGCTAGATATGGTGACATCACTCTGCCACAGTTCTTGGCCTGGAACCCAAATTTCAATTCCCTCTGCGGGAACTCTGTTCTTTTCCATGGGTATGAGGTCTGCATTAGGTATGACCGATCTCTCTTCTCTCTGGAGGGTGCTTTCAGGTATGAGCTTCAAGTCTGACTATTTTGGCTATCAGTCCTCCAGGAGGTTACCTCAACCACACAGCAGATTCCACTCCAACAGTGACCTCTGGCGCTGGAAGTACAGGGGTTATGCCGGCCCCAACCAATGCGTTGGAGGGGAGTAACAGAAATTGTAGCCAGTGGTATACGGTATGTTAATCATCCCCTTCAGTCACTTTAGGGGCTTGCTTTACAACGACTCGTCTGCTGAAACTGAACCTCACAAAAGGTAGTGGAGGGAGATGCGTGTAACAGCGTGACAATTGCACAGGCCATTTCGTTGGCTGATTTCTACTTTCTCAATCCTGAGATCGATGCAAACTGCTCCAACCTAGAGCTCGGCGCGGCATATTGTGTTAAACCTGTGGGATCTATCACATCGTATCCCAACTACACAATATCTGGAGTATTACCTATCAGGGTGACTCCGGTCAGTCTTCCATCTGTCAACACCGCTATTCCGACAAGTACTAGAGATCCTGGGTTTGTATACAACACTGATCCCGTCCTTCCAACTGCCCCGGGGACTATTCCAGATTGTTACATGTATGAAGATGCTTCGAATTGGACCAAGCCATGCCGTTTCCTTGCTTGGTCATATGGCATCACAACTGACGAATTTTTTGCCTGGAACCCGAGCCTTGAACGGAACGTCAGCACCTGCGTTCTTGATCAGTCTCACAGCTACTGTGTTCTACAGTACCAGAACAGCTCGCGTGTGTACCAAATAAGCCTCCCTTACTTCCTTTGCTCTCCCTCTAACTGAAGTAGAATCATCACAATCGTTCGGTATCAGCCTCTGTTGGCCCATTAATGCTACAGAGCCTGACACGGTCTCCAACTGTGACTGCTTTGGCATTGTCGCAGGATACGATGCTGAAGGTAACTATGCTCGTAACCCGTCAGGGCTGGGTCTCCAACATGTACCTTTTGTTCAACTGCTAAACAGAATGTAGATGAATACAGTTGCAGTACTTTTATGGATGACTACAACATTACCAAGGCGGAACTCCTTGCATTCAATCCATGGCTTACAGGGGACTGCGACACGGCCCTTTTCGCCAACCTTGACGAGACTGCTACACGTGCAGTCTGCATTGGGACAAAAACCGCTGCCGCAACTCTTGCCCCGAGTACCACCGTGACAGGATCCGCCAGTCGCACCACTATCTCAACGGAGGGAACACAAACTGGCGTTGTTGCAGGGTGTCGCAAGTTTCACACGGTCCAGAAAGGCGATGATTGCCCCTCTATCGAGAGCGACTATGACATCACTTTTGCTGAGTTCTACGCTTGGAACCCCTCTGGTATGTTTTCGGAAGCATACCATGTTTTTCCTCCTTGACTAATGATCCACAGTTGGAAGTACATGTACTAACCTCTGGTTGGGATGGGCCTATTGTGTGGAGGGCCCGTACTCTTCGACCACGGCTACGGCTACTATTGCGCCCACTCAAACCGGGATTGCTTCCAACTGCAAGGAGCATTACAATGTTGTCGCAGGTGATTCTTGTGCAAAGATTGAGACAGCCTATGGCATTACATTTGAACAGTTGTACAAGTGGAACCCAGCCATCGGAGACGATTGTCAGACACTTGAAGTCGGTACTGCTGTTTGCGTTGGTGTATCCTCCTGATATCTACTAGGTAGATAGGATTCGATATGCGATAGAAAATAGCGGGAGCCTGTTCTGCTTCAATATATTCATAGACTTCCCAATTACCATATCTAGTTAGCCTTGCTGTTTGAAACAGAATCACCTGCTCCGCTGATCTCGCGCGTCCTTATCATATGATGATGGTAGTTTATTTTTCAAAAAGCGCTGTAGAGGTGTACACGATTAAGAGGGTATACAGAGAAGGCATTTTCGCTAATACGAGTGAGCGCAAGGTGACCATCATAAGGTACCTGACGGTACTCTACTCGATTCTGGGTTTCGTCGTAGGTACCTAGGTAGATTCCGGTTACTACCTGGTACCTCCCCAGTACTTATAAGTACGTTCAGGTACAGGCTAGGTAGGTACTAAGTAGGATGGCCGGCTTACTAAGGTAGCCGCAGCAAGAAGTCCAATAATACCCATCATACAAAACAGTCGACGTTTTCTCCTCTCTCCTGCCATCTCCCACGAACAATGTTCTCTGCGACTGCAAATATTCTGAGAACACAGATCCGTTCCCCTTGGCAAGGTGGGATTTCCCTAGCAAGAAAGACCATACGCCCCCCACTCAAATCTTCCCGACTTTTTGCACCGAAATATCAAGTCCAAATGGCTTCGTCAGACCACTCAGCAAGCTCCCACGAAAAAGCATTAGCGGCGCTGGCGAGACTACAATCCAAACGCAATTTACCGCGGAATCCGTCTAAGCGTACTCCTCATAGAGACTCTCGCGCTAACACTGCTGATCGCATCGAGAAAGCCCTAAAAGAGGCTGGCCTGCACACCTGGGGCTTCCCTATCTATCGATGCACCTATCAAAACGACTCGGACTGGGCCGAGTTTTTACGTCGATACCGATGGCATGTCTCCGACGCGCTCCAGTGCTATAATGGTCTAGACATGCTCGATAGCTTTCAGACGACTGTCTTCGAGGATCGAGCCCTTTTCGAAGGCGCGAGCACGGCGACCATCCGTGAGCATTTCCAGAAATGGGCCGTTACTGCTATCCAGGAAGACGGTGGATCGCCGGATTTGATTCGCTACTGGAATATTCGAGTGGCGCGTTATCGGTACTGCCTTTTTGTGGATCAAGAGTCCTTGCAAAGTGTCCTTCAGGCACCAATTGACGACTGTCTTAATAAATATGCATATGTTAATATGCTGAAGGGGTGGTGGAAACCTGAGTCTATTGACGATTACATGCCGGAAGACTTTGAAGACCTAGATCGGCCTGAGGACATACTGGACGATAGTTATGATCCTGTCGAAGGGTGCACTGTAAAGGATGTTGGGTGGATGAAGGTTGCTTTATGTGACGCAGGGCTGCAAGGGTATGAAAGGATGGGTGATGATGATGAGTGGGAAAGAGTATATGAGCGTCCTCCTGAGATTTGTTACTATATCTCCAATGTGCTTGATCGGCGATAGAGCCATGCCCAGGTGGCCTATTGAGTGAAGTACTCAAGAATGTACATAATGATAGGTTGGCCGTCTCATTTGTAGAAGAAACATGCCTCTCAGAATAGCACACTAAGGTACGTCCATTCTTTAGACACATTTGGTTCGGAATCAGTGTCAACTTCTAAGATACATGTTCATAGACGACATCGTCAGAGATTCTCGTTAGTTGAAAGAAACAACTTTTGCTGGTAATGCCCATCAACATATTGCACAAGAACTCGTCATCCTCTGCTTCGAAATGGAGGCGGCGGAGCTGATGGACGAACTCCCATCGATCGTCATAAGGGGAATATCTGACTATTGTGATACTCACAAACAGAAAAACTGGCAGGGATATGCAGCGCTTACTGCGGCAGCCTACGCAAAGTTATTGTTGTCTATAGTTCCGTCCACGGTCAATAAGGCATCTACACAAAGTATGCTGCCCTCTATCATACTAGAACTCGCCAGGCTAATTAATAGTCAGGTTTTACGTCCACAGCTGAGAAGATGGAATGTTTACGTGGTTTGTTCCTCTCAGACCCAGCGGACGACAAGAACGACCTGAACAGACGAAAAGGAGACCAGGCGTCCGGCACATGCAGCTGGATCCTGGAAACACCTGAGCTAAAGAGCTGACCGGGTAACCACAACGCTGGCGCGCAGGAAGAATCCAACATACTTTGGCTATACGGTCATCCAGGTACCGGAAAGGCTACCGTGGCCATAACAATGACGGATGGGCTGCAGGGTAATGCCCGACTAATATCTGCTGTCATTTGGAGCTTTGATGCAACTATTGTGGCAGTTGTTCTGCATTGCTGCGGCGAAGGTGTTCAGATCACAGGGGGTATCTTCAAATCCGCGACACGGAACTCTAAAGACGAAGATTCCCTGTCGTTAATCCTTAAACGATATGGCATTCAAGTTCAAATCACGAGAAAAACGGGAGTGGAAGGCAATGATTCGAAGGAGGAGACATAGAAAGCACAAGCAGGTGTTGCAGAAACTCGGCTACCTGGCGCTAAAGCTCTGGTGGGATATTGGAGAGGCATCATTGGAGAAGGTGTTTTTTCGCATGCTGACCATGGTTCCAGCCGAGAAGCATTACTGGTGCGTCCCATCTTATTTGACGTATTCGGACGTCAAGCCAGGAAACCATACGGTCAACAAACTGGAGCTCTTGACCACACACCAAGCAGGACCCGCCAGGATCGCGACCTGTGGTCGGATATTCGCAAGTACTCAGAGCTCCCTTGAACTGGCATGTCATGCGGGAGCACAAGACTCTGAAAACTCGACTTCCTGGATGCCTGATTCCACACATGAAATGGGTGGACGATGCTTCATGGATGTTGCAAACATCCGGGGACTCTATAATGTAAAGCTAACAGAAGCCAAAGCCAGGGTGAATAATTATCTCTCGCAAAAGAAGGCAGGAGCATACCTGATCGCCTCCGATTATGTTGATGTTACGGACACGTGGACCCAAGGCAGTGGTGATGCACCACCATTGACGGAGTCTCTGCCTCAAAGTGAGCAAGGCTGCATTATCCTCTGCACGGAGCATCCAAGGCTGGCCATGGGGTTACCGCTCTCTGATGTGATCTTTCTGCCACCAAAGCCATCCCCTGGAGATTAATTGCGGCATACGTGGACCCAAATGATTACAGTCTTCTCACCTTATAAACCCTTTACGGCCAAGGGTACATGCCCTTAGGATTATACCAGACAGTCAGCTGCAGCCCATACAAGGACAATTCGGTTGAGTGACTGGTGGAATAGGATCATAGCCAGTATAGCATGGGGTAGGAAACACTAGACCCGGATGATATGGTGGTTGTCATTAGCTGTTATGCTTTCCCCTCATGTCTATCTGTTGGGGCAGTTGGATGGCAGATATCAACGAGATGCAATGTGTCAGATGAGCAACATGAGGGACATTTGTTTGCATGACTTCTTTCAATCCCATCAGCCTGTCTGCGTAAGTAGATCAACAACCCGACAGAAAACTGCATGCGAGGCGTAAGACCCGGGAGACATTGAACATGGTATCAATGTCAAGCGACGGCAATAGACAGATCAGTGGAGGTGGCGAGGATATAATACACTGCGCTAAGTGAAGTCTGAAATCACTGTCTAGTAGTTATATATAGTCTTTCTGTCATGCGCCTAGCAAAAGAATAAGTACAGCCGCGCGTTCGCTCGTAAGTCATAATCAACACCCTGACGCCACATATGCAAGCCAAACCTGTCCTCAAATGACAAGCTGGGATCGTCATCTTCTGTATCCACTTGAAGACCTTAGGCTGTCAAGGGTCTATGCCGTCTGTTTTCGTTTAGGTTCTGGATCGAATTCATCGCTCCCAGACTTCTCGGAAATTCATCACATCGTAACTGCTTTTGTACTTGTGACCGACTCAGTCCTCGCCGTCGTCGGATTTGTCTGTTCCGTCGCTGTCACTTTCCCAATCGTCGGCCTCAAGAGATCGATCTCGGATCCCGAAGCTCAAAAAGAACCCTATCAATGAGGTGGCAGCAAAGACGCCAAACGCCAAGGCTTCACCCTTGTGCTTGACCCGGGTCGCCAGCGAGAACAGGGCACCGGAGATGAAGGGGCCCACGGCACGCCCCGCTGCGGAGAGGGTCTGGGCCAAACCATTGAGTGCTCCCAGGACTGCATGATCGGGAGCAGAGTTGGTTATCTATGGCAAGGTTAGCATATTTGCATTAGGATCTGTGAACAGTGCACTCACCAGCAAGAGCGCACTTGTCAGGCCGCCAACGGTTGCAACGGTCTTCACTAGCAGCACAAAACACAATTCCACAGCCAGGAGGGCGGTCTTCCCACTCAAGCCACGGGAATCGTTGCCCTTATATCCGATGAAAGGCATCAAAATGAAGGAGATAACAAAACCAAAGAGACCCGCTCGGTATGACCACCGGTTGCCCATCTTGTCTCGCAGCCTGCCGAATATGCAAATCTGGAAGATGATCGTCACGAAACCGGAGAATCCTTGGGAAAGACCGATCTCCTCCGGCGTCAAGCCTCGACCAAGCGGAGGGGCAGCTTGTGAGAATATCGGGAACAGCGAGTTGAATGAAACATTGCAGAGAGCAAAGATTAGATACGTCAAGAGAAGCAAAATGGTGTCTCGGTTCCAAATCTCGCTCGTCAAATTCTCCCGGCGAGGCGGAACATGCCCCGAGGCCTCGGATGCCGAGTCCAGCTCACTGTCATGTCCTTGGCTCTCCGCTGAAGGCTGGCGGACCGGAAGATATCGAGCCGGGTAGGGGGGATGGACATATCGGGCACGCTTTGCTGAGCTAGTGAATTGCCAGATCCACGAGAAGAATGACTTGACTCTAGCTTTGATATCTGGCAAGGTATCAGCATCTTCCAAGCTCTCATCGAGGAAGATGGCAGTTAAGACGAAGTCGATGACGAGGATCGCGGCACAGAGCAGATTCGGCGCGAGATAGGGATACGGATTCGGCTTGCTCCGATCCCACAGACTATGCTCGAACACCAAGAGGCCGCCAACCAGGGGCCCCGTAATCCCGCCAATTCCGTACAAAACAGGAAGGTATGTGAATGCCCTCGACTGGTTACTTCGGTCTGTAATCTCGCCAAGGCAAGTAGACACCAAGCCCTGGTTGCCATTGACCGCGCCCAGTACGGCCTGCACAACAATCGCCTGCGCAAGGGTCTTGCAAAATCCGAATGCGCAAAAGGAAGCGGCCGACAGGATTGTACCCAGCATGATAACTGGCTTGCGTCCCACGCGATCCGAAACCCAGCCCCAGAAATAGTTGGTCACGAACTGCGCGACCGCGAACGCCGTCGCCACTAAACCAACATACATGCCGACCATCTGCGGTTTTGCTTCGGGGAACGTGGAGACCATCTCGGGGAGATAGGGACTGATTGAATTGAACGCGGTCTGCTCGCAGAGGGAGATCATCGCTAGCACGGCCATCTGCTTCTTTGGCAGCGGGGAGCCCTGGTCCGAGGAAACATGCTGAGTGTCATTCTGATCGTCGCGGTATGAGTCGGCGCGGGAGGATCCCGATTGACCGGAATTGGGTCTCCCGCGAGATTTGGGGGGAGGTGTTTCGAAGGTCTGGTAGTGCAGGGTGGAGGAGTGGCGCCGGTGGAGCGACGTATTCTCCGACGGCTTCATCTTTCTGGCGCTCGAACTGGGTCGGCGCAGCAGGATCTGTCCAGAACCGATCTGACTAGGTGATAGAGCTGTCGCAAAGGACGTTGGGGCTCAATGGGCTCCGGATCTGTGTTGCGGGGCGTCAGTGCCCCGGGGAAGGTTTCAAAACGACGACAGGGTAGGCCGGTAGGCTCGATGCATGAGCATATGGGAAGCAGCGAGGTTTCTTTCGACAGCGGCAACAATCGCAACAGCAAGGAGACAAAGCAGAGTGCAGGGACAGAAAGAAGGCAAGGAATGAAGCCCGTCGGTTGATTCGAAGGCAAAAGGATGACGGATGAGGTAAGCAGAGGGCTGACTCATCTATACATGATGTCACCTTCCCTCGCCAGGTACCTGAATTAGAACTCATCTTTGGTAACCGATCTATTTATTCTTATACGGAGATGTTAAGATGATGCATTAATGCCTTAAATATTGTAGTAAGGACACCTGGGACCTCTGAATGGGGACGTTTCCCAACCCCCCAATATATATACTTCCCTGAGCTGCGGCTCTGTGCGAATACACATGTATATAGGAGGATGTCATGCTTTCATCTTCCAAATGCCTAACAAGCATATTACAGGGTGTTTCAATACACAGTATACCTCACCTTTCTATGGAAAAATTGACTCTTATGGAAAGTAAAATATGGGGCTGAGCTGATGCAGGAGGCGGATGTATATAGACGGGTGGTGCCGACGGGATGCAGGGCAGACCAATGATCATGCGCGACGCGGCAGGAACAGCGGTCTGAGCGCACCCCTGCATGTCTCAACCTTTGCATACAGGCCTACTTTTGGAATATAAAGTCTTTTTTCGGTCAACTCTTCAACAACAGCCTGGCCTGCTGGCCCAATGGTAAGGCGTCTGACTACGGATCAGAAGATTGCAGGTTCGAATCCTGCGTAGGTCATTTTTTTGCTCTTCGTCATTCTAAGTGAGGAGAAGATGACTATGTTGTGTTCTTTTTATGGATGGATGAAGCTTCAATATATGCAGGGAAATGATTAATTATCGGGAAACACAGGTATTATTGCAGGAAAAATAGAATGCTCATATGCAGGATATCCTAATTACTTCATCAACAAATTCACCGCCCAGGGCACACTCAGTCCGCGCAAATCACCATAGTGCTGACCAACACCCAAGAACACGATGGGAATTCCAGTAGCATGCACCATGCTCACCAATGTGCCCACCATATCCCCGACAGTGTCGCATTTGCTAATGATAAACCCGTCGAGGTTGCGTCCCGTTCCAAAGGCCTGGTTGAAGTTGCGGGCCTGCATCACGCTGTCCGTGCCGACAAGCGCCTCTCCTACCATGAAGATCTTGTCCGGTTTCGCAAACTTCGCAAACTTCTCGAGAGATGACATCAGGCGCTGGTCGTTATGGCGCCGACCCGCGGTGTCGATGAGGACGACATCGAACTTGTTCGCCGCACCGTACTCCACCGCATCCTTAGCCACGTTGGCTGCATCCTTGCCGTATCCCTTCTCGTATAGTTCGACTTCGCCGACATTCTCCCGCGCGCTGAGCTCCTTCAAGTTGCGGGCATGAACACGCAGCTGCTCCACAGCACCAGATCGGAAGGTGTCGCAGGCCGCGATCAGAACACGGTAGTTGTTCTGCAGGAGGAAATAGCAGATTTTGCCGAGATTGGTGGACTTTCCGACTCCGTTCACTCCCACAATCGAGATCACATACGGGCGCGGAGATTGCTGCTTAGTCGTAGGCGAGCTCACCGCATCGATCTCACGGAGCAAGTCGAGGGAAGAAGTGGGAGTGAGGATCTTCCGCAACGCTGACTCCATGGCTAGCTGCAAGGCTGCATCCACACTCTGGAAATTGGCCGTCTTCTTGCCGACCAGCTCGCGTTTGACTCCATCGCACAGCCGAACGGCCGCCTCGCGCGCCACGTTCTTCTTCAGTAGATGGTCTTCCATCGTCTTGAGCGGCTTCTCCAGGTCTGCTTCGGTGAGGACCTTTCCACCAACAATGTTGCGTAGAAGACCACCAATAGCGTTGAAGCCAGATCCCACGAATCCGGACGAGGAAGCCTTGGCCTTCTCGTTATCGGCGTTCTCTAGAATTGAGTGGACCTCGTCACCAAGGTCTTTCAAGACAAATTGTCCCTTACCGGTCCGCCGGCCCCAAGAGTCTTGGGAGACGGCTTCCACAGTAGGAGCGGCGGCCTCGTCGTCATTCGCAGGAGCCGAATAATCGAGGACCGTCCCATCATCCTCGTCGGCGAGTCCGTCCGCATCCCACTTGCGCATTGTCTTTCCACCCTTCGCCGTCTTTCCCTTGCGGCTGGTTTCGTCGCCTGATGAGACGGGGGCGCTCGCATTGGCGGCTTTCCGCGCGCGGCGGGAGACACGGCCACCAGGACCGCTCTTCGCAGTCAAAATTTGGCTTCCGGGGGTCGATGGACGAGATGTATCTGGAGTTTGAGGGGGCGTGCTATCATCCGAGGTTGGCACGCCTAGCGCAGCTTGACGCTGCGCTGATGGATTGTCAGTATAGGCTTTATGAATTGGATAAGACGCAACATACCCCTCAGAAGGTGAGGTGTGTGTGGCGGCGGCGGTCCGCCATTATCAGAGGAGACAAACGGATCCTTTTTGTCCTCCGTCTCGGCCACGAACCCCTCCGAAGTGATGGCGCCAGAATTATCCTCGAGTTCGCGCACCTGCTGGTCGAAGTATTTCTCGAAGGGGTATTCGACAATCCGAGCGCGCGAGCTCTTCAGCTGGTCTTTGTACAGATCAATGAACAAGGTTGAGATATTGTCCAGAAGCTTGTCGATCCAACCGAGGTGGAGGAGAGATTGATACACGGCCTGAGTCGTCAGTAGTGTAATGCCAGATCTAGACGTCCCTCACATACCACAAAGATCAAATTGAATTCCTTCACTCGCTTCCATTTGAGAGTGTATTTCTCTTTTTTGTAAATGGGGGAGGTGTTGGTCGTCGCTTGAAGTTGGACTCTCTCTTCGATGAAGACGTCGTTGATAAGGCTGTTGACGACGTGGGCTCCAACAGGAGCGTAGGATTTGGACCATAAAACCACACCTGATGTGGTCAAAATCTCGAAAGCTTCCAACATTATTGGCGTGGGTTTCTTCTGCGTTGTTCTGATTGTGTAAGAATGCGGCGGACGTGGATGGAGAGCGGGTGGAAGAGATGTGGGGAGAAAGTTGCGGGCGGAAGCTGAGCTTTTTGATCGGAGAACTTCAGCCACGTACCTGTAAACGCTCCCTCTCTTCTTCTTCCTCCACCGCAACCACTCCCATCTTCCCCTTTCAATATCACACCTATCCTCCGTCGCTGCTTTGGTTCTCGGTGGCCATAGCAGCCTTCTGTCCTCGATACTAATCCTCCCTTCTTTCCCCTTGACTCTGCACAATTCCGCTGCCCAACATGTATCGCCAGTCGTTCGCTCCGCCGCCGGCGCAGTCGCCTCCGCTCCACCATCCGGTGCCTCAGCATGTCTCGACCGTTCCTATGATGCGATCTCCGCCTCCTCCGACGTCTCAGCAGTCCCAGTCTTCCACCTATGGCAACCCATATCAACCAGCCCCAGCGCAAGGCGGCAGCGGGACGTACGCTCCTGGATTCGGCGGGTTCATCAACGATCCTACGGCGCAGATGGGATTCCAAGTGGGAAAGACGGCGATGATGGCAGGACAGGAGTACATGGAGCAGAATGTAAGTGACTTCTGGTAGCTGCCAGAGAATCCGTCCATTTGGACCTTCAGTCCTCGCTAACCTTCGTTCAGTTCAACCGTTATGTCTCCATTCCGGCGCTGAAGCATTACTTCAATGTCTCCAACTCCTACGTCTTAAACAAACTTGCCCTTGTGCTCTTCCCGTGGCGACATAAACCATGGTCCCGTCAACAAGCCCGTCTGACGACGGCATCAGCCGGTCCCAACGGGCAGATCACCCAGCAGCAATACTCGTCCATGTTCCTCCCTCCTCGAGATGACCTCAACTCCCCTGATATGTACATCCCCGTGATGGCTCTGGTCACCTACATCTTATTGTCGGCGATGTTGGCTGGCTTCCGCGGCAACTTCCACCCCGAGATGCTCGGATCCATCACGACGACGGCCATCGCCGTGATCCTTTTCGAGATCCTCTGCCTGAAGCTCGCCATGTATATCCTCAGCATCAACAACGACTCGCAACTACTGGACTTGGTGGCTTATTCCGGCTACAAATTCGTCGGCATCATCGCTACCCTTGTTACGTCGGAGATCTTGACTCCGGGTCGGGGCACCGGTGGCTGGGTTGGCTGGGTCGTGTTCGTCTACACGTTTTTGGCGAACGCATTTTTCCTGGTGAGTTTTGACGGTCTGTCCGGAAGGGTTCTCTAGCTAATGGTAATGTGTATAGCTTCGTTCCTTGAAATACGTGCTGCTCCCCGACTCGACGAGCGATGCGTCGATGCGCACTGGTTCGATGCACACGGTTGCCCGTTCGCAGCGCAACCGTCGCACGCAGTTCCTATTTATCTACTCCTACGTCATCCAATTCGTATTCATGTGGGTTCTGAGCCGGGAGGGACCGTCCAGCGTGGCGGCTAATGCGGCGGGTGCGGGATCTTCATGAGGGCTTGCTTCGACGGCAAATAATGATATAGACGAGACGGATCTGCAAGCGGGATATGTGGACATGGATGGACTTTCTTATTTTCTGGGTGACATTCCAGCAATGACTGAGCTAGATCGAGGTGACCTTAATGTTTGTTTTAGCTTTCAGCCCGGTGCATGGTTCGGATGGTTGGTTGGTTTAATTCGATAGTAAATAGCATTTGTATACAGTCTTGATCTACTGGCAGAGAGTGGTCATATCAGAATTTTGAATTGGTTCTATGGAGCTAACTAAGGTTTGCGTATGCGTATGAACATTGATGGAGTTGTGAGATCCTATATGCCGAGTTAGTCACATGGCATGCAACGTGATGACGCGACAGTGTATTGAGAAGAGCTCCTCAGAGATCTTGGTGATGAGGGTAATATCATTGCAAAAGCATCAACTACTATCTAGGCAGTGCATTTTTTTAATCATCGGAGCGGGGAGGACGAAAAAAAAAAAATTATCAACGTACCGAGCATACCGAACATACAGGACGAAGCAGGACGGAAGAGGCAAGAAACCTAGAAGTCTTTTCAAGTTAGCATCGACCAAAGCAGGAGATGCAGCAAGTGAAGGAGAAAATCCAGTTCAGAATATGTAAGAAGTGAATATCAACCACCTGCGCTGTTATGAGACCCCGGCGAGGGTCTCCAGACGCAGGGTCAATCGCAAATTACCTCATCATTTGGAGGATGGAGGGAGAATGACGGGGCGCTTACCAGTGAGCAGATGCTGTATCATCGTAGCTGTTAGTGCAAGTCAAGGTGAAGAGAGACAGACACATGAGTCTGAGAAGAACAGAACATGAGGAAGAACCGAAAAGAAAAAAGAAGCTTAAAAGCTGCCGCGGGTCGGAGAAACATTGTCTCCGGGCCAGGCACCCAGGCGCCAAGGCATCCAGGCCATCCACACAACCCTAGACCGCACGGAAGGCGACGGGCTGCGACTGGCTGCTAAGCGAGCCTCTGTGGGCAACCCGCGAATTTCGCGATTCCAGCCCAGTCCGCCTCTGATTGTGCGTTCCGGACGACTTCGACCACCCCGACACCTTCGACAACAAATTTCCACCACCCACCGACCTCCCGGAGTCCCGTCGACCGTGAGTGCTATCCTGTCCGCTGCGATATTGCCGTTTCGCCTGCAGAAAAAAAAAGTTTCTGAGACTGAGTGTTTGTCGCCGTATAGGAAGCCTTCGCCATGGCCGATATCGATATCACGATTGCCCAGTGGAAGCTGGTTGAGGTTGGCCGTGTCGTGCTGATCCGCCGCGGTCCCTACACCGGCAAGCTCGCTGCCATTGTCGAGATTGTCGACCACCGCCGTGTATGTGATACGAATTCTGGAGGACCCTTCCGAACAGGAGATTGAAGATCATTTGGGGATATTGGGAGACACGGATATTGATGGATTTTGCTGCGATTACAGGTCCTCGTTGACGGTCCCTCCACCGAGGAGAACAAGATCGTCCCCCGTCACGTCCTTCCTCTCGCCCACGCCACCCTCACCCACTTCGTGATCCCCCAGCTGCCCCGTGCTGCCGGCACCGGCCCTGTGCGCAAGCTCTGGCAGAAGAACGAGATCGATGGCAAGTGGGCCAAGAGCTCCATTGCCCAGAAGACCGAGCGTGCTGAGCGCCGGAAGAACCTGAACGACTTTGAGCGCTTCAAGGTTCTGCGCCTCCGGAAGCAGGTACGTTGATGGAATGGTTGATATCGGGGCGGTCTATAGACAGGGGACTTCATGGCAGTACGATTGTGTTTATGGTCGTATTGCCACTGATGATATCCTGGATATGGATGCGCTACGAAGGACACCGCTACGAGATATCATAGAACATCGCTGACGTTTCCAGGCTCGCTTCGAGGTCCAGAAGTCTCACGCCAAGCTCCGGGCGGCTGCTCCTAAGGCGTAAGATGGATTTTATGAGGCTCGGTGCATAGTGTGAAAGGGTTGCCTTTGGGACGGTTTTTTTCCTTGCTGAGGGTATGGTTTTAATTCAGCAAAAAAGAAACGCTGTACGCATTATCATGGACAGCAAAAATGATTGAACCTTGATATCCATCTGCACGAGTAATCATGACCATTGAATTGAATTCAAATAAGCCAAATAAATAAGATAATTGACGTAAATACATCGTAAAAGTAGAGGTGATCCCCAGATGTATCATAGTATGGCGTCTGGAGTCGCTTCTGTGTGTTCCGCCCCAGTCACCTTATAAGCTCGCTAACGATTTTCGGCAGGATGACCTTCACACAGCATTGCGACTTTCCACCCCCCTCCAGACAAAAACCACCCCCTCATCCACCACCGCCTCTCTCCTGTGTCCAGGTATGTTCCTCCGAATGCTGGACCCGTCAATTTCCATTTTACCCTCGATTCGCATGAAATCTGGCAGCTTTCCCGGTGTTCCGGGGGGTTTCGTGGGTCGTCCAGCGAAACCCTTCACCAACCCACCACCACTACACCACCACCACAAATAATACCACCAACACTCACCCCGATCGGTCCTCTGGCTAACTCGCTCGAACTCGCTCTGCTTTTCAGCCCGTTTAGGCTTTCTCGAATCTCAAAATGGCCGATCCCCGTGTCGAAGAACTCCCGGACGAGGAAGTCCCCAAGACCAACGTCGAAGATGCCGGCAGCGACTCCGAGTCCGAGGCTGGCGAGGAGCCCACCATCCCCGGTGGCGCTGCCGTTGCTGTCCACTCTCGTAACGAGAAGAAGGCCCGCAAGGCCATTGGCAAGCTCGGTCTGAAGCTCGTCCCCGGCATCACTCGTGTCACTTTCCGCCGCCCCAAGAACGTACGACTTCCCTTGGATTGGTCGGTCGGGATGGAATGACGACTGCGATCCTCCCGCGAAGGATGTTTGGACATGCGAGGATCGGCTAATGCGGTATACAGATCCTCTTCGTCATCAACCAGCCCGAGGTCTACCGTTCTCCTTCCAGCAACACCTGGATGTGCGTGGCTTTTCTCTTGTATTTTTCTGGAAACGGTCGGCTGACGTGAAACAGCATCTTCGGTGAGGCTAAGATCGAGGACCTGAACGCCCAGGCCCAGGCTTCCGCCGCCCAGCAGCTCGCTGCCCAGGAGGCCGCCCAGGAGCACGCCGGCCACGAGCACGAGGACATCCTCGGCAAGGCCAAGGAACCTGAGGCCGAGAAGAAGGAGGCGGAAGAGGATGACGGCGAGGAGGTCGACGAGAGCGGCCTGGAGGCCAAGGACATCGAACTGGTTATGGCCCAGGCTAATGTGTCCCGCAAGAAGGCCGTCAAGGCCCTACGGGAGAACGACAACGACATCGTCAACTCGATCATGGCTCTCAGCATATGATAGTCTAGTCCTTGTCTTTCTCTCTCTTATGTCTCGCTTTTCTGCCCGACTTGGGGGGTGCACGCTACCAGTGACTTTACTGGCAGGATCTTGGGTGCGAGGGTTTAATTCTCCCTGTTTCTTAGGATGAAGCGTGTGTCTGTCTAGTTGATGGTGTACATCTAGTCAATCACCAAAAGCAGATTGATAATTTTCCATTGTCTTTGTAGTAGTAGACCCTAGCTGTACTCCGTATGGTATACATACATACCTTAGTACTGTCGGAGAGAATTGGATGGGTGATGACTAAGCTCGGAACACGGGAACAGGATACCACGTGACTCCCCCCATCCAAACCTTGCCGGTTAAACCCTCTCCTTCGGAACCCCCAGCATAGCACGACGAACTCCCCTCTCTCACCCTCCCATCCTCCCAACCACTCGTCAAAATGGCCGCTGTATGTTGCGTTCTGCTGTCCCTGTCGCGCCCGATCGATTCATATCGCCATCCTGACCCCTCGCTAACTCCCCACAGCGCAGCGCCGCTCTCAAGATCGACTGGGTCAAGGTGACCAGCTCCCTCGGCCTCCGCGGTCAGACCGCCGCCTCCCTCCAGGCCTTTAAGAAGCGTAACGATGATGCGCGCCGCAAGGTCCAGATTCTGTCCGAGCAGCCCCAGACCGTCGACTTCGCCCACTACCGCCAGATCCTGAAGAACCAGGCCGTCGTCGATGAGATCGAGAACCAGTTCAAGAACTTCAAGCCCGCCACCTACGATGTGAGCCGCCAGCTCAAGGCCATCGAGGCCTTTGAGGCTCAGGCCGTCCAGAACGCCGAGCAGACCAAGGGCAAGGTGGAGGCCGAACTCCGCAACCTCCAGAAGACCCTGGAGAACATCGAGACCGCCCGGCCGTTCGATGAGCTCACTGTGGTATGTTGTGGTTGGATTGGGGGGTTGAGAGAGGTGGAATGTGTTAGTGGTGATGCTAATTGCTGTGTTTCATATAGGACGAGGTTGCCGCTGCTCAGCCCGAGATCGACGAGAAGACCGCTTCGCTCGTCTCCAAGGGCAGATGGATGCCGGCTGGCTACAAGGTGAGTTGCATTGTTGAGTCTGATATTTGTTTCGTCCGGGGTTCCGTGCTGATAACCTGTGTAGGAGCGCTTCGGCGACATGTCCGTTGTTTAAGCTCGCAACTTCTGCCGCATTATGTCTCTTTATGTCCTTCAACCAATCAACGCAGTTTATTTCGTTTGTCGAATCTGTTGCCAGTCGATACCCTTTACGTCTGGCGGATTCAGGTTGTTGGATTGTGTATAGAAACTTGTTCAATTTAGAAGATGATTCTTCATTCGGACTATTCCCTATCTACTCAGGCAGTAGGCAACGTAGTGTGATTGTGCCTTTTAACTCTTGTCTGTCGAGTTTAATCGATAATAAGTAGATACTAGCCGAAAACTGGAGCAGGTACACCGGTGGTGTTGCACCGTGGTTGATCAACGTGACCGCATCCGCCGGACACGACATTGCTTTTTTTCTCTCCGCCGATCATCCAACAACAACTTCGCCATTTCTCTCTGATCACCTCGTCCGAGTGATCGCGAGTCCCAATGGGACTCTATCTGCCCGCGGACTCGTACTCCTGATCCTCACGGCTTCCACTGCCAGAAGCTGATACCACAACCCCGCATCGCCGTCAACCCGCTCCGCTATCGACACGAGCATCCACCGTGCTCACTTTCCAGGGACCGCTCTACCCGATCAGCCTCCCTCGAAGAGACTCCTACAGTCCCGTTAGCATTGGGCATGATCAGCCCGGCTCAACAATCACGACTGATGGCGATAGTCGCATTCTCCCAGAGCCCTCGATAGCCCGTCCTACTCCGCGCCTCGCACCACATTTCCCTCGATTGGCCCTCGACAGAGAACAGTGATCGGGCAATGGGTGGAAACCCGCCAGAGACGCCTGCCCAGTCCCGTCTGGAACGTCTCCCCGTCGAGCTCATCGAGCAGATCTTCCTCCACAGCCTCGAATTCAACCTCCCCCGCGCATCCCCCCATCTCGCGCGCGTGCTCTCCACGCCGCTCCTCTACACCTGGCTCATCCGTCTGGCCTTCAGCAGCCCCAACGAGAGCTCCAAGCGCGGCTTCTTCACGCCCGACTTCCTCCCCCACCCGCTTGACGTCTTCGCCCTCTCCGCGACCCAACGCCGCGACCTCCAAAACAGCATCCTCGTCTGCCGCTGGTGCACCCACTCCCTCCTCCGCAAATGCCAGCGCGAGTACGTCGCGCGCGTCCTCCGCCTCCGATGCTCCAACACCCTGGACATCCCAGCCGCTGACGACCGCCGCATCCTCTCCACCTACCTCGCCGACTCCTCCACCCAACCACCCGCCGACGACATCGTCCTCTCCGCGCGGGACCCGCACACCAACACCCCTTATAAAGTCACCATCTGGCCCGCACAGGGCGCCGTGCACATCCGCCACGCCTACCTTACGCCCGTGCCCACCCCGCACTCGCATCCAGACACCTTCCGTCTCCCCTGGTGCTCGGCGGACGCCCCGGCGCGCATCCCGGACAAGCTCCTCGAAGCGCCGTGGTGCGCGGAGAAACTAGCGCTGCTGGAGATGCTGGCCGCGGCGAGGGCGTACGTCGACGAGGACGACTGGTTTGGGCGCTCGCGGCGTGCGCTGCGGCTGGTGATCCGGGCGCGCGACTACGCCACGTTCGAGCGGCTGCTGGGGATGCAGGTGCGCACGGAGTTTTACAAGTATCCTGTGCCGTGGCCGGTGCAGGGGCATCACTTCCGCGTGGCGATGAAGTACGCGGAGGGGAAGGAGGATCCGTTTCTGCGGCGGTTGGTGGAGACGCGGTGGGGGGATCTGAGGGATGATGAATTGGAGTTGAAATGTAAGGTTCTGCAGTGGGTGGAATCATAGACTATGTATTATGTCTAGTAGTTGTTGGGATACTAGGTACGGTATAGTAGGGGGTACTACGTTGTATATATATAATGTATCGGGAAAACGGAACGTGCATTAGGCAGAGGTATCGACAGCTCAGTACAGAATAACCATAGGAATAACAATCACAGCATCAGGTATCCTCGTAACTCGTAAGCGCATGCGACGTGCAGGAACAGACTACACGCGCGACCTCCTCGTCGTCGTTCCCCTGGTCATCCTCCGTCGCCGCCCACAGTAGCCGCAGGTGAGGCACGAGATGATCACGTCAATGACGGTGACGACGCCGTCGATGATGGCCTTGCAGACGCGTCCGATGGTGTTGACGATGCCCATGAGACAGGCTCCGATGGAGCGGAAGACATCTCCGATCTGGTTGAGTACCGTTAGCTTTGCGGACCAGAGATTGGGGGTGAGTGACGTACGCATGAGACGACGGCGCCCATGGTGAAGGTAGATAGAATTGGAGAAGTTTATTTCTGTTTGGTTTGCTTGGAGGAATTGGTTGGTTTGGACGAGCTGGAGCTGGAAGTCGGTGGTGGAGAGTTCTCTCGCGCAGAGCTGGATGAGGCAGGAGTATGAGTTGAAGTATCAGTGAACGGGCGCATGATGAAGGGGCTCGTGGGAGTGTCTTGTATATATAGAGGAAGTCGAGAAAGGAAGGGGCAGATCAGCTGCGTTAAGAATGGCGTTGTTGCGAGAAGTATGATATAATCCCAGCGCGATTGTCTGGGTCCTACGTCATCCACTGCCCCTTTGGGCCCTGAGGACTGGGAGACGTGGGAGTATCAGCCCTGGCAGGGGCTGTCTTATCCAGGGATTCACATCATCATGATAGAGCATAGACGTTCCTTGTTTCAGAGCATGTGGTATAGTTACTACTTCTATGCATGACGTCAGAGGAGACATGCTGGGAGAGAGTACAACAAGAGCATACGACATCGTACATCAACAGAGCGTAGAATAGTATACCTCAGGTAGATCTGTAGAACAGATGATGATGATGTAGTATATTGTATGTAGTATAGTAGGTGCTTGGTATAATATTGTTAGTGTAGTGGTGTATACTTGTGTAGGGTGGTGATTGCTGACTCATCATCGAAATCTTCCTATTTCGGCCATTTCCATCTCTATCTCCATCTCCATCCTCACCTCCTACACCACACTCCATCCATTCATGACATGGCTCGATGACAGGCCAACACCCTCCGGCCCGCTCACGCCCATCCGCGTGCGCGGCCGCAGGAAAAAGCGTCAACATGACTCCGACGACCCGTCGGCCGCTTCCAGGCCCAAACGCCGCGGACGTCCGCTGATGTCCCTGGAAGAGCTTGCCCACTCCTCCAGGTACCGCAGCGATAAACGCGCGCGACTCCTAGTGCCACACCCGGCCAAGCACCATCGCCCCGGGAAAAAGAAGCTCTCCCGACTGGAGCGCCTCCCCGTCGAGCTGATCGAGAAGATCTTCCTCTACTCGCTCAACGTGAATCTCCCCCGGTGCTCGCCCTCGCTCGCGGCCGTCGCCTCCAGCGAGCGCATCTACCGCGCTCTCATCCTCCTCGCGTTCTGGAACGACGACGATGCCACCTCGACCGGCGCCTCCTCCGCCGGCGTCTCCCGCATCCTCCGTCCACTGGAGTACGTTCCGCTCGGCCAGGACGACCGCAGATCCCTGCAGACCAGCATCCTCAGCTGCCGCTGGTGCACGCTGGACCGGCTTCTACGCTACCTGCCCGACCTCATGAACCTGACCATCCAGCGGCACTGGTTCGGCGCTGGCATGCGCATGGAGCCTGACGAAGGAGCCCGTCTATCCGCCTACCTCTCCGTGCCGCCCGAAACCTTCGAACCCACAACCTTCAACGGCACCTATACCACTTCAACAACCACCACCCCTCACACCCTCACCATCACACCACCCACCTCCATCCGCATATCCAGCCCAGACACAGACACCACATCCACCCACCCTGTCCTTGGCATGCTCGTCTTCCCCGAGAAGCTGCTCCGCGGCGACCCCGACGCAGGCTTCAGCGCCACCCACCTGCGCTACCTCGAGACCCTCCGCATCGCAAACGGGTTCAATCGCACAGACCTTATACGCACACCCGTCGCGCTGTCCCGCCCCGCGCTGCAGGCTGGCATCCACACCGCCCTGGTGGAAGCCAACGCGCGCGCGCTGACCATCCTGCTCAAGATCGACGAGTATGTCTTCCGCAGCGAACACACCACCGCCACCGGCTGTCCGCCCTACATCCTCCCCGCCGAGCACTTCCGCACCGCAGTGCGCGTCGCCCGCCACGACCCGGCCTGTTTCCAGCTGCTGCTCCGCGCGAGCGCCGAGTCGGTGCCTGCGGATGATGCGGAGATCACGCAGTGGGCGATGGATCTAGGCGATGTGTTCGGGCGCTGGTTGCTGGATTTGATGGTACAATTGCCGGAGCAGGTGGAGGCCGCGAGTGTCAATCCAGCTGAGGGCGCGGTGTTTTATATGGGCCGGGCAAATGCGCAGGTTGAGCTGGCGAGGCGGTATCTGAGTGATGTGCTGGGCGTGCAGGAGCTGGGGAGCTGGATGGAGGAGACGTCGTTTGATGTGGTTGAGGGGAGTACGGAGGATTGATTCCACGGCGGTGTACTTCTTGTAGATAAATTATTATGTATTATGTAAATACTATTGTACAGTGTAACGACCTACATGTTACTCAACAGTCGCACAACACCGCGGATCCACCCGCCCAGCGTAAGCTGGTACCCCGTCTCGACGACACCCTTGCACATCTCCCACGCCCCCGTACCGTCCTGGCGGGCCCCGGTGCCCTTATAGATGGGATAATCCAGCCGCGGCGGGATGCGCGTCGCCATCAGCTTCGGGAACCGGTCGACGCACACGGCCTTGAGATTGGACACGCCGCGCAGGCCCTCCGCACCACCGAAGCGGCCGTACCCGGAGCCCTTGACGCCGCCAAAGGGCAGTTGCACAGCGTAGTAGACGCCAAAGTCGTTGACAGAGACCATGCCGGCGTGGATGCCGGCGACGCAGGCGGCGACGTCACGACGGTTGTAGCCGAAGACGCTGGCGCCGAGGGCGTACTGCGTGGAGTTGGCGAGGGCGATGGCGTGGGGCACCGAGTCGGCGCGCATGAGCACAAAGACCGGGGCGAATAGCTCGGTCTGTGCGATGCGCATGCTCGGGGTCACGTCCGCCAGGAGTGTCGGCGTGAAGTAGTGGCCGTGCGGGTGCTTTGGATGGTGGTAGCGTTTGCCGCCGCAGACGAGGCGGGCGCCTTGCTTGACGGCGTCGGCGATGAGGGATTCCAGGCGGTCGAAGGAAGTTGCGGAGATGGAGGCACCCATGTCTGGGGCGCCGGAGGTCGCAGAATCGAGGAGGACGGAGCCCAGGCGGAGGTTTTGGATGCGCGGAGTGACCAGTTCGAGAAGCTTATCGTAGATGCCCGGGAGGGCGATGACGCGCTCCACGCCGATGCAGTTCTGGCCGGCGGACTGGAAGACAGCGCGCATCATCACGGACGCGACGGAGGCAACTTCGCTGATGGTGCGGGGATCGTCGAGGATGACTGCCGGGTCCTTGCCGCCCAGTTCGACGGTGACGGGGGTCAGGGACTTGGCGGCCGATTCGCAGACCTTGTGGGCGACGGGTCGGGATCCGATGAAGGTGAGCTGCGCAATGTCTGGGTGGGAAGTCAAGGCGTCGGCGACGTTGGGCAGGCACACGATGCTCTGGACCAGGTCGCGGGGGTGGCCGCAGCTGGACAGCGCACCGCGAATGACCTCGAGGAAGAACGCGGACGCCCAGGCGGTCTGCTCGGAGGGCTTCACGACAATGCCGTTGCCTGCGAAAATGGCGCTGATCACAGGACCGATGAAGTTGTGGAAGGGGTAGTTCCAGGAGACGCAGGCGGAGACGACGCCGAGGGGTTCGTAGGTCACCATGTTCTTCTTGTACATCATGAGGAAGTTGGTCGGCCGAGTTTCGGGGGCCAGGGCCTTCTCGCCGTGGTCAATGGTCCATTTCAGTTTCTCTGCGGTGACGAGGATTTCGCCAAAGGATGCATCCACTTTTGTCTTTCCCGAGTCCAAGCAGCAGACGGCGGCGAGCTCGTCCTGGTGTTCCAGTACGTATCTGCAGGTGGCAATTAGATCATGCGCAGATGTTCCGATATGAGCGCGCATACTTCAGCAATGTCTTCAGGACCTTTCTTCTCTCCGCAAAGGTTGTCTTGGACCACTCGATCTGGGCGGTTTTGGCGGCTTGGACAGCTCGGTCGACGTCTTCAGGGGTTGCGGGTCTGATTCCGGATCCTAGCACTCGTCCATCGGCGGGGCAGTAGCTCATGATGAGCTTGTCGTTCCATTGCTATATCATCACGACCATCAGCATCACCTCCATCACAGAGCTCTTATGATGAACTTACCCCACGTGCCTGGCCCTCCAGCACCTTTTTCTCCTCACCCTGAACATCTTCCCATTTCCGAATCGTCGCATTCTGGCGGGCTTCCGGGGGAATTGGCACATTGAACGCCACCGGGGCCTCTCTCCTGCCCAGGACGAACAGATAGCCCAGGTACACCGCGCCGAACGAGACCAACGCGACACCGAGCCACGGGGCGTGATCGTAAAGGGGATCCATGAGTGGCTGTAAGATCGGTGGGATATAGGAAGCAGGGAAAGCCATGATGGCAGTGCGACAAGTGCAATTGAGCACTTCCGAGCTGGTGGTGCTCCCGGTTGACGTTGTTGACTCGGCGGTGCGTCGGAGACGAAGAGGCGGAAGTGGTCCGATTCGGGAAGTCCGTGATGGCACGTGCCGCTATTGCCACAGAACTGTTCCTACTGAGGTATCAGTCGATGGCATGTTGGATCACTTCTCATTTCACATGGGATCCATGCGAAGCTCTGACTTGTCCCTGAAATGGGTTGTAAAGACTTGTTGACGCCCTCTTCTATACTTCTTGTCCAGGTCATGTGATCGCCTACCCAAACGGGTATTCTACAGTTTCGTCATTCTTCCCTCCTTCTTGCAAGAACTTCATCAGCGATAGAACTGGTAGAATTTGTCTTAACGGTTAGAACAGTCTCTGGCATTTATCCATGGACCGCCGCGTCACTCGTTCTGCTGCCCGTCAAGCGGCCCAGACTTCTATATCCAAAATACAGACGACCGATTCAGGGGCACCACCTGCTAAAAGACGGCGGACCAACGCCACTGTCACAGAGCTCCCTCATAATCTAGGCGCTGCGACGATCATCCAGCCCTTGAGCAAGAATCCAAAGCGCTCAGCTTCTCAGAAAGAAGCCAGCATCAAAGATGAAAGCATAGACGCGCTTTCACCCACGCTCCCAGCCGTCATTCCAGCTTCGGGAAAAGGAAAGAAGCCCAAAAAGTCGAACTATGGCCTGACACCTGGCGTAACCCCGTTCCCGGACTGGAATCGGCCGACAGCAGAAGAGTGCGAAGAAGTCAACCGTCTGCTTTCCAGCGTGCACGGGGAGATTGTCCCACCAACGACCATCCCGGAGCCGTCTCTGACGGTGACAGGCTGCGGAGAGGTTCCCTCTGTGCTCGACGCCCTGGTTCGCACGCTCTTGAGCGGTGCTACGACCGGGAGAAACTCCGCGTTGGCGTTCAACGGCCTCGTGCAGAAATTCGGCGTCCTCGAGGAAGGAATCGGCAAGGGGAGCGTGAACTGGGACGCCGTCCGGCGGGCTCCATTGAAAGAAGTATTTGAAGCGATCAAAAGTGGCGGGCTGGCCGATATCAAGAGTAAGAATCTCAAGGCTATCCTCGATATGGTCCATGAGGAGAATCAGACACGGCGAGAGAAGATCGTCAAGGACGAGGACGACCCGGTGCTTAAATGTGAATCGGAAGGCCGCAAGCAGTACGATGTAGCCTGTGCGGACCAGGGCTTTCTCTCGCTCAACCACCTCCACAGTCTGGATACCGAGCAGGCGATGAAGGAGCTGATGAAATATCCCGGCATCGGTCCGAAGACGGCGGCGTGCGTGCTGCTGTTTTGCCTCCAGCGCCCGTGCTTCGCGGTGGATACACACATCTTCCGCATCACAAAATGGCTGAACTGGGTGCCTCCGGATAGAGCGACGGAGATCACGGCTTTCAGCCACCTGGAGGTGCGCATTCCGGATCATTTGAAGTACTCGCTTCATCAGTTGTTTATTCGTCACGGGAAATCTTGTCCGCGGTGTCGCGCCATCACCGGGGAGTCCTCTGCCGGCTGGGAGGCTGGCTGCGTGATTGATCATTTGGTTGTGAGGACTGGGAAGAGGAAGGGAAAGACACGCTAGACAGGTCCACCTAGAGGAATACATTTCTACGCCCACGTTTTACCAATCTTCCAACTCACCATATCTTGGAAGTTACCATATGTCAAATAAGGAGGACTAGTATGTTTCCGCTGGGGCGGTCTTTCAGAGGGAGACCAGAGCACGGGTGTAGGAGTTGAGACGTCTCAAATGAATGCATAAGCCCTAACTAGATACAAAAATGACACTATACCAAACGAAACTTTGTTGAAAAGTCGGGTATGAAACAACTCCTCTCTCACAAAGGCTATCCATCAGTCACCAACTGTCAGCTCAGCATGAACTGTAGCCAACAATGCCTCGCCAGTGATCCGCATGATTCTCTTCGCCAGAGACATAGCCGCCTGCGCTACATTGATTGACGATAACCTGAGCACTATCGGCAATGTTGTTGAACCCATCAAGGGTTTTTGGCGAGGTGTTCTAGGGTTAATGAAGTATGTTAGTTCTGGTAAAGGTAGTAGTAAATGCAAACACTTACATCATTACACCACCAAATAGCGGCGCTCCAAGAACAGCTCACTCTTCCGCATTTCCCAGGACCAGGACCGATGGTAGGCTTACCACGGACGCCGTACAAGTAAGCGATACCCTCTTTGATTAATTTCAGGTTGGCTGAGCCATGGTTGTTGCACTTGATATCGAAACGCTTTTGTAGATGCGGAGCCTCGTCGTCGTTACTTCTGGCTTGAGGTACCCTGGCCGCGAAATCCCGATCATAAGTCGGGTTGATCTCGATCAATCTGGCGTAGATATCTTGGACTGTGCCATTGAGAGCCACTGTAGGACCTCCCGGCTTGGTCTCAACTTCCCAGGTGAACTCCTCGACACCGTATCCTGGGATAGGGGCCTCAAGTCCTCGGACCTAGATTCACATCAGAAGCATGCAAGAAGGAGGGGTTTGCAATGAACGCACAAGTGGGAAAGCCGCAAGGGCAGGAAGAATAGCAGATAGTCTCATTGTTCTTCGGGAGTCGGCCTAATGTAGTCCAGTACGAGAAGAAAGGACGAAAAACGACTGATTGATGAGCTTGCTTGGAAAAGAACCAGACTCAACTAGAGGGAAGAGAGGCATATTTATACCTTCTACTTGATCACTCCGTTCGTCTCATCTAGCATCACTGATGAAGGGGCCACCTGAGGATCATCCTGAGCCCCCTGTTCGATGTTACATCCAACAAGCTGAGAGTGAATTGGTGTGCCCCGATCAAAGGCCTGCAGGGCGTTAGACATGTATAGTTTAGTCCGGTTGTTCTGGAATCAAGAAGTATTTGTCGGGTCATAGAGACCAGCAGACCCGACGAAGGTAAGGAAGGATGAAAACTAAATTGCCAGACATGGAATAATGCTAGTAATAAGCCTTTCTACAACACCAATCCTCACTGTTCACGCCGTATCCGACTGTGATATGCTTAGTTCCGGCCTTATGGGCCTCAAATTTTGTCACGTTACACCACCATGAGAGACCGGGCCGATCCAGGAGTATATCAATGTATGACCAACTCAGAGGTACAGCCCGGTCAAGCCCATATTGTAGCTTCTACCCGCCAATTGGATATAGAAACAAAACATACCTAGACGCTCGTGGCGTTTCGGAAGTGCCGGAGGGTTTTGCACCGGCCATTGTGATTCAGATCTTTGTGAGGCTACTGCAATGATCACATAGAGCAACTCGCTCACAGTGCTTCAAACGCCACTATCACATACCGACAGTGCTCCCTATCAAGCTCGTGGAATGGAGAACACCGAAGACATAGAATCTAGTAGACCCTCAATACCAGAACTATTATATTGGTACGTCAATGGTAATGCTAGATCATTTCCTTGTTGGATGAACGTGCCTTGTCCGAGGTGGTAGGTACATAGTCCGGATACGCTCAGCGCCGTGCTCGGGATTGCTCAATGAGGTCGGGAGCTGCTTCCTGTGGCGGCTCATTAAGTTCCAGCTAGTTGTTTGCTTTGGACGTAGAGGGTCCACTCAATTGAAAAAAAAACAAACGCCGCAATGCACGGGCAAGGGTCTTGGTCTGGTGACATCGCACATCGGGCTCTTTTGAGCGTCTGCAAAATCCTGACTCGTGTTCTTTTAAACAATCTTTGCGGCAGTTAACTTGGCTATTAGCTCATTAGCTTACGAGAGCTGACATTGAGGCTGCAGCAGGAGGTCACATCGTGAGAGGTGGAAGAGTCGGGGAGCACAACATTAGTTGCGCCTCGCCAGACAAAGCAACCTCCTACATGCTCAGAGAACATTTCTATATCTCAATCGCTCCTGCAGGAGAGCCAGTCCATCCAAATTACCCTATTCTCCATTATGATTAACTATGTAATGGCGTTTTAATTGGACTTTCCTGCTGTGGCTCACAATCACCAGGAACGGCCGAGGGCTGCCCACATCTCCTATGTGCATACCTGTCCAATCAACTCACTGCAGGAATGCATCAAGCAGGAATGGGCACAGTAAACGGTTGGTGTATGCATAGTGAAAGCTTGATGACCAGTTCTGCCTGCGGGCTGGTGCACAAAGGCCTCTCATGCCCATGTCATTTCGGGCATGGATGCATGCAATCCCCTCGATAATTGTACGGCGAGAGCAGTAGTCCACAATAGTTAACTATAAGATACTAGTAAACACGCCGTGTAACATGCACGACCAGACCATCCTTTGTCCTCCAGTTGCCGCTGCCACGTCCGTAGCTCCCGCCGCAGCGTCATCTCTTCCCTTCTCACCAACCTCAGCACGTTGCCTCTGATGTCCTGGAGAGGCGTTGTCAAGAGGGCTCTTCCTCTTTCCCTCGTTATCTCAAACTCCGCACATCCAAGGTGTTTCTTTCTGCCCTAGTTCTTTGGCTCCTGCTCTTTCAGTTTTGCCGCATCAAATTCTGGCGTGATCCACACTCGGCCTTTTTCAGAGAACGTCATGTGTATGAGATGGATTACAGCCTTCACCGTGAGCGTGAAGCACGGCATTTCATCTCTCGACATAATGCTGACCTGGAGCCCCCTCTCTACGTCAAGTCGGATCCCACCCCGCGGATGTGTGTCGCACTGGTGACCGTCCGGCGCGACATGGATGACTATTTCGAAGCGTCTGTGGGCTCACTACTGGAGGGGCTGGACAAGCAAGAGCGAAGCAAATTGTACATTAGTTTGTTGTTTGCCAACACGGAGCCGAGGCTACATCCAAGCTGGGGACAACGATGGATAGAGAGGCTCGCTGACTCGGCGACAACATACAACGTGTCGGACAGTCAACTCGAGCATCTGAAGAGTCTGGAAAGAGAAAGGAATTTCTATGAGAAAGGTGTATTGTAAGTCGCTGAATTTGAATCCGGGATGACGAACGACAGAAGAAGCCACATCAAGATGGTGCTAATCAATTACAGTGACTACTTATATGCCCTCCGGACCTGTCAACAGCTGAACGCTTCCTACACTATCATTTTCGAGGACGACATCATCCTTGCGGCCGGGTGGTTCTCAAGAACGTTGCAGGCGTTGGCGAAGATTGCCCGACTCGAACAACAATTAGGGAAGCCTTGGATCTATCTCCGTCTCTTCTATACCGAGACTGCATTAAGTTGGACTAGTGCGGATTTTGCGTACCGGAATATGCCGTTTGTTTTTGGTCTTCTGATGCTATCTACCCTCTTATGCTTGGTAGCGCTCCGCCGCACTCGCTTCAAGCAATTTCACCTAGACACTGCCAGCATAGCGATCATCTCCATGGTTTGCATGCCAGCATTTACCGCGCTTGTCTACATGGTCGGGAAATACAGCCTAATGCCCCTCCACGGAGTCATTGAAATGAATCAGTATGGATGTTGCACTCAGGGCTTGGTATTTCCAAGGGAGCGTGTGAATGGCCTGATGGAGTTTCTAAGCGCCAGAGGACATGGACAGACGGACTCTATGATCGAGGAGTACGCTGACCAGTACGCATTGACTCGATACGCATTGGCACCGCCGCAGCTCCAACACGTGGGATTGAAGTCGAGTCGAGATAATCTCGACATCAACACGCGAAGCACGTGGGCCTTTTGGTTCGAAACTAATGATCCAGATACATTGAGAGGGGAACATCAGAGGCTATTACAAGATGAGGATGTGAAGAAGATGCTAAATATGTCAATTGCAGCATAGTCAAAATAACGCATTAGATAGATCATCGGGCGGATCACCGAGCTCCTCCGTTGATAAGTAGTCGGAAGTAAGTAATGGGCACGGCTGAAGACCTTGTAAGTAGCCTGGGCCATGCGACAGATGTGATGTAAAACAACCTCGCATAGCCATCCATAAATACGCCAACTTGGGTTTGTACGAATTCCTTTCAAGGCATACTCCGTATAGTACCCTTCACGAGCGCTGTCTTGAGCCAGGAAAAGATTGATAGTACTAGCTTTGCTTGGCTTTCTTGGGCCCATGATGCTATTCCCTTATAGTGGAGGAATGTTGTAATTCTAGTAAAGTCTACAAGTCATGTATAAGTGACTTCACTTTCTCTTTCGCCCGTCACCCATAAGCCTTCCATCTCACCATCTCTTCAGAATGAATTCTGCTATCATCTTCAGTTCATCTGCTTCTTCCATCTTTGAGGGCGCCCAAAATGGCTGATAAACGCACCATCGTCCTCGAGCAGCTCAAATGTTTGATAAAGTCCCTCGTTGATACTCCCTTCAATCCCCTCTCCGAGAAGACCGAGATCACAGACGCTGACCTAGCGCCGTATCACATTCGCCGAGTGGATTTCGACATTGAGGTAGCCCCGGGTCCTGAGTCGACAATCCTCTTCGAGCCCCTCCCGCAGTGGAAGCTGGACCGTCATTCGGTTCGAGCAACGGCCGACGAGGAGTCGAAGGAATACCGCGACTATCCTGCTGATCCCGAAGCTCGACAGGGATTACCTTACAAACCACATTCCTGTGCGCGCAGAATCTATCGGTACCTCAGTCGCTGGGTCTCTCGCATCCCCCAGGTCGGCTATCCTCGGGACTACCCCAGAAGCTCGCTGGTCCACTTCGGCCTGCAATCTGACGTGGGCTGGAAGCATATCCGGTGAGTCTTCTTGAATCAGCATAGACTGTTGCTGAGCTCGTTGCTATAGTGTCCCCGATCCTTACATCCTTCACAGCGCCGGGTGGGAAGGACGTCTCGGCTTCGACAAGGGCTGGGTGGCACTCGAGGAGCACGAATTCAAGAGAGACGAAAACGGCTCCCGTCACCCCCATTTGATCCTCTTTACAGAACAGCGACGCAATGGCCGTGAAGGAACCCTCCTGTATGGTGAGGTTGCCCCGCTGATTGCTTCGATGTACGCCCGTTCGGTTCAGCGCGACATCCCGGAGGATCGGTTGCACCCCGAGGTACAGGACAGCATTATGGAGGACGATGGGCTCGACAAGCTCGTCAACAAGCCCTCGCTCCTCGAAAATTATGACCTGGCCTTTGACAGGAAAGCGAATTACCTGTGCTGATGGTCTCCTTCCTTGGGCCCCAACATGCCCGTCTGTTCTATGCGCACATGGAAGGTATTACATTGGTGATTCGTCAGTCGAAACTGTACAGTTTTGAAAGGTGGGACACTGCGCCGTGGGACCTTTTTGCCCGTTGGGTATTGAGTACGCCGGTCGAGTAGGGATTTGAATCTATTCCCACCATCTGGTTAGGAGCACGGATTGTTCCAGTACTGCCTTTCATACAGGCTTGCAGGAAACACAGAGACCAAACGAAGTCCATTAAACCACTTTCTACCGCACTAATATCTGTTCTTCCAACATATCTCTCTAATCAATCTACAGACTATACAGACTAGATACAGCACCAAAGAGCAACTGTAATCTCCACGCATATAGAGCTAGGTACCTAAACCATCATCAAGACTCCCCCTCTCCCTCCCCAACCCCATAAACAACCGCAAACGGATCCTCCGTCCCATCGCGATACACCCACTCATACTCCAAACCCTTGGCAATCCTCTCCGCAACCTCCAACCCATACACCCTACTCACCCACCCAAACACCACATCCATGCCCGCACTCACCCCCGATGAGCTCCACACGTTCCCATCGACCACCCACCGTGCCCGCGCCACCCACTGCACCGCCGGATACGCAGCGCTAATCTCACGGAACGCCATCTTGTTCGTGGTCGCGCGGCGGCCGTCCAGCACGCCCGCGCGCGCCGCCAGCGTCGCCCCCGTGCACACGGTAACCAGGTACTGCAGGCGCGGGAAGACGTCGCGGATGAAGGACACGGCGGGGGCGGTGGCGGCGAGGTCGCGCGTGCCCAGGCCGCCTGGGACGAGGAGGACGTCCAGGTCTGTGGGTGGGGAGGAGAAGGTGTGGGTGGGCTGGATGAGTTGGCCTGTTGCGCTGGGGTGGAGGGGGGATTTGGTGCTGGTGGGCGTGAGGGTGTCGGCCAGAACGGAGATGGTGAGCGGGTGCGTCCAGGAGAGGGTGTTGAGGATGTCGAGGGGGCCGAAGGCATCGAGGCCTTGGAAGCCGGGGAAGATGATGAGGCCGATGTGGAGGGGAGGGGGATTCATCTTGTCTTGGTGTATCTGGTGGATTGGGTGTTGATGATGATGTGTATGAGGTATAGGGATTGGAGTCGGGCTTTTATAGATGAGGGGTTGAATCTTACGTGAGATCGTTTCTCTCGCTCGTGTGTATGTCTCTCTTTAGGACAGGCTGGCACTTTATGAGTATTCCGAGGTGTGTTGTCTGATCTTTATAGCTTAGTACATGCCGAGTTCATACACGCTCCATGACAGTAGATGTTATCAACAGGTCTGGGTATAGTTCGTAGCAACTCCTATGAATCCCATCGTATTCAGCCCAATAAGCAACGTTGTACAACAGGACAGCTTTGTCTGTCGTACCGCAGTATGCAAGCATCTCCAGGTCGTGCGGGACATCCGGTCATGCCGGTGATGACAGTCGCAATCTACTTGTAACCGAACATGTTCCACTACATTCATTGACCTTCTTCAGTTTCTGCTACATCACATCGTGCACTCCATACCATATTCTGTATCGTCCAGCCAGTGCTATGCAACAAGCAAAAAAAGGCCAGCCCTTTGTCTACCATTTACAACTCCGAGACTCCAGGTCACACATGCATGACAATTATATACCACGAAAAAGAAGAAAGAAAATCATAAGACGAGGGACATCTCTCATAATCATGCGTGATCACCCATGTTGTGGATGCTAATGTCCATGCGATCCCGGACCTTGGGCGGCTCTTCTTGGTGGTGTTGCGAGCCGTGGTGCGTGTGGTTGAAGCTGACCTGAGGCACCTCGGACTCATCCGGACACGATGCCGGTACAATGTTGCCCTTGGCATCCAGCTTGACACCGTTGGCGGCAATCTGGAAATCCTTCTCACTGGCGAATCCGTGGGTGACAGCCTCCTTGGCACGGTCCAGCGCCTTGATCTTCCGTCCCTCTCCACGCACCTTCTCCAGGTGGTCAAAGTAGCCGTCTGATACGGGCGTGACGTAGTTGCCGCAGAACACACCGATCTCAAAGTTGCGCGGCTCCTCAAGGCCGTTCTCCCGTGCGATTTCGGCACAGGCGCCCTTCAGATCCGGCAGGGTCTGGTAGATCACACTGTCGGCCCCGATGTGCTTGGCAATGTCTTCCGCATTGCGGTTGTGCGCCACCAGCTCGCTCGGCGAGGCCAGATCGATACCGTAGATATGGGCGTGTCTATTAGCGAGTTAGTCAGGGACCCAACACGTTACAATCCAGCAGAACTTACGTAATTTCAGGAGAGCAGCTAGCAAAGTACACCTTCTTCGCGCCGGCTTCCCGAGCCATCGTAACAATCTCGCGACTCGTGGTACCACGCACGATGCTGTCGTCGACCAACAGGACATTTCGGTCCTTGAACTCGGCCTCCATGGCGTTCAGCTTGCGGCGGACACCCTTCTGGCGGATCTTCTGCTCGGGCATGATGAAGGTGCGGAAGATGTAGCGGTTCTTGACAAAGCCCTGGCAGTAGGGCTTGTCGAGATACCGCGCGACCGCAGCCGCAGATGTCGTAGACGTCTCGGGGATGGGAATGACCACGTCGATATCCTTGACGACCTCCGGACCCAGAACATCGAGAATGCGAGTGGCCAGACGGTCTCCCATCCGCTGACGACTCCGGTACACGCTGATGCCGTCGATGACGGAATCGGGGCGCGCAAAGTACACATACTCGAAGATATCCGGGGCGTAGGCCTTCTTGGGGGCCACCTGGCGGAAGACGGGCTCTCCGCCCTTGGGGATGATGACCGCCTCACCGGGCTGGATATCGCGAATGTTGGTGAATCCCAGCTGGTGCAGAGCCACTGACTCAGATGCCATCATGTAGTCGGTGCCGTCACCATCCAGGGAAGCTCTGGAACCCAAAACCAGAGGGCGGATACCGTATGAGTCACGGAAACCAAGCAGACCGAAGCCTGGAATAATATGAGCAATTGTATTTGAGAAGGTTGTTCAAATAGAGAACTTACCTGCGATCATGGCAGTGCAGGCCCAACCGCCCTCGCAACGCTGGTACATCCGGCTGAGCGCGGCAAAGACATCCTCGGTGTTGACCCGAGCCTTCTTAGTCTCGCTCAGCTCATCAGCGAAGATATTCAGCATCAGTTCGCTGTCACTGTCGGTGTTGATGTGACGGTGAGCCTCAAGGTCCAGATAACGCTTGAGCTCAGGGGCGTTGATCAGGTTTCCGTTGTGGGCCAGACAGATACCATAGGGGCTGTTCACGTAAAACGGCTGGGCCTCGGCGTTGGCACTGCTTCCGGCCGTAGGGTACCGCAGGTGACCGATACCCATGGGGCCGGGGAGATCCGCGACTCTGGCACCATCCTGGAACACCTTGGCCACCATGCCGTTCGACTTCAACTGGTATATGCGCCCACCGGCGGCGCAGGTGGCAATTCCAGCAGCATCCTGACCACGGTCTAGCGTAGAATTAGAGTCTATCGTCTATATATCGATTGATATCGGACAAGACTTACGTTGGAGGAGGTAGAGGGCCTCGTGGAGGTCGACGGCGGCGGAAGACGACGGGTTCGCCTGGATCAAAGCAATGATACCACACATTTTTCAGGATGGTCTGGGGTTCTGGGATAAACATGTGGTCAGTGAAGTGCAACAATGGACACATGCAGAACCCAATTGGACATGAACAGAGTATGTGATCAGGTCGGAAATTCTCCGCAAGAATGCTTAGGAAGTCTAACATCTATAATAAAAAAACCGAAATTCATCATAAAAAGAGGAGACATAAAACAGGACATATCAAAACCTGGGGAACGGAGATGGGTACTCACATGCTAAGCACACAGAGGGGTTGGCGGGGTGGTCGAAATAAAAAAAAAAAAAATTTCGGCACTTTTTCCTTTCTTCGGCAGTAGAAGTACAGAAGTCGAAGATTGCAGACAGACAGTGAAACCCGAGATTAGATCACGACATAACCAGAAAGGAATGAGGTGATTGAAAGGAGAGACTGCGCAGCGAGCGAGAGAGAGACACGCTCACGGAGGAATTGGAGGGAATGGGATCATGGTGAAAGAAAGAGTTAAGAAGAGAAGAGAAAGAGAGGAAGACCGTCCCGCCGTCGTTTTTTTTTTTGCCGCTCCACCGGGGGTGACTCAGCGGATGACTCAGCTTCTCCATATTTCCAAATTCGGAAGATATACTCCAACACATCAACACGTGGGTAGTACTAGTAGTGTCTCTATACTGCTGCTGAAGATACATGTCTCACTGCTCATTACTTCTTGTTTCTTTCTCTTTCAACTCACTCTCACTACAAACACAACCAGCACACACCACACATCATGTCTCACTTCAATGACCATCTGCGCTTTGTTTCTCTAGCCTCACTTCTTGCCTGGGGTTGTATACCTCCCTCACCTCTCCCCTCGTCTCAACTCACCTCCCAGGCCAATCCTTCTCTCTTCCAAACTCTCATCTCCCTATATCTTGTCCCATACGCAATCTTTCATCACTCTACTCGCTCTCCCCCCGAATCATTATGTATCGCTCGCGTTCAACCACCCTCCAGGGCGAGGACTCATACAGTGACACCGATAGCAGCGTCACCATACGGAACAGTCCCACGAACAGCCCCAGCCCAATCCAACTCGATCCGAATGAAGACTATTTCACCCGTACCTCCACCACAGACATTCAGGAGGTCGTGGACCTTACCGGAGATCCCCAGCATCTAGAAGAAGGCGACTACCTTCCCGACGAGGATTTGCAGATTAATAGTCAACCAGCGTCCCCTAATAGCAATGCTTCCGCCACCGAAAAACTCGACGTTGAAGAGATTTACATTGAGGGGATTCTTTACCGAGTGGGCCAATCCCTGGAGCTCCACGACAAGACATATCTTCGAGTGACGTCGATTTCGACCGACGTAAATGGGACAGTGGACTTCTTTGGCCGAAGATTAGAGAGAGCCCAAACCCACATCAGCACGTACATCCCCAGGTGGGAAAATGAGTTGGTTTGGATTGTTAATGAGACTGAAACCGTTCCTCTCACAGCAGTCAAGCGATTCGTCAAGATTAACTTTACAAACTTCTGCCATATTGAAAAAGACCAATTGAAGTCTGCAAACCCGACGGAGCTCTTCTGCCGCTTGAAGGAAGTCATTATCGGTGCTGAAGACGCGAAATATGATCTCTTTGCTAAGAAAGAGATCTCGGTGGAGTATCTGGCGTTCGAAGAAGCCGACATGGGGTTCAAATTTAAACCGTCCGTTCTTCGACATGCGTGGCGGGGACAGACGCATTTGTTCGGCGACAGAGCCAGAACACAAGCTCCGGTGGTTGTGCTTGACAATTTAGCTCCGGTAATAGACCTCACCGAGGAGGCTAATACACTGCAGCATTCCCGTCAGTATACCTTGGGGGATGCCTTCTGTGGCGCCGGCGGTGTATCTTGTGGTGCAAGAAAAGCCGGCCTTCATAACGAATGGGCTGTTGATGTATCTCAACATGCTCTTGAGACCTATGGTCTCAATTTCCCCACCACGGACTGTTGGCAGGCTGATGTCAACAGCTTCCTGAGTCTTAATCATGATTACCTCAAGGTTGACGTCCTTCATGGGTCGCCTCCCTGTCAGCCGTTCTCCCCGGCCCATACGAGAGCGGGTAGAGATGATGACGCCAACTCGGCGTGCATTTTTGTGAGCTTAAATCTGGTGAAGAAATTGAAGCCTCGGATCTACACGATGGAAGAGACCAGTGGGCTCGCAGCACAACAGCAACATAGCGATACCTTGTGTCGGGTAATCCTGGACTTCTTAGAAGTCGGGTACTCTGTCCGCTGGTCAATTCTCAACTGTATTGACTATGGAGTTCCCCAGTCTCGGAAAAGACTAGTTGTTATCGCCTCCGGGTATGGTTTTCCTGACGTTTCTCTTGTTTTGTGGGCTTCAGACTGACTTAGCTAGACCCGGAGAAAGGCTTCCGCCTTTGCCTAGACCGACCCATGGGCCCAGGCGAGGCCTCCAACCCTTTACCACTATCGGCCAGGTGATTTCGAGAATTCCGCCCGGGGCACCGGATCATGACGTCCAGGGGGCTGAAAGCCGTGGTATACAACGCGCACCGTATGATCCGAACCGACAAGCGCGGTGCATCACGACTGGAGGCGGCGACGGCAACTATCACCCATCTGGCCTGCGAGGGTATACCAACCGTGAACTGGCATGTTTGCAGACGTTTCCGCTGGATTATCAGTTTGGAGCGCGAGAAGTCCGGAAGCAGATTGGCAACGCCGTGCCTCCCGCCCTGGCCGAGGCATTGTATCGCGAAATCATTCACAGCCTGTGGGAGACCGATAGAGAGGCAGTGAGAGAGACTGGATCTTGATCGGTTTGTGGTCGCTGACTTGATGCGCCGATTCGTTGCAATTTGTTGAGGCTAGCGCAATGATCGGCCAACCACATGCATGGGTGAGCCTGGGTTAACCGCGGAATCCCACGATGCCGTCCGACCGCGGACGGATGGGAATGGCAACCAAGGGGATTGCAATGGAAGGTGAGGTTGTCTCTGTCTCAATATGGGAGAGAGCATAACGCAGAGGAGAATTGGTGAGGCAATTGATGAGAAATCTATGTTGATCGGGGTCAACGTCAACATCACGCATCTAGTTAACCGAGAGCAAACAATACTAGGAGCTGTAGTCGGGATACCGCCGACGATCGCATTTCAGAATTGAGTTGCATGATCCGAGATCGGGGTGCTCAAAGCACATTGGAGTAGCTGGTACTAAGGATTGTAGTAGAAATTGTAGTAACAACAGTAATGACCCCCCGGGGGAGCCGGGAATAACCGACCATAACAAAAACGGCCCTCGGTCCAACGTATGAAGTCACGCTTTTCCCTCCCTCCCCTTCCACCCTTCTTCTCCCACTTACTTCTCTTCTCTTCTCTTCCTCTTCCTCCTCCACTCTCCCTCCTCCCCTTGTCTCCTTCTCTTCTCATCCCGTCTCTACTTGGTACATTCTTCTCATCATGTCTGCCTCCTGTTCGGCGTTGAGACGGCTGACCCACAGGTCTCCCCGCACTTTGCAGTCCCGCATTTCCTCCGTCTCCAGACTCTCGCCGTCTTTCGCTCGCACCTCTCTCTCCTCCATCAATTCTGCCGCCCCTCGTGTCTCGCGCTTTTCGACCATGGCTCCTCTTCAAAGCGGTGCTCCCGTCCCTCCGGCGGCCGACAAGGCCTACGATCCGGAGATCAAGGACATGGCCGATTATATCCACAACTACAACGTGAACTCCGATCTGGCCGTAAGTTACCCTCTCCCAAAAAATCAATTGAACCAGAGGTGAACCCCGTCTAACCCGTCTAGTTCGACACTGCTCGTCTGGTCTTCCTCGATACCCTGGGCTGCGGTCTGGAGGCCCTCAAGTTCAAGGAGTGCGCCAAGCTCCTCGGTCCCGTGGTGGAGGGCACCGTCGTGCCCAACGGAACCCGCGTGCCGGGTACCCCGTACCAGCTCGACCCCGTCAATGGCGCCTTCAACATTGGTGCCATGATCCGCTGGCTCGACTACAATGACTGCTGGCTGGCCGCCGAATGGGGTCATCCCTCCGACAACCTGGGTGGTATCCTCGCCGTGGCCGACTGGATCACCCGCACCAACCGCGCCGGAGGAAACATCGCCGGCGGCAAGATCTTCACCGTCAAGGACGTCCTCGAGGCCATGATCAAGGCCCATGAGATTCAGGGTGTTCTCGCGCTCGAGAACTCCTTCAACAAGGTCGGTCTTGACCACGTCGTCCTGGTCAAGGTCGCCACCACCGCCGTCGTCTCCAAGATGCTCGGCCTCACCGAGAAGCAGACCGCCGATGCCATCACCCAGGCCTGGGTGGACGGCCAGAGCCTGCGCACCTACCGTCACTCCCCCAACACCATGTCCCGCAAGTCGTGGGCCGCCGGTGACGCCTGCCAGCGCGCCGTCAACCTCGTCCTCAAGGTGCAGAAGGGTGAGGGTGGTCTCCACACCGTCCTCTCCGCTCCCGTCTGGGGCTTCTACGATGTGCTCTTCAAGGGCAAGAAGTTCCAGTTCCAGCGTCCCTATGGCAGCTACGTCATGGAGAACGTCCTCTTCAAGGTTTCCTACCCTGGTAAGTCGCCCATCCTTACTCCAGCCAAGCAACGCTGATGAGAGTCCAGCCGAGTTCCACTCCCAGACCGCCATTGAGGCCGCCCAGATCATCAACAAGAAGCTCGCCGCCATGGGCAAGTCCGCCAAGGACATCAAGGAGATCACCAACCGCACGCACGAGGCCTGCATCCGCATCATCGACAAGCAGTTCAAGGCCATGGACAACTTTGCGGACCGTGACCACTGCGTCCAGGTACGTCATCCTGTAGCATCAAGTTGCACTTCCTGACATCGGCTAATGACATGATAGTACATGGTCGCCACCATGCTGGCCTTCAACCGCCTGACCGCCGCCGACTACGCTGATGGCTCCGAAGCCGCCACCTCTCCTCTGGTCGAAGACCTGCGCAAGCGCATCTCCTGCGTGGAGGACCCCCAGTACACCAAGGACTACCATGACCCCAGCAAGCGCACCATCCCCAACGCCCTCACCGTCACCCTCAACGACGGCACCGTGCTGGAGGAGGTCGCCGTCGAGGCCCCGCTCGGCCACCGTCTCCGTCGCGAGGAGGCTAAGCCCGAGATCCTCGCCAAGTACAAGCGTCACCTCGAGGCGCACTTCGACCAGGCACGGATTGACCAGCTGGTTAACCTCGGCTGGGACCGTGCTGCCCTTGAGGCCACGGAGATCGACAAGTACGTCGACCTGTACGTGAAGGATAAGATGGTTGCTGCCGCCTAGGGCACAAAATTAGACTGTGATTTATGTTAGATACTCCATGTGAAATGCTCAGTTGTTTTTATAGCCGTGCCGTGCTTTGCCCATACCTGATAGAAGATGTTTAAACTGTCTCAAAGAAACAAGATGTCAAAAAAATAAGAAGGAAAAACAATGAGGTCCTGCCCGGATTCGAACCGGGGCTACCGGAATCAGAATCCGGGGTCCTAACCGCTAGACTACAGAACCAGTGGTTGTTGAGGCCGGTTTTTATTTGACTAGATGAGACACGGCTATTTGTGGTTCAATAAACCAGTCAAATATCACTGATTTGGGTCTTCTATTGCTGGATGGTGGTCTAGTAGCTGGATATAGATGACCTGGTGCATAATTTGGTGCTTTGCTACGTGGTGTGGTTGAATGGGAATGTTTACCCTGTCCTCGGAAATATATATCGTGGCCTCAGGAAATATACCATCATTGAAACACAGTACCAATGTAACATTCTGCCCAGCTCAGGAAGAATGTCCAAGCAACCGAGAGATCCAAGGTGATGCGAGAAGTTTATCCCCGTGATTCACAGTCTCATACCCAACAGAATGCGGTAGGATGGCGGTCTAGCAATTGTCTTCAGTCATATTACTGACATCTGCACCATGCAGCGCCGCGCATCGCAGAACACACCCAGATAGGTAACAAGCAACGACGTTCGAAAATCTCCCGGCACTAGAAGAGGAACAGAATGGATTCTTACTCCTATGGCTTGCATGCACCCGGCGAAGCGGGTTGTTTTCCGAGCCTATAATGGGCAGCATCAACTATGTGTCAATTAACAAGACGAAAGGAAGACCAACACAGGTTCTCAACAGGTACTATTGAAACAACAAAGTAAGCTTACATGTAGCCACTTTGGGGACTCGTTCTAGATATAAAAGTAGTCAGTTCACGGCCATTCTTCCTTCCCATACATCTACTTAGTCTTTAATCTTGTTGCATGCCCGCAACCCTAACCTAGGACCTTTGATTGTTCCAGGTGAAACAGCTTCGTTCTCATCATGACGTGAACCTAGCCAGGACCAGCTCCAACCTGCCTAGCTCAAGTGTCGCATGGTTGCAGCGCATGGTTGGATCTCACAGGTAACAAACATGTCCCCATTCCGACCGCCGGATATGCTGGTCCATGCCACAACCAAGTATATCCCAATCAATATTGCACCCAACACAGTCTGCTGGTCTCCCAGAAGGTTAAAAGCAAAAGGCAGCTGATCCTCCCTCACTTCCTCGTGCCTCAGGGTGAGAAGCAGGGAAGTCGCCCAAATGGCTCGATCTCAAACATTCCAAAAGATAGTGATCGCGTCGACGCTTCTCCTATTGTTAATCTGTCTTTGGTCATCACTGCCGTCAGATTATAGCCCAGAATTACGAGTGAGTGACCCGTGCTCTATGTCTGCAAGTCATCGTTGCTGACCCCTTAGTCGGACCAGGCAAATCGCGAGGGCATAAGCGAAGCTATAGAGAGTGAGGAATCCCTCGATGCTGTGCGCTTGCACGGCTTCTGCAACCAAGGGGCTCCTGCGACTGCAGGATGCGGTCCGCTCGAATGCAACGGGACTATAGGTGTTCAACGGAGTTTCCATCTATACGACAACATCACCGCCGTTGCAGAGACTCTCCAGTCTCATCCCATGATAGAGGACGACGCAAAAGACATAGGACCATCTTACGAGGAATGGGTCAGCTCTAAGTGGGCCCGACTCGCAGGCTCAATCGTCTGGCTTCCTGAGCAGGGCGTGTATCTTGCCATCACCCGCGTGGTCTACTCGCCATCCGGCATACTGCACTGGCCGACTATGAGCTTTCTCAGGGCGCAGGTCTTCGACGAGGAGTGGAAAGAACTAGAAGGCTACACTCTCAACTGGAACGGCAATGATATGTCCTTCCCAGCAACTCTGGACATCCCGACGCCATGGGAGAAAGGCGGCGGGTTCTTCGGCCCCGAGGACCCCCGAGTGATTCTGGAAGAGAACGCTCCCGGCGCAGAGCCGGTGGTAGTCTTCAATATGAGAATCCAAGCCGAGGGCTGGCCGCGTGCAATGTACATACACCGACCGTTCTCCCGTTTCACAACGGTGTTGACCATCCAGAACGAAGACAGGGCTATAGCCGAGAAGAACTGGGCCCCGTTCTTCCTGCCAGACAGCCATTCCACAGCCCCCGTTGAGCCGGGCCGCTACCTGCACTTCGTCTACAGCATGAAACCCCTATGCGTGCTCCGCTGCAGCCTCCTCAGCGGCGACTGCGACTGGGTTTTCAAACAGGAATTCCCCGCTACTCTACCCGAAGGCCGCCACATCGACGGCAACATGCGCGGCGGCACCAACTTCGTTCCCCTGCCTTCCAGCACATCTGCACTGCGTCTCTATGCCAGTTTCCCGCGAACGCATATCCACGGCGTCTGCGTAGACAACGCAATCTACCGCCCGGAGCTGGTGGTTCTTACTGTCGCAGATGGCCCGGGGTTTTCCATAGCGTATGCGAGTGGGCCGGTTGATTTTGGTTCTGCGGTTCTCGACGAGACGGCCCGGAGCAACCCCTGTGCGGAGGGGCATATTCTCATCGCCAATAGTATTCCGCGCTGGGAGCGCCAACACGGCTCTGATGTAATGACGCTGTCTCTGAGTGTCGCGGATCGGACGGTGCAGATTGTCCATTTATATGGCGTCATGGAGTTTCTGGATGGGTTGCCGTTTTTGGAGGCGTATGAGCGCAATGCTGCCGATGTGGAGAGTGAATTAGGTTCACCGTGGTCTGTGTCAGGTTACCAGGCCATTATTTGCTCGATAGAGGCTGCAGCGAATGTGCAGGTGTGAGCAAAGCTTACACCAGGGAAGGCTATGGGCACGAAGATACGAGTGACAGAGCAGAGTATAGGCCATTGGCCGATCTGGGCTTGTCTATATAAGTCTGTCCGGGAGAGGACTTCCAGTCAGGTCTGAGAAAGAAGAACCATCGGCCTTTACTGCGTTGTTTACCCTCGACACATTCATGAGCGATACCATCTAGCAGAACCGTGGTGAAGAGTCTACCCCATGGAGCCGAACGATCTATCACGGTATCGAAAGAAGGCAATGACTGGTCGCGGAGAAAGATACACAGCAGATCGAGTTTGCCTGTGCGGTTCCTGGTCTTCCTTATGGCTTGGTGCATATGCAGAACTCCAAGATAGTCGAGATTCAATGTATCGAAATGGCCGGTTCTGCTGACTTGCATCCACGTGGGTTTCCGTACCGCACAGCGAAACTCATTCCAATCTTGAAGTTGGCAGATGATATCACGACGTTGGTCTGATGGCAGATGGTTGGATTGGAGACGACTACAGTCTTAACGAACCTGATGGTGAACCGATGTAAGGCTTGGATGGTGTATGTGCCATCGTACACCAACCAGCCTACTTAAGCATACCGGTCCTGTAACTAGGAATCTAAGATGTTCACTCAATAATACTGTTTATGCTCTAAGCTAGAAACGAGAGAATGACTATTCTGGCTGATTTTGTTCTACTGACTCAGTAATTTCCAGGGACGGTGTTATCCCTAGCCATAGTGGTAAAGCATGTCTCCAGTGATAGCCCCATCAAACACGTTATTAACAGCCACAGGTACTAGTTTATCTCCTCGCCTCTGTCGGATACGACATACTGTTTCACCCTCTGGCCAACTACCCCGGCCCCAAGCTGCGAGCCGCCAGTCTGACCCCCTATCTCTGGGCCCTGATCAGCGGCAGACACCATACCTCCGTCTCAGACCTCCATCGGCAATACGGCCCAGTCGTGCGAATCGCCCCCAACAAACTGTCCTACATCACCCCACAAGCATGGAAAGACATCTACGGCCACAAAAAAGCCAACGAGCCCGAAATGGCCAAGGACGCCAAATGGCAGGTTGCCGATCCCAACTCGCCATCCACCCGCGAGCAACACGGCCATTATCGGAGGCTCTTTTCGAATGGGTTCTCGAACCGGTCCTTGCGCGAGCAGGAGCCCCTGTTGCAGGGCTACATAGACATGCTGATGGACGGGCTGGAACGGGCGGCCCGCGACAAACACCCGGTTGATATTGTCCAGTGGTTCAACTGGACGATTTTCGACATCATCGGCGATCTGACGTTTGGCGAATCGTTCGAGTGTCTGGAAAAGGCCACCCTTCATCCGTGGGTTGGCAATATGTTCCAAGCGATCAAGGGGAACATGCTTATCCGGGTCATGCAGGAGACTCCGGGTCTGGGGCCGTATACGGCTGGTATCCTTCGGTATGTCCTCCCGGGCAAGGCGTTGAAGAAGAGGGAGGCACATTTCCAGTATACAAGGGAGAAGGTCAACCGGCGACTGGGCAACTTGAGTCCGCGGTCTGACTTTATGGACCATGTGCTGCATCAGCCGGAAGGACGGGGCTTGACGTCTCCCGAGCTCCTGAGTAACTCGTCGCTGCTTATTATGGCTGGGAGCGAGACAACGGCCACGCTGCTTTCTGGAGCGGTGTATCTGCTCCTGACGAATCCGGGGAAGATGCAGAAGCTCGTGGATGAGCTGAGCACCGTATTTCCCGGTGGTAGCATGGTCAATATTAAATCGACCAGCCGTCTCACTTATCTCCCCGCTGTGATCGAGGAGACTCCGGCTCTACCCGCTGCTTGCTGTTGGGATTCCTCGCGTTGTACCGGATGGAGGCTGGGTTATCGATGGACAGTATGTACCGGGTGGAGTATGTGTATGGACTAGCCCGGGTGGTACTATAGGCTGACGTGCATGATATTCACAGACTTCCGTAGCTGTGCATCATTTGGCCGCGTATCACTCGCCGCTGAATTTTGAGCAGCCGGAGGATTTCATTCCAGAGCGGTTTATCGATACTTCGGCGTTTCAAGATCAGCGGGACGTCTTGCAGCCTTTTAGCGTTGGGCCACGGAACTGTATTGGGAAGAAGTATGTCCCTTGGGAAGGCAATGAGCTTCATTGACGGTATACAGCTTGGCGTACGCAGAGACCAGACTCATCCTGGCGAGGCTGTTTTCTCAGTTTGAACTGGAGTTGATGTCGGAGTCTGATGGTTGGATTGATCAACGGACATATGTGATCTGGGAAAAGCCTCCCATGTATGTTGGTTTAACTCGAAGACAGGGCGCATAGGGTGATTCGTAGATACGACTTATATGAGCTGTTCATCTTGTGCAAGGCCCAACCCAGACAACTTCTACTTAAGCGTGCGCAGAATCTTGACGTGCAGTCCATGGCTTCCATCCAAGTGTGGCAATGGGTGTTGAATAATCTACATGAACCGCCGAACAAGCATCGTTTACATTGTGTTGGTGGTGGTGTATCGGAGCGGCGGACAGCTGCTATCTGAATAATATAAGAGCCCCGCATCATCCATTTCTTACCCGATATTCTGTGCTACGGAGAATTTCTCGCTCTTCACCTCTCACCCTCTATCATGGCATCCAAAAACAACCACTTTGTGCTACCGGACAGTACACCAAGATCTAGCAAATTGACCATCAACATAGCCGGTTTCCACGTGCACCTTTACGGGGTCCAGGAATTATCTGCCCAACAGCGGGAGGACACCACCGTCTTGTTCCATATCCACGGCCGGACAAGAACGTACAAAGATGCCGAACCAATAGCCCACCAGCTTCTTTTTGGAATAAGAGAAAGAGGGGACTCCAACAAAGGCCTCGTGGTGGCGACTTTGGATAATCGCAACCACGGTTCCAGAGCAGTCAGTCTATGCCTATCCCCTGCTTTCTGGATCATGTAAATTGGTTGATAAGGATGCTGACTGTGCTCAGATTGATTCAATCGCAATGTAAGCAGCACGGTTTCTGTCTAAGGTACATGGGTTGACAGTCAATGCAGCCAGGACTGGAAGGGGGGAAATATCCAACATGCGTATGAACACTGTGGTAACCCGGATGAGATCAAAACTGACAGGATACAGACAAGACATGCTGTCCACAATTGGTATGTCTCCCAAAAGAGCAAGCCGACGTTATCTTATATATGTACCACAGATGGAACCGTCGTCGACATCAAACTGGTCATGAAATACCTCGCGTCTTATGTCGACGGCATTTTCCATCCGACCCAGTTCATAGTGACCGGTATCTCCCTGGGAGGCCACATCACCTGGAACATGCTCGCCGAGGAACCCTCTATCGCTGGCGCTATCATCATCGTCGGATCGCCCAACCTCACTGATATGCTCGTGGAACGCCTGGGATACGCCTCCCTATCCGACATACCAGAGAACACGAAGGAGTGGCCGAGGTCCATCGAACGACTATATCGAGAGCGCGACCAGGCGCTTGAAATAATAGTGGGCAAGAAGATTCTGATATTGAATGGGGCTCTCGATACCCTGGTCCCCAGTAAATTCACAGACCCCTGGGTTGCAAAGTACGCGCACCAGAACGACGTCAAGTTTATCGTCCAGGAAGATTGTGGGCATTGTTTGTCATTCCGCATGATGGAGGAGATGGTGGAATGGGTAGCACAGATTTTAGTATAGTTCAGGATCGGTTGTAGTACTTGCTCCTTTCCTGCTTTCTGGGTCAGATCTCGATAAAAATGAGCCTTTTGATATCTACTGAGCTTTCCAGCTAGCCTGACATTCTCAACGCTGAACTCCGTTCACCCGGGCTCCTACTGTACTGGATTTCCCTTTCCCCTCCGACGATTTGTGGACATACACTCCGTATGGGCTCGGCGGCTCGTCCCGGATGCCTGCGGAACCCCGATCCGATATACAATACAAAGTCTGCTACCCCAGTCGATGCCGGTTCGGTTCGGGCTTTGTGTAATCAGCCTTCACTACAGAATCGGCTGCCACTTACTAAAACCGCTGATCAGCAGCAAATCGACGATCCATGGTTTAGACCCCTCCTGTGGTGCTCCGCATTCGGCATCCACATTACCACCGCCTGCAACTCTGCGCATTGCATCACTTCCGCAACTCCGCAACCCAATGCAAAGAATCATGTCCAAGAACTACGCAAAAGTCCTCGACTTCTGGTTCGGCCCCAAGGGCTCCCCCGGCTACCTCCAGCCAAAGTCCTTCTGGTACGGCAGTCCTTCCGACGACGCCCACGTCCGGAAGCACCTGAGCCGGGACTACGAAGCCGCCAAGAGTGGCTCGTTGGATTTATGGAGGGAAGAAGGACAGGGCGAAGGCGCTCTGGCACTTATCATCCTCCTCGATCAAGTTCCGCGCAACATCTTCCGTGACACTCCGCAGGCGTACGCGACGGATTCCCAGGCGTTGACGGTTGCGCGGTATGCGGTGGACCGCGGCTGGGACAAGGGCTTGCCTACTGTTCAACGACGGTATATGTACTCTCCTTTTAATCATTCGGAGGATTTGAAGGATCAGGAGATGTCGGTGAGGCTGTTTACGGAGCTGGGGGATAGCTATCATCTGCATTGGGCAAAGGACTTTTATGAACAGATCAAGAAAAATGGGAGGTTTGTGCATCGGGACCGGATTTTGGGCAGGTAATAGCGAGACTCTCGTTGTATTTACTGACTGCTATCAATAAGAGGGATCTAAGCTGCTAGACCAAGAAGCGGGGTAGTAAGATAGCTCCATTGCACCATCTGTCCACATCACCCAGGGACCAACCTGCACGACTACTAGAGGTACCATGCCACCTGCAAAGATCATCTGTGTCATTGGCGCAACAGGGAATCAAGGCGGCTCAGTCGCCCGTCGTTTCCTCCAAGACCCAAGCTATCATGTCCGCGGCATCACTCGCAACCCCTCGTCCCCCGCAGCGCAGCAGCTGTCCGCCGCAGGAGTCGAAGTCATTGGAGCTGATCTGGACGACGTCAACAGCCTGGTGGCTGCATTCCATGGGGCGAACGTCATATTCAGCGTGACCAACTACTGGGAGCCTTTCTTCCGACCAGACTGTCGAGCCAAAGCCGCAGAGCTGGGAATCTCGTGTCGGCGGTACGCCTACGATGTCGAGCTCCAGCAAGGAAAGAATATCGCCGATGCTGCCGCGCAGACGGTTAATTCCCTCGATGAAAATGGCTTCATTGTATCGACTCTGAGTCACGCCAAAGAATGTAGCGGGGGCCGGTTCTCAGAACTGTATCATTTCGATGCAAAGGCTGAAGTCTTCCCCGGGTATGTGAATGCACAGTATCCGGAGCTGGCGAGGAAGATGTCCTGTGTGCAGACCGGGTATTTCATGTCAAGCTATAAGCTGTTCCCGGAGGGGTATTTGCGGAAGGTAAGACCAATCTTCTGCCGACTGCTCTCTGTATCGTGGCTAACTCACTTCATAAGACGACCAAGGATGGAAAGGTCTCATTTGAAATGACCTTTACCACTTCACCAGATGCACCGGTTCCTCACCTCGACGTCAACGGAGACACGGGTAACTTTGTCTACGCGGTGTCGAAAATGCCTCCGGGAAAGAGCTACATGGCCTGCGGGACGACGTGCAGCTGGACGGAGTATATGCGCATCTGGGGGGAAGTAAACTCCATTCCGGCCTGTTATCGGCAGATCACCTTGGAGGAGCTCATTGCCCAGGCGCCGGACCCCGAGTTTGGCCGCGAAGTCGGCGATATGTTTTCATATTCTACAGAGCCGGGCTATGATGGGAATGATAAGAGTCTGTTGACTGCATTGGATATACGAAATGTAAGTGATGACATCTGGGCCAGAAGAACAGAAAGAGACAGCTGACTGATATAGGCGGGAATTGACTGTCCGATGACCAGCTTGAAGGAGTGGATGGAGAAAGAAGACTGGTCGCAGGTTCTATGAATGTGATTCAGTGCTTGTCATCAAACGTACGCAAAATGCGATTGCGTGTGTGCAACTGGCAGAAGAGAGCAGGATGAGCTTCGGAAGTTTTGTACAGGTGCTCCTCATACTACTGAAAATGTGCACATTACCATACCCTGGGACTATATCCGCCGTCTGTGTAGATAACCAATCCTGAAGACTCGCCCATGCTCGACGAATAGCTCTTTCGTGAGACATTCTCCCAGAAGCCATACAAGCAGTAGGAAACATTTGACTCGTCAAACCGTCATCCGCTCCTCGATATGAGCAGCAACGGTAACATTTCCACGTGGATAAGCACTAGTAGTATCATGACACGACATGACACTACCTAAGACCTTGTTGGCCCTAGCTCCGAAGGATTCTCGTAAGACAACAACATAAATAGAGCAGAGGGGCATCCGACTCGATCTCACCGACAACATTCACTGTGTTCCGCGACTCAGCATGGCCCCTACCATAAAGACCGTCCTCATTGCCATCCTAGCCATAGCCATCGGCCTCTACAAAGTCTACCTGCACGATGCGCTCATGTTCCTTTTCGGCGTCGGCCGCGTAATACAGCCCCTCGAAGACTTCCCGCAGTACCGCTGCCACCGCATCCAGCACCCGCTCCTCGAGAGCTGCGAGGACATCTGGCTGGACGAGCGCGCCCGCAAGCTGTACGCCGCCTGCTCCGGCGTCGCCGCGCGCACCGCATGGAACCCCGGCGGGAATCACTACGACCTCGCGGCGCGGGCCGCCGCCGGCGGAGGGACCGACCACCTCGCGGTGCTGGACATCGACCAGCCGGGCGCTGACGGGTTGTACGGCGTGCGAGCGGTGCCCTTTCGGGGCCAGAACGGCGAACCCCACGAGCTGGATCTGCATGGGTTTGACGTGCGGGCGATCGACAACGGGCGCAGGCTGCGGTTTTGGTTGATCAACCACCGGCCGCCGCTGGATGCATCTGGCGAGCCGGTTCAGGATGCGACGAAGACGGGGGCGAATTCGACCATCGAAGTCTACGATTTGGATGTGAGTCGTCGCGGCCGCGACGGCCACTTGGTGCATGTCAAGACGATCGCCAGCGACTCGATCGTCTCGCCGAACAATCTGGTCGTGGTCGACGACGACGAAGACCGCGGAGCCTTCCTGTTTACCAATGACCATAGCGACAAAGTCGGCGCTTTGCGCGGGCTGGCGCCTATTCTGGGGGGTGGCAGCATCGGGTACTGTCGTACGGACACGGGACAGTGTCATCTTGTGGCTACGGAGAAATTCAAGGTTCCTAATGGCATCACGAGGGATCCGGTCTCGGGGCTGATATATGTGGCCCAATCGGTGTCGGGTGCTGTCACCGTCCACCGGCTGACGGACGATGGGAGGCTCTTGCAGATTGACCAAGTTCCGTTGTCCATAGGCCCGGATAATTTGTCCGCTGATTCAGACGGAAACGTCTTTGTTGCCGGGTTTCCGGATGTTCTTCAGTTACTAAAAGCCTTCGAGGACCCTCATGGCACGGGTGCGCCGTCGACGGTACTGATGATCCGGAAGAAGGAGGTTGGAGGTGAGGAGCAGGCGGCGAAAGTGGAACATGAGGTTATCAAGCTCGTGGAGGACGCGGAGGCGAAGGTATTGCCTACGACAACCACTGCAGTCAATGACCTTGTCTCCGGGCGGTTATTCCTCGGTGCGGTTGCGTCTACATTCATTGGTGTCTGTGAGAAGCAGTAGACTCGAAGGCCTGCCCGAAATATAGACAGTTTTTGTGGACAGATAGGATACGGGGGGCAGGAGATGCCAACGAGGTTGAGGGTAGTAGAAGTAAGGCAATAAGTGCTAATATTCTTTGAGCTCGTGTTAAGACAAGCATTATGTATCAACGTCTTGCATTTTCCCTATACAAGCTGGAAACCAACATTCTAGGTACTATCCCGTGCGAAAAATTCACATACATGCCAACCATAAACCCCGAAACAATGCAGCTGCAATGACCAATTATCTCCGTATGTCCCAACCTAATGACTCTGCATAACAGACTTGCGCTGGATAGCAGCGAGCTTTCGAATCCGGATATTGGCCATGTGCGCGATAGCGACGACCTGGCGCGGACCAGGAACTCCGAACGGAAACACCATGTACAGCCCCGATTCTAGATCTGGGTCAGGTCGGAACTTGTCATGATAGGCCTTCTTCCCACCGACAGGCAGGTGTTGGACGCTGTGATTGTAGACTGCTCTGGCGATGCGTTCAAACGGTAGCGCAATGCCGTTGACTTCGCCGAGCGTCTGGAGCGGTTCGTAGCCGAGACTGAGATACGACACGTTGAGCTGCTTCAACAGCGACATTGCTGAAAATGCCAGCAAGTCGCTGATCCCCTTAGGGGCGCCAGGGGCTGCGATGCATGGGTCCAAGTGATAGCCTTGTTTTGCGCCCATCCAGCGCAGCGCTGCCAGGCCGTTGATGGCTCCGTCCGGACTGCGCGAGTAGATGAAAATCATGAGGTTCGCAAAGTCGAAGAGGTTATATACCGTGATGAAGGGTTGTAGCGTTGTGTTGGTTTCGTTGCGCTGCGTCCGCCATGTATCGTACAAGTCCTGCAAATCCTTCTCTAACGCCGGGTCTTCCTGCCGCGAAGGGATGTATATCCCCAGTGTGGTGCCACCCTTGTTCTGAGATAACAACTGCCTATTTTGCGTGATGAGCCTTTTCCCCGTGCGTTCCATGAGCAGATCGTTGTCTGTCGGATTGATCACCCGCTCGACGCCGAATTTCATCGTCGTCCAGCGCCGGCGACATGCATATCCAGCGAAGTCATCGTCGGCCCCCATAAACACCACGCTCCAACCGAAGGATTTTCGAAACCTGTTGAATTCATCCAGAACCTCCGTGAACATCTCCCGGGGACATAGTGGCTGCCCCGACACGATGGCGACTTGGTTCTGGATTTTGTATGCAAGCGCCGCGGTTCGGGCCTTGTTGAGGAAGAAGATATAGCTCCGATCCAGAATGCCCATATGGGAGACATGACCATACTGCCTAGCGAGCTGTTCCACAATCTGCAAGCTCTCCGGGTCGTCGAAAATTGGCACCGTCAGCTTTGCGCGCCGTTTTCGCCCGCGTGCCGTATATTGTATCGGGCGAGCTGGGGGAGAGACCTCCGAGTCGACGAGCCCTGGATGACCCGTGGTATACGGAAAATGCGTATCGATGCATGAATAGGGTCCTGCGACCGTCTGTTCGCTGTTCGTGCTGCTGCTGCTGCTTCCCTCGCTAACATCGCTGTTCGACCTGGCCGCTTGATGGATTTGTATCACGCACGCCAGGCAGCTCTTCTGCTCATTGCCAGCGACACCAGCGACACAGGCGCATGTGCGCTCCAATTGGTCAGCTAGTGATTCGCCAATTTGCGTACACAGAAGGTCTTTCTTGACGTTCTTTGCCATTTTTGGGGCGTTCTTCAACTCCATTGCGCGTGCGCGTCGTTATCCCATAGTTTACCGTGGATCAGTTCACCCCGGCGAGGATTTCATAGTCATTGCGATAAATAGGCAGCAAGGATATTCTGCAGACATCTCAATAATAAGTTTAATATAGCTTAGCTTGCGGCTAGGCCACTTCTTATGTCCCATGTCGCCACCGGGGATTGCTGAACGCACAATGACGGGCTTGGATGCCTTGTCCCACGGTTGCCGATCCATTGTCCAGTCCATTTGATGGAGAGGAAGAGAGATTCGTAGGCAACTGCGATAACCGTCTGGTCTCAGGGTCCTGTGCGTGGTTTCCCGAAAGTCTGTCCCGATGCGGAAATCGTCGTATTGAGTCGGCGGGCGCCAGGGTCCATGGCGGGCTAGTCTCTTGCTTAGGTGGACTGCACTCGGGAATTGCTCGGTTTCCACCTGTTGCCCATGTGAGACAGCGTCGGAATCCGGATGTACACTGTCAAAATGCCTCACATGTGGGATAAGCTGAGCGGGATGTTGCCTAGTTGCCTAGAATCTCGACTCATTGTGGTACTTTCTATTAGTACGGTTCCATAGGAAAGGCGGTTATTCTATCCAGAAAAATCAATGGCGAGTCCGATTTCGAAAAGAAAAGGTGCCTGGGAGAGAGGCTACGTGGTATTCTAAGATAGGTCTGTAGGCTGTCTAAAACCCCCAGATTAAGGTGTGCCAACTTAAGGGTACCAATAGTGCTTGCATGAGGTGTTTAATTCTTTGAACCTGCGTTCTCAGATAAGATACATACATCAGAGCAGGGCTTTTCGGATAATTTTGGGATGTTTGGGGGCAACTTCATCTGGTGCGAAGAGTTCATGATATACAAAGAAACGGTAGTCCAGGAGTAAGTAGATCCCTTAAGATCGGTTAAAAAGTTGCGAAAAGGGCAGCAAGCCCTAGATGGACCTCCAAGTCCAGCAGTTGACATCGACCCGTCGAGGCCCGTCTTAGAGATCTGTCCATCAAAGTCCATTTCTGGGTTCTCTCCACAGTAGGAGCTTGGAGAAGAGATATCTATGCAGTTAGAAAAGAGCCATACATGCCCCAAACTGCCAGACAACAGCAGGGGGCGCAGTATCCAGCACCTAGTTCTTTTCAAGGGCAGGCTCTTAACGGACGCAGGATGTGGAAGTGGACTGGCGAGCCCATACTGGTAGACAAGCCATAAGGTACATCGCCCTCTCGGCAGATATATGTCTTTCTTGTTTAACAAGATTAAATACGAATTCTCAGCATATTTCAAGTAAAAGTCCTTTCAGATCTACCGGCATACCGAAGATAGTTATGGTGGGTTGCAACTTGCCCCAATGACATATAACCTGCCTGGTCTTGTAGTTAAAAAAAAAAAAAAAATCTTGTTCTATTGTTCAAAAGAGACCTGGTAAATAATGGGTCCAATCTATAATACATCTTTGTCAAGAAACACTCACTACCTACTTAGGTAAGAGGACTAGTAGAAGAAGGATTGTTATTGAATTATACCTCCCGGCGTAGAACTGCTTGCAGTTCCGCTCGCTTGAGCGGCTTAACCAGGAAGACGTTAATTCCAGAGCCAAGTGCCTCCTTCTGCGCACCAGCACTGTCAAGTCCAGTCAAGGCAGCAATGATGACAGGCGGGAGAGCTTGACGTTCCGATTCGGAGAGCCCCGCACGGTACTCTTTCTCAATGCGCCGTATTTCCTGTGATGCTGCGAAGCCATCCATGACGGGCATCGAAATATCTAAACAAGGTCAGAACCAGTAGATGAGGAAGATGAGGACACGCGGAACGTACCGATTACAACGACGTGGAACTCCCCCGGATTGGCTTTGTAGACCTCAACTGCTTGAGCTCCATCCCTCGCGTACTTGTATCTGTAACCGTCCTTCTTGGTGAAGGCACAAAGTAGCTGTAGGTTGACATCGTTGTCATCTACAAGAAGCACACTTCGCTCCGGAAGATTCGGTTTCTCTTCTCCAGAGGAGTTGGGCATCGCTGATTGTTGAGCCCATTCCTGATCTGCGCTTGATCGTCCGGATTCTTTGGCCCCGGGGGTTCCATCTTCTTCAGTCCCCATGGTCTCTTTAGTAGGTCGTTTGCTGATTTTCATCCGATCAGCAGGTGGGTCGCTGGCTTGGATGTCGAGAGGGAGGTGGGAGGACTCGGGAACCTCAACCCAGCGGGTTGGCTCGTCACTCTGCTGTTCACGCTGGCGTTTAATGCACATCGTCATTGCCCGAGCGAGCTTGCGGGGCCCACACGGCTGGCTCACAAATTCAAAGAATAGCTTTTCGCTCCGACCCTTGGCAGCAACGAACATGTGGTGAGCTTCTTCCGGCGACTGGCAAATGACTATGATAGGGATCGAGTCTCCGATATCAAAGTGGCCGGGAAGACCAAAAAGATCCCTTCCCTCAGTATCTTCGCAGTCCAATTCCGTCTGGATAGCGAGATAAAAGTCACAGCTAGGCTGCTTTTCACCCGAGGGGGAGACCTTTGCGACTCTTAACCCAAACCACTGGGTGCACATTCTCTCTAAAGATGAATAAAGGGCCGTGTCGCGCTGGGAGCGGAGAGTCTCTCCAAACCCTAGGATTCCGATAGACCTCCCTTCGGTAGACCTCCTCAGCGTAGCGAAGGACTTTGAAGAAGTATCGTCGGGTTTTGTGACCGATTTCGTGAGGGGTGCGTGAATTGAGATTTGGGTCCCTTCCCCTACCGTGGACTGGATATCGATTGAGCCACCGAGGAACCCAACAGCCTGCCGGACAATGCTGAGGCCCAACCCGCTGCCTGGAGCCATCGGATCCTCCTGTTTGAAAGGACTGAACAGATCATTTTGCAAAAACAACGGTCCGATGCCCTTTCCGGTGTCCTTTACCGTAATGGTCATGTTGAAGACATCCTTTTGATCCTTGCTGGGCGACTTGGTCGACCTATTGGTGTTACAATGGGAAGACGTCAATCCCACGTAAATATAGCCCTTCTGCGTGTATTTGAGGGCATTGCCGAAGACGTTCATGAGTATGCGTCTCCATGCTCCCGCGTGGGTATGAAAGGCCCATTCTGTATTAGGTTCAATGTCAAATATGACGGTAACCTGCGACGCTTGAGGGCCAACAGGCTCGGCCTCGTGTGTTTGGCCAGCTGACCGCGAAGTCGACTCCGTCAAAGCTGGCGGAGGCGCCTGGGGGTGATTATAGAAACAGTAACCGGCAAAGACACAGTCTACGACTTCCTCGAGAACATAATCCAGCTCAACGTGTGCAGCTAGTGACTTGGACTTATTCCCGACGGGCAGCCCTCGATTGTTCTTCTGATTCTTACGCCTTTGGGAAGTGTCGCCCCTTCGGTATTGATCGATAAATGTCAGATCAAGCAGGCTGTTGATCGTGTCCAGTAAGGTACGGCCACAAGACTCGACCGTGTGGACCATACCATGTTGAAGAGCATTCATGGCCGTATCACTCATAATATCGGCCGTACCCAAAATGCCGTGCAGCGGATTTCGAAGCTCGTGGGTAATGCTGCTAATGAGGTTGGTCTTGGCCCTTTCTGCAACCTCCATATCGATGCGGCGCATCTCGGCCATGATACTATTCGAGAACGCAGATGTATAGACCAGTTCGTTCTCCGGAGTAAAGATCCGGTCTGCATCGTTTGTCCAGATCAGAGCACCAGCAAACCACCTGCTGCGATCTGCATCCCACAGGGGCAGAACAAGAATACTCCTAGCCCCGGAAAATATTTTGATCAACTCTTTGGCATACCTTTTGAAGCCTGGCTGACGTGATCGCTTCGTAGATGAGCGATGCTCCGCCTGCTGGGAAGTGGTGTCTTTTTCGAATTCCGATTTTCGTGGTACTCGATCGTCGCTCTCCTCCGATACAGACCCATCGGCGTTAAAGGCAAAGATTTTGCCATGAGGATAACGGTGAATTAGGGAAGTAAAAAGTCGCTCAGGTACCATGACAGCCTGCCTGGCTCCTTCTTCGTCATTGATACTCGATATCCTTGAGCTCGAGAAACCTAGGCATTCAGAAAACGGGGAGGTGCCGGTTTGCCCTTCGTTGCCTTCGTTGTCTTGATCAGAGACGGATCGTTGGTTTGAGCTATCCGAGCCAGCAGTTTCATATTCACTTCTGGATCGTTGATCATCAAAGTCGGAGCCGGAAAGCCTGCGCTTAGTATCGTCGACAAGACCGCCAAAACGGTGACCCGACGCGTCAAGGAAAACCACGCCTTCCGCTTCAATTGACTCTCTGAGTAGGTTTGCTGCGCGAGAGAAAACATTTCTAATCGTGGGCGGGAGGGCATCTTCTTTCAAAGCGCTTCCTGTGAGCACTGCTCGCGCAGACTTGTCATCGTGGGTGAACTTTATCCCTGTTTTTTGTTGAAGTATTTGCTGGTCTACCTTCGCTTTCCGACCATCCTTTCGTGACCCTGGACTTGGTGTTGGAGGGCGATGGGAGCGAGAAGGCCTTCGGGTGAATTCCCTAATGGGGAGGCTCTTCTTGTCCGTACCGTTTGCTTCTTTCGGTTCGGCTGCACTCTCTTGCAAATCTTGCTGTTCCATATTGAGCTGCCCTTCCGTCATCTCTCCCGAGTTTTCTAATGCCATATGTTGTTCATGAGCCTCTGTCCAGGAGTCGCGTAGCGTGGTTCTACCCTCAACGAAGCTGCCCAGGCCGACGATCATGCGTTCCGCTCGACGGTTTTTGACTGTTGTTGCCCTCATGGCTAGGTGGTCCATGATCGTCGCAGCCATGTCCTTCAAAAACTGCATGGTATGCTGATCCGGTCCTGACCGCCTCGCTTTGCTGTCCATAATAGACAGGGCCCCGATTTTCAATCGGCGGGGACTGATGATGGGCACCACCACGAAGAACAACATGTCCGAGAGTGCAGTGTGCAACTTGGAGCGATCTAGCCGGCCGTCTTTGCTGGCATCCAGAACAACCACTGTGCTCTTCTCAAAATCCGGAGAGTCCCCTTGATGTCCACAAAGGGGTACTGTCTCTGCGAATTGACAAATACCCCTTTCCTTGGGAAAAACACAGGCTCCCAGCTTCAATTGCTCGCCATCATTCCGAGCATGACCCCCGACCAGACTTAGGGTCGGAGTGGCTTCCACCAGTACATGTTGATAGGACGCATCGAATAGAGAAACCAGAGCCCGCTCCGCGCCCAGTCGGATCGCCGCCAGCTGAGCAAAGGACGTCAAAGCCGCATCTGGAGATGGCTGGGGAGCGAAGTTCTCGCTACTGGCACGATCGAATGGCGCATACCGCGACGACGTATGACCTTGGGGGATATACCTTGTTGAGCAAACTCGTCAGTTCGCGGGTGTCCATCTATGTGGGAATCACGTACTTGTAGAATTCCTGCTCTTGCGCAAGCCTATAGCGCGACTGCGCGCCGGAGCCTATGATTGCAGTCATTGGTTTCAACGCGAATGTAGAAGAGAGGCATCTTCCTCCCTAGGAGCGAGCGACGGGGGAGGAAACAGTCAGCAGGCGGCCACTGGGTATATGTACTGCGCGCAACTACCCTGTTTCCTTAGTAGAGACCGGGCCAATCACCGCCCGCGTGGCGGCAAGAAAATCGAATTTTAGTCTGACGTCATTACCAACTCGAGTTAGATCGAATGACTAAGCCGTCCCTGGCAAGGGCAGGTAAATGATGTCACCGATGTCAGTAGATGTCATACAATCTCTTTTCCTCCTACGTATACCTACTATCTTATGGCCTCTTCCAACTGCAACCACCTGATCGAACGCCTCATGACATTCGTCACATGCACTAGCGTCCAACCATTGTTCCGGGCTAGGAACCCGATGTCGATCGGGTCAGGTTATGCTGACATTCGGTGGCGATCATCACCGTCATCTTCTGCTAGTCAAGGCCTACTAGGTATGGAGTGTGACTAAACATCATACATATGGCCAGATAACCCCGTTTTGGCAAGGCCATCCTGCCGACAATCGATGAACTAAGTCTTCTTCATTCCCCTGCTTACCATTTTGCCATCTGCCATCTGTGGACAGACAACCCCAATCAGGGATACTCATGGCCTCATAGAAATCGAATCGATAACCCACGAGACTTTGTCGATCTGGTGATTCGTTTCTAACGTTCTAGTTCCTACAGGTAGAGTTACTATAAAATTTACGAAATTTGCTCGCCTTTACTTTTATAATCCATAAGAAATTTTGCTAGGACTATTATTTCATATAGAGTTGAGTACGGAGTAGATAGGATCTTTATAATTAGAATATAGTATATAGTATATAATCTTAATAAGTTAATAGTAGTTAAATTATAAATAAAGTAAAAACAAAAATAAATAGCTGTAAGATATTACAAAATACGAATAATATTAGTAACTGATAAAATAGCAGTAAAAACTAGGGTGCAGTTTATGAAGATAGCTGCTCAGTATACATATCGGAACTCTTTGTTCTGCAGATCAGTAGTGTCCGCCAGCTGTCCCTGTATGCTTTCACCACTACGGGGATACTTCCTGTCTCGTCTGGAGTTCTCCCATCTCAGATAGAATCCCAGCGCAATCACGTCAATCACGACGACGACAAGACATACAAGGATTGCTTGGAATCCGCTCTGCAATAACACGCATTAGCGCTTGACTCACGCCCGCAGGAGCCAGCTGCCACATACCTGGTACTTGGGGGCCTGCCTTTCAAAGAACAGCTGCGGACCGATAATGTTTCCAGCACAGTACATGATAAAGTAGATCGCGCTGACGGTGGCGCGCTTGGTGAAGCCACCGACATTCGAGCTAACCATGGCCATGGAGAGGGGCATGCCCACCGAGTATAAGCCCATGAGGAGGAGGCCGGCGTAGCGGGAGGCGATGGAAGTGGTTGCGTAGACCAGGGCACTGCCGAGGATACTGTAGCGTGTCAGAGAGGATCGGGGCTCTTCCGCAGGATGCTCACCTTATGCAAGTTACAACGGCGATGACAATGCACCGGGAGTTCGGGACCTTGGAAGACACAATGGAACTATGGGGTCAGTGGTTGAAGCTTCAGTGTACAACGTATACTTACGACAAGAGGACGAAGGCAAAAACGACCGCACCACCAGGCATGCCCAGCAAGAGTGTGCGGAATGTCGAGTACCCAAAGCCTTTCAGAATGAGACCGTTGAACTGCTCAATTAGAAGGTACACTCAAAAAATGATCGGGGTCTACGCACCGTAGTAAACCCTCCGTTGGGGATATTGGATCCCAAAATCAGCACGGCGAGTAGCCATGTCTTGACGTCTCTGAGCGCCTCGAAGATCTGGTCACGATCGATCTTGTTGCTCTTGTATCCGGCTTTGTTGGACTTCAACCGCTCCATGGCGATTAGTCTTTCTTTCTCGTTGAGGAACGATGCTGTGCTGGGCGAGTCTGGCAGACGGAAGAGCATGACCACGCCCCAGACAAAGGTGATCAACCCGAAGATGATAAAAACCCACTATACTGCGTCAGGGTAATGTTCAACAACTGAAACGGCTTACTCACCTGCCACGGATGCAGACCCCCTTTGATCTGCCAAATGCCGACTGCGATCACATTGCCAATAATCAGGGAGATGGAGTTACCGCAGAACCATATTCCATGACGGAGAGGCTGCTCGGACGTGCGATACCAGAGCGAGGTAAGTAGACTGAACCCAGGAGAGAGACTCGCTTCTGTCACGCCGAGAAAGAACCTAGTCACCATGATGCCGGCGAAATTCTTGGTCGCTGCATGGCAAGCCAGGACCACAGCCCATATAATGCTGAAGACGCAGGTTAGCGGATGTCGTTGCGGAGGTATAGGAACCCACAAATTGCATGCAAGGTATTTTCCCAGGGGAAATTTGACCATCAGCAGAGAGGCTGGCCACGAGAAAAACAAGTATCCGAAGTAGAAGATACTACTCGACCAGCTGTAGTCTGCACCCTCTAGACCGAGGTCTTCCTGCAAGCCCATGAGCGCCGTGTAGCTTAGCGTCTGCTTGTCCAGGAACGCCATCATGTATGCGATGAGCATGATCGGGAGGATCCTATGTCGATTAGCATGCCAGATTGATCAGATCAAATACACAGAGCAACGTACATCAGGTCAATCTTCCAGACAAGCCTCCTCTCCTCTTCTGGAGTGAATGGATATGCCTCTTGGAACTGCTCCATCGCCCCCTTTTCAAGATACACCTGGTCAACGGCATTGTTGCCAGAATCTAGCTTTTTCTCCGTGTCTGCCATGTTGTTTGTATGTAGCTACCACAATTGAGGTATGTGTCCTCGTCCGCCATCTTTATACTTACCCTGACCCCTCCTACGACTGATACGATATCCATGACTGCCATTCCCCGTATCTGATAGCCACTCTAGACCCAACCCCAGTCATTGGCTGCATCGGCAAAGCTAGTAGTCTTAAAGCTCCGGCTAGAACACTTGCTGGTCATGAATCCGCCCCTTCTGCGGCGTGATTTGATACTAGTCTCTTGGCCATTCCTCCGAACCGCCACCGTTGAAGCTTCCCCGCATGATATTCGCCAGCACTAGACTAGATTGTGCTTAATGCTCATGATATACTCATGGAAAGCCGATTGGCAGATGGAGTCTGAATTCGTGCTAAACGTCCTAGTTCGTTCATCGTGCTATCATATCTCCTCTAATCTATTCCCGCTGGAAGTCTTGCTTGACCTTATCGGCAAACTCGTCATCTACGAGGAACTGACACGCCACGACGGCCATTCCCGCGGCACAGGAGATACAGCGCTGATAACCCTCTGCCGATCCGGCGCCGCCAGTGAATTCAGGTGTGTGGTTGACCCCGTCAGTGGGGATGGAGAACATTCCATGGAACCCAGGGACAGCATAGGAGACATTGCCTAAGTGTATCAGTAATGTCGCGCACACAATCGAGGATGATACGATACGAACCCATATCAGTAGACCCTCCGCCGAGCAGGCTGTCCTTTCCCGTGTTGTCAAACACGACATGGTGGCCCATTACCCGCATAGCGGAGACGTAGCTGTCGCAGATGGGCGTATTCGTCTTTAAGTCCGCGTACGAAATGCCCCTAAACACATGAGTCGCAATTCATCCCAGGTCGAAACAAACTTACCAGTCGAATTCCACCTTGCACCCCGTCGCCGTGGCCGCGGCTTCGAAGCACTTGATGACCTTTTCAGTCAGCGGCTTCAGGGTCTTGATACTGGGCGAGCGGATATAGTAATCCACGCTGGTCGACCAGGGAATGACATTCGGTCGGTCGCCGCCCTTCGTAATGACTCCGTGGATCTTCTCCTGCGGCAGAATCTGCTGTCGCAGGAGCGCGATGTTGACGTACGCAGCGACCACCGCATCCAGCGCGTTGACTCCCTCCCAGGGCGCCGCCGCCGCGTGTGCCGGCTTGCCCGTGAACGTCACGCGCACCTTGTCGTTGGCCAGGAAGCCGCCCGGTCGGACGGTGGCCATGCTCAGCAGCTGCGGATCGTTGGACACGATGGGCGCCGGGTGCACCATGAGACAGGCGTCGACATCTTTGTAGGCGCCTTTCTCCAGGAGCTTCACCTTGCCGCCGCCGGATTCTTCCGCCGGGGTGCCGATGAGACGAACCGTAAAGCCGGGGCCCTCGCTGTACTGGGTCTTCAGCGCTTCGCAGGTGGCAATGAAGGCCGCGATGGAGCTGGTCGCGATCAGGTTGTGTCCGCAGGCGTGGCCGATGCCGGGGAGGGCGTCGTATTCGGCGTTGAACGCAATGACGCGGCCGCCTGAGCCGTGCACGTACTCGACTTCGAGCGCGGTCTTGAGGTCGTAGGCGCTGCGGCGGACGCGGTAGCCTTCGGATTGTAGGCTCTCGAACATGGTGCAGATGTTGTTGTGGGCTTCATATTCTTCGTAGGCCAGTTCGGGATTTGACCAGATCTGGGTCGTCAATCGCAACTCAAAGAAAGAGACCGTGGCAGTCTTACTTTGTTGTTGATGTCCTTCAGCTGGTCATCATACTTGCGAAGTGCATCTTGCACGCTTTCGATGAAGCGCATTTGTGACTGAGGGAGGCGCATGTTGTGACTAGAAGAGTATCTGAAGCTGAGGATATATATTGCGACTACACTACGATCTACGTGCAGTAACGGACTTTATATGTCCATCTACTGTCCGGCTGTGACGGCATACTGAAGATGCAACTGAGGAGTATCCGACTCTACGGAGGACAGCTAGCTCTATTAGCTCTGCTATACATCGGCAGCGTTGGACTTGCCGAATCGGGACGAGATGAAGCCGAGGCCTGTGATTGGCCGTGACGCCAGAGGAGTCACCTGATTTGCCGATGCAGCCAATCAGCGATGGACGCTCGGCAACAACCCTAATCCGAAGCCCTAATTTCCCAATCTGGCGTGCCCCGAAAGAGACATCGCCAGCATCGTCCAGAGAGTCGGCAGTAGAACACCACCAGAACACGAGACGAGGTTATCAGACTCCACTACTTCGTGCTACTGTCGTATCTCCCCCTCTCTTATCGCACGCTTCGGATCCGCTTACGCAGGCTTCCCCGCCTGCGCTCCCCACCCGGGGATTCGCCTCCTGATTCATCTCCAGATAACCTAACCTAGCGCTGGTCTCCCAACTCCAGACCCTCCCATGTACCCTTGGGGTGATCGGTGCAATGAAGACCTCATACCTGAAGCAGACCACGCAGAATGAGCAGCAATAGCGAGTGGAGCACGCTCAGGCTCGGCAGGAAACCTCGGTCCAAGACTGGTAAGGGATCCACCGCCACCGTGTCTACGGAGTACCATATCCGGCCGAGACGAGATTAATAATAGCCACTGTGCTGACTGCATGTAGGATGTCGCACGTGCCGAATCCGCAAGGTGAAATGCGACGAGGAGAAATTGCCCGTCGCCGGCCAAGCGGAGCCCCAATGTCGCCGCTGCGCCGTCGCCCAGATCCGCTGTGAGTGGCACGGCGGCCCGATTCCTCGGCGGAAACCTGCGACGGCAACGCCCAAGAAGAGCCAAGGAGCGGACGTGTATCACGATAGCCCGACCAAGACTTCCGCGGGCTCGCCTGTTCCCGTGCCCCGTGGCCATGCCCGCCACCGGGAGCGGGGGAGAGGGAGCGTCTCTATCCAGCCCTCGTCGCTGTCTTTGGCGCCGTTGCGTCCTGCACAGAGCCCAGGGCTGTTGCAAGCGGCGAATTCACTGTCCCTCTCGGGGGTGGATCGGTATTGTCTTGAGTATCTGCGGGATTCCGCCCTCGTCGTCGTGCTGGGGAAGCATTGGCCGTGGTCCACGATTTCTTATGCGTACCACCGGGTCGCCGTGCGCGAGCCCATGGTGATGAGCATGATCCTGGCGAGCACGGCTAGCGAGATCCACCGCGCCCGCTGCCATGACGGGGACAGCGCGGGTCACGGTCGTCCGGCGGCAGAGGAGTTGTCCGATATTGACGGCCAGCGACACTATGGCCGGGCGTTGGCGGCCCTCCGCGAGGCCCTGAAGGAGGATGATGTCAAGTCTCCGGCTCGGATCGAGGCGATTTTCATCACGCTCTGGCTGATGGTCGATTACGAGAGCCGGTTTGGAAACGGCGTCTCTGCGATCAATATTCATATCCGAGGGATTGGGACGATCCTGCACAACCACATTGTGCCATTGCTGCAGAACCCGCCGAGGGAGCTGCCAGCTCCTGACGGTGGATGTATAGACAGCCGTGCGCATAGCACCACGCCAGCGACAGAGAGCTTCTCCCCCCAACAGCTAACAACTACACCCCGGGATGAAACTGTTACTGGAGGCCCGCTCCGACGCACGTCGGTGCCGCTGTTTCTCCTCTGGTCGCTGTACTTCTTCACGCCCGGAGCTGTGTTCTACGGCCCCAACGGCCCAGCACAGATGGACGCCGGGCTCTTCAAATTCTTTCTCCGTGATGAACCCGGAAAGAATTCACTAACCCTCCCCGAACTATACAAGATCAGCCGCCAGTCCCCGTCCCGGTTCTGGGGGGATGAATACCCTGCTACCGCGCAGCTCGACGACATGGAAAACCTGCCGGGGCTGACGCTGTACCACCGAAGCCACGTTGTACAATTTCAAACCACCGAGCTATTCAAAGAAAGCCGCGCGAAACGCACAGAGCCTCCAGATCATTTAGAAACCCCGAAGGATTCATATCAGCATATTATCGCCGAGCTAGCCACCATCGCAGATGTAAGCCGAGACACGCTTTCCAAACGGGATCCTTCCCCCCTAATCCCCGGGTTAAGACACTAACCATCGCCAGGAATACGACATGCTCCTAGCCTCTGCCCAGTCCGCCCCCTCGGTGGAAATCGTCCCGGCCGGCCGCCGCGTGATGGAGACTATTCTCTGGGCGGCCATCACCTACTACAGCACCATCGTGTACTTCTACCTGTGTTTTCCCGCGCCCAGCGCAACCCAGCACCAGCAGCATCATCCGCTGCTTTCGCTCGCAGCCGCAGTGTCGCGGGTGCTGGAGCTTGCATTGAAACTCCACCGGAGTCGGCCACGCCTCATGCTGCGGATCGTGTGGCCGCTGTTTATTGCGGGGATCGCCACGCCCGACAAGATATATCAGGATTGGGTGTCGATCCGGCTGCGCGAGCTGCGCAAGTACGGGCAGAACTATGCGCGGGTGAGCGCTCGCTATGATGAGATTATAGGGGGCGGGGCTTTTGTACAGATACCTGCGTCTTGGAGCAGGATTGACTCCTAGGGGGGATTGCGTATATACCCCGTGTAGAAGCAATAGTAGATGTGCTATGACATGGATAAGACATCACATGGGCCTTTGTCCGATGTGGCGTGTAGGATAAGAATACCAAGGATAACACCAAGAACTATCATCCGGGATACAAAGAATATTCCAGAATCGTTCTAGATGTCCCTGCACAATGAAAGCCAAAATGCTCGCGATAGGACCCCTCATCTTGGACTTCTCGGCGCTGGGTTGGAGGGACAGATGACTATGCTGATCGATCGACTTGACCAGCCTCCGCGGAGTACTCACATGATGGATGTGACCAACAAGGCTGATGGCGTAGGGCTCTGTCGATCTTCAGGACCTACGTAAGTCCAGGCCAGGATGGCCATGCGCAGTTGATGTACATGGATGATGAGTGCGTCCAATGATTGCGGAACATGTAGAGGAAAAGCAAGCACGCAGAACAGAACAGGACTGATGTCGTCTGCTGTACTGCTGTACTGCCTCCAGGAAGGCCTCTTTATCGGCTAACCCAAGAACGACTAAGACTTCCAAGAGCCTATACTCCGTCCATTGCTCAATCGGGAGCAATTATCCGACTTGACGGCGGCAGAGAAATGATCAATATACTAGCCAAGGCCTTGCGACTTACGAATCCGGACGAGACCTGATCCGGATGAATCCTTCTCTTGGACCCCAGCCAAGGCCTCCAGGACCATCCATCATCTTGCATGAGTGGGGATAGTGGGCATGGGGTACTCCATAACGAGAGCATTGATCTCGGGGGGCTTCTTCCATCCTGGCCGTCTTGGGCAGCTCGGAGTAGTTCCGACGAGATATGAGACCGTTCAAGATAGGAAAGATAGCACATGTCTCAGACAGACGGCGTACAAGTCGGATTATCCCCAGATCAGGGACAGACCGCTGCACCCCATGCAACTATGATGTAGCCGACTGATCCGATAGAACATCCGACTCGCATCTTCTCGCCACGAGCTGAGCGGACCAGCATACCTGCCAAGCGACCCAAGCGACACTAAGTCAGCCCTGTCTCCGCATTCTCCAGGGCCAAGCGTTGGCATGGCCCGTGGATGGGCCGACCACGGCACAGCACCAGCCCTACCAGGATCCGCGAGCGTCATGCTGGCCCGGCGGTCTACCTATCATATGTGGTGTGCTATTCTTGCATTCGGCGGACGCCTTCAGATGCCCCGTACGGAGCAGGCGGGGAGGGAAAGTGGACCGCCGGCTGCGTCCACGATCATGATGCCACATAATCCTCTTCTGGCCTGTATCTACGGGGGAAGTGTGCCGGCGAGAACGCTGCTACAGCCGGATCAACATCCCCACGGCCCTCTCCACGTCCAAGTCGAAACGCATGGAACGTTCGGCCTGCACCAGGATGCATCCAGGCTCGACCGACCTCCCCAAACACCACGCCAATGCCCCCGCTAGATCCTCTAGCGCAAGGATCTGAGTATACGAGAACGAGAACGGCCCATGTAGGCAGACCCAATCACGCCAGCGACCCGAGAGCAGCCATGCCCATGCCCGGATAACTCGGCTGGCACACCACCTCCCTCTCCACGATAAGCAGACCCAGTGGAGCAGAGCAGTCGCCATGCACCACGCCGAGAGCACCAAGAGACCAGGGCGTCGCAGGCGGGAACCCAGGCAAGGCCCGCCAAGGCTCCCGCTGCCCTTGGCATTCCGCCGCGATGAAGCCATCCAGCCCATTGCCCATCGCCAAGCCCTAACCGCGCCTCTCCGGGGGGTCGTTGCATCATCGCCCCGGGAGGCGACAGGCGACATGCCCCCCATTCCATGGATGCTGTCTTGCCTTTCGGGCAATCGATCCCTGGGTCGGCGTCGGTCGAGGTTGATAACGGAGATGCCAAGGGCTCGTCGTTGTTCGCGTCATCTGGTCGCTCGTCAAAGTTAAATACCCTGGATGTCCCCCCGGAGGTGCACGAAAGTTCTTATAAAACGTAGATTCAGAGCTGTCTTAGCAGGTTTTTCTTCGAATTGATCTTGACTTACGTCCTCCGTGTATGGACTCGCATTCCTTGGAGGATACTATCTACATGGAGCCACCCTAGGGACATCCCATAGTAGACTACCCAGACCCTGGAGAAGCATACATTCATACAAACAACAACAAACTACATACTTCAGACGAGCACAACATACGAGCTACAGACATACGATGCCCGACCAGGAAAAGCAGCAGGACCTCACGGCCCAGCCGCTCTCCCAGCCGGCCCACTCCCTCCCCTACGATGCTGTCCTCCGCGAGCTGTCGGTCGACGGCGAGGAGGGCCTCTCCTCCGCCGAGGCGAAGAAGCGCTTGGACGTGTATGGGAAGAACGAGCTGGAGGGCGGAGAAAGCGTGTCGCTGGCCAAGATTGTGATTAGACAGATTGCCAATGCCATGATGCTGGTTCGTGTGCACGACCCATTTCTATGTCCATGCCTCGCTAATACCCTGCTATCTTAGGTCCTTATTATTGCCATGGCAGTCAGTTTCGGCATCCAGTCCTGGATCGAAGGTGGCGTTATCGGTGCTGTCATCGGGCTTAATATCATTGTCGGCGTCTACCAGGACTACGCTGCCGAGAAGACCATGGACTCCCTGCGGTCGCTGAGCTCCCCGACCGGTGTCGTCACCCGCGATGGAAAAACGAATACTATCCCGGCGCCGGAGATTGTCCCGGGGGACATGGTGGAATTGAAAGTGGGCGATACGGTGCCTGCGGATCTGAGGTATGTGGCGAACTATACATATCCGGCACGTCATGGCCTGGACTAACTCGATGACCGCCAGACTCGTCGACGCCATGAACTTTGAAACCGACGAGGCCCTCCTGACCGGAGAATCCCTCCCTGTGCAGAAAGAAGTCGACGCCGTCTTCGACCAGGACACCGGCCCCGGCGACCGGCTCAACATCGCTTACAGCTCGTCGACCGTGACCCGCGGCCGCGCCCGGGGCGTCGTCGTCGGCACCGGCATGCGCACCGAGATCGGCGCCATCGCCGCAGCGCTGCGGGCCAGCGACTCGCGCAAACGCCCCGTCAAGCGCGGGCCGCAGGGCGAGACCAAGAAGCGGTGGTACGTGCAGGCGTGGACGCTGACCTGTACGGACGCGGTCGGGCGGTTCCTCGGCATCAACGTGGGCACGCCGCTGCAGCGCAAGCTGTCGAAGCTGGCGCTGGCGCTGTTCGTGATCGCGGTCATCTTCGCGGTCATCGTGATGGGCGCCAACGAGATGCGCGATGACAAGGAGGTCATCATCTACGCGGTGGCGACGGGGCTGGCGATGATCCCCGCGTGTCTGGTCGTGGTGCTGACCATCACCATGGCCGTGGGCACCAAGCAGATGGTGCAGCGCAATGTCATTGTCCGGAAACTCGACTCCCTCGAAGCCCTCGGCGCCGTGACTAACATCTGTTCAGACAAAACGGGCACCCTCACCCAGGGCCGCATGGTCGCCAAGCGCGCCTGGATCCCGTCCGTGGGCACGTACTCCGTGGGTTCTTCGAATGACCCGCTGAACCCGGAGGAGGGCGACGTGAGTCTGCTGGCCGAGCCGCCTGTGCGCGTGGATCGCGATGCGCACGGCGAGCCGGCTGACCCGATGGAGCTACTGAAGGATAACCCCGTGCTCGAGGACTATCTGAACGTCGCGGCCATGGCCAACCTGGCGCATGTCCACAAGTCCGAGCACGAGCAGGAGTGGCAGGCGCGCGGTGAGCCCACGGACATCGCGATCCAGGTGTTTGCGTCGCGGTTCAACTGGGGCCGGGACCGCTGGGTCAAGGGTGAGAAGCCTATCTGGACGCAAAAGGCCGAGTACCCGTTCGATTCGACCGTCAAGAAGATGTCGGTGATTTTCGCCCGTGACGGCTGCGAGATGGTCTTCACCAAGGGCGCCGTCGAGCGCGTCATTGACAGCTGCACCGCCGTCACCTGGACGCAGGGCGCGGACCCCGTGGCCCTCGACGACGAGAAAAAGGACGAGATCCTGCAGAACATGGAGGCGCTCGCGAGCGAGGGTCTGCGCGTGCTGGCCCTCGCCTGCCGGCCGAACCAGGGCCCCACGGACCACGACAACGTGCCGGACCGCGACGAGGTCGAGAAGGACCTCGTCTTCTGCGGATTGATCGGGCTGTACGATCCGCCTCGGCCGGAGACCGCCGGCGCCATCGAGGAGTGCTATCGCGCCGGCATCTCCGTCCACATGGTGACTGGAGACCACCCGGGCACGGCGCGCGCGATTGCAGCGCAGGTCGGCATCATCCCAGCCGACATGCACACGCTGTCCAAGGATGTCGCCGACGCCATGGTCATGACGGCCAGCCAGTTCGACAAGCTGACCGACGAGGAGATTGACGCGCTGCCAGTGCTGCCGCTGGTTATTGCGCGGTGCGCGCCGAACACGAAAGTGCGCATGATTGACGCGCTGCACCGTCGCGGCCGCTACGCCGCCATGACCGGCGACGGCGTCAACGACTCGCCGTCGTTGAAGCGCGCCGACGTCGGTATCGCCATGGGGCAGGCCGGCTCGGACGTGGCTAAGGATGCGTCGGAGCTGGTCCTGATGGACGACAACTTTGCGTCAATTATCAACGGCATCGAGGAGGGTCGGCGCATCTTTGATAACATCCAGAAGTTTGTGCTGCACCTGCTGGCCGAGAACGTCGGGCTCGCCCTGACCCTTCTCGTGGGTCTCGCTTTCAAGGACCACAACGGCCAGTCCGTCTTCCCCATCGCGCCCGTCGAGATCCTGTGGATCATCATGATCACGTCCGGTCTGCCGGATATGGGCCTGGGAATGGAGCAGGCGGCGCCGGATATCATGAACCGCCCGCCGCAGAGCGTGAGTCCCCCACATCCCCTCTATACTGTCTGCCCCGCTAACCCCCGCAGAAACAAGGCATCTTCACCTGGGAAGTGGTCGTCGACACCCTCGTCTACGGCGTGTGGATGGCCGCCCTGTGTCTCGCGGCCTTCTCGCTCGTGCTCTTCGGCTGGGGCAACGGCGACCTGGCCGAGGGCTGCAACAGCAACAACAGCCCGGAGTGCAACGAGGTGTTCCGCGCGCGGGCCACCACGTTCGTGTGCATGACGTGGTTCGCACTGTTCCTGGCGTGGGAGCTGATGGACATGCGGCGCAGCTTCTTCCGCATGAAGCCGGACTCGAAGCGGTACTTTACGCAGTGGATGCTGGACGTGTGGCGCAACAAGTTCCTCTTCTGCGGGATCATGATTGGCTTCGTGACAACGTTCCCGATTCTGTACATCCCCGTCATCAACGACAAGGTGTTCCGCCATGTCGGCATCTCGTGGGAATGGGGCGTTGTTGTCGTCGAGGCGATTCTGTTTATTGGGGGTGTGGAGCTGTGGAAGTGGTGTAAGCGCATCTTCTTCCGGCACATGGACAAGCGGGCTGTCGATGCGGGCGAGCCGGATCGCAGTATGCCCAAGGACTTTAGTCGGTATACGAGTATGAGTCGGACGGATACGACGGTGACTGGCGAGGGGAAGAGAGAGACCTCGATGGTCTGAGGGTGTTGGTGCATTCGCTCTGCTGAGTTGTAGCGAGAGGGCAGCGTTAGTTGATGAGTTGCATGATGCTGGATTGTTAATGATCATAGTATAGACTAGCATGAACATGATTGATTAGACTTTCTGAGTGCATACCAGATCATGAAGGTAGACTAGGAACTGTAGGTCAGTCGGGACTATCGTATCCAGTCGGGCAAAGCATTCGCGGAGTCTCCTGGAGTAGAGAGACCCGGCGAGAGCAAGGACGCTTTAATAGACACTCAGAACTAGGCAACAGTTGTGCCATCGTGCACGGGTCATACTCCGTTCGATATCGCCAAGGGCCCAAGACTGACGGACTTGATATGGCGCATCATCCTACAGAAAAGAACCTGACCAGATCACTGCAGCCTACATACACATCCATGAACATGATTGATTGAGTACGGACTATCTACGAGCTCCCTGCGGCCGGCGCAGCAGCTGCCTTATCTTCCGTCTTCACTCCAGCAGTCGGGGCAACGTTGTCCGCATCACGCTCGAAACTGCGCATAGGATAGAATCCCCAGCGGTCAAACATCGCCCGATCCTCGTCCCAGCCATTGCAGTCGGTCGTGAGCATCTTCTCGCCCGTAAACACAGCGTTAGCACCAGCCATGAAGCAGGCGACCTGCTGCTCCTCAGACAGCGAGATACGCCCCGCGGCCAGCCGCACAATCGTCGCCGGCAGCACGATGCGTGCCGTCGCCACCGTGCGCAGCAGCTTATCGAACGAGATCATCTTGCGGTCGCCCAACGGCGTGCCGGGGATCGGCACGAGCGCATTGACGGGAAACGACTCAGGATGCGACGGCAGCGACGCAACAGTATGGATCAGCCCAACGCGGTCCGCGTCCTCCTCGCCGAGGCCGAGAATACCACCCGAGCACACGTTGATGCCGGCATCGCGCACATGCGACAGCGTCTGCAGCCGCTCGTCGTACGACCGCGTCGTGATGATGCTGGGGTAGAACTCGCGCGAGGTGTCGAGGTTGTGGTTGTACGCCGTCAGGCCGGCGTCCTTCAGTTCCTTGGCCTGGTTCTCGTCGATCATGCCCAGCGTCACGCACACCTCCATGCCCATCTCGCGCACGCCCGACACCATCGCCTTGACGTTCTTGAGGCTCGTCTTGCGGCCGCGCATGTCGCGCCACGCGGCGCCCATGCAGAACCGCGTGCTGCCGTTCGCCTTGGCGATGCGCGCGGCGTTGAGCACGTCGTCGACGGGCGACATCTTCGTCGCCTTGAGGCCGGTGTTGTACCGCGACGACTGCGCGCAGTACGAGCAGTCTTCGCTGCAGCCGCCCGTCTTGATGTTCATCAGCGTGCACATCTGGATGGCGGAGGGGTCGTGGAAGCGGCGGTGCACGGCGGCCTGTTCTCATTTGGTGAGTATGTGTGTGTATGTAGATGGAGCGGGGGTGATGTTGGGATGGGAGCGCACAGCAGCGTAGGTGAGCTGGTTCAACGGCGTGTGGTAGATCTGCTGGACTTCATCGCGCGTCCAGGTCGTCCGCGGGGCTGTCGCTGCCGTGGCTTCTTGCAGGGCGAGAGGGATCTTGCTGGCGATCGAGGCGGCGCTGGGAGATGATTGCACGGTGCCATAGGATCTCCTCAGGAGAGCCCTGGGGAAGGCCCGAGAGAACGACATTGTAGTCTAGAGGCGTATACGCAGTGTGTGCAGGTGGGATGAAGAGGGGTCGAGGTCAGAGTAGTACGAACAGTCCGTATACGGAGTAATCTAAGCATGCGATAATAAGCGCTATTATTACCTGCTAACCTCGGGATACCCACGGACGCCTGTCCACCGATGCAGGCCATGACTGCTATTACTCATACTTCTGCAGTGGAGAGCCCGCCAAACTCTAAGCCAGACCAGTGAGCGCATTTCCAATGCAATCCCCCGTCTGCTAAAGGTGTGGGCGCTTGTCCATCTGGTGGTGGGCGGTTGGCACGGTTGGCATTGCTGTGAGACGTGTTGACCCCAACGCCGTTCAACCGATGGCAGTGACACCCACCGGACAAGATCAAGAGAAACTGGGAAAGCCACAGCCAGCTCGATCGCTCAATTCTTGCCCGGAAATGACTGTTGTCCGGTGGAAAGGAGGGAAATGAGTTTCCCTGCGTTAGTCTGCAGCCACGCACCATGGCCATGACCAGCTAGCACCAGACCAGACCACACCACACCCCAGACGGAGCGCCGGTGAACAGACACAGTACGAGCCGGCAAACGGAGAGCAGATCGGGCGATCCAGCGGGTGAGCGGCGTGTCTCGTCATCGCTCCACTTGGCCAAGGAATGCCGGAAGGAGTACTCCGTAATGCAGGAGGCAGCAGCAGCCAGCAGAAGGAGACGTCCTGTGGAGGGCAGCCCCTGGCAGGGGTTGCTCGGCACAGAGCAGCTATCGGCAGCATTAGACGAATCTATTTGCTACGCAATTCGACGATGTGGCCTGCTGGATGGGAGTGAAAAATCTGTTCCTGGCTTGGGCCGTGTTTCTCCCGACGATAACCTTAACCGTCCCTTCACTGCAGATCCTACAACTGCTCATTCACGACAGTCTCTTGACAGGCGGTTCTTTGCTCCGGAATACTCCATAGATGTGCATGGACCATAGTTCACCACTACTAGACAAATCTTACTCTGTACAATGACTCACTGGGCCGCTACTCCGTACACTACCCTACCAAGCCCGCCCGCAGCCGCTCCTCAATCACCCGCAGTGCCTCGGGCCTGGAGGTCACACTAGACATTAGGTAGAGCACGTTTCCGAGCACCCGGGAATGAACGTTGAAGCCTGGGCCACCCGTCAGAAGGATCTCTTGGAGACCCTTGGCCGCCGTCGAAGTGTATCCTGTGGGTCATCACATGTTAGTCGTCACATCGTTTCAGGGCAGGGAAGAGAGATGAGTAGGAAAGAGAAGAAAAGTGAGAAAGGTAGACGTACCACCGCCATGCGCATCCTTCAACGCAATCACCAACACCGTCCCAATGGCAAACACCCCCTCCACCCCCGGCGCAAACGACAGATCCTTCACCAGCCCCTGCGACCACACACTCCAGACCTCAGGGGCATCCCCGCAGCGGGAGGCCTCGCTGGCCATGGCCGCAGTCGACTGCCAATCCCGACGGTAGGCGTCCCAGGCCCCACGGCGCTCCATCTGCATCATCGTCCGGAGCGAATCCACCGCCACCTGGCAGCCCACCGCATGGGCGGTGTAGCTATGGCCATGCAGGAGCGCGTCGCTCTTTTCCGGGCTGGAAAACGCCGCGAAGATCTCGTTGCTGGCCATGGTCGTGCACAGCGGCACCAGGCCCCCGGTGAGCAGCTTGGCGTTGACCACAATGTCGCTGTCGATGTTCAGGAACGACGCGGAGGATCGGCGCCCGAGCCGGTAGAGACCTGTAAAGACCTCGTCCAGGATCACCGGGAGGCCAGACCAGGAGTCTTCTCCGCGGGGGGCGGCGGCGGCGTTAGCGGCGAAGAGTTCTGGATGCCCGCGGACGACGTCGGCCAGACAGCGCTGGAAGAGGGGGTCACTGATCCGTTAGTATGCGCCAGTCATGGACGGGATAATATGGATAGGCTGGTACGAACCAGAAGAGCATGCCCCCAGCGCCCAGAATGACGGGCTCCATAATGAGCGATCCGAATTTCATCCCCTGCTCGCGCACCAGGCCCTCGATCGTGCGTCGGATGTACTTGTGATAGCGTTTCCCGGCGTCCGACTGCACCCGCTCCTCCACATCAAAGACGCTGCTCAGCGTAGGGAATTCCAGGTCCGCGCCTAATGCGCCGTCCACCTCGGGTGGCATCTGGATCTTCCACACCCCCTGCGCCATCTTGACCTGCGGGAAATCAAACCAGTACCCGCGCCCGCGGTACCACTCGACCTTTTTGTTGTACGTCGACGGCTCTGAGCAGTCCATCACCCCAATGGTATCCCCATGGTAGCTGCCCTTGAGCCCGAGGATGCTGATCTGCTCGGCGCTGGCGTCCCATCCGTAGCGCGCACACGCCGCCCGCAGGCCCATCTTCACCGCGACCTCCATGCCCGTACTCCCATTGTCCGTGTAGAACACCTTACCCAGACGCGGGTTGCCCATCTCATTGAGCAGCGTCTCCGCGAGCGTCAGCGCCGGCTCGTGGATGTTCCCGGGGAACATGACGTGCCCGTAGCGGCCGGCCGCGTAGGCCGCGGACAGCGCCAGCTCGGGGTTGCCATGGCCCAGGCCCTGCGTCCACCAGGACGCCGACCCATCAAACGTCGCCTGCAGCTTGCCCCCCGCGTAGGTCTGGAAGTAGTCGTCGTAGGCCGAGTCGATCGGCGTGATGTCCTTGGGCGCCATGCCGTGGTGCTGCGTGAACGGGTACCAGATGGCATCGTGGGCGCGACCGGCCATCGCCTCGAGACGCTCGATGCGGCTCGCGTTCTTCGTCGCCAGCTCCTCCAGCAGTCCGGCTGTGTCGGTGCCCTGCGCGACGCGGTGGTAGTACTCAGCCATAGCCTCGGCATCGCGCGCGGCGGCGTCTGGATCTTGGACCGCCGGTCGCGCGGGCGGCGCAGGTAGCGGCAGCAACGGGATGCTCTTTTTCTGGAAGTAGTCGCGCAGATACTCGTGGTTTTTGTAGTAGTCGTCGCGGAAGAGCAGGACAGAGTGGACGTCGTAGCCCCGCAGCAACAGCGACTCGTACGCGGAGATGGACGAGGAAATCCCGCCCAGGCGAGAGTCGGCGACCAGCACGATTGGCAGCCGCAGCGGCCGGTAGAGATCTGCCTGGGAGTTTCCATTTGGTCCGGGCGAATGCACGCCGCCGGCGGTCTCTACCAGGGCGAAGTTGACGCCGTTGCTCGCCCAGTCGGAGAGGGTCGAGTGGACGGACGTGATGATATCATCGTCGGGGGGTACCTTTGTTGTCAGCACTTGATAGCCCGGGGACTGTAAATGGCAGAGGATTTACAGAGAAGCCTTGCACGGCGAGATGCGGGCTGACGGGCTCGTTGAATTGATATAGACATTTGGTGATGGTGCCTGCGGCGTAGCGCTGGATGTGGCTGTCGAGGGTGAGTCAATGGATCCAAGAGAAGAACAGCATACATACCGATCATCCGCATCGTCTAGAGGGCCGGTTGAGACTGGTTTCAGGAATGCAGCCTGTCCCTGGGTCTTCTGGCGCTGGACGGCGTTGCAGAGCACCGTCGAGACTATAGTCTTGCCGACATCGGTGTTGGCGCCGTAGACCTGGTGGGCACGCAGCGAGCGCCACAGAGCAGCTCCCACTGGCGGCATGGCAATATTGAAAGATTAGCAATGGAAGGAGAAACAGGAAGGACTACAGAACTACATGGAGAGAATGAGTCGATGGAGTGGGAATGACGCCGAAGAAGAGCCGCGGTAGGCTGAGGGTGCCTGAGGCAGCAACGGCCACCAGCACAACCAGCAACAAGACAGAAATAACTATACAGCTCTCTTCAGTTTACTTGAGCATCAATTGCCACCTGAAAGAATTGGATTGTTAAGCATTACCTCAGGTTTATCCACTTGTAAGGCCGCCAGGCGTCCCGGCTAGGAGTATGTACTCCGTTCACCTGGAGGCCTGACACAGTCATACACGTTGGATGACATTCGCCTCCGTACAACATCCAACACGACATAAGGCAACCAATTCTTCATCATCCGTTGAATTAGTCAATTGCTCTCATATGTTGGTCATGAGGATCAGTTACTCCGTACTCCGTCTCCCCGACTTGTTGAACCCAGCGGTTCCTGACTGGGTCCTTCGGTTCAACACGCACTAACTGCCCACGCCACAATCGCCCGGCTCCTTCAGCTCCACCGACGATGATTTCTTTTGCTGTCGATGGCGGGCTCCACGCCCGGTGTGCTGGGCTCAAAATGGGCCTCTCCGCGCCCTAGCAGGACCCGGTGTCATGTCGGCCTCCGGTTTACTCCTGTCTCCATAGTATTCCGAGGTAGAGTGAATCGACCGAGTCAATCCCGCAGTAGTACAAAACAAGGACGATCAAACGTCTAGCGGGGCATTGTCTATCAATTATCAATTACCACGGAGCAATGGGAAAGCCATCGTGTTTGCGAGAGTCGTTACGCCAGGCCCTGCGTCGACGAGAGGCCAAATCGTCGCGACGACGCCTGACCGTGCTCCCTCCGTCGTCGGTGGACTTTTCGTCGAACGACTTCCTCTCGCTATCGACCTCGCCGGCATATCGAGCCCGGTTTCTCGAGCATCTGCACGATGCGCCGCCATTGCACCCCTTCGCCAGCGGCGGGTCCCGCCTGCTGGACGGCAATTCCGCCTACGCCGAGGATCTAGAGGCGTTCATTGCGGCCTTCCACCACGCGCCCAGCGGGCTGCTCTTTAATTCCGGCTTCGACGCCAACGTCGGCGTGCTGTCCTGCCTGCCGCAGCCGGGTGATGTCATCGTCCACGACGAGCTGGTCCACGCGAGCGCCCGCGAAGGCATGCGGCTGTCGCGCGCGGGCACGCAAATCGCCTTCTCGCACAGCTGTCCCGCCAGCCTGGCGGACGTGCTTCAGTCCCAGGTGGAGACGGACCCGGCGGTGCGCGATGGCTCGCGCAATGTGTTCGTGGTCGTCGAGTCGCTGTACAGCATGGACGGGGACGTGGCGCCGCTGCGGGAATTCGTGGACGTCGTAGACCGGGTTCTTCCGCGGGGCAACGGGTATTTCATCGTCGACGAGGCCCATGCGACGGGGTCGTTTGGGCCTCGGGGCGCGGGGGTGGTGCAGGAGCTGGGGCTCGAAGAGCGGATGTTCATCCGCGTGCATACGTTTGGCAAGGCGCTCGCGAGCCATGGAGGTGAGTCGATAGTCCGTGGGCTGCGGGTTGGAATGTACTGATTGTTTGTAGCGATTGTGCTCTGCTGTCCGGATACGCGCGACTATCTGATCAACTATGCCCGCAGTCTAATATATACGACGGCCCTGGGGTTCCCGTTCCTTGCCTCCATCCGCACGGCGTATGAGATGTTGTCTGCGGGCGAGACGCAGCCGGTATGTAGACCTACTGTTCGGGTGGAGCGTTTGCTGATATGAGTGTAGTTGCAAGAGAAACTCCAGGAGAACATTTCGTATCTGCGCAAACGCTTGGACGAGCTGGACACGCCGGACTCTGCCCTGTTCGAGGTCGACCATTTCCCCCATTCCCCGATATTCTCGCTGCGCAGTCCGATGCCGCGCCAGCTGGCAGGGATCTGCCAGCAGGATGGGTTTATCGTGCGTGCCATCATGGCCCCGACGGTTCCTGCGGGCAAGGAACGCGTGCGTGTATGCTTGCATGCAGGGAACACGGCGGAGGAAATTGATGGGCTCGTCGCGACGATCCAGCGATGGTTGAATGGGGTGACGGAGAAGAGGAGTGCTCGGCTTTGATTGAGCGTTGATTGAGCGAAAAGTAGACTGTGATTATTATTATTACAATAATGATGTTTGACAATAGAGCGGTGTTACACTTTGGTCGTCTCAAGGGAAAGAAAGGCACAGCTAGATATCTTCCCCTAGCATCACCATCAATGAACCCAGTTCTCCCGACACGTCGGGCACGTCCGGCATGCAGGGTCGTGAAACCTCTTCAACCAGGATAATATGCAGCTGCGATGGTAGTTGGTTCCACAATGGCCCTTGCACCATAGCCACTGCGCAGGGTCGTATCCATCTGGCAGACCATCGATTGTGCAAAGATTTCGAGGCTGGCCAGCAGACTCCGTACCGACTTTGTCGTGCAAGGACACAAGACAGATGCAGCACTCGCCCTCGACCGGCTTCGGCATTCGTGGTGGATGGAGGGGCTTGCCTAGATCCATAGTGGAAGCATACGGTAGCTCAGACATGAGCTGATCGTTTGTCGGTGTCGGCGCCGGACTGCTGCGTACCTGCAACTCGGGGACCGGGGGCTCCGTAGTATCCTCAGGGTCTTGTCGAACGGGCCGGGGAGCCACAAACTGGGCCGGGTCATACGCCTGCAAGTGATTAGCACGCCGCCAATACGCAGGGCAGGAAGGAAGTACATACAGCTTGAGTACGACCCTGTGGAGCTTCGTAGATAGCCCCCGAGCGAGTCCTTGCCGGCTCATTCACAGATGGGTTCTCTTCCCTGTATTCTTTCACCTTATTCTGCCATTGCATCAACAGATTACCTATTTGGTACTGGTGGCTCCAACACAACCCAAGCGCAGCTATGCGATGTAGGATCCACCCCGGAGGTTCCTGACCTCGCTCTAGGCATTCAGTTCCTTGCCGTAGACATTCCCCGATCTGTCGACGTCCATTGCTGTCGATCATATTACGACAACGGCGGCGGTATGCATAAACGTAGCCCAGACATGCTTCGTCGGGGGACACCCCGAGGACGCGCCCAAAGTCGGGTGTTGAGTTGGAAGCCATGGCATTGAGGGAGGAGAGTATGGGATCTATTCAGGGAGAAGGGTGAAGCAGAGGGAGTAAGAGATGGCATCGGGCTGGTAAGCAATGCTTGTGCTTTGGTGTATTGGAAGGCATGCCAATGGATGGGGATTCATGTCCAGCAAAGAGTAATCTCATGCTTATCCTTCGTCATGATAAATCATCGACTTGTTGACATTACCTGGATGTAAGACAGAGTTTATTGTATACTTTCGACCATAAATCGATAGCTCTGGCAGAACTCTTCCCAATATACCTCTTTGCTACTATACACCATGGAGTATACAAGCCAGCGGAGCAAACAGATAACATGATATCATCTGCAGCTTCCCCTCACTCTGCTCCTCATCGTCCGATCACATCAACCATCTGCATCTCCCTCACTACACACAACCCTAGAGCAACATGGAAAACATCCTCATCGTCGGCGGGGGCATCTTCGGCGTCAGCACAGCATACCATCTAGCCCGCCGCATCCCAGACCCATCCCGGATCACCGTCCTCGACCGCGCGCCCGCGCCCAGCAACACCGCCGCCTCAACCGACATCAACAAGATCATCCGCGCGGACTACTCCAGCCCGCTGTATATGCAGCTCGGTCTCGAGGCCATCGATGCATGGAAAAGCCTCCCGTTCTTCCAAGAAGCCGGCGTCTACCACCAGTCTGGGTGGATCGCAATGGACGAAAAGGCGAGTGATGTGCCGCAGCGTATCCGCCAGAACTTTCGCGCATGCGGCCAGGATGACTCTATTGTCGATTTGACGGAAGAGGAGGTGCGGACGCGCTGGGGAGGTCTCTTGCGTCAGACGGATTGTCGTCCGTTTGGGTCGTATTACTTTAACCCGTCGGCGGGATGGGCTGATGCGGGGGATGCACTGCGGATCTTGGCTACAGAGGCTGTTAAGCTGGGGGTTAATTATGAAGTTGGCGAAGCTAGTCGTGTTGTGTGGGGAGATGGGCAAGTGCAAGGAGTGGAAACTGTTGATGGGCGGTCGTACACAGCGGACAAGGTGCTTCTGGCTACTGGGGCATGGACGAGCCAGTTGATGTCCTCAATCGAGGATGAATTGGAGCTCGATGAGGCAGACCGTGTGGAATGTCAGGTCTCAGCAGCTGGAGTCTGCGTCGCGCACTTCAACCTGTCAGACGCGGAAAAAGAAGCATACTCCCAGCTGCCAGTGCTGGTGTACGGGGAACAAGGTGAGTATTGCTGAATATACCTAATATCAGAGCTCATGCTGTATTAGGAGAGATCATCCCGCCCAATGCTGCTGGAGTACTCAAGTTCACCTTCTCCACGTCGTTCAAAAACACCATCCGAACCCCTTCTGGCCACGCAATATCGGTCCCAGCTGATCACGATCAGTTCCTCGCGCCGAGAGGTCTTCAATCCGACAGCATGTCGAAGATTAAGCCCCGTTTGCCTCAGATACTGGAGAACGACCGCAAACCGGACTATTACCGCATATGCTGGGATTCTATCTCTCCAAGCCAGCATCCTCTGATTACTCGCCATCCCGATAATCGTCTGAAGAATCTATATCTGGCAGTCGGAGGATCTTTCCATTGTTACAAGTTCCTCCCCATTATTGGAAACTACGTGGCCAACGTGTTACTGGGAGTTAGCAATGGTCAGGCAAAGGACACGGCCTGGGCGTGGAAAGATGCCCATGCAGACCGAGGAGTACATGAGAGTCTCGTGCCAACACAGGAATGGCGTGATTTTATATAGCGACAGTAGCCTGCACACTAGCTTTGAGGCAAAACATGATTTAGATTTCTGTATAGCGAATGTTCATTCAACGTCCATAGCCCATGAGGATCCCCTTGACACTGCATAAACCGCTTCTGCACCCGCTACATCCTATAGTTCTCCCACCGCACACCAAGCTCCCTTGAGTTTATCAATAAGCATAATACAACGTAGTCTCGTCGTTCGACTGCCGTATCTTGCGATTTGTGCGAATCAACCACAGCTTCATGACCCATGCACTGGTCGCACACGCCACGCTGAATGCCGCGCTCGCCGACATGGCGATGGTATATCGCGGCTCATCCGAGCTCGGCCACAGGTACTACAAGAGAATTAGCATGCAGGACCCTACGTGGCTTTTGGAGGTGTCTCACCGGGGTCCATATAAATGACACATTAGCAATCGTATTCACAATCGCTAATGCCGACGCCTTCTTCTCCTTGGTCTGGCCGCACGTACTCGACACCCACCCGAGGATAATACTATTCACCGCATAGGTGCCAATCGAGAAGACGACCATGGCAAAGTACCTGGCCCCAACATTCAGCGTCGCACACCCCAACACAAACCCCACAATAGCGATCGTCTTCGCCACCGTGATGTGCCATGTACGCTCGTTATACCTTCCCGAGCTCCACGACCAGAACACTGAGATAATGCCGGCAATCAGATACGGCGGACAAGTCAACACCAGCGTGATGGTAGTGTTGAAGCCGAGGGTCTCGACGGCCGTGGGGAAGAAGTTCTTGAACCCGTTGGCGGCGAGATGCATGTGCTGCATGAAGGCGAAGAGCCACAGGCGCGGATCGCGCGCGGCCTCCTTGAGCCCGCTGAGCGTGCTGGTCTCGTGGCGGGCGCCGACGGTGTCGGCGACGATGCGGGAGTGCGCGAGGGCGCGCTCTTCGGGAGTCAGCCAGCGGGTCTCGCGCGGGTCGTCGGGCAGGGTGAAGATGGAGAGCACGGCGACGACGAAGGTCACGGCGCCTTGCAGGATGAAGAGCCACTGCCAGCCGGCGATGCCGCCGAGGTCGTCCATGCCGTGGAAGATGCCGGCGGCGATGAGCCCGGCGAAGGCGGTGGCGAGGATGTTGCCGGTGTAGAGGACGGAGATGCGGGTGGCGATCTCTTTGCGGGTGTAGAAGATGGAGAGCATGTAGAGGGCGCCTGCGAGGTTAGATTGGGGTTGATATTTGCGTCGTGGAGGATGTACCTGGGTAATATGGGGCTTCTATGGAAGGGTAAGCATGTCTAGTCTGTGTTATAAGGGCTGTGGACACGTACCGGTCACACCGAGAAAGAACCTCGTAAGGAGTAGACCCTTGAAGTCTTTTGCTAGGGCAGTGAGAGAGCTGACTACAGCCCACAGGGCCATGAACCCGGCCATGTACCATGACGGTCTGACTCTTGTCAGGATCATGTCTGTGGAGTCAGCTAGTGATAGATCCATGTTAGACGGGGCTCTTACTGCTTGGGATCTGCCCGAGGAGATATCCGACAAACAGAATAGAAACACAGGTCTGATACTGGGACGAGGACAGATTGAGGTCCTCTTCCAGATCATTGAGACGAGCCAAGGCAATGGCATTCCGGTCTAGGTAGTTCAACCAGTACATAACCCAGAGGGTAGGCATAATCCAGAGATCTAGCTTCCGGACGAGACGAATCTCGACAGGGTCTGTCTTCTTGTGCGCGCCAGAGTAGTCCGTCTGCTTTGCAGTTTGCTTGACACCCTCAGAAGTGACCGTGTATTCTCGGTGTAGAGCCGTCGGGTTGTCCTCCGGGTCTATCCCGTGCTTGTCTGATTTTTCGGTTGCCATGCTGGAGCAGTCAGGACAAAGATCGTGTATTGTGTATTCTATAAAGACAAGACGAAAATGAGTAGCATCTTGATCAATCGACCCCGGGACACGGCCTTTTATACGCTTACACACCCTGTCATTCCAGCCCTTCCATCCATCAGTCTGATCCCACTGTCAGTTCATCAAATGCACCCCGCAAACCCCCACGCTATACAACGTGGAAACGTGCGGGGATTTGGGTCCGGGGAAGTATGAAATGCAGAGAGAAATATCATTGAGCGTCACGTAGTCCGGACAAGACAAGTCCAAGACCATCCAAGCCCAGCTCTACCCCAACGAACAGGGGTTTTATACCGCTCTCAGACCAACAGACACACAAACTACCGTTGTAGGTGCAACCTCTGCCCGCTCCAAGCCCTTCCAAGACGGCCAGCCCACGCCCAGAGCGGCAATTCACGAGGGAAGAAGTCAAGCGATGATGCGGACGCTGCTTGAGTGGACAGAAAATGAGCTCATTCGACTGCCACGAATAAGATGTAGGCTTTCCATATGACCGACTGCCACTCTCGAGCCGCTCCCCAAGCTTTGCACTGCCTCCCCCAGATATATGCCAAGCTCTTGCTGTCCGTGTATATCGAGAGCTCCCTTGCGGGGCGGAGCATCAAGACAAAGAACGCACTTGGCGGGTTCTCGGCGGGCGGACGGTGGCCGAAGCTGTTGGACCAGGAAATAGTGGTATTGGATACTGCTGGAGGCCAAGTCTAGATAGGGTTTATATCGATCTCGTAGGATCGGAAGTAATAGGCACAGCCCTTGGTCGGACATGCCATCCCCGGGACATTATCGTACGCTCGACCGGGCATCGATGTCCGGAGATTCACCAAGCGGTTGACGAAGAAGCTGAGCGATAGTTCAAGTCAGCTTGTTCATCTGGGCTTTGATTGCTCAGGTTGAGGATGGTAATGTGGAATGATGGGATTGGATGGACAGACGATGACCAAATCGCTTCATCGGTATCGGACAAAGCAGGATAGTTGATCAAGTCTGTCATCGGCTGGCGTCCCAAGAGCAAGTGGTCCTCCATGGGATGGCTAGTACTTGATTCTGAGGACTCCAAAGATGTACTATTGAAGAAAACCCTGGCATACTTGTAGGCCACCACGGTCTATATGAATGTCAGTTGACAGGCAGACACTTTACCCGACCCCACAAGCAGCAGCAGGCAACTCCATAATCCATGATTCGTGTTCGCGATGGCTGAAGCCGGATAGGGGAGAGTGCGCTCTACATGAGTAATCGACCTATTGCCGAGGTATCTCGATGTGCGACACCAGAAAAGAGAAACGAACAGAATGAATATTGTATGGAGCACTAAAACAATCTACAGGACACTACTACAGACCTATAAGGCTTCGACCGTTGTCAATATCCTTACGATCCACGTCCAACAGCTTGACCGGCTATCGGCAACGGTATCAAGCCGAGGATGCATCCCCCGCATGGGCACAACTGGCATAACCCGCTATGCACTCTGACAGCGTCGGTGGCTGGCCGACGATCAGACTGGCCTAACTGTGGATGGCAAATGAAACCGATTCATTAGCAAATGCGGAGAAGCTTCAACCGAGGGTCAATGGCGGCAAATACGGGTACTCCGTGTGGTATGGGCCTGATTGAGGTGCTGTCTGGTGTTGAGGATACATTGCCAGCCATAACACCCTGCTCCCTATCCCATCCACCCTCATCTACTGTTCCTGCTGCTACCTATCATGACCCTCCGTATGTCTCCCTCTCGGTTTAATACATCTTTCGTGTCAAGACAACCTGCTAACTCCCCACAGTAGCAGCGGCCGCCGGCGGGGTCACGCTGGCCAAGTATCTCGATGCGAAATTCCACATTTCCAAAGACGTCCGGTCCCTGTTGACGCTTCGCAAGGGTATGAAGGAGTATGAGCGCGCCGCGGCACAGGGCGTTGGCAACGTCTGGCTTGTCTTCCTGGAAGCCGTCGCCCAGTACCCGGACATGGTGTGCCTGTGGACGCGCGAGGGCGTCTACACCTACCGCGATGTCCTGGCGCAGGCGAACCGGTGGGCGCACTTTTTTCTCTCGAAAGGCGTGCAAAAGGGCGATCTGGTCGCCGTGTATCTGACCAACCGGGCTGAATTCATATTCGTCTGGCTCGGCCTGTGGAGCATCGGCTGCGCCCCGGCGGCCATCAACTACAACCTGGCCGGCGACGCCCTAGTGCACTGTCTGAAGGTCAGCGGGGCGAAGATTGTCCTCGTCGACGACGACGACGAGTGTCGCGTGCGCATGGAGGAGTCGCGCGGCGTCGTCGAGGACACGCTCGGCATGGAGCTGATCCCCATCGAGACCGACTTGAGCAGCTTCCCGACGACCATCGCCGACGACAACAAGCGTGCCTTCAACATGTCCGGCGAGTTCCCCGCCATCCTGCTGTATACCTCCGGCACGACTGGCATGCCCAAGGGCTGCGCGTTCACCATGTCACGGCTGTACACGACGCTGGGCCTGCGCGCCGGCTCCATGGACGAGCAGAGCGGCCCCGACGGCGACATCTGGTACAGCTGCATGCCGTTGTACCACGGTACATCGGCCATCGCCATGATCGCGGCCATCGTCAAGGGCGTCGGCATCGCCCTCGGGAAGAAGTTCAGCGTGCGCGGCTTCTGGCGGGACGTGCGCGACTCCAACGCCACTGTCTTCGTCTACGTCGGCGAAGCCGCGCGCTACCTCATGGCGGCGCCGCCCTCGCCGCAAGACCGCGACCATCGCGTGCGCTGCATGTATGGCAACGGCCTGCGCCCGGATATCTGGGAGCGGTTTCGCGAGCGCTTCGGCGTGCCCGAGGTGGGCGAGTTCTTCAACAGCACCGAGGGTATCTTCGGCCTGTTCAACTACAACAAGGGGCCGTTTACCGCGGGCAGTGTCGGCCACCATGGGCTCATCATGCGCATGATCATGCACAACACATTTGTGCCTGTCGCGATTGATCCCGAAACTGGTGACGTCCTTCGCGATCGGAAGACGGGATTTGTGGTGCGCAACCCGTACGAGGTTGGGGGTGAGATGCTCGTCAACATTCCGAACGAGGAGGCATTCCAGGGATACTGGCGCAACGCGGATGCTACTAACAAGAAGTATCTCAAAGACGTGTTTAAAAAGGGCGACCTGTGGTACCGGTCTGGCGATGCGCTCCGCCGACAGTCGGACGGCCGCTGGTACTTCCTCGACCGACTGGGCGATACGTTCCGGTGGAAGAGTGAGAATGTGTATGTTTCCGCTCTGTTTTTAACTTCCCTGATGCAGGTCTATAGCTAATATTGAGACAGTGCCACGGCAGAAGTCGCAGAAGTGCTGGGACAGTTCCCGGGCGTCCAGGAAGCCAACGTGTACGGCGTCCTAGTCCCTCATCACGAAGGCCGCGCCGGCTGCGCAGCGGTGCAGATCACCCCTGAGGCACGCAGCAGCTTTGATTTCAAGGCATTCGCCCAGTTTGCCCGCGCAAAGCTACCCAAGTATGCGGTCCCCGTCTTCCTGCGGATCGTGGAGGCCTCGACGCACATCCACAACCACAAGCAGAACAAGGTGCCGCTGCGCGAGGAGGGTGTCGATCCTGCAAAGATCGGAACGAAGGTGCCTGAGGGCAAGACGGACCAGTTCTACTGGTTGGCTCCGGATGATGATGCATACAAGGTGTTTACCCCGGCTGATTGGGAGGTGTTGCAGTCGGGGAAGGCCCGTCTATAGGTAGAGCATACATATACATAGCAATGACATGAAGCATTACGCGAAGAATCCATCCGGAAGGACGAAGACGAGGACAGCACCGCTGATATCAGCCTCTATGCAAGTACTGTGCATTCTAAATAACACCCTAGACTACAAGACAGCCACCCCCAGACTCGGGTCGATTGAATTCATCAATCACGCTCCGCGGCTCCCAGTACTCCCCCAGCTTCGTCCATTCCATATCCAATCCAAAGCCCTGGGGACCTCCGACCCGCAAGCCAGCCTCGGTCGTCCAAAGGGGATGGGCCGCCATGGCAATGACGTTCACCTTCAACCCGTACCTCAATTCCTGAGATCCGATAGCCTCGCCATCTTGACCGAGGATCGATATCAAATCCGGTACGGTGCAGATAACCTCTTGCTTTGACATGTCATCGGGAGAATTGGAGTCTGCGTACGCAGCGTACAAGAACTCGTTCTGGAATGGCACGATTAACGACCGGGTCTCGTTGGCAATCTCGGCGGGAACGTCGGTCTCTCTCTCGTCGGCACTTAGAGGCGCGAGGAGACAGTATCCCATCGTGTATCCGCGGCGGACATCGCGCCTCACGTCGACGATCTTGCCTGTGTAGAGCAGCTTGCCGGGGGAGGTGTCGAACTGGATTGTCAGTACATGCGCATGTTGCTGAAGTGCCATGGCAAGAGTTCGGAACTTACGATGGCTTTAATCATGTTGGTCTTTGAACGGCGAGCGTGATGCACTGCGCGGCCAATATACCACGATTGTGAGACGGTGTTTGGCACAACATATTTTTTGATCGACTCGCCCGTCAGGGGAGCGCTCGAAACACCAATCTTCAGTCCTAGATCGACACATTGGCTGCGCAGCATGGTTTCGACTCGACGATTGTTCTCTGCGTTCTACGAAATCAGTCAGTTTCGGACACCTGATAGAACCGGATGTATGCAGCTCACCAGCACCACCGAGACGTTCCCTTTCCCGTCAGCGCCCACACATGGACACAACGACAGTCCATAGACGAAAGGCGTGCCTGAGATGGTTAGATCACTATTCACCCTGAGCCTTTCGGGACTCACAGTGCTCCATTGTCGGATAGGCCCGGCCCATCAAATCGCCATCGATCACTGGGACGTCGTAGGCGACACCAGACGGGAACGCCGACAAGCCATTGCCTCCCCCAATCTCATCAATAATCATCGCATGGAACTCCTTCAGACCGGCGATACGCATGCAGTTATCAATTGCCTTGGTCAGCTCGGTTCCAGCAGGAATGCGCTCTCCAGACACGCTGGGTGCGCCGAACCAAGACCCGGAGGCGCAGATATCAGAATCCTTGAGCGTTTTCGCGGCGACCACGCGCATTCTGCTTGCATTACTGGGATCCTGCAGGATCTCAAGACAGGCTAGATACTGAAGACGCGAGGGGCCGCCGCCACCAGTTCCCAAGACTCCTGTCCCAGCTGCGATGAACTCCAGATCCACAGGCGAAAGATACCAGACGTTGTTGCGCACATCGGGCTTATAGGTATCAAAGTCTACGTGAATGGCGTGCTTGACTGGGGAATGAGGCGTCGGCCGCTGCTGCGGTGCTGAAGACGGTTCTTCTTCGACAGACTCGTCAGACACAGCTTGATCGCCAGCCTCTGGCACCGTGCGTTGAGGCCGAGGCGCCTGAGGATCTGGAGGTGCCAGTCTTCCAACCGCCTTAATCACCAGTCTCGTCGCCTTGTTGGTCGCATAGGCAAGTGGGATCTTGTCGATCTCGACGATTTTCACGTCGTCCCGATCCGCGCCGCGAGAGACCGCAACTTCGACGGCCTTCTCTTTCGCTGCCTGTAGCACGGCTTTCTCGTCCTTGTCAGCGAGGAGCTCGATCATGTCCACCTCGCCGGCAACCTTTGCGATGGCAGCTCCCACGGCGTTTGCTGAGTCGTGATGTGGTGGGATAATGCATTCCGCAACGCCTTCCAGCGAGTCCATGTGCACGACCGATCCACCACCGACGAGAAGAAGAGTAACCGGCTGCTCAGAAATCTTCATCCCATCGATGGCCCGCTCGAGGAGCTTCTTGATCTGTACGCGGGCTTTGCTCACAACATCGGCGGAGATGTCCTGCACCTTGTCTCTATCGCCAATGTCCGCCTTGCCCGCGGCGACAACGATATCAGTGGTAGTCATGACATCGCCGCCAAATACCTTGGCCTTGCTCGTCAGGTAGTGACCAACAGACTCGGGGCCGACCGCGACATTGCCGGTTTCACTGTCAACCAGCACCCTGCTTCCACCCCCGAGTCCGATCGAGAGGACCTCGGGCATGGAAAACGCCGTTCGCACACCACCCACCTCGACGAAGTTGGGTGCCTGTCGGGGAAATCCAGAGGGTAAAAGCGCACACACATCGCTGGTGGTGCCTCCTACATCGACGACGAGCACCTGGGTGTCGACGCGCGCAGCATCGCGGCCCTTGTCCAGGGACGCCAGGAAAGCCGCACCCGTCATGCTGTTCGTGGGGCCGCTGGCAAACGTCTTGATGGGCAGTTCTGCGGCCGTCGCTGCGTCGGTGAGCGTGCCGTCGTTCTGCGTCAGATACAACGGGCAGTCGAGCTGGAGCTTTTCCATGGCCCGGCAGAACGCCCGGACGGTCTTGCGAGCGAGGGTGAGAATGGATGCATTAAGGATGGTCGCATTCTCGCGTTCGAGCAGGCCGACACCTCCGATGGCATGGGAGCACACGATCGAGAGGGATGGGTCGAGCTCCAGCATCATTTGCTTGCATTTCTCTTCGTGGATGCCGTTGTGGTCCAAGGGAGAGAATACGCCGACCAGAGCCACCATCTTGACGCCAGCGTCCTGGATTCTCTTGACCGTCTCTTCGATCTGGGCCGGATTGAGCGGCGTGATTTCGCGCCCGTCGATTTCGAGGCCTATCCACGTCAGGGTCAGCATCTGTCTCCTGCTCTGAGACCGCCGCCCATCACATACCCCCATCCAGATAGAACGTCGGCCCGCCCATAATATCGTTCAAGTCCGACGGAAACTCCGCAAACGGTGGAACCTGCTTGGTAAAAGGGCCGCAGAGCCGGACGACCGCGACTCTACTCAACCGCCTCGAGTCCGCCTGCACGACGGCGTTGACGAAATGCGTGGTTCCAATGGCCACGCTGACCACGTTCTTGCGCGCAACCCGCGACTCCGCCAGGGCATTCTCAATCGCGGTATAGATTCCGCTCGTCACATCCGGGGTGGTGGGCGTTTTAGCGGAAGCGCAGATGCCGCGAGAGGGAGAATCCGTCGCGGCGATGTTGATGATGGCGGCGTCCGTGTTGGTGCCGCCCACGTCGACGCCGATGCGATAGGCCTCCATGTCGTAAGCAATGACACTAACGATGACGAGCTTCTGTCGTGTCTTGGGGGGGATAGCGTCCCGGCAATGCGGAGTTATATAGGCGTCTGCGTCGCCGGATTACGCGGTAAGTACCGTCGAGCCCTAGAATTGCCATAGATGGCCTAGTCGGCTCAGGAGTAGTTGGAGGCGCCATCGACGAGGGAACACCGACTCATACAGTCACTATTCCATGCCTTCTCGGTGTGGGGAATGGCTTATCGTCGACGAGAGGGGGAAGTGATACTAGACCGCGACTAAGATGCTAGCAGTTAGAGCGAAGGATGAGGAGAAGCTCTCTAGCAGCCAATCGGTGCCAGACGATTACATTGACACACGGCAGTCTGTTTCTTTGCCGACGGAAGCTCTTTGTTTTGCCCTTTCTGGCAGTATGTCTGATGGTCTTTTGATAACCGACTCTAGTTGGAGGAGGGGCGAGCCGACGGATATGAGAGTGGCTATTTCCACGAGGAGCTGGCAGGCAATGGACAGACAGAAGAGATGCAGCCGATAGCGGAGCTATTGTTGCAAGATGCAGAGTGAAAGGGTATCCTTGCTTTATCAATAATCTGCATGTTTCGTCGCCACGTACGAATGGAATGCTGACAGCCACCATCCACACTGGCTGGCTGATGCAACCGTCCCGCGCCTTGGTTCTAAGGGATTGGACGCCCCCTTGTCATACAGTCATACGTTATATCCTTCCGCGGTCGATGGCAGCAGTCCCAAGCCATTAGTTGGTCGATCCATCGGCGCACCCTCGCAGGCCGCTAGTCGCCAGAGACGGTCACCCTCCATGCCGGAAGTTCACACAACATGATAAGATCCAGCTTTATCTAGTCGGTGACCCTCGTCCTAGTGTCAGCTATGGTGGTAGTCCCAGCTCACTTTCACGCACTCTTCCAAAACATCCGGCAATCGAAGAGCGATGCAGTTCATCCACCGGTTTCGCGTCGCCAGCGAGTACGGCCAGACTGCCAATCGATGGATCAACTACGATATCCAGCCTGTCGAGGTTGGCCGGCGCACCTGGAATTTCTGGACTTATCATAATTATTGTGCGTGCATTCTCTAGACGGAGCGACGGTGACTGACTAGCCAGGGGTTCTTGTCAATGCGAACATCTCCAACTATATGACCGGCAGCTCCTTGATCGCGTTGGGATTGACATGGCGACAGGCGCTGGCTGCGATTATCGTGGGCAATGTGATATCGACAGCCCTGGTGATTCTGAATTCATTACCAGGGGCATATTACCACCGTAAGCGCATATCGCTGTCCTCTTACAGAGAGCTAACAATGACAGTTGGATTCCCGCTGGCGAACCGATACGTATGGGGGCTCTGGGGGAGCTATTTCGTGCTGCTGAATCGCATTCTTCTCTCTCTTGGTGAGTAGCGTTGATTCTTGTGAAGACATTCAGCTAACAGCAGAACCAGTGTGGTGTAATTTCCCATTGCCCGAACGCTGCCCCATTCTTCACGAACCATCTGACACGAGCGATAGATGCGGTGCAATCCTGGATAGGAGGTGAATGCGTCTATGTATGTCTGCGAGCCATCTGGCCGTCTCTGGAGCAGCGCATTCCCAACCACATGCCCGAGTCGACCGGTATGACCACGGCGCAGTTTGTCTCGTACATCATCTTCATGATCCTGTCGCTCCCGGTCATCTATATCCGACCCCACAAGCTCAAACAGTTCTTCAACGTGTCGTCTCTGATCGTGATCACCTTCCTGCTGGTGATACTCATCTGGGCGCTCGCCACAATGGGCGAGAGCGGCTTTGGAAGCACCATTACCGATCCTGGGACCAGCGGTTCTGGATGGAATGTCGCATTCGGTATTGTCAGCACGATTGGCGGCATCGCAGCCGGAATCCTCAATCAGAACGATTACGCCCGCTTTGCACGTCGTCCTCGCGATGCGATACTCGGCCAGGTGGTCGGGTTTCCCATATACGCCATTCTGTGCGCCGTCATCGGGATTATCGTCACGGCCGCCACCCAGAATCGGTACGGCGAGGCGCTGTGGAGTCTGCCAAACCTGCTAGAGGCGATTATGGACCATGGAGGGTCGCGGTCTCGGGCTGCTGCGTTCTTTGGAGGTGCCGCTGTGTGTATCTCGCAGTTGGGAGTGAATATTCCTGGGAATGCGTTGTCTGGAGGTCAGTCCCCAGGATTCAGGAGTGTATGTTTTGTGACTGACATGGCATAGGATTTGATACGGCCGCCATCTTTCCTCAAGTCATCAACGTCCGCCGCGGTGCCTATCTCACGGCGCTGATTTCGATGGCCTGCAACCCGTGGAAGCTGGCCAACACCGCAACGACGTTTCTTTCGGTGCTCAGCAGCTACTCGGTGTTCCTAGGGCCCATGATCGGATGCATGATTGCGTCGTACCTTGTGGTTATGCGGCGCAAGATCAAAGTACACGATCTGTTCCCTGAACACGATTCTGCAAGCATTTATTGGTATACAATGGGGATAAACTGGCGGGCTCCTGTCGCTGTAAGTCATTCTCCTGACTATCTGCCAGACACGTCATGAGCAGAGGCAATCATTCCGATCCATGCAGAATTCACTGACACGTCTAGTGGCTCTGTGGGACTGTCCCCTCTCTCCCAGGCTTTGTCGCCCATGTCAACCCCAGCATCAAGGTGCCCATCGGCCTGACCCACCTGTTCTATATCTGCTTTCTGTCTGGAATTACTATCAGCGCAACGGTGTTCATCGCGCTACACTACTTCTTCCCCGCCAGCAGCATGCGCGAGTTTGTGCAATCGGCGCCGCCGCCTGCAGTGCTGATGACCGAGTATCGCGAACAATGGGATACACAGGGAGGCGTGGAGCATCTGGAGGAACATCCCAAGCCATAGAAGGGCCCGAGCCATAGAATGGAGTGTATTTCGGTTCGCGTTCTCCCTCATCATTATATCCAGTCAAGCAATCGCAATCCCAACATTGCCCTGATACTTCTCCGCCAGAGTATATTCATAAGACTCGGTCGCCTCCTACGGTAGGTGGCGCTCTCTGCACCTAGCGGGTATTCACAGCACTAGCTATCCCTTGTCAAGGTACTCCATTGGTTCCACGTAATCGAGTACCATTCCTCGTCCGTCCTGTCCTGGGGACTACTTCCCTATACCGATTATTGACACGAGGTTCATCTATCCGTACGCCCTCGCCATTCATGAACCCGCGTAATCCAGTCCCTCACAAGAGCTTCAAAAACACCAGTCTCATCGACAGGCAGGCCATGTGTCCCGCGATCGAGAACAACATAGGTTGATCGTGGATAGAGTTCTAGCAAGCGAAGGCTGTCTCGATAGCCCACGGTTTCGTCTTGTCGACCACATACAATGAGTGTAGGTGCATAGAACTTGCCACGTTCATCGTCCACAGAAAAGGACAGCTGATATCGATTTTGATCCGCTCGGATCGCATCCAACGCTGTGTTGTCGGCTGTTTTCATCGCTGGAAGAATGGCCTTCTCGTATTTCGCTTTGAGAGCTTGGACGTAAGCCGGCGTTTGGACGAGAATGTTTCCCAGAGCGTTTCGGTCTTCTGTTGACATGGCCGACATGAATTGCTCGTCTGCAAACACTGGTTTGAAAGGATCCAGATCGCGCTTGCTGTCGTTTGGCTCGATCAGGGGTACGCGTAATAGTAAGCCGTCGACCTGGTTGATATATTTTTGAGCTACCGCGCGGGCAAGATAACCGCCGCATGAGGTGCCGACAAGTAGGAATCTTGACTTGCCCAACCGAGAATCAACGAATTGTACCAGGCGAGCGAAGATATCGTCCAGATTCTGGATGTTGTTGGCAGGTGTTGTTCCCATGCCTGGGAGGTCCACGTAAATTCGATGAAGTCCCGGTGTTTTGCTGAAGATCGGCTCAAAGTCCAGCTGTTCGACTCTGGCATTCATCTCCCATCCATGGATGATCAGAACAGGAAGTCCTTCGCCGATTTCATGGGCTGATAGAAGGGGATCCATTTTGCTACTAGTGTTTGTGAATAAGAGGAGCAGGGTCAGAACAGTGATTGCAGAGACTGCGCTATCTTATGGCTACGGAGTACTGCTTAGGATATGACTCAGTAAACAGCAAGCAGCAAGAGTAAGCACTAGACAGAAATAGAAGACGTTCGACACAGCTAGAAGTAACGCTATACTACTCTGTATAATGATGCAGTGCACTATGCCGACAATTCTTCACGGCAATTATCACGGACAACAAGCCAAGACGCGCAAGCAGGCAGCCAAATAGCAGTAGTCTCCCGCTGCTCTTGACTCGATTTGTCAATTAATTTCCGTGCTTCAAACCATCTCCGCCACATGTTTTAGTCCCTTCGTCGACAAGTTGATCCGTCTGGAGTGGGTTCCGGTGGAGCTTCAACCCAGACTGAGCACGGAGTAGTTCATACTAGCGCTCAACGGTGCGAAACATCGTTGCTTCATAGGTTAACCCCGTATAAGACATGGCGGGGACCCTGCTTCATTCTCTCGAGCATTCCGTATCCCCCTTCCTTCGCGACATGCTCGCTCAACTCCCTTCAATGCGCCTGTCCATACTCACGACGGGCCTACTGGCCCTGTCCACCGTGGACGCTTCCAGCAGCTGCCGGTGCTTCCCCGGCGACGCCTGCTGGCCGTCGCGAGCGGTTTGGTCGCGCTTCAACGAGACGGTGGACGGCCGGCTGATCGCCACGGTGCCCCTGGGCACCCCTTGCCATACCCCCAACTACGATGCCGCCGTGTGCGAAACCCTCCGCGAGGGCTGGACGCAGCCGGAAGAGCAGTACGTACACCGAAAGCCACAACGGACGATGCAGCTAACAGATGCAGTTATGAATCCTCTTCGTCGATCATGGCGCCGTGGTTCACCAACGGCACCTGCGACCCCTTCCACCCCGTGTCCAAGCCCTGCACTCTCGGCAACTACGTTCGCTACTCCGTCAACGTCAGCAAGCCCGAGCACATTTCGAAAACGCTGCAGTTCGCGACCAAGCACAACATCCGCATCATCGTCCGCAACACCGGCCACGACTACAACGGCAAGTCGACCGGCGCCGGCGCGCTGGCCATCTGGACGCACCATCTGAAGGACATCGAGATCAAGGACTACAAGGACCAGCACTACCAGGGCAAGGCGATCAAGGTGGGCGCCGGTGTGCAGGGCTTCGAGGCCTACGAGGCGGCAGACGCGCAGGGGCTGGAAGTCGTCGGCGGCGAGTGTCCCACGGTTGGCATCGCGGGCGGATACAGCCAGGGCGGCGGGCACTCGGCGCTGGCGTCGCGTCACGGTCTCGCCGCCGACCAGGTGCTGGCGTGGGAGGTGGTCGACGGGTCGGGCCAGTTCATCACGGCGACGCGCGACAACGAATACAAGGACCTCTACTGGGCGCTCAGCGGCGGCGGCGGCGGCACCTACGCGGTCGTCTGGTCGATGACCTCCAAGGCGCACCCGGGCACGCCGGTCTCCGGGCTCAACCTGACCTTCACCAACGCCAACATCTCCCAGGACACGTTCTACAAGGCCGTGACGCTGTACCACGAGACGCTGCCGGCGATCGTCGACGCGGGCGCCATGAGCATCTGGTACTTTACCAACACCAGCTTCAGCATCTCGCCGCTGACGGGCCCCAACATCCCCGTGGCCCAGCTCAAGGCCCTCGTCAAGCCCTTCACGGACGGCCTGACCCAGCTCGGCATCAAGCACACGCTCTACGCAGCGCAATTCCCCACCTACCTGTCCCAGTTCAACGGCATGCAGGCGGCCATCGAAGTCGGCATCGCGCAGTATGGCGGCTGGCTGGTGCCGCGGTCGGTGGTCCGCGATAACAACGAGGCCCTCACGGCAGCGTACCGCAGCATCACGGAGGACGGAGCCACATTTATTGGTGTGGGTCTGAACGTGTCCAGAGCGCTGGTGGGGGACGTCGACAATGCGGTGCTGCCCGCGTGGCGCGACGCCCTGATTGACACCACCATCACCACCGTGTGGGAGTGGGACCAGCCGGAAAAGATGCTCGCCATGCAGAAGAAGATGACCGACCAATACATCCCAGCACTGTCCAGGCTGTCCCCGGATTCCGGGGCGTACATGAACGAGGGCGACTTCCGCCAGCCCGACTTCCAGAAGGTCTTCTACGGCGAGAACTACGCCCGGCTGCGGCAGATCAAGGCCAAATACGACCCGAACGAACTGTTCTATGGCATCACGGCGGTGGGGTCTGACGAGTGGACCGTGCAATCGGATGGGCGTCTTTGCCGGGTGTAACAATGATGGGATGGCGATAGGGTCATAGGTAGCATCGTTATACTGGTTCAGCGTGTTTTTCCGGAGAACCCCCGGGATTGTACAGATATGGTAGACCAGTTAAACGGATAGGATCTTCGAATACCACCGTGTTTGCTATGAATCAGCGGAAATTATACCTGGATTCCGTCCGTCTCAACACAGCCATGGTTGCCTCCCGAGATAAACTTCAGCAGTCCCAGCACTAGCGAGAGACCATGTGGGGTACTAGAGCACATCAATTCCTCTTCTGTGATGGCGACGTGCGCATTAATCTAGTAGGGCCCCGCCAGCTGAATGGCAGGACTTGTACTTGCCTGTGCGGTGCTGCCGGATGAGGGAAAAACCCGAGACATTACGGAGTATAACCAGGCTCAGAGGGCAACGGGCATTCATAACCTTGTGTGGTCTGATTAAATTTTCTGCTCTGCTGGCGATCGCATTAATTGCTGTGTCCCATGGGCCCATCCTGTCTCAGTGGTCTCTGGTCCGCATGGGTGAATATCGGGGGATAGTATCAGTCCGGAGGGCCTGGCTGGTACGGAGGACACTGTCCATACTGCTGTTTACTCCGTATGTCCGTGAGCATCCATTATCGACTGGATTCGTCTGACAGAACAATTACGGACCCTCCGCAGTGAGGATCCTGATCGACGAGTTTGCCACGCGCAACATGCAGCATCCAGAGTGCCGGATATCCAAATGCGGCCTGAACACCACATGGCCGAACGAAGCCGCATGAACTACCGATATCAGGCATCGCTAGGCTATCCTCATACAGTAAAGAAGCCCTTCCGCTGCATAATTCTCGCTGAGACTGAGTTTGTGCATATCTTGTACTGGACACGGAGATCCGTGGATTTTTAAACCTAGTAGGCAGTCGATGACATCTACGGAGTACTCCGTACTCCTTCTACGGTATCTATCCGTATTGGGTACACTGTATCACCGGCGAACCGGCGAACCCCTGATGGCTCGCCTAGATATCGAGAACAAATTCCGACCCAATTAAACACCCAATCTAACCCAGACACCGGGCCCTGCAAGCGCAAGTGGAGCCGAACTATACGACCAGGACCCATTTGATCGAACTTTTGGACCCATGCACTGCGCTCCATTATTGAACCCTCCAGCGCAGACTCTCGCTAGTGTGCGCACGAGCAAGGATGCAGTGGAGATCGTTTCTGTACCAGAGACCACGTTCCCATCGCAGACGTAAAGTCTAATCGCATCTGAACGCGGCCAAGGGCCAGACTTTAATAGTTTTCGCTGCTCCCAGGCGGCATCGCGATCACTTCTCCTGGGGCATATGTGTATGCGCGAAAGGATGACCGCCGCATCGTCACCATGGGCTGGGTGTACAATCTCGTAACCCCCGATCCCAACAGCCATGTCGCCCGCGTCATCGGCGTGTGCCTGGCCTTTTCGCTCAGTGCGTTGGTGGCTGTCACACTGCGGATGTATATCCGAGTGTTTGTGAAGAGGTCGGTATGGGTGGACGACTATGCGTGTTGTTTCAGCGCGGTGCTGAGCGTGGCATATGCGAGTATCATTGTGGCTCGTGAGTTGTCTCTCGTCGTTTCGTTTGACCGAAGCTGATTATTTGGTAGAAACACGATGGGGTCTCGGGCTTGACTCTCATTACTTCCCAAAGGAGAATGTCGTTCCTTACAGTAAGGTAAGTTGGGTGATGCATGTCTGTCTGCAGTCGGTTTACTCACTCCCTTTAGATTCAGTACGCTGGAGGCCCGATGTATACGCTCGCCCTGCTCGGATTCAAGGTCTCGCTGCTGTCGTCGTACCTTCGTGTCGCCGGGTTTGTGAGAGTGTATAGAATCATCAGCATTGCAGTTATTATCGCCTGCGTCTGCAATCAACTTCTCTTTACTTTCCTACTCTGTTTCGCATGTCGACCGGTACAGACACCACCATTCTCTCTTCTAGCCCAACTACTAACCTGCATAGATCGCTAAACAATGGGATGCAACTATCCCCGGTACTTGCATCAACACTGTCGCTTCATATTACGGTATGCCATCCTCTGGACATCTATAGAGCCATGCTAACTCCCCCAGGCCTTGCAGGTACGCACGTCGACCCTCTAACAGTATACACCGTCTAACTCCCCCAGGCACGAGTCTCGGCTTCGACGTAATCATCATCGCCCTCCCCATGCCCGTCCTCTGGCAACTCCAACTCCGCCTCCGACAGAAGGTATACACCTCCGCCACACCTCCCGACCCATGCTAATGGCAACAGATCGCCCTAGTCGGCCTGTTCGCGCTCGGCTTCTTCATAACCATCATCCAAATCTTCCGCATCTTCACCATCAAGAACCTCAAAACCTACACCGACAGCGAGCCCATCCTGCTCTGGTCCACCATCGAAATCAGCCTGGGTGTTCGTCCATCGCCCGTTCCTCACCTGCTCGATCCCCAGCTCACATAGACTAGGTGATAATCGCGTGCATCCCGACATACGGCCCGCTGTTCAAATCGTTCGCGTCGAATATCAACTCCTACCGCAAGCGCCAGACAGATCAAAGCTACCGTCTTACATCGGCACGACAGCAGTCACACACGCAGGCGTCGAGCCAGCGCCGGAAACTGGGCAGCCACGACGATCTTGATACGTTTATTTGTGAGGAGGACGGGGATGAGAGTTCTGTTCCCGCCAGGCCGTTCGATAATAGCACGCCGCATAAGACCACGATTATGTCGACGCAGCAGGGTCTCGGGGATAATTCGTCCGAGGAACATATCCTTGGCCACCGGAGTGAGGGGAGTCTTGCGGGTAATGAACGAGGACTGCATATTCAGAAGGTTACGGAGGTCAAGGTCGAACGGCATGATGTGTGAGAGCACTTGCATGGAGTTGACTTGAGACTGGAGCAGTTTTGCCTTAAACATAGAGCGTCACTGAAGTATGCCTTTCTTCTTGTATATAATATAGATTTCTTTGCGCTAATCGATGCCTCTACATGCACTGTTACATGTCTCCTTCTGACAGAATGGTGATGTTGCAGGAGCTTCCTACGCCTAACAATGGCATGTTCTATTGTTGCGAACAGTTCCTAACATATCATTCTAATAGATGTATGCTGTTTCGACCATGATCGAGTCGAGACACCCACGAAAAATCACAGCTACATAGATTCGAACGTCTATGTCCAGTCAAAAGTACAGCCAACTTGGGCGGTAAACGATTGGTGAAGCGGCACTCAAATGCACCCTGCACTGATAGATGCAGCCACCTCGCCCAACAAATACAGAGCAACAGCCACGCCACAGCCTCATGACTTGATCTCAGGCGGAGTGCATAGGATACAAAAGGAGGGACATCCGCTCCCACCCGCTGATGACCTCCCATCCCCCCTGAATCTTACGGAGTGACCTCTGGCACAGAAACCTTCATTGCTACTAAATATTCGATTCCGTCGATAATACCACGTAGCCTGGAAGACTTTGTGAAGCTTTCTACAAAGTATCTCCCCCTCATTGTCACCTATCCTGCTTCGCTGATGTCTCCAACGTCTCAGACCTAGGTTCCAGAATCGCTACTCTACGACCCAACGTCAAGCATCAAAGACGCTCATCGCCACAATGACCGAAACTTTTGCAGAGGCCCAGGAGTTCCAGCGTATTGCCGAGCGGCTCTATCCAACATTGTCTGCCGACGAGGCCTATCTCGCACTTCAGCGCCGCGTCCTGGAACATATGCTAGATGGCAGTCTTGAGGTCGCTAAAATAGGGGCTCTTTTCCGGGGCAACGCTGGAGCGGCGGCCGCTATTGAATTGGGCCAATATGGCAAGGAGGAAATCAAGAGCCTTGTGGGTTCTATCAAGGCTTCCTCGGCCGCCTCTCAGCCTCGAGTCGACAATCTCACTGTAGAGGCCGGTTCTATCCCAGCTCAGCGGACCACACGAATAGTCGAGGACTTGGCATCGCCTCTGCCTGGTCCTTCACAGTCGGTGGCCCAGGGCGCCGAAACAGCGGCTACAGGAGCTGGCCTTCGGGGTGACCATGCGCAGGGTGTCCCAGCGGGCTTGTCAGACAATGCTTCGCCGGGAGGCGATGCTAGCGCTGTCCCTGGAAGGTCGCTTCTCGAAAGCATTGACTATCTGGCATGCTGGAACACGGTACTGAGATCAATTCAAGTTGCCCAGGGATACCAGGCAATCAAAGCACTCAATGTGATCGCCGAACATCTCGGCGATAGCAACTGCATTGCTGTATCGGGTGCCGGTGGTCCTGACGGTTTCGCGCGGCCTGTCTATGACTTCATCAACAAGAAGATCAATGAGATAGACCCGGAAGAGCGGAAGAATCACCGTTTCTTCGTCTACCACGATTCCACGAACTGGCATCCAGCGTTCGACCGACTGACGCGGGAGAACCCTCTGCCGCCAGAATTCGTCAACATCCCCAGCGACAACCTCGACCATATGTGTCTGTTCATGCGCGAAGTCAGACAGCAGCTGGTGGCTAGGGATCCGCAGCGTGGCGAGGCTATGGTTTTTCACCTGCTCATTCCATCGTGGGCCAAGCTCTGTGTCAAGGAGCCGCTGCACTTTCCAGAAGACCTCTACCCTCTGCACATCGAGGGTGTGACGCACGGTGGCAAGGCACAGGTCGAGTTCAACCTCCCCGCAGCGCCTCGTGGGCTCTTACACGGCATTGCAAATGTCCTCGATCCAAACGGCTGGAATTCGATAGCAGCAGGCACTAGTTTAGCTGTCACGATACCAACGGTTTGCTGGGGAGTAAATGGTGCCTGTCTGGCTGCGGGTATCGGTGTGGCTTCTTTGACAGGGTTCGGCGCGCTCGTTGCCATTCCCATATGGGCTGGATCTGGGGTGTGGGCGATGGATAAGACAACTCCAGCTATTGGGAACGCGATCCATGAATCCTTACGTGAAGAAGCACCGAGGGTGCTAGGCTCTAACCAGCGATTGGAACAGAAGAAGATGTTTCGATAGAGGAGATCATCCAGGAAACATGGCTCATGAACGGATGTCCCAAGCCTGTCGTTTATGATCTCTGAAATGTGATATTTAGCGTATATGTGTTGTTGATGACTTGAGACATGTCCTCCATCGCTAGCAATTTTTTCCAGTTTGGCGCGGCGATGCGAGAACTCACGGGCTTTAATGGATTAGCTGGTGATCGGGTGGTATATACTGCGATGCTTGAGCGGGAAATGGTAGGGAATATGTTTTGCATAGTATTTCGTCTGCCAATACACGGTTATCTTTTCAGTACATTGGGCTATGGCGTATCTCAGATATTATCGTGCTTTCTCCCAGCAATCTGGTTAGCATTAGGTTCCATCGATATGGTATGTTCTCCATTCTATTTTTTCAGGCAAGTAGAGAGGCGCTGATGGGGATATCCAGGTCTGTTTCCTGTGATATAATGGGAAGTGATCAATCAAAGCCCTTGGCATGAGTCTACAGTCATTACTGAAATCGAATAGACAAATAGACGCAAGTTGTATTATCCTGCTCAGCAGGTCCCTAAGCCATGGATACACCCCTCGATATCACACCTCCAGTGTACAGTCCATCCCAGCAAGATCCCAAGCCAGCTTGTTCTCAACCCAGGTCAGTCCACAGTCCAGAGCACGGCGATACGAGGTCGGGGTTCCAATGGTACAACAAATCAAGAACAAAGAAAAGACATATCGAAGCATTCAGCCTCTCAAGACTGGTCCATTGAAGCGTCCAGCATTAGCCAGTCAAGACCGTCTCATTGAAGCATTCAGCAGAGTCAAGTCGTGCGACGCTTAGAAAGGGTGCTTAGCACAGTTGCCGCGCCAGCACTTGAAAGGAGAAGGGCAGTCAGCATTGCTGGCGCACTTTCCGCTTCTGCATTGGCCGTTGTGGCACCAGTCCCAGCGAGGGAAACAGTCAGGGTTGGATCTGCAGATTTCCGGGGTAGGTTCGAAGGCAGCTGTGGTGACGATGTCTGTTAGAACCGTCGATGACGATAATGCCCATGCTCGTGGTAATGCTCATGATGGTGATGCTTACCATTATCAGAAGCCTGATCAGCCGCGATGCAGGAGGTAGCGACTGCCATGAGCAGGACGAGACTCGAAATGAGGTTCATGTTGTTGGTGGAAGTAGGTTGGTTGGTTTTGGTAGGGGTTGGAAGTTGAGGTTGAAGGTTGAGAGCTGAGGATGGATTGGTAGGAAGAGAGATGGTGGTGAGGAAGAAAGAAAGAAAGAAAGCGCTCGAGACAAACAAACGCTGGTTTATATAGACAGCGGTGGCGAATATCTTCACGGTTGTCGTGAATCTATACGGGAGATTGCGTGTATATTGCGGGAATTGCCCCGTGTATTCTGGCTGATGGGAAGTGCCATCTTTGCAAGAAGTGAAGAGGTATCATATACCGCCACCATTACACTCTGTATGCATTCACCATCAACTCATGCTCGGTTCATCTAGTAACAGAAAGTAGCTTGAATGTACAAGATCAATGGCTGGTGCTTAGCCCTCCCACACATAACCAGAGGGCAGCAATTCACGAATCCCAACTGCCGTCGGCTGTCCATCACTGTCCTTCACTACGGCTTTGATCCCAGGATGCAGATCGAGAAGCACCTGTCGACACCGTCCGCAGGGGCTCAAGATGCCCCTGTTCTCATTTCCGATCGCGACGATACAAGTCAGGTTGCCAGCTGCCGCAGCAGCAGCAGTGCCCAGCACCACGAGTTCTGCACAAGGTCCCCCAGTAAAATGATATACATTGACGCCAGTGAAGATGCGGCCGTCGCTAGAGAGAGCTGCGCTGGCCACGCTGTAGTCTTCAGAGATGGGGATGCTGTTGATTGTAGCCGTTGCTCTTTCAATGAGGGTGGATTCTTCTTGAGACAAAGGCATATTGACAATGAGATGGCTGATGGTGGGCAATTGTGAATGAGAGGACAAAGAGTGAAGTGGATGATTGTAGTGGGAAAAGTCGAGTTACAAATACTCTCATTGAATGAAGCCACTGTTACTACTGTTAGTGGTCCGTCCCCGACATCCCGATTGGGAATAACCTCGCGCTACTTCGCATACATACATTCATTCATTCTCTTCCATTGTAATCAACAATGAATATAAGGTCTTGTACTCTATGGCCTAAACAAAGAACAAACATATGTACTGCACGTGGCGTGCGTGTAACTACGAAGGCATCTACAGTGTCTATGTATGGAACTGGTGCGATACTCTGAACTCATCATTAACATTGCTAAATGAGAGAGATATGAATGAGTCACGAATACTACCTGTAAGGCTAATCCATAAGCGCATCCTGCATAACTAGCTGGTCTGACAATGTAACCCTGCTCGTTGACCACATACAGCAGGCCACATCATCTACTCCTTGCTTATCCGTGCCTCTTCATCTCCTTCCTCGACTTGCGAGTGCTGCTTTTCGACCACCCCGAACAAGACGTCCATGTCTTCAAGAGAGACGCCTTTAGTTTCTGGTATCGACAGGGCGAAGAGACAGCCAGCGATGTTGAATGTGCCATACATCTGTCCATTAGCATAAGGCGCTTGACATTCTAGACTGCACTCACCATCCACGTTTTCCATCCAATATTCAGAACAGCGATGGGGGTGATTTCTACTTCGTTAGTGGGGATTACACCCATTCGGATTGGACATACTCGAGACAACAAAGTTCATCAGCCAAATCACCATCGTGGAGATGGCCATTCCATAGTCACGGATGCGGATGGGGAAGATCCTATCCTTTTAGTCTCAAATATTAATTGGCGGGAGGGTGGACTGCACGTACTCTGCAATGTAGATCCAACTCAATGGTCCCCAGGAGAAGCTGTACGCTGCCACGTAGAGATAGATGCATGCCATCTGCAGTTATTAGAACCCACTCTCCTGCAGGATAGGTACTAGTATCTCACCATTCCTTGAGCAGGAGGACTTCCAGCTGTCCCGGGAGCAGGAGGATGCACCTTCAAAACCGCTCCGAGTGCGTACAGCAGCACACCCATCAGTAGACCGCCAAGGGTCAATAAATGCGTCCGCTTCAGCAGCTGAACCCCAGCAACGAGGAACAGCACAGTGCACACAAACTTGATGATTGTGAAGACCCCAGACGCCAGCAATGCCGCATTCTGACTGGTATAGCCGATCTGTCGAAACACCGCCGGCCCGTAGTATAGAATGCCATTATGACCCGTCCAGATACTAAACAGCGCAACGCCAACTCCACACACCAGACGGCGCAGATTACCTTTCTGCAGTAACTCTGCTATCTCTCGTCCTTCGGTTGCTGCACGCTCGCGGACCAGCTGGGCCTTGATGTCAGCCAGCTCAGCGACAATGTCCTCATCCTGAGGGTGTGCACCGCGCAAGTAGCACAACGACCGCTCTGCTTCCTCCCATCGGTCCTTCTTCGCGAGCCAGCGAGGCGACTCCACAATTACGAACGACCCAACGAGTATCAGACAAGCCACAATAATTTGAAGCGACAGAGGTACCCGCCACTGCCGACTGGTTTCGGCCAGGTGCTCTGACACCCCGTAGGTCGTCCAGTAGGCCAGCACGCCGCCAGTAACGAGAAACATCTCGAAGAACCCCATCAGCAGGCCGCGGTACTGCTTGGGCGAGCACTCCGCCACGTAGTTCGGCACGGTAGTCGACACCATGCCCACCCCGAACCCGGCAATCACCCGGCCCCCGTACATCCACGACATGCTCGGAGGCTGCGCTGCCGTCTGGATCGTGCCGCCGACGATGAGAAAGAATGCACTGATGGCAAGCAGATGGCGACGGCCGAAGAGGTGGCCGCACAGCGCCGGCACCAACGCTCCAAAGAAGCATCCAGCATTCAGCAGGGCGACCATATTGGAAGATGCGGCTGCGAACTTGGCAGTACCGCCGCCTCCAAGGTTGAAGTCCGTTTGGAAGCTGGGAAGTTAGTTGGTTTTTAACCGCAATCGGGGGCAGATCTCACCTGCGGAGAGCAACTACCGCGCCGGCCACGCCGGTGTCGAATCCGAACAGCATAGACGCGCAGTTGGACACCGCGGATACCATAAAGGCACCGCGGTGTTTTTTCAAGTCGTAGAAGCCGGGCAGCGACATTTTTGTGGGAGAATTGGGATGCTACGGGGCTGTCACGGTGGAGGCCCGTCTTTGATGGTGTTACACGAGCGAAGCCAGCATTCCATGCAGTCAGCGGGCTGCACGCCCCTTGCGGAGAATATAATGTACCCCTGCTCGGACGAGAGGGAGTGTATGACTGGCTAATGATAGTGCCGGATAGCACGGTCCGGAATGAACCCTGATAGTCAAAGCTGCTTAGCGCCTTATGCTGATAAGACATGGCAGTCGCGAAGACGGATGAGTATTACGACTGGCAAGACCGTTCATAGATAGGTATAGCTTTTCTAGATTACGTCGTGCTCATTGCCTGGAGTTATGCGATTTGCAAGATAGACCGTGAGACAGCACAGCGCAGACAGCCAAGACATATTCAATAAATTATGCAGTTGCAGGAGGAATCCTCGCTCCAATACACGGACTCGCATCGTTGACCTTCTCCCAAACATGAGCATCCAGCGCCGCACGCCGACTCTTCAGCACCGCATCCTTCGTCCGCATACACATCTCCCGCTCATACATATCCACAGCCTCTGCCTGGCTGGCCTTCCCACTCGCAATCTTCTTGATCGAATCCACCAGTAGCGCCGCATCCAAAATCCCATGGTTGGCCCCCTCGCCGCGGTACATAGTCATAGCATGCGCCGCATCTCCCGCCAGCGTAACCTTCCCACCCAGACTATCCCACCGATTCTCAACATCCGGCACGTAGTCGCTCAGCCGCAGCGGCGTAGCATCCAGCTCATCATCCGGAATATCCATAACAATACTGCGCAGCGGCTCCGCGAAGCCCTCCGCGCGAGCCTTCATCAGCTGGATGCGCTCGCGCGACGTCAGCGGAATGGCGTCCTTAGTCTCGTCATGCACAAGCCAGCTGATAATCACGAGCGCCTTGTAGGACGTCTCCCCCGTCGACTCGGGAATGCACTCCTGGATGCTGAACCACAGGTAGCTTCCGGTGTCGGGGTGCAGGGCCTGGAACAGGAGCGGGTCGATCGCGCGCACGGCTTTGGCCTGGTCCGGGGTGAAATGGCGCACCACGCCTATGAGGTTGACGGGGAGTTTGTTCAGCGCCGGCTGTGCACAGAGCTGTGTGCGGACTGTACACGTCAGTGGAGGTCGTTGATGGGAATGCCAGGTGGATGCGTACTGGCGCTGTTGTTTCCATCCGCGCCGACTAACAGCGTGCCCTCCGCTGTTGTCTTATCCTTGAACGTCACCTGTATCCGTCCATCAGGCAGGTCCCGGAACGACTCTGCGGACTTGCCATACTGGATGTCCAGTCCGGAGGCCAGGATGTTGCGCAGCTTCTGCCGGTGCAGCCGGAGTCGTCGCTTGGACGGCGGAATGCGGTACTTTGGTTTGGCTGTGGCAGCATTGAGGAACATGAAGTTGCCCTCGTCTTCCCTTAAAGATGGGTCCACCACGGCCTTGTATCGTTAGGGTCGGCTCACCAATTCACAATCGCAGTGTACGCACCGTGTCCAGCTTGCGCGCGCGCTCCGGACCGATCGTGCGCTCCAGCGCATCCAAGCACCAGTGAAACGTCAGCGCCCACCCTTGCGCGCGACTCGAAGGCGTCTCGTCTCGTTCAAAAAGCGTGTATGGAATCCCGGCCTCGCGACAGCCCTGCGCGAGGACTAGCCCAACGACGCCGGCGCCGCAGATCAGGACGTGCTGGTCGGTGGTAGTGGGGGGAGCGGATGGAGACATTAGTTTGCTGATGATGGATCCCATGTTGTTATTTGTGCGACGTAAGCACTATTATACCTCTGAGAACTCGATGTTTCCTTTATCTATCTGCGTCAGATGCCGCTTAGGGCTTATGTGACGCTATCCGGATGCGTCAGCCGCGCTTCCGGGCGTGATGACCGGTCCTCCTATGGAAGGGTTCGGCTATGTAATTACGGCTAATGCGTGGTTTTGCAGACGCTTTATCTCGGGGGCATATCCGTGAGGTGCGACAGTGATCGAGTCTCAGTACAGTGTCAGCAGTCAGCAACAGCAGTCACCATGCCCCTCTCCAAGGAGATTCGCGATTTCGTTGCCCAGTTTGGCAATACATGGAATCTGGATGTAAACGCGGAGTGTGAGAAGTTCTTCGAAGAGCGCCAGGCGGCCGAGCCAGCGCCCTCCTCGCTGAAGGTCGAGAAAGCCGTGCACTACGGACCAGATCCCCGCCATCGCCTCGACGTAAGCACTCCATCCGGTACGTGCCCACGCCATCTAACAGAATCAGATATACTGGAATTCCCATCAGGACGTCTCTCTCAAGAAACCGGTGGTCGTCTACTTCCACGGCGGGGGATTTCGCGCCGGTGACAATGACATCTCCCCTCACATCCACAGCAACATCGGTACGCCGCAATACACCATACAAACGACAAACTCTAACAGATACTAGCAAAGTATTTCGCACTTCATGGCACGGTAGCAGTGCTAGCCACTTACCGCCTGCTTCCCGAGGCGCAGTTCCCCTCCGGGATAGAGGATGCCACGTCAGCACTAGCATGGATCAAGTCTCACATCGATGTCTACGGCGGGAATGCGGAGCACGTCTTCGCCCTCGGTCAGAGTGCCGGCGGCGCGCATCTAGCTATGGCGCTGTTTTCTGGTGTGCTGGAGAAGCAGGGGGTCGTGCCGAGGGGCATGATGCTGCAGAGTGCGCCGCTATGGTATGACCTGTCTCAGGCGCGACGGAGGGCCAACATGGTCGCGTATTATGCTACGGAGGATGATGATGAGATACTTTCAAAGTCTGCGCTGGGGCTTTTTGGTGGATACAAGGGCGAGGGGGTTCCAGAGCTGTTCTTGTCGGTTGGGGAATTCGATTCGGAGGAGATTGTTCACGGGAATCTGATGTTTCTGGAGGAATATGTACCGAAGATGAAGCGCATGCCCCGGTTTGAGGTGTTGATGGGTCATAACCATATCAGCTATGCGTTGGCGATGGGCTTGGAAGGGGATGAAGTTGGACCGAGGGTGCTGGCATGGATAGAGTCTGTCTGTAGCGCTGTATTCAAGCACTGAATAGCAACAGTGGATGATATATTGCAATATCGACTCTGAACATCATTCCTACAGCACTACAGCAGTGAAACTAGCTGGTCAAGCTGCCGGAAAGCGCGGATCGAGCATCCGAAGACGATCCGACTGATAGCATACATATATACCTCCATCACAACCAACACTCTACGACCATCACCATCACCAGCAACACACCAACCACATCACCATGCCTTCAATCGCCGAACTCTCCTCTCCAGCCGTAGCCCAAAAGCTCGACTCCCTCTCCACACGCGCCACAGACAAACCCACCCTCGAAGCCGAAATCAAAACCCAGTCCCTAATCCCCCTCTGGAACACCGGCGCGCCCATCTCCGCGCCCACCCCACGCAGCAAGCAAATCCCCACAGTCTGGCACTACGCCGACACAAAGAGCCTGCTCCTCCAAGCCTCCAAGCTCGTCGACGCGCGCGAGGCCGAGCGCCGCGCCGTGCTGATGATCAACCCGGGCCGCAACGAGTCGCCCTTCACGCTGGACACGCTCCTCGCCGCGCACCAGCTGATCCTGCCCGGCGAAAAGGCCGTCTGCCACCGGCATACGCCCTTCGCCGTGCGCTTCCTCATCGAGGGCGCGCGCGGGTACACCGCCATCGCGGGGCGCAAGATGTACATGGCGCCGGGGGATCTGATCATTACGCCCGTGTGGAACTGGCACGACCACGGCAACGACGGCAACGAGAACGTCATCTGGCTGGATGGGCTGAATATCCCGCTGTTCAAGTCGTGGCCTATTGACTTTACGGAGCATTATGGCGAGGAGTTTGGGCGCGATACGCATGACAGCGAGGTGTTTCCGGATGATGAGGAGCGCGTTGCGCAGATGAAGTTTTCCTGGGGGGATATGCAGGCGAGGCTTGATGCTGAGCCCGGCGAGGCGGCCGTCTGTGAGTATCTGCTGCCGGGGTCGGGGCGCAGTGTGTCGACGACTATCGGCGCGTATGCGGAGCGTGTCAACGCCGGCAAGGTGTCCGCGCGTCGCAAGGAGACTACCAACCATGTCTTTCAGGTGCATCGGGGGTCTGGGTGGACGGAGGTGGTGAATCTGGATGGATCGAGGAACACGCTGCGTTGGGGACCGGGAGATGCCTTTGCGATTCCCAGCTGGCATGAGTTCCGCAATTTTGCGGACGCTGATGAGGCTGTGTATCTGTTTTTCTTCTCGGACAAGCCGATGTTGACGAATCTGGGGTTCTGGCGAGAGGGTTGATAGTGAATAATGGATTGTTCATGGTATATACAAGTACATCGCTAATTCCACGTAACAAACGAGAGTATATCAGATATCACCGCCGTGTCCGCGTCCTCACCATGAACGAGCACGGCCGCGAGGAAGACACAGATGGAGACGCAGGAGCCGTCTTCCCCCGTCGTCGCTTGCGATCGCCATCTCCAGCACCTTGCTCGATAGTCCGTTTCAACGCTCCCAATACCGGATGAACGGATGCTGCCCGCGGCGCATCCTGCTCGTGCTCAAACGAGCAGCTGCCGCGGTTCCCCCGTTCGAGAACGTCCAGTGTAAACTCTAGATACTCCTCCGCGATAGCCCGACACTGTCGAGCGGCGCACCACACGCCCTCTAGACCGGTCAAAGACGCAATCCCCCGCTGACACCCCTCCACCGCATCGCGCAGTGTCTCCTCATCCTCCGTCAACCGGATGCAGTGCATCAAGAGGATCACGCAGATGAAGAGCGTCTGGCCGTGCAGTACCAGATAATGCGACAGGGGAGCGACCCGGACATAGCCCTCTGTCAAGCTGATACAAGCCATCGACGCCTCGAAACATCGCCTCATCGCGCGGTGCGTACCCAGCGGCGACGGGCGGTGCGGGTTGCTCATCAGCGGCCGGAATAAGAGGATGACCGTCGCGGAGTAGCTCGACTGCAGGACGCTGCGCTCTATGAGCTGAGCTTCCGTCATGTCTGGTGCGACTGCGCCGATATGCTCGTGCTCCCACTCCTCCAGCTCCGCCGTGAAGCGGTCGACCGTTGCGCGCAGCTCGGCGTGGTTGGCTGGGTCGCGCCAGCGCGCGGCATTGCCGACGGAGTTGCTGATGCGGAGGACGCGGCCGATGATGCGGCAGAGCCAGATCATGGCGATGAAGCTGGGGTTCGTCTCGGTGGGCGAGGGGATTTCGACGTCACAGTCGGCATCTTCGATGGCGAGGGGACGGCCCAGGTTCATCGAGAGCAGTCGGTCCATCACGTAGAGACACCACCAGACGCGGCGGCGCACGGTTTGCTGATCGCTGGGTAGATGGAACTTGCAGGGTGAACGCTGGACGTTTGTTAGTTGCGGCTCTCCGGTGAAGGGAAGGATGCTTACGTGCAGGCCCATGTCCTGGCCGAGTCGCACGGCGTGGCTGAGCATCTTCCATGCCTCGCGTGGCATGCCAGTCTGCGAGAGGTGGATGCTGAGAAGGGCGCGCGCCATGACGGTATTCAGGACACCTGTGTGTGGGGGTCTCTGTGTAGCGTCGCTGTCTAGAGCTCCTGTCGGCGACCCGGTTAAGAAGGCTGGGAGCGAGCGGATAGAGGATATCGCAAGTGAGAAGAAATGGGTGCCGAGATCAATTCCCTGGTAGCGCCAGCAGTCGGGGAGTGTGTATACCGGGTCCGTAGGGGATAACTGTGGCGATGCGACGGCCAGCACAGCATAAAGCAGACATAGCGACTCTTCTTGACTTGTACCGCTGGCACCGCCGCCTTTCTGGGCTAGCAAATGCTGAGCGTGACCTCTGAAGTCCTGCTCGCAGACTATGGGAAAGAGGCGATGAATATTTGAAAAGTATCTCTCAATCAGAGCGTCTGTCAGGCTAGCAGGAGGTAGCTCACCAGCCCACCACCCGATGGGCGAAGACGCATTCACAGCCGGAGAGGTAGCAGAGCTATCGAGCACCGACTCTTGCGGATCATAGCCCTTGTTCGCAAGTCCAGTCTGGATACGCTTCCGCAGGCCGGCACAATTATCGACAATGCAGACGGTGGCTCCGAGACCGACATATCGTGTGTCACCATTTTTGTCAACTTCCAGCTGCCCAAAACAGTCGGCATAAGTTTGTATATGGACGGGCTGGGGAACTCGAGGCCAGAAGGAGGGATCGATGGCGCTGGAGAGGAGAAGGTCTTGCAGGTCGGGTGAATAGACCTCGTCCAGTTGCAAGGGCTCTGTATCCGTCACGCCAGGGGGTACTTCTACATGCGGATGCCGGGCTTCGAGCCTCGGCTGTTCGTCCTGTATCGTCGGGAAAGAAAATGATTCTCGCTGCTGCTGCTGCTGCTGCTGCTGCTGCTGCTGCTGCTGCTGCTGTGTCTGATTGCTCTGGACATCGACCAGCTTAGCTACCATCTCCTCCAGCGATCGCAGTCGAGTCCCAAACATATCACTCCTGTATGCGTCAGTAGATGTAGAGACATACCCCAGGACACATACGATTCACCCTCATCCCCCCGTTGTACCGTCGCGTCCGGGTACGTGCACTGAATGCCGTAGCTTAGACATGGTTTACACGGATCAGATCCATCGCATTTCACCTTCTTCTTCCGACAGGACTCGCAGGCGCGCCAGACCCGTCGGCGATGCTGCGGCGGACGATGGGCGTTGGCCTGGGAGATGCGTCGGGGTGTATCTACAGTTTCTGACATGACTTGGAAGTAGCATAGGCAGGCATCTGAGTTGCAGACCGGAAGGGGAGACGGAGATCCGTTGGAGATGGCAGTTGAGATAGGAGACATGGCTTATCTGCGCTATGGTAATGCGGGGAAGCAGTCGGATCCTTCCGTGATAGCTGGCTTCATGGATGGGGTGTTTAGATATACTACGGGTTCTTTCTGATAGTAATTCTGCATACTGATCTTGACTATGGTGCAAGACTACGGCACTCCGTAGATATGCACATATACTGCATCAACACCGAGACAGTTGTATACTCACGGATAGTGGATAACCTGTATCTCATTTGGCCCAGCCGATCTTTGCTGACTTGAAAACGGACTACACTAGTCAATACAGACTGCTATGGCACTAGCGTGCTGGGGTATGGCGTTGTTGTATCAATTTTTGTCATACCCTGAAGCGATCTCCACAGATAAAGGCATCTCGGGATAGACTCATCACTGGTCAACTTGCTGAGGCCGCGACACATAGTCCCATTCCCCATTCCGCGTTTTGATATCTTCAGAACCTCCCGCGGCGAGCGTCGGCACATCCGATAGAGCATCCTTCAGCTCCTGGTGCATCTAGATCTCATTAGACCAGGTACTTGCAAGGAACTGGGCACAACGAACCCTACTCGCCAGTCTCTCGGTCCCATCGCAAACTCCACGCCTCAGGGCATACAGCTCGTGAATTGCCTGCCGCAGTTCTTCGTCATTGGCTTTGTTCAGACGGCGTAACCCCTGGAATCGGTTCGCTGTTGGCTCGATGAATTCTTTCGAAACCGCGTTGTAGATGTGAGACGCTTTCGCGACGAATATGAATCTGATCTTCATGGCGAGAGCATTCTCCCACAGGTCCTATCAAAAGTCAATGCAGTTCATTGTATCTGACCGTGGGCGTTACCTTTTTGATCAGGGGATCCTTCAGACCATCCCTGTTGCTCATGGTGTCGTATACCAGCTTGCTGCGGCTGACAGTGTTGCTGATGATGGCATTGAGATCAAGGAGGAATTCCATGAATGTGCGGATTAGTCCCTGCAGTTCCATGACCTTTTGGATGGACTCTTCCACAATCCGTGCAACTTCTTCCTGTCCGGCTGTTAGTTATCCAAGACTATAGAAGGATGCAAAGCAGCTAACTAACAATGGACTTGGACTCGGTGCTGAGATGAGCCACAGCCGTCTCTAGCTTTGCCTGCGACACCTCAAGCTCATGCAGCTCCCTATCTCTCTTTGCCTGGGCTTCTTCCGCGCTGTACAGCTCTGCACTCAGGCTTCTGTAGTGTACGTAGCCGACAGCCAAGAGCACCGCGCCTCCCGCAACGCACTTGAACATCTTGCCGATGATGCTACCAATACCACTGCAGGACACTGAGCCCCTAGCGTCAGCAAAGACCCTTTGGAACCTGCATCGAACGGGCTCACAGACCAAGATCAGTAACCATCTCATCATACCGCTCTCGTCGCTCAAGAATCTTGTCGTATTTCTTCTGTCTCTCCCGCGCTCCCTCCTCCACGATCATCTGCTGCTTCTCACTAAATGTCCTCTCAATTTCATACTGCTTGATCTGATCCTCGGTCTCTTGCTCCTGTCTGCGCGTGCGGCCTATACCCACCCGGTCAGCGCGGCCGCCATATCCAACACATACACTCACCAAGTTTCGCCTGCAAGGCATAATGCAGCGCCTTGGTCACCTTGTACCACTCCTCAAACGAGGTATCGATCTTCTCCAGCTCATTTCTGCAGTCCGCAACGAGCTCCTCGCCCCGTTCCACCATGCCCAGTAGATACTCATCTCTCGCTGCGGTCTGCTGCGCATCGCAGAACAGCAGGAGTTTCTCGATCTAGTCGCAGGGCTTATTAGCATACCACCGCTGAAGGGACAGACATAGCAATAAGATCAGTAGAGGCAAAGATAGATACGTACCAGACCCCCAAGGCTTTCGAAATCTCATCCGTCCACGCGGCCACCTTCTTCATCCCCCCGGGCCGTGAGACGGAATGTTTCTTCGCCGGGCATCGGCGCAATAGGTGAGGTTCGCGGAGAGCATCGGCCCATCTGGGAATGATCAGTCAGCGGAGGCTTGAGAATGTCTATGTGCGACGCACGGCAGCCCCGGGGCCCTCCAGCTCGATACCGGTCACGCTCGGCCTCGTCGTGAGAAGGATACACTCCCCCCAGGATGGCGAGGCATTCCGGGCCGGCACGCAGGGACTGGCTCCAGTCTTGGTCTTTGTCGGGCTCGATCTCCTGTTCGAGAGATTGAACCTGGCTGGTCATTGTGTTTGTCTGTGGGACGAGCATGGTGTGATTGGGGGATGTGTCTGAGGAATGTGGGTGAGTGGTGCAAGTGCCATATAGTGTGGTCTGACAGCGTGCGGTCATGATTACTCCCAGACATCATAACATCATACTCTCGGGCATATTACAGGATCAAATCAACCAGTGAGATGTGAGGGCTCTACGCTGGCGGTCAGCATGGACTCATAAGGTAGACACTCATGCTCTATTTCTAGTCTATCAGGCATAACGCATGATTGCATCAGAACGTGGATAATCAACACAAATACAACAACAGGCTAAAAGAAACATAGATACATCATTTTGGATATCTTCACATCATCAACCCCTACTTCTTCAGACCCAGGAGGTTGATGCTCTTGGGGCGCTCAATGGGCAGACCCAGGGCCCGGTCCCAGATCAGCTGCACCAGCGGGCCGAGGGCACGGCTGACACCGAAGGTGACGGTGTAGTAGAGCGGCTGCTGGAAGCCGTAGTGGTAGAAGAGCACGCCCGAGGCGGCGTCCACGTTGGGGTGGGGGTTCTTGGTCTGCGTTTGTTAGCATCTCCACATACTTCTCGTTGCAACTAGTGCGATACTATGATAGGGGACAACGTACCTTTCCGTGCTCGGTCAACACGCCCGGAGCAATTTCAGAGTTCTTCTTGACCAGCTGGAAGACGGGGTTGGCCTGGACATCGGGGCGAGTGGCGGCAAAGTCCATCAGCGCCTCGAAACGGGGGTCGGGCTTGCGCAGAACACCGTGTCCGTAACCAGGAACCACCCGGCCCGACTTGAGGGTGTCCCAGAGGTAGGTGCGGACATCCTCGTCGGTGAACTTGGTGCCGATCTTCTCCTGCATGGCGAGGATCCAGCGGAGGACCTCCTGGGCAGCGAGACCGTGCAGGGGACCAGCAAGACCCAGCAGACCGGCACTGTAGCTGAGGAAGGGGTCGCTCAAAGCGCTACCCACGAGGTGGGTGGCATGGGCCGACACGTTACCACCCTCGTGGTCGCCGTGGAGGGCCAGGTACAGACGCAGGAGGTCGTGGAAGTCCTGGTTCTTCTCGCCGCCCTTGCCGAGGAGCTCGGCGAAGTTGTAGGACCAGTCCTGGTTGACGTCCAGCGCCTGGGTGCCGACGGTGTCGACCTCGTTGGGGCGGAAGACGAGGGCGGCAACACGGGGAATCTTGGCCAGCAGGGAGATGCAGTCGTCAAAGGTGGGCTCCCAGTAGTCGGCCTTGTTGAGACCCTTCTCGTAGAGCTTGGCGAACTTGGACTCGGTGTTGAGGGCGGCGACGGCAATGGAGAGCTGGGTCATGGGGTGCATGTGACGGGGGAAGGACTTGATCAGGGTCAAGATCTCCTGGGGGAGATGAGACTTTTCGGCCAGCTCGCGCGAGAAGGCGCGGACCTGGCTGGTGGAGGGGACCTGACCGGTCAGGAGCAGCCAGAACATGGCCTCGGGGACCATCTCGGTGCCGGAGGGGCCCTTGGGCAACTCCTTCTGACAATCCTTAATGGTCTTGCCGTGGAAGCGGATGCCCTCGTTGGGGTCGAGGACGGAGCCCTCCCAGAGCATGGATTTGAGGCCCCGCATGCCACCGATGACATTGGAGACCTTGACCTCGCCGAGGACGTCATCGCCCTGGGCCTTGACCTGCTGCAGCAGCTCGCGCTTCGCAGGGATGACGGCCTTGAGAGCGGTTTTGAGGTCGGGTTCTGTGGCGTAGGAGCGGCGCGCCGAGTAGGCGAAGGACTATCAATGTCAGAAAGTTCATCCTTGTATCCAGAGGATTTTCAGGGAATTGAGAGATCCTCTAGGGAACGTACCTTGGCCAGCTTGGAAGCATGGCGGGGGGAGCGCATGGACATGGCCATTGCGTCAATTGCAAGGGATGAGAGGTGAGGATGTAGATAGACGATGGATGGAGAAGAGGAGAGACGGATGCGGAGTGAAGAGACAAGATATAAACGGTAGAAGGATGAGGGCCGGAGAAAGCGGGAGAGAGAAAAGGAGAAGCGGAAGAAGAACGAAGGATGAAGGGAAGAAGAAGAACGACGATGCGCGACCGGACGGTGAGGATCATCGGTTGGCCGCGGGCCTTGTTCGACCGAGGCCCGTCGGATATCCCAGGCTATCCCAATAGTATTATTAGTCAGGGTTATGATTGTTATTACTCTAGGATTGTTGTATTATAATGATTGTTATTATTATGATCATGACTCTAGTTCATCTCATAGCCCATCATACGATATATACATCTCTTCTGGTGATTCTCTTGGACTCCATAGTGTATTCGGTCTCACATGCGGAGTATACGGAGTATACTAGTCCTTGTATAGTCCCACACAGCGGGTTCCGTTTCCACCCATATGGACAGAATAAAGTATAGACGTACTTCCCTCCGATAGACTAGCAGACGTTCCTAGATCGCCAAATCTAATGAGTAAGGCTTCTCATGTCACTAGATTCATGATGATTCATCGAAGTGTCCGACAGACCAAGAGGCAACGCAGGCGAAGATTATATAAGCCGGACAGAAGTGCGGGGTAACCCCAATCCGGTTAGCGTACCCCAGCCATTCGACACCTGATCTATCAGGCATCCACAAGGCATCATCAGGCACTAATCAGGCACTGCTCAGCCACACACTGTGGCTGACGGCTGACACGCCCCAAGGCGGTCAGCCCTGATTGGCAAGACCCCCGCCAATCAACACCCCCCAAAGAAAAAAAAAATAAACCGCCCCGCCGTTATCAATTTTCGCCTTCTCACCATCATTTTGTCTTCCATCTTCATCTCATCTACCCTTCTCTCTCACTTCTTCCTCCTCTCCCTCTTCCTCTCCCTCTCCTCTCCACTCTCCCCTCCTGTCGTTGTCTTTTTTCTTTCTTTCTTCTCTGTTTTGCATTATACCCTTCTTCGCAGCGTCCTCGGACGTCCGCCTAAAAGTTTGCATTGTCCTTTCATCTTAGACACGAAGACAACGACCAGACAATATCACTTTTCCCCCCCTCGATTCCTAGATATGCCGCATTCGGAATCGCCCGCCATGCCTACTATGGTCGCCAAATCCTCTTCCACCGTCCCTCCCGCCCCGGAAGACGTCGCCTCTCTCTGCAACACCATCTTCACTGCAGAGACTTCGCAACAGTCCCTCGATGCCGCCTACGCCCTGACCAACCTGCTTATTCAGAGCGTCGGCTGCCTCGGCTTCCAGAAATATGATATCCTTCCTCAAATCAAAAAGGCCGCGGCCGATAAGAAGAATGGCGCCCGTCGTGAGAGTGCCATGCTGATCCTGGGCGCCCTGTTCGAGCGCTTCCCCCGCGAACACCCCCTCAGTGAAGTCGTCTTTCTCCTCCAGGACGGTGGAGTTCTGCATCTCGCCTTCGAGGCCCTCGCCGACAAGGGTGCTGTCGTCCGCGAATCCGCCCAGTATGCCATCGATGCCCTCTTCGCCAACCTGCGCCCCGAGGCCATGGTGAACGCCCTCCTCCCCGCCGTGTCCGCCTACCTCAGTCAGGGCACCGGCAAGTGGCAGGGTTTCGTCGGAGCCTACTCCCTCATCGAGAAGATGGCCCTCAAGGCCCAGATGGGCACCGGTTCCATGGAGGAGGAGCGGGAGAAGGATCTCCTCCGTGAAGGCATGGGTAAGACCTTGAAGGAGCTGATCCCTCTCGTCGAGTCCGGCATGCACGATCTCAAGAACGAGGTCGCCAAGAGAGCCATCAAGGCCATGAACGCCCTGACCACCCTCCTTTCCAACGACGACGTCGCCCCTCGCATTCCCCTCCTGATCGAAACCATGGAGAAGCCGTCCGAACAGACCCTCCAGAAGGCCATTCACGCCCTGTCCCAGACCACCTTTGTCGCCATCGTCACCTCCCCCGTGCTCGCCTTGCTGACCCCGCTGCTCGAACGCTCCCTCAACTCCCCTACCACCCCCCAGGAGACCCTCCGTCGCACTGTCGTCGTTGTCGAGAACCTGACCAAGCTGGTGCACGACCCCTCTGAAGCCCGGACCTTCTTGCCCAAGCTCAAGCCCGGTGTGCAGGCCGTCAAGGACCGTGCCTCCCTCCCCGAGGTGCGTGAACTGGCCACCCGTGCCCTCGACGTCATGGAGAAGGCCATGAGCGACAGCAACATTGCGGCTGGTTCCGTTGTCAAGACCTCCCCGGAGGAAGTCCTCGCCGTGCTGGAGCCTCAAATCCAGCAGAACGGTGGTCTCGCCGTCCCTGAACTCCACACTCTTTTTGGTCTCGCCAAGAGCTACATCTCCGAGATGGTCCGCGAGGATATCAACACCCGCATGCTCGACCGCATTCCCGCCTGCGTCGGCCCTTACCTGCGGGGTTTACTGCTGGAGGACAAACATGAGGCCGTTTCGGCCGCCGTACACTCCCACTTCGTGGAGGAGGACCACCGCAAGTACGGTCAACCCGTCCCCGATGACCCGAACGAAGTCGAGATTGTCAACGCCAACTTCTCCCTTGCCTACGGTGGTATGCTGCTGCTCTCCCACACCAACCTCCGTCTGCTCAAGGGCCACCGGTATGGTCTCTGCGGTCGGAACGGTGCCGGAAAGTCTACTTTGATGCGCAGTATCGCCAACGACAAGCTGGAGGGCTTCCCTCCCCAGGATGTCGTGCGCACCTGCTTCGTGGAGCACAACCAGGGTGAAGACGCTGATCTGAGCATCCTCGAATTCGTCTCGAAGGACCCGAAGATCGCCGAGACTGGCAAAGAGCACATTAGCAAGGTCCTGCTCGAGTTCGGCTTCACGGATGGCCCCGACGGTCGCCAGTCGCAGCGCGTGGGCTCTCTTTCGGGTGGTTGGAAGATGAAGCTGGCCTTGGCCCGTGCGATGCTCATGAAGGCTGACGTCCTTCTGCTGGACGAACCGACTAACCATCTTGACGTCGCCAACGTGAAGTGGCTGCAGGAGTACCTCAAGAGCCACACCGACATCACCAGCTTGATCGTCAGTCACGACTCCGGCTTCCTCGACGAGGTCTGCACGGATATCTACCACTACGAACAGAAGAAGCTGGTGTGCTACAAGGGTAATCTGGCCGACTTCGTCAAGGTGAAGCCGGAGGCGAAGAGCTACTACACCCTGTCCGCCTCCAACGTGCAGTTCAAGTTCCCTCCCCCGGGTATTCTCGCCGGTATCAAGTCCCATACTCGTGCCATCCTCCGCATGACCAACTGCTCGTACACCTATCCCGGCGCGAGCAAGCCTTCCCTGACCGATGCGTCTCTGACCCTGACGTTGTCCTCCCGCGTCGCCATCATCGGTGGTAACGGTGCGGGTAAATCGACCTTCATCAAGATGCTGACCGGCGAGACCATCCCCCAGACGGGCAAGGTCGAGAAGCATCCCAACCTGCGTATTGGGTACATCAAGCAGCACGCTCTGGAGCACGTCGAGATGCATCTGGAAAAGACCCCCAGCCAGTACCTGCAGTGGCGTTACGCCAACGGCGATGACCGCGAAGTGTACCTCAAGCAGACTCGTATCCTCACCGACGAGGATAAGGCTCAGCTAGAGAAGCCGGTGGATCTCGGTGATGGCCGCGGGCCTCGTCGCATCGAGGCTCTCATGGGTCGTCAGAAGTACAAGAAGTCTTTCCAATACGAAGTGTAAGCTCCCCAATCTTTCGACATTCGTGTGCGGTACTAACTGTCATAGTAAATGGGTCGGCCTTCTACCTAAGCACAACACCATGATCTCCCGCGAGACCTTGCTCAACCTCGGATTCTTCAAGATGGTCCAAGAGTTTGACGATCACGAGGCATCCCGTGAGGGTCTGGGCTTCCGCAACCTGGATCCCAAGGAGATCTCCAAGCACTTCGAGGACGTCGGTCTCGACCCTGAGATCGCCAACCACAACCAGATCTCCGGTCTGTCCGGTGGTCAGAAGGTCAAGGTCGTCCTGGCCGGTGCCATGTGGAACAACCCCCACTTGCTGGTGCTGGACGAGCCGACTAACTTCTTGGACCGGGACTCCCTCGGTGGTCTGGCCGTGGCCATCCGCGACTTCAAGGGCGGTGTGGTCATGATTTCCCACAACGAGGAGTTTGTCGGAGCGCTCTGCCCGGAGCAGTTGCACATTGCCGACGGCAAGGTGGTCGGTCGGACCAACGCAGCCGTGTCGCTCGATCGCTTCGAGGACAGCGCGGCCAACTCGCCCCAGGCGGGCACTCCGGCGGCCACCTCGGCGGCCACCAGCGCCGCGCCGTCCGCCGTCAACTCGGGCGCGGAGGACCAGGGCGAGCTCAAGTTCAAGGCGAGGAAGAAGAAGAAGCTGACCCGTGCGCAGCTCAAGGAGCGGGAGGCGCGTCGTCGTCTGCGTCATCTGGAGTGGCTGCAGAGCCCTAAGGGAACTCCTCGCCCTCCGGACACTGATGATGAGGCGGAGTAATAGGCATGATGTTTGATGATAGACTGTATATGGTCTGATGTGTTGGTTCGTTTTGGTTTTGGTTTTGTGTTTTGCGGTATATAGAGGAGTTTTGGTCGTTATTAGAGTTCCCTTCGTCATTCTGACTGCATTGAATTCACATCTGTTAATTTCTTCCATCTTTCTTCTATATTAGGGCCCAGGGCTGCATGGCGAGGTTGAGCTGCAAGACACGAGGTAGTTTTGGTGGGAGCATGGCTGTCATCGTCGTGTAGTCACTGCTTATTTCGTCTTCGTATACATGCGGGTGGGATCTGTATATCTTCGGCTGTATACTTAGCAGATGACCAACTGTCCAATGCACCGGCATACTCTCTGTGAAGCCTCCTGTATCCTAATATATCCCAACATCCATATTCTACTCTGCACAGTCCAAATCTCTCCTCGAGAGATCTCTCCGTAGATCGCTGCTGAGAAAACATGAGGATCAACATCGGGCTTGACACGTAATCGGCTTGTTTCCCCTTTCTTGGCGACTCCCGCAATTTCCCTCCGCCTTCGCTTTCTTCTCTCCATACACTCCCTCACTCCGTCCTTTACGCTCCTTTCCCTTCCACTCCCTCATCTGTTCTTCTTGCTTGGTTGTCCTTCGTTTCGTCCTCTTTATGCTTGCATAGCCATCATGCCCCCGCCCCCCTCTCGGGATTCCCAACGTTATGCCCCGCTGCATGATTCCATCCCGGAAGAAGACCACGCCCACGACTCGGACGATTCGCTCCCTCTGTCCAATCTCTCCGACGATGACCCGGACAATCGCTCCAAGAAGGTCAAATTACGCCGCCTAGACCGGTCGGACCCCGAGCACCACGCCGCCTCCGCCTACGTGCCCGTCATCCGCAAATCCGGCGATGTCGAGGCCTATCTCGACAGCATCACCGAGGCGGAGCAGGAACTCCTCGCCGCCAGCCGTCAGTATGATATCGATGATGACGATTCCGACGACTACGGGGACGGCGCGAAGAAACGCGCACAGATGCAGCGCCACCGCGCGGAGCAGATGCGGAAACGCAATCGCCACCAGGGATGGCGCGCCGTCTACTACTCCAAGTTCTGGTGGAGGACGCTGGTCGTCGTCATTGTGGGACTGGGGTTGTTGGTGTGGGCGTTTCTGAGCTTTGCGGCGTCGAGGGGGGATGTGGACGAACAACCGGATATTGTACGCGAACCCCTGGTGGAAGATGAGGATGTGATTACTGACGGATGTATAGCCGATGCTGGCGCCGGATTCCTGGTTCCCGTCGCCCCGCGGAGGCGCCCTGGAAGACTGGGCGGAGGACTATCGCAAGGCGCAGGAATTGGTAGCAAACATGACCCTCACCGAGAAGGTCAACATTACCACGGGGACGGGGTGGCAGATGGGGTTGTGTGTGGGCAATACTGGTGCGTTGATCGAACCGGCATACTCTGTAGACCTTCCTCGCGACGGCTCGGACAGTCTAACGTGCAATGCATAGGCCCCGCGACAAATGTCAACTTCCCCTCGCTCTGCCTGCAGGATGGCCCCATGGGTATACGCTACGCCGACCATATCTCCGCCTTCCCTCCCGGTCTGACCACCGGCGCGACCTGGAACCGGGATTTGATATACGAACGCGGTGTCGCCATGGGGCTGGAGGCGCGTCGGAAAGGTGTCAATGTCCTCCTGGGCCCGTCCATGGGCCCGATTGGCATGATGCCCGCCGGTGGACGCAACTGGGAGGGCTTTGGATCCGACCCCGTGCTGCAGGGCGTGGCCGCCGCGGAGACCATCCGCGGTATTCAGAGCAACGGCGTCATGGCCACCGCGAAGCACTACGTGATGAACGAGCAGGAACACTTCCGTCAGCCCTTCGAATGGGGTATTCCCTCCGCCATGTCGGCCAATATCGGAGACCGCGCCTTGCACGAGGTGTTCGTGTGGCCCTTCGCCGAGAGCATCCGCGCCGATGTCGCCAGCGTCATGTGCGCCTACCAGAAGGTCAACAACAGCCACTCCTGCGAAAACAGCAAGCTGCTCAACGGCATCCTCAAGGATGAGCTCGGCTTCCAGGGTTTCGTCCAGTCCGACTGGCTGGCCCAGCGGTCCGGCATCAACAGCGCCCTCGGCGGTCTGGACATGAGCATGCCCGGCGACGGCCTGCACTGGGCCGATGGCAAGCCCCTCTGGGGAAGCCAGCTGACCCGCGCGGTGCTGAACACTTCTGTGCCGATTGAACGGCTCAACGACATGGTCACCCGAATTGTCGCTGCCTGGTACCATTTCGGCCAGGACGCATGGGAGCGCCCGCCGCCGGTCGGTGACGGCGGTCCGAATTTCTCTTCCTGGACCGATGGACAGTTGGATTGGGAACACCACGCCGCCCCCGGCGGTAACTACGCCGTGGTGAACAAGTATATCGACGCTGGCGCTGGGCATGGGGACATCGCACGCCGCGTCGCCGCCGAGGGCATTGTCCTCGTCAAAAACGCCGACAACACGCTGCCCCTATCTCGCTCGCCCGCCACGGACGGTGTGTACCGCGTCGGAATCTACGGCGACGACGCGGGTCCGGCCATGGGCCCCAACGCCTGCACGGATCGCGGCTGCAACCAGGGCACGCTGGCCTCCGGCTGGGGCAGCGGGACCGTCGAGTTTCCCTACCTCGTCAGCCCGGTCGATGCGCTCCGCGACGCCTGGTCGGGCCAGGTCGAAACGACCCCGTACCTGCGCAACTCGGTCATGCCTGTTGACGTGGCCGACAAGGACCTGTGCCTGGTGTTTGTGAACGCCGACTCGGGCGAGGGCTTCATCTCCGCCGGTGGCATCCATGGCGACCGTCCGAACCTGTTTGTGCAGAAGGGCGGCGACACGTTGATCAACACGGTCGCGAACAACTGCGGCAACGGACAGGGCCGCACCGTGGTCGTCGTGCATGCTGTCGGCCCGGTGGTCGTGGAGTCGTGGATTGACCTCCCCGGCGTGCACGCCGTGCTGTTTGCTCACCTCCCGGGCCAGGAGAGTGGCAACGCGCTGGTGGACGTGTTGTTTGGCGACGTTGACGCCAGCGGCCGTCTGCCCTACACCGTCGGCAAGAGTCTGGCGGACTACGGGCCCAGTGCGCAAGTGCTGTACGAGCCCAACGCGCCCGTCCCACAGGTCGACTTCGAGGACGGGCTGTACATTGACTACCGCTACTTCGACCGCTACAACATCACCCCCCGCTTCGAGTTCGGCTTTGGGCTGTCTTACACCTCTTTCTCCATCTCCGACCTGCGCGTCGACTCGCTCCGCTGGAAATCGCGCCTGCCCGCGGCCCGACTGGCCGATCCCGTCGCGCCCCCGGAATACGACCTCCTCGCGCCCGTCGGCCAGGACGTCACCTTCCCGCGACACCTCCGTCCCATCCGTAAATACATCTACCCCTACCTGCACACCCTGGACGGCACCACCCCGGCTCCCTACAATTTCTACCCCGAGGGGTACGACCAAACACGGCGACCGTCGCCCGCAGGCGGCGGCACCGGCGGCAACCCATCGCTCTACGACGAAATGGCGCGCATCACCGTCGACGTTGCGAACACGGGCGCGCGCACCGGCCAGACGGTCGTGCAGCTGTACGTGTCCTTCCCGGAGGGCGTGACCGAGGACGGCAACTGGGTGGAGGTGCATTCGCAGGTGGACGGACACAGCACGCCGGAGGTAAAGATCGTGCGCGAGCAGGAAGCGATCGAGTTCCCGGAGCGCGTGCTGCGCAACTTCACCAAGGTGGCGCTGCAGCCTGGCGAGCATCAAAAGGTCGAGATGACGCTGCGGCGCAAGGATCTGAGCTACTGGAGCGTGCGCGAGCAGAACTGGGTGATGCCGCAGGGGGAGTTTGAGATTCGCGTCGGGCAGAGTTCGCGCGATTTGCCGTTGAGCGCGTTTTACTAGCATATACATAGACTGGCGTTTTCTTGTAATTAGTTATCACGTCTTGTAATTTACGTTCTGTGATGGTCGTCTTTGTAACCACCTGAGGCACATACTAGGTACCTCCTGAGTGCTGCCACGTGATCTTGTTTACCGCCGTACTCGACTTCATCAACAACAACTACGGACATCGCGTTCTCCCATTGAGTTACGACAGTAGCTCTATACAATATGAGGCCGTCCATTCGTTTGTCAGCTCTGCTTCGCAAGAAACCGCTGCCTATACCTTCTCCGGGGCCACCTTTACCACCAGGCACACTCATTGACGAAGAGATCTCGCGATTATACAATTCCAAAAACTTCTACCCAGCAAAACCGGGAGAAGTCCTCGGCGATCGCTACCAAACGCTGGTCAAGGTAGGCTGGGGCGTGTCGTCGACAGTATGGCTCGCGCGTGATATGCAAGGGTAGCTTCGACCATTCCGTGCGAGCTCCCATCTCTAACAAGCATGCAGACATATCGACGAGCCAGAGCACGTCGTGACGCTCAAAATTGCCAATAACAATGCATCTCTCGCTAGTCATGAGCGCGACATCGAAGAGCAAATTGCCACAGCAGACCCGTCTCATCGCGGCCGCTCAATCATCCGGACACTAGTAGATTCATTTGAAGTCAAGGGCCCGGAAGGGTCTCATTTGTGTCTGGTGTATCCGCCCATGAGGGAGCCCTTGTCGATGTATCAGCGGCGGTTTGCGGGTAGGAAGATGCCTCTGCCGCTGGTCAAGACGTACATTCGTTTTTTTCTTACGGGGCTGGATTATCTTCACAACGAATGCAGGATAGTCCACACGGGTATGTCCGTTCGTATCCGCGCTTGCGTCTCGGTGATAGGACACTGACGCCGACGCTCTAGATCTCAAGCTCGAGAACATCATGGTCTCATTTGAAGATCCAGCCGTGCTTTCGGATTTCCTGGATGCCCAGCTTGGAAACCCGATGGCTTTTAAGATTGATGCAACGGGACGACCGGTGTATCAGTGCAGTAGTGACTTCGGGCCCCTCAAAAACTTCATCAGCATCCCACAGCTGGTCGACTTTGGCCTGGCTACCACGCTCCCAGAAGACGACGACTGGGGCGTCTGGCCTATCCAGCCAGATCACTATCGGGCGCCTGAGGTGATACTGGGTAATGGATGGCAGATGCAGGCGGATATTTGGAATCTCGGCGTTTTGGTGCGTTCCATTCCCTAAATTGTTGTATCGGCTAATGCTAGACTAGTTGTGGGATATGATCGAAGGCAAAGAGCTGTTTCAGCACATCCATGACGCCCAAGGTCGCTACGACCCCAAAAGGCACATTGCTGAGATGATCGCTTTGCTCGGTCCACCCCCTCCGGAGATTTTACAACGGTATCAATCCATGCGGGAGTATCAGTGGCCGGAACCTGTCCGACGAGAAGACGGCAGCGTTTGCGAGACAGCGGAGGAGTTCTTCGGTGGGCCGTTCTTTGACAGTGATGGTATGGGTTCCTGTCTCCAACGAATGATCCAGACTTACGAGTATCTAGGTCGCTTTCTCTACGAAGACCTTATCCCTGACAGGAACCTAGCAGACGCAGTGTCCTTGGAGGGAGAGGAGAAGGAAGCGTTTCTGGATCTTGTCAGGGGGATGCTGCACTGGCATCTGAATTGGAGAAAAACGGCCGGCGAACTCGCGGGGCATCCTTTTCTTCAGTTAAAGGGAGCAACTGCGTGATTCTTGGGCGCTTGGTAGCAGAGCGACACGGGACCTTGGTTGATCCTAGTTGGGTAATGCCATCGGATGGCGTTGAAGCGTTATGTAGTATCTCTATGGATCTTTATCATCTAGATTCCCTCCTACTCTTGCACTTTGTCTGTTGAAAGCTACTATAGGTCCCTAACTCGTAGACGTAGCTGTTATGACATACGCCCATCTGCTAGGCCCAGAGCTATACGTACTAGATACCTTTATGACAGCAACATGACGTTGATATGTGCTAGTTAATGCTCACACAAAGGGTCACGAGTCTTCTTATCATCAATACAACCAATTCACAGGCAAATTTTAGCATTGCGACTATGTGGTAGCGGACTGGGTATCTCGTTTGCCACACGCTCACCAAAGAGAAGCGAAGTTTTTTTTTTTTTTTTTTTTTTATCTTATTCAATGAACAGACGAGGGTTCAAATCGGGGCACCAACATGATTGTCTTTTCCCACCACTGATCATATACTCCTGGTATGCACCAGCTTCCCCTGAACCCAGACGCTCTTCACATTCCGATCATCACCACTCCACATCCACTTCTGAACCTGTTCCTGCCAGGTCTCGTTTCCAAACAGATCAACATTTCCCACAGGACCAGACTGAAGACGACCGCGATCAGCGACAGCCATATCAAGTGGACTGACCGTATTGTTCCTGACAGCACCCAGCTCAACCAGCTGCGCATCCCAGATCATCCCCTTATCAAACCCACCAATATCGTCCGCCATGTCGACGACTGCTGCCCCACCGCGCGTAGCCAGGTACAAACTATCCTCCACAGACAGTTTCTCATGCCCGGTGGAGATCTTGTTACCCGTCATCTCCTGGAACTCGCTGCTATACCCCAACAACCGGGAGACGAGACAGGCCTGCCGGGCCACTTCCAGCATGCTGGGACTGTACCCACCGCTCACATCCGTGCCCAGACCCACCGTCAGGCCTTCGTCGAGCATAACACGGACGGGGGCAAGCCCCGAGCCCAGGGCAGAGTTAGACGACGGACAGTGCGCGATGCCGGCGCCACGCTTGCGGATGAGCGCTCGCTCGTCGCTAGTAAGATGTACCCCGTGCGCGAGGATCGTCCGCGGGGTGAGCAGATGCGCCTGGTCGTAGAGGTCCGCGTAGCTCGCAACCTCCGGGAACAGCTTGTGCACGAGCGCGATCTCGTCGGTGGTTTCGGCAATGTGCGTTTGGATGTGGAGAGGCGGGGTGTACGATGCGGCTAGCTTGCCGAGGCTGTCGAGGGAGTGGTTCGAGCAGCTGGGGCCGAAGCGGGGGGTCACGATGGGGTTGATCAGGGTGCCGTTCGGGTCTAGACTGCGGATGTACTCGATTGTCGACTTTGTTGCGTTGATGCCCTCGTCGGCGGATTGGTCAACGTAGTACGGTGGGCATTGATCGCGGTTGTCCATGCAGACGCGGCCGATGAAGGCGCGCTGGCCGTGCAAATGGGCTAATGCTGCTAGGGCGTTGGTTGCCGGGACGTGGATAGTGGCGAAGTATGATGCACATGTGGTGCCGTGGGCGAGCGTACGAGCGACGACTTCGTCGTACACACGCAGGCCTTCGGGGGGTGCGGCATTCGGATCCGTGTTGTGGTTGTCGGGGTCGGACTTGGACCCGAAGCTGGCCTCGACCGGGTATGTATAATCATTCAGCCAGGTCAGGAGGCCGGCAGACCCGAACAGTCCCAGGTTAGGGAACTGCGGCGCGTGGATGTGGGTGTCTACATCGTCAGTACGGGGCAGTCATACGAGTCCGATAGGACACACCGATGAATCCGGGGAAGAAGAACTCGTTTCGGTCATCGTTGGAATTTACAACTTTGACCTTGGTGGACGACTTGGCATTGCCATGGGCTGTGCTATCAGCGTCTTGCCAGCCGTGTCTCGACAGGAACGACTGGAAGCTGGCATCATCGCGGACGTGCCAATCGTATCCTTTGATGCGGCCATCCTTGGACGAAACCCAAAGAGCACCCTGGTTTCGAACGAGTTCTGGCTTCGCCGAGGTTGAATTGAGCTTGGGGAGATGAATGAATGTACCGCGGTAGACGGTGTATGGGTACGCCGCGGCCGTGGCCAAGACAAAAGCATTCAGTAGTGCAAGGATCAACCACATTGTGGACAAGTTCGTCAGATATTTGTACATTTTCAGAAGTAGGGCAAATGTAGAAGAGTGCTCGCTTCTATCGCTCCACCATCTTGAGGACAGCGAGGGTTGATATATTCACAGACTGAAATGAAGGATCAGGGGATGCTACTCGAAGCGGCAGGTCTAACAGACCATGAACTTTGTAGGCTTCACATGTTGATTGCAAGACGGCCTTGGCCGGTATAGCATTGCATATAGATCTCTATGAATGTCTATGTGAGATGGGTCTGATAAGGGTTGAGTGTAAATCGGTGTTCGGCTACTTCCGATGGATTATACTCATCTTCACGAGATAACCATCCATGATAACAGGCACAACATGTGGGGAAGTGCGGAGAGTAAAGTATAATAGAGCCTAGAGACAGTGATATCGATGGACACGAAGGATGATAGATGCAGATCATGGGCCTACGTTACATTAGCCGCTATGAAGGACTGTTACATCCAATATAGTCGGATTTTTGTTGATCTTGAACACCCTGCAATACGGTATTAGATTTCTCTTCGTCTATCTAGATCAGCAGGGTATAGATAATTGGAACGGTAGAGGCCGGTGCTGCTAGCTATTACCTCAGTGGCTCCAACAACCGAATGTGGGACTTGAATGATGCTTGGCCGTATGCTCCAGACGGTTTGTTCCATAGACCTTCCTATATAGTCTGCCACTACAAGCCTCCCAGCTCCCGTCACATTGCTCTTTGGGTTCGTTTCTCAGGAAAGGGTTCGTGCACAGTAGGTAGATGTAGCGTATAGATATAATGATCGAACTGCTACGAAGAACGCTCCAAGTACGAGCCTTCTAAGAACGGCTACGACAAGTATTAGCCAGTATAAACGTAAGGCACCGTGTTCAACCCCCTCTTCACGCATAGAACCCGGTCCATTGCCTTCGGCACTGGCTATGTATACACTCGTACGTCCTAAGCCTTCCTCCAGTCACCTAGTTAGCCAGCGTGACAGTTTCTTGGTCGAAAATCCCATCTTCAGAAGGTCATAGCTCCTGAATCCCCTCCGATGCTTTGGTCGTACAGCCAAGTTTTCTTTTGCCTTCCAAACTATACTGTCCCACCAGCGAGGGTCGGGGTGGAAGAATGTAAGCAGTCTGGATAGACGTAACGGCTCGGCGTAGCTCTGATGCTCTATTTCTCCTGCTCTTATACAGGTAGTGAACGACAATCTGCAATAATGTGATTCAATAGGTAATCCCATAGCTTCCATGGGTGAGCATGCTCACTAGGTCAGATATTGTCGCTCAGTCTATACTTACCTACTCATACCATATGCAGGGACCGCAGAAGAGCCTTACCACGTCAGCTTCCTCGTATAGTACTTTTTCAAAAGAAGCATTTGGATTAAATAAACCAATAAGCAAGACAGATTGTACTAATACGGGCTTCTCGAAAGAATCAATTCCCTGCCAGAGATTAGGTCAAAGTCAAGCAGTCCGCCACGTAATGCAATCATTACATTGTCATAGTTATATAGTTATGATCAGTGACACGACATACAGAGCAGTCTCCTAGGCGCCCTGACTAAAGCGGCGGTGTCAAGTTACAGCAGTAAATCAAGTCGTTGTGATACTGCTAGACCCTGAACCATATGATGTACTTAGTGAGCTGACATACGCTTTAGATTCCACCCCGAGTTCCGCCATCCGCAGATGACATCAACTCCGACAACCCCAACTCAACTCCATCCGTAATGACCATGACCCTGAAACGACGCAAATCCAGCCCCAATTCAGCCTCTACTTCTCTCCCCTCCAAATCCACCCCCGAGAGACCCGGCCAGGACCTCCATCGGACCCTGAGCGAAGTCGCCGCCCCGGAGCCCATCGAACGAGCCACCGCGGCCGACCTGGCCCGCCGGCCGTCGCTCGACCTGCAACTCTTGACCATCTCATCCGCGAAACCAGACGAAGAGTCGGATATGTTCGGGGCGCTGAGCGAGGTTGCGATACCGGAGCCGATCAAGCGATGCGGTGCAAACGAGATCGGCCGGCGGCCGTCGCTGGACCGGAGTCTTTCACATGCTTCGGGGGGTGGCGAGGACAAGACATGTGCGGTTGATTAGGGGGATTCTTATTATGATGAGATTCGTGCTTGGGTGTTATGTTTGGGTAATGGTTGGAAGGAGGCACCGGCGTGAGAACTGATGTTTCGGGGGTGTGTACTTCATTCGGTCCGACAGAACCTGCTGATTACAACTACATATTCCTCCCAATGGGCAAGTCTATACGATTCGCCCGCTGTAGTCAAGGGTTGAATCCATCTACAACCGATCCCTACTCTGTATACCCGGCTGGAACTCGGAATCGATCGCATCGACTGCCTGACGGGCTCGGCACGCCGCCACGCAATAGAAGGAGCCGCCACACGGTTAAGGAGGCTAATATGGTGCACCGCTGGCGGCCGATATCAGCCGCCGGGATGTTGTCAGGCGATGCGCTTGGGGTACCGTTGTTGGGATCAGGTGGTTGTGGCGGACCTGCGCACTTCACGTGGCCTCAAATGGTATCGCGCTATTGCAGAGGCAACTGCTCGTGTGCTTGAGTTGACTCTCGATATGTACAGTATTTGCCGCATCCTGTCTAAATGATAAGCAGACTGGGTCTCGAGGTTGGGCTCTAGGATCGGGCACGATGGAGTCGATTCGGGCTCTGGGATAGGATCATGTATGTATACACATATGGAGACTGGCTACACATCATGCATTTTTGCCTTTGATGTTCTGACATAGTCTCCATGGCGAACGGGTTAATCAATGCATTCGAGGCCAGAGCACGCACTGTCAGCCCTGTGAGCCACTCCGTCCGGATTATTTTAGGAGCGGACAGTCCCCGGCCATTGCCAGCTGCATTCTTGTCTTGCCACGGACCAAGGTCTGCCTCCACCCTAAGCGATGTACCCTTAACAAAGTCCGGGGAAAGTCTATCCAACCTGCATCGTGATTACCCGGCGTTGGCTCCATTCGCCCCGGAGTTGCTTGTGCCAGGCAATAGGGGCCAACTTGAATGGCAAAGTCCCAACCATCCTCTGCTTGAGAAAGGATGACCTGACTCAGACATTAGTCAAACACCCCCTGCAGAACCCCTAGCCTTAAGGAGACCTTAAGTGTCAGCTGCAGTCCTGGGGCAGTTGGTCCGGCGAATAGACCGCGAGAATGGCATGTTGACTGCTCCTCCTCCGCCTAACCGACTGCCACGTTCGAAGACCCTGGCGTGCTAGTGCTAATAGCTGGTCTGGACTTTGGCTTGCGGCCCCAGAACTCGTATTGCACCGGCTACGACTCACAGCCTATTCTGATCTTACTCTTAGTCTTACCTTTCTCGCAACGGTGGTGGCGTGAAGTCGTTGCTCCTGGCTATACCTATACCTTTCAGCTCACAAAAATGAATATTCCCGGCTGAATCTGTCCCAGGAGCCTTCCAGACCTGCTCGGGATTTCACACCGCACTGATGCTGTTTGTGGCGCAGACTAGAGCTGGATCCGTCTAGTCTGGAACCGCGGCCTGTCAACCTCGGCAGGCGAGTGGCCGCCGGCTGGATAAAAGCGGGATTGCTGTTGAGACACACAGGGATGTCAAGCATTCTGCGGGGATAGTCAAACGGAGCGAGACTCCTTACTGGGCCTGGGTCCTAGATCATTTATCCGGGGCAGACGGCAGTTGCCAGGCCTGGGGAAGACGGTCTGGTGGAGACTTTTCAAGCATATCGCATTTTAGGTCGGGACCAGCGTTGCTGATCTGGTGTTGATCAGACCCTGACGATGTTCATCGTCCTTGGATGTAGCATCCCATCCATATACCCTCTATACAGAGTACGGCCGCGAGCCCAATGCCATCAACATGGCTCCATTCTCACGTTGGCCCGGCCCGTGCAGCCGAGCAACCAAGCCGCCAAGCGGTCTGGCTCCTCCGTAAATGAAGTCGAGTCGACTGATGCATCCTGGCGTTGGCCTCCTCATTAGCCAATCCAATCATCTCGATGGCCTCCCTCGCTAAAGCCACCGCAGCTTTTATCCAGTTCGTCCATGGCCTCGCCGGGCTGCTGCCGGCTCAATTCATTGCACCAATCAGTCACCCGACCCGTGCCTTCTGGATGGTCTCAAGCTTTGGCCAAGTTGGGACAAGTCCGACAGGACGGGCTTGACGCTGTAAGTAGTTATATAGCTCCTTTCCCCCATTCCGGGACACAGGCCGGACGTCCCTGTAGATTCTCCCTTCCGAGTTCCAGCTTTGCATTCCCGTCAGGATGGTCCAGATCGCCAGCATCGGCGCCAAGGGCGCGGAGGACAATGTCCACATCACTCAGGCGGAGGCGCCGCAGTTCGAGAAGGTCAACTGGAAGAAGGAACCGCATCTGCGCAGGCTGTATCTGATGGCCATGGTGCTGATGGTCGCCTCGGCCACCACCGGTTACGATGGGTGCGTTTGAGACGATATTCGTGAGATCGCCCGCTAATGCGTCGCAGCATGCTCGTCAACACCTCCCAGATGATGGACACCTGGACAAAGTTCTTCTCGCCCAAGGTGGAGCAGGACAACTGGCTGGGCCTGCTCGTCAACATGTTCAACATCGGTTCCATCATCAGTTTCTTCATTACGTGAGTGCCGAGATCCCCCGGCCGTTCGTGCGCAGCTGACAGAATAGTCCCTACATCGCCGATACCTATGGCCGGAAGAACGCCATCATTATCGGATGCTGCTTCATGGTCGTGGGCGGTGTGGTCGGTACCGCGTCCAACGGATACAACATGTACATCGCCGGCCGAATCATCTTGGGTTTCGGCAACTCCCTGGCCCAGATGTGCTCGCCGCTGCTGCTGGTGGAGATCTGCCATCCCCAGCACCGTGGGCCGGTCACCTCCATCTACAACTGTCTGTGGAACGCCGGCGCCCTGCTGGTGTCCGTCATCGGCTGGGGAACGTCGTACGTGCCCAACAACTGGGCCTGGCGGTCGATCACCTTCCTCCAGATCATCCCGTCCGTCATCCAGCTGCTGTTCATCTGGTGTATGTATCGATTTCCTTTTGAGCTGCGACGCACCCCCTGCTAACGCGACTAGGGATCCCCGAGTCCCCCCGTTACCTGATCTCCAAGGAACGCCACGAGGAGGCCTTGGACATTCTGACCAAGTACCACGGCGGCGGCGACGTCAACAACTCGACGGTGCAGTTCGAGTACCGCGAGATCCGCGAGACAATCCGCCTGGAGCAGCAGGCCGGCGAGCAGAGCAGCTACCTGGACTTTTTCAAGACCAAGGGCAACCTGTGGCGGCTGGCCATCATCATCTCGCTGGGCGTCATCTCGCAGTACTCGGGTAACGCGCTGTTCTCCAACTACATGAACACCATCTACGAGGGCGCCGGCATCACCAGCCAGAACCAGAAGCTGGGCCTGAGCACCGGCAAGACCATTCTGGACATCATCGTCACCGTGGCGGCGGCCATGCAGGTGGACCGGTTCGGTCGGCGGCCGCTGTTTTTGATTTCCACTGCTGGTAAGCTGTCTGCTTCCCCTCGCCTCAATACTCACGACTGACTGATGACTGTCAGGCATGACGACCGCCTTCATCTGCTGGACCATCACCGGCGCCGTGTACGAGAACTCGGGCGAGACCAACTCCGGCTCGGGCTACGCGCAGCTCGTCTTCATCTGGCTGTTCGGCGTGTTCTACGACATCGGCTTCTCCGGGCTGCTGATTGCCTACGCGCTCGAGGTGCTGCCGTTCAAGCTGCGCGCCAAGGGCATGATGATCATGAACATCACGGTGCAGGCCATCCTGGCGATCGGCAACCAGACCAACATGGTTGCGTGGAACAACCTGCCCAACCACTGGAACTTCATGCTGTTCTACACGCTGTGGGATCTGTGCGAGCTGATCTTTGTGTACTTCTTCTATGTCGAGACCAAGGGCCCGACTCTGGAGGAGGTGGCCCGCATCTTCGACGGCGACGAGGCGGTGGCCCATATCGATCTGCACCAGGTCGAGAAGGAGATCCACGCCGAGTACCACGAGGAGATTACCAGCAAGGAGATGGCGTCTCCGAAGACGGCTGCTTAGCTGCGTCGGGGGGAGTGACAAGTGTTGTCGGTATTGGGATTGGGTCTACGGACTTATTTCATATTAATTTCATCATCTTCTTTTTTTCGGTAGTGATTCAATGGCAGAGACATCTCTTCTTGGCTCTGCAGTCTATATTATCGGAGAGACCCGATGCACAGCCAGCTGCACGTAAGACTAGCCGATGTCACTATGGACGGACATGGTTCTAGCGTCATATGAATACACAACAACGCATTGTGTAACCCTATAGCCTAAAGAGGCAAATGCCAAAGAAGCCAGTGATCCATGGTTCCGTACCCCAGTTCATGGAGATGTGGCTATGATATGATCTCATTGATTACAACATATCCAAAGCTGTTCCTACTCCTACTAAGTTTGCGTACGGAGTATATCTTCAACGGTTAAGCTAGGAACACAGTTTCCATGTACATACATAGCATGTCTCCATGTTACATGTGGCGGTGCCCAGGCAACTAGATACTAAAATAGCGTCTGCTGCTACCTGGTGCTCTCCTGACTATCATCTACCTATGTCTATCGCCACCAGCACAGCCAAGTGGACAGCTCCACCGCGAAACAAGGAACCCGCCACAGCAGAAAACGGTAGACACCGCTGATTAGCGACTGGATGGAGAAATGGCTCCGAGACACGGTAGATCTGCAGGCTGATCGTTGCTGGAAGGATCGTAGCGTGGTGTAGCGTGGTGGGGGTGTTTCAGTGTGAAGACCGATGATATCAGGGTCTGCCCATGCACAGCGATCACTACGGAGTATACGGAGTACGGAGTATGCGATAAATATAGAAAGCGTCCCCTATATAAGACCCTGATCCTCCTCTCTACCTGTAGTATAATCAATCCCAACATCACTCCCACCACATCCAATCTACTCCATATACATCAATCATCATGTTCTTCAAGACCCTCTCCCTCCTCGCCGTCCTCGGCTCCGCCTCCGCCCTCCCCCACGCCCACACCAACGAGGCCCGCCAGTCCCTGGCCGACAGCTTCAGCGTCATGGCCTCGCGCTCCGCCTCGCCCATCCACTTCCTCCCCATGACCGCCCGCGGCGGCCACTTCTGGCTCGGCGGCAAGACCTCCTCCTACTGCCCGAAGGAGGTCGAGGAGATGGGCGGCGTGTGCCCGCCCGGCACCGAGACGGCCTTTTTCGGCGAGCGCTCTCTGGTACGTCCTGTCCCCGTCCCTTCACCTCCCCAACACATTCCCCCCAGTGGAGGTATGTTGCTAACGTTGGTTGGTAATGTAGGCAGTCGAAGTCCCCGGCGGCCAGCAGGTCTACGTCGACCCCACCGGCGCCCTGAGCTTCACCGTCCCGCACAGCGGGTACATCCCGCCCGGCTCGTCGACCGGCCCGTTCGAGTACACGCCCGGCACGCCTATCGGCCACTGGGTGTACGAGGGCCAGGGCGCGAGCGGGTTCATGGCCTGCCCCGTGCCCGTGAACGGCACCGCGGACGTGCAGAAGAGCCCCCAGTGGCAGGTGTATGCGGCGCTGCAGAATGCGACCGTGCCCTCAGGTAGTGTGCGCGACTGCCTTGGGTTCAGTGCGATGGCTATCGCGCGCAATGGCAGCGAGTTTGCTGCTTGGGAGTACATCTAAGCAAGGGAGTCAGTATGCGTTGTATATAGGTGGTGGTTGGGGTAATGTGCAAGTGTGGTTGTACTAGTACATAATTGACTAATGATCGCATTGAATTAATGTCTGTTCATACGGAGTACAACTCTTTGAAAACGTTAAGGCTATGAAATCATTAACTACGTAACATAATCTACAGCTTAGACACCTGTCCCGCAGACGAAATCTCGTTGTACAGCAGACTGGTCAGGAAGTCCGCGTAGTCCTCGCCCGTCACCTGGCCCGCAAAGTACCGCGCCGCCAGCTGGAACTTGTTGCCCTTGGGGCCCTTGGCCGTCAGGCTGTCTGCCTGCTCCTTCAGCAGACGCAGCGCGTACGCCTTGTCGATCTTCTTGCCCTCGGACGAGGTGACTCCGTGGTGCACCCACTGCCAGAGCTGGCTGCGGGACACCTCGGCGGTGGCAGCGTCCTCCTACAGTCTGTTAGTACGAATTCACGACGTGATTATATGAGAAAGCCTACCATCAGGAAGTTGATGGGAATGCAGCCCACACCCCGGAGCCAGCCCTCCATGTACGACAGACCGATGTTGAGGTTCTTGCGGATGCCCTCCTCGGTGATCTTGCCCGGGACGTTGGTGTTGAGGAGGTCGTTGGCGGTGATGTGCACGTCCTCGCGGCGCACAAACAGCTGGTTGGGCGTGGGCATGTACTTGTTGAAGACCTCGGAGGCGATCGCCGCGAGCGCCGGGTGGGCAACCCAGGTGCCGTCGTGGCCGGCACGCACCTCACGCAGCTTGTCGGCGCGCACGCTCTCCATGGCCTTGTCGTTGGCGGCGGCGTCGTCCTTGATGGGAATCTGAGCGGCCATACCACCCTGGTCTCGTTAGCACTACTCACGCATCATCAAGGGGCGCAACGTACCATAGCATGCACACCACGACGGTGGCAGGTCTTGATCAGCAGCTTGACGTAAGCGTCCATGAAGGGCACAGTCATGGTGACATCCGATCGGTCGGGGAGCACAAAGTTGGGGTGCTTGCGGAACTTCTTGATGAACGAGAAGATGTAGTCCCAGCGGCCGCAGTTGAGGCCGGAGCTGTGGTCGCGCAGTTCGTAGATGATCTCGTCCATCTCAAAGGCGGCGGTAATGGTCTCAATGAGCACGGTACCGCGGATGGTGCCGCGGGGCATGCCGATGTAGTCCTGGGCCAGGTTGAACACGTCGTTCCACAGACGCGCCTCGAGGTGGCTCTCCATCTTGGGGAGGTAGAAGTACGGGCCGAAGCCGCGGGCCACGAGCTCCTTGGCGTTGTGGAAGAAGTACAGACCAAAGTCGAACAGACTGCCGGAGATGGGCTCGCCGTCGACGGTGAAGTGCTTCTCATCCAGGTGCCAGCCACGGGCACGGGCAATCAGCGTGGGCAGCACCCGGTCCGTCCGCAGCTTGTACTCCTTGTTGCCCTGCTTGAAGTCGACCTGGCGCCGGATGGCGTCGTACAGGTTGACCTGACCGTTGACCATGTTCTCCCAGGTGGGAGCACTCGAATCTATACCCTATGGTCAGCTCTGCGTCGCCACACCTCCTCTCAAGTAAACATACCCTCAAAATCTGCCATGTAGGTCCACACGTCCGAGTTCAAAGCGTTGACAACCATCTTGCGGTCGGTGGGACCGGTGATCTCGACACGACGGTCGACGAGACCGGGAGCCGGGGGCGCACCCTTCCAGGCATCGTTTTCACGGATGTGCTTGGTCTCCGGGAGGAAATCGGGCAGGTTGCCCTTGTCGATCTCGGCCTGGCGGTCGATGCGACGCTGCAGAAGGGCCTTGCGGGTCGGGTTGAAGGTGCGGTGCAGGATGGCCAGGAAAGCACAGGCCTCCTTGGTGAGGATCTTGCGGGCGTCGTTCGGGATGGCGCCCAGGATGGTGACATCCTTGAGCTGCACGTCGACTTGGCTCATGATGGGTGGGTGGATATTTTTCTCTGTATGTCTCGATGGATCTTATACCAGATAAGATAGGGACAATCGCAGTACACTTGTGTCCGGCAACAATCCAGAATCCGACACAAGAAGCAGACGATGAAAGAGATTCAGGAAAGCTGAAAGCTTGACCCGAGGCATCTCGATAATATATAGGTCATGGCTGGAGCATGTCGGGACTAGCTGGAGAGGCGCCTACGTCAGAATCCATGGGACAACCGCGGCCCATGGGAAGCCCCAATGAGTGCTGATAGGCAGGAGCACCCCAGTCTGGACCGTCACAGCGATACCGCTGGAGAAGCAACAGCCGGGAAAACGGGGAACGATGGAGGTCTAGCAGCTGGCAGAGCCAGTCATGAAGCTGTCCCCAGCGCGAGGATGAGCGGAGATTACCGCATTCGGCAGCGGAGGACCCAGGGCTGGTAATGTCATGTGACTTTCCCGCGGACAACCCGTAAGATTACCGGTATGGCTGTTACAGTCCCTTTCGGCCGACACCCCGCGTGCTGCTTTACGGAGTCCATTGTTGCGCTGCTGCTGCTACGGCGAACGGCGGCTACCGAGTCTTATCGGCGCGGGACGAATAGCCGTGACTGTCTATATTATGCGATGGATGGCCTGCAAAGACCATCCCGAGAGCGGAATTGGGTATATAAGACGGGACCCCAATCTCCAACAGGAATCATACTAGGTAAGGTAGGTAGGTACCTTAGGTCCTCCGTAATACCTAGGTGAATACCTCGGATGTGGAAGTGGGAAGCTCTCCCCGCCCATCCGCCCGATGTTTTTGCCTCTGACGCGCAACCGCGGCTGCATTCCTGCCTGAGGCTGCCGAGTTCTCCCGACTATGAGTACAGCTTCATCTGCCGGTATCTATCTGAGCTCATCAATGCGGTGGGCATACCCTGGAGCTAGCTGTATTCATGCTGTCAATATCAATGATCATGTCGCACCAACTCACCCTCACCCTCACCCCTGAACCCTCATATCAAATCCCACCCCATCACCACCCGACATGTGAATCGACATGTGATGCACCGGTGAATCACCATCTCCCGAATCTCTCCCGATATCTTGTCTATCGGGATGTCACGGACACTGCATGATTGGGTGACTCAATCGACCCGACCTCTCTGCGGCCTCTGATCTAGACCGTCTCAAGGTAGCGCCTTACTTCCTGCTGCAGACATCCATATCATCCTAAGGACCTTGGACACCTACCAATCAGTCACCGCCTCCAGGCCTCTAAACGCTCCGCGAATGCATCGCCAAATACTTCTCGTGAGACTGTCGCCTCGCAGAAATCGGGCCTCACCTCCTTGAGTGACTTGACTTGGCCAGACGCACCCCCCGTCGCTCGCACCCTCATCTCCTCGCCCTTGCACTTGCAATTGCAAGCTTCTTCTCGCCCCGCGCCATCCTAACGCGACAATCGCCGCCGAGGCATAATGCGGGTTTGCATCCGCCCCGGCACCCGCACCTCTAACCGCGTGGCTTCGCGCTCGCCGTCGGCAGACTGATCGTGCGAACCGGCACGGCCCGACGTCCCAGTCCCCAGGACACCGTCACCGGCCCCAGAAGTTCCCACGAGCCGTTTGTAGGAGTTGACTGTCGGCGCAAACAGCGGCATGATGTCAGGGAGATAGACGTGCATGTGGCCGCTGTTCCCTGGGATGCCTTCACGCGGCTTCGCCATGAACTTCGGTATTGTACATGTCCCAGCCGAAGATTACAGAGCAGAAGCGGACTCCGTCGGCGACAATGGAGAGGAGACTCCTTAAAACGAGCTTGCCGCGGAGCATGCCGTCGAGGTCCATGCCTGCGAGCTTGGCCCTCGTGTCATTTTGGAGGATGTCGGCGGCTTTGTCGGTTGTGACTGATGATGACAATAATGGACCATTGTCGAGTATCAGAGATGGCATTTTGTAGAGAAGATAAACAAAGAGCGATATCGATAATAGATCGACTGCCTGCCCGATACGGTAATGCTCCACTCTATCTGTTTCGGGTTAGCTCGTGGCCGTCTACCGCCTTCCATCTGCTTTCTGCTGGCAGAACGGTTCGGGAAGGCGGTCATGTCAATGCATACTCCTGTCTTCATCTGCCACCAGCACTATAGACGATGGAGTAAGTGGTTAACGAGTAGCAGATGGAAAATTAGAGGCAGACGGTGGGTTTTACTCCAATGACAATGATGTGGCGAGGCTGTCCAGGTGTTGCTGTCCTCTGACATCACGAGCCGCTCCCTACCCGGTGAACAACATGACATACCATGATAATATGCATGCCAGAATGACTTCGAAGCATCGTATATCGAATGCCCAATTCTCGTTATCTAGAGTGTGACGAAGAGTGAGCAGGTGGTTCCGTGATAATCGTACCGTGAATCCCTGCAACGTGCACTCGCTTCAGTCCTCATCCATATCACACTACACCCAAGACAGATGCACCAACCATCTACCTATATTAAAAAGCCAATATCCGATGAATTTAACATGCCAGTGTGGCTTGGTCTGATTCATATTGTTTTACCCCATGTTTGCCGGCGTACTTCCCGACAAGTATGTATACTACAGACGATCATCATACGATCAATCACGCCACGCAAATCCCCATCATGTCACAACTCCGCTTCAATTGATCTAACCCCATCTATATAAACGAGTTACTGTTCTTCAAGAGTGCGTACAACCTACTCAGCTAAGCCATTCTAAACATACATCTGAATATCACACTTAATGCATTCGTACACGCCATCTCCCCATCGCCCATACCTCAACCCGGGCACACTCCCCAAAGGAACAATCGGAAAATGGTACGCATCGTCTTCCTCCCCAGGCTACATTTCAGCTAACAGTGGACAGGTATCTCCCCGCAATGGCGATGATAGCACTGGGTACAGTTCCCACCTTAACGGCACACGACACTATCTAACGGAACCAGGCTTCGGGATATCCAACTACTACATGTCCACGCCCCCGCAACGAGTCGCCTTCGATCCGGCAGAGGAAGAACGTCTGCGTAGGAACAAGGAGCTGATGGATGCATATGGCGACAAGGAGACAATCCAGGACATTGAACGGGCCTTGTCGCTCTACGAACTGCAGTAGGATTGGCGGTGCCGTCCTGCTCCCGCAGTTATGACTTACGATCGGTTGTGGGTTTGCAGCAGGTGTTATGGCGTTTATTATCGAAGCTGGTCTTTGTGTAGCTACCAATATGGAAGTCTTTGTCTTCAGCCTATATCTATATTCAATCCTAGTGCTCAACCTTCGGACCCGTAAAGTTCTTCCGGCCATCGACAATCCACTGCACAACCGAGACTACCACAATAATCGCGAATGCAACGATACAGTAATCTATCCTGTCAGCCAGTCCAGAGAAAATACCGAATACTGCAAACGTACTCATGCTACTGCCGGTCACCGGTCGACCCGGCGGAAACAAGAACAACACTGTCGTGAGAGCAATATACGACAGGGAAATCTAAATATCAGTTAGAAACATCCTCCAGCAGCCTCAGACAACATACAATATCCACAATCCATCCGAATATTGCAGGCAGTCTCCACTTCCGATCAGGAAGCGTCTTCCTCCCTCGGAGGCAGTTCACGGCTATGGGCATGGCGTAAGACAGGTCCAATGCCACGACAGAGGAGGAGATGATGGCATTAAATGCGCTGTGCTGTCAGCAGCTGTATTCAGTAAACGGCAATAAACATACCTGGTAGAGCCCAGATAGATCAGCCCGAAAATGATCACCACGAAAGACGTCAACAGCAGCCCGTTCAGCGGGAGCTTCAGTTTCGGATGGACGCGACAGAAGATCCGTGACGCTGGGAGGCCGCCATCTCTGTTTCATACTCATTAGCCTGTATAGTAGGGAGAATAGTAGAAAGCGTACCGGGCAAATGCAAAGATCATCCGACTGCTCGTCGTCATCACGCTCAGGGTTGCAAAAACCAAGCAGACCAGTGGAAGCCTAAAATGTCAGCCACACTCAACCGAAAGATCCTCGAAGCCCTACATCAGCAAACATATACCGCCGGCCGTGTTATTGGTCGCATGAAGCAGGATCTGTAGGAGAGGCCCTGCGCTTGAATTCACGACTTTGTTGATATCGCCTGCCACGAACAGGAGGACCATGAGGAAGATGGCACCAGTGAATGTTCCGATGGCAACGCAGGTTACCATGATCTTGGGCCCTCTAATAGAGGGTTGAGGGATCTCTGTTCAGTTTAGCAGTGTATCATAGGTTGGTTGAGGGAATTTACCTTCAATCATATGCGCCACCGCATCCTACACTGGTTAGCTGAGATAACGAGCACGGAATGCAACATACAAATGCAGTCACACCGAGGCCTCCTTGTAGAAGCTACGTCTATTAGTTTTACCACGCAATAAGGAGCATGTAGACAAACCCCTAGTAGCCAGGCTACTCCGTCAGGCCCTATAGTCGTCAGGATCGTTCAGACGTCCGTGGATACCAGACTTACATCCCGTCTGATTCACAAAGTCACAGAATACAAAACTACTCTCTGTCAGTTTCTGCACGTCTAATTTCTGCCATCACACCTACTAGGCTGTGTTGTAGTCCGGCGACGCGCACGCCAGCACAGTAATAGAAACGAGCACGAACCCCCCGATGGACCAGGTGACTATCCATGTCAGAAAGCCTGCAATCTATAGCACAAGCCAACATACAAGCTCCACGGTAGATAATCGGCAACACGGAGTTCATAAAGGCGTTGACGACAAACGCCAGTAATGTGTACCCCACATAGATGAGGAACTGCTGCCATCGCTGCCAAACAAAGTCCTATCTGCCGATCAGTAACATCACATTAGCTTAACGGCTTGAACTCACAGGATACACTGCAGAAACAATGCCAACGATGAGTTGACTCGACAATAGGGCATTAGTAGCCACGAGCGCGATCTACATGCTCATTAGTCTGGTCCGCACTGTGCCTACATCGACATCGACACCATACCCAGCCAGCTACATTGATCCACCCCGTCACCCAAGACAAGATCGGCACCCACTGTGGCCACGATACTGTCTCCTGGTATCAGTGGGGATCAGTGGAGATCTCGGAGATACGTACCGGCTATCACTTATCAGCAATGCAGTGCTCGCGCAAGGGCCAACCGACTTACCAGCCACCCAGTGGTATTGGCCTCCAGCGCTGTAATGTAACACATTAGACATGTCCTGTGGCCATTAGACCCAATAAGACAGAATAGAATACTCACGTCGGATATGCGGACAGAAATTCGGCCAGGGATGTTGCGATGCATAGATTGCAGACGCCTGCGGTGACCAGCCCTGTATTCAGTATTATAATCAGTACTGGTTATCAGGTAACCTAGCGATAGATAGCAAACCCCAGATAACACTAGTGCTCCCGCCCGAGGTCAGACTGATTGATAGGCTTGCCGACAGCGCCGTCCACGACTGTGCTGTTGGTTAGACGAGACGATTCAAGATGACCCGGCCACCAGGATACTTACATTCAGCACCGCAAATGCCAAGCCAAGCATCGAACTGATATCTCATATTAGCTAGCCTCTCTGCATGGTACAGTCACGCCTACAGAGTCGAGAAGTTCCGTTGCAGTTCGGGCTTGTGGCCCATCCGTTGCAACTGCGCATCATCTTCGGGAATATAGTCTGGTTTAGAGTCCTCCATGGTCCTATTGGGGGATTGAGAGTGTTCCACTGAATGTATGTAGTATGTACGACCTTGTACATAGCTGCCGATGTGGCCCCCGTATTATACGGAGTACCCATCTTCCCGATCCCTTGCTCCTTCCGAGCCACCATGATGGATCAGGAATGTCCATCCTAACGCAGCTGCGGGGAAGCTTTATTCAGTCTGAGGACGGATTCTGATGAAGAGGGGAAAGCTGATCGTCGTGTAGTACCTAGGTACGTAGGCACCTTAGCTCCCGACGCAGTATTGATAATGAAAATACCGGTACTAATCCGAACAAACACGCACTAGCAAATCATTACACTTGTTCATATCGGGGCCACATGCTCCCAGCAGGGGATACTACCTTAGTAGCTGATCAGCCCGGTGGGCCATAGCTATGCAAGGACGGACCTGAGATCAGCCCGCCTGGACTTACCCATCTCGTGCTGCCCCCTTTGTTGCCATCACGGCTACCTCCGCCCTGTGAAGTGTTCGCCCACCGCCGATTCGACAGTCAAGCACTGTTCACGGGTCACAAGCCCCATCTTGATCATCCCGCTCTGCAATCCAGTGCAGGCTCATTAGTGGAGCGGCTGACTATCGAGATTTGCTTTTTTCACTTTTTTTTGTTTTTCTACGGGGCGTCCGAGATATGCCTGTCTTTATATACCCGACGTTCCCCCGAGGGTGGATGTCGTTAACGTGTTTTCCTGGTCTTTTGTCTCTGGGTCTTCCTACGGAGTGGTTTTGAGGCACTTGAAGATGCATATTCCTTCGAAATACGGACTGCTGGCCGCCAGTGCCATCCAAGCATGCTCTGGATATGTTGCCCAGCCTAGAGCTAACGATGCAACATGCAAGAGTACTACGAAAACTACTGTTGCTATTCTGTAAGTCAACGCTCTCTGCTCTACTTGAAACGCAATCTGATATCCGCAGGGGCGGTGGAATGGCTGGCGTTACTGCGGCCGTAAGTGATGAGTCCGCATAATAGTGAAGGTGTATCAAAACTGATTCGATCAGCAAGCGTTAACAAACGCATCTGTCACCGACTTTCTTATCCTGGAATACCGTGACACCCTGGGTGGTCGCATGTGGCACACGGACTTTGGCAAGGACGAGAACGGCCACCCGTACACGATAGAACTCGGTGCAAATTGGGTATTTCTGTCGCAGATGGCAGCATACAGCCGAGCTAACAGAAACAGGTCCAAGGAATTGGCTCGAATAAGACCGGTAAGTATCACGTCCCAAGCGAGATGTACTGGACTAATGTCTGAAGAAAACCCTATCTGGCGCCTGGTAAATGCTCCCCGATCTGCATCTGCATGAAGAGAGGGAATCTCACGTACAACAGGCCAAGAAATACAACCTTAAGAATCACTATTCCAACTACGATTCGATACTCACGTATGATGAGCATGGATACGTTGATTTCCAGAACGTGCTGGACGAGTACAGCGAAGCTTCCGAAAAGGCCACCCAGGAAGCTGGGAGATTGCTGGTCCAGAATGCGCAAGATATGACCGCGCGATCCGGCTTTGCCCTCGCTGGATGGAATCCTGGACACGACGACATGAAGGCCCAGGCTGTGGAATGGTGGAACTGGGGTACGACCATTGTACAGCCACTTTCTCGCAGACACTGACCTACCGTACCAGACTGGGAAGACGCCTGGACACCAGAAACCAGCTCATTCATCTTCGGAATGGCCGGAGAAAACCTCACCTTCAACCAGTTCGGCGAAGACAACAACTTATGCATCGACCAACGAGGCTTCAACGTCCTCGTCACCGAGGAAGCAAAAACCTTCCTAAAGCCCGAACAAGTCCGTTTCAACACGCAGGTGACACAGGTCGACTATTCATCCGACGGGGTGACCATCCACACCAAGAACGGCGATTGCGTCCGCGCCGCCTACGCCATCTGCACGTTCTCCGTCGGCGTCCTCCAGCGCGACGTCATTAAATGGGAACCAGAACTCCCCCTGTGGAAGCGGACCGCCATCCAGAAGTTCGAGATGGGCACCTACACCAAGATCTTCCTGCAGTTCAACGAGACCTTCTGGCCGGAAGACAAGCAGTTCTTCCTGTACGCCTCCTCCACCACCCGTGGGTACTACCCTGTGTGGCAGTCCCTGTCTACGGAGGGCTTTTTCCCCGGCTCGAACATCATCTTCGTCACCGTCGTCCAGGATCAGGCCTACCGCGCCGAGCTCCAGTCCGACGAGGAGACCAAGGAAGAGGTCATGGAGGTCCTGCGCCAGATGTTTCCCGACAAGGACATTCCAGAACCCATCGCGTTCATGTACCCGCGCTGGACGTCCGTCCCCTGGGCGTACGGGAGCTACTCCAACTGGCCGGCCGGCACCACGCTCGAGGTGCACCAGAACCTGCGCGCCAACGTCGACCGCGTGTGGTTTGCCGGCGAGGCCATCAGCGCGGAGTACTTTGGGTTCTTGCAGGGTGCGTGGTTTGAGGGGCGTGAGGCCGGTATGCAGGTTGCTGGCCTGTTGCAGGATCGATGCGTGAACATCTACGGCGATCGGGTCTGCGGACAGCGCGTTCACTATGACCCATTGCAGGGTACAACGCCGATTGATGCCTACACGCTGATCAATGGCTGGCCTGTGGATAGTATAAATTTGGAGTAGATTCGTGCGTTGCTTAGTATAGACTGACGGGTTTGCGATTTATGATATCATCCTGTCTGTATGCCTTTGAGGATCTGTATTGGGTCGGTTTATTATAGGCGTATATCATTCAACCATTTTGTAGACAACAATCACCTATCATTTTCTTACTCATGTCATACCAGAAGGAGATATCACCTCTAGGAAATCCGAAGGGATTCTTCCACTCGTTCTGCGAGGTTCAGAGAAGTGCCGGTCCCTCCTTCAGCTCTCGCTTTCTTCCACCTTTCCATACTTTCCTTGCTCCACACAGTCTCACGAGTGGGATAGTATCCCTCATACTGCGGCACATCCGCATTCAACTGAACAAAACTCCGTTTACTCCTGGTATAGATATGGACATCGGGGCCGACCTTCCAGGGCTCATCCAGAGTACCCACGCGGATGAATCGAAACAACGGCCCAGCTCCAGGATAATTCGACCAAACAGCCACGTAGCATCTCGGGCATCGCGCTATGCTCTGTCCCCTCTGGGACTCGGAGGGCGTGAGGATATACTTCGGCTCGGCAGTGGTGGTCTCTTCAGGCTGGAACAGCGGAGGGCCGGCTGGCTTTGCTTCATCTCCCAGGGATGCGGGCACTGTTGCAGCAGCTGCTGGGAGGGAGGTGACATTGGAAGTCTCGATCACGGCGTTCAGGGCAAATGCAGTCCCTGTCTCTCGTTGGCAGCTCGTGCAATGGCAACAGTGCACGACGAGTGGGGAGTCCTCGAGACGATACCGCAAGAAGCCGCAGGCGCATCCGCCCTCCATTGGGGACGGGGCTGGTTTGTCTGAAGGGGGATCGACTGTCATGGTGAGCTGTTGCGTGGGTGTAAAGAAAAAACGTGGAGAGGGACGGCTGGGTCTTAAATACTTGATATCCAGAGCGGGGCCTTCGTATCCGGGCGTTGTAGGACGCCACATTTGAGGGACTAAGTTCGTATACGGATCCAATGCAGGTACTAGCTGGACGTAAGCTGTACGGAGCTGTATTGTTATGACATTGCTTCTCTAGTCATTGTGGCCAGTATTTCTTGGCTAGGATATGCCCGAATCTCTGGTCCTTCCCATTCAGTCATATACAATCTGTTGTTTCAATAGACTGATAGAGTATCGGAATGCAGTCTACGGTATCTTCAACCAATTCCCGTCATTCATACGCACTACTGTTAGTCTCTGAATAGCAATCTTTCAACGCCGACTGATATGTTCGTAATTCTACTGGATTTCGGGAAGTATCAATCATTTGGAATTGGTGTCTTGATGGATAATTGCAGCTGATGGACGAAACCAAACAGCCTGCATGAGGCTCTCCAGTAAACGCACAAAGCAGGCAAAATATACTTCAATTTGCAAATCGCTTTATGCGACAGCCGCACTGCTCTTATGAATCCACAATCTCTAACATAATGAAGTACAGGTGGATTCAGTCATCACACAGCAGGATCAGAGGGGAATCCTGCGGCCAAGATATCTCACCCCGATATTCCGCCAAGCCAATGACTCCACGATATGAGGCCCATAATCGCCAAGGCGCTGCCGAGAAACACGGCGGAATCAAGAGTCCAAAAGAGATCCAGGGGCGCCAATCAGGCGAGAAGTGCTTTGCACGAGGCAGAGAGCTTTATAGACCTTGTCCATGGAGGGAACCATGTACCTGGCATCAACTCCTCCGCCTCGAAGCGAGACTTGGCCTCCTCATACGAGCCGTCCGCATCCTGGGCTTGTCTGCTGTCGTAACCTCCGCCCCAATCAAACCAATAAACTAGGATGGTTGTCTCATGCGACGCTGTCTCTATCCACTCCAGAGACATGTGTGTAATGAGGTAGCTATCATTGGCTTTTCCAGCTGCAGTATCAATTCCATGGCATGTAGCTCTTTATGAAAGAAGATGTCAGGACACAAGGTGGTCACACAGTATAAGAAGCCCCCAGTCCAGCTGTCTTGTGGAACACACAAGGAGAACCATCAGAAAAGCATCGACGCCTCCTTCGACACCAACAGACAAAATGGTGTATGCCAGCACCTTGCTCTCCTTGCTGGCCCTGTCCACCGGGGCATTGGCCAGCTACAGCAACAATCTCAACTATCGCAGTCCGTCACTTAATCATGCGCGCATGGGAATTGACCTCGACATCGTCCAGCGCCGAAGCCTCTCCAAGCGTGATGAAGCCCCTTTTAGCCCATCGGACCTGAAATTCACCCACAGTGTGGCCTCGGGTGACCCCTACCCTGACAGCGTGATTCTGTGGACCCGTATCGCGCCTTCGATGGAGGCCGACAACACGAACGTCACGGTCTCGGGCGATGTGCCGCTCTACAACCATGAAACTGAGCGGTACATCAAGGCGTCCCCTCACCCGATCTGTCTAGACTATCGTGTGTTTGCGGATCAGAATGGTACAAAGGTCGTCACAAAGGGTCGTGCCTACACCACTAGCGATATTGACTACACTGTCAAGGTATTGTTGCCCTACGATTGCTCAATTGTGGATCGTCTGACAACGTACAGGTCGAGGCGGATGGACTGAAGCCCTTTACCACCTACTGGTACCAGTTCAATGTCTGCAACTCGCGTATTGTCAGCCCCATGGGAAGAACAAAGACCGCTCCGAAGGGTCACACGGATGAAGTCAAGCTGGCCGTCCATTCCTGCAGCAACTATCGTATGCATCCGAGGCTCTTCTTTATTAACAGTAGCTGACTGTCCCAGCCAACGGATACTTCAACGCGTATGGCAATGTTGTGCGCAAGGACAACGTGGACTACGTGGTGCGTCTGCTCTACCCTGACCGAAGCACCATGCTCACTCTCTAGGTCCATCTCGGCGACTATATCTACGAGTACGAAAACGGCGTCCCCGGTGTCGATGAGCGCGCGGCTCAACCTCCTCACGAGATCTTCACCCTGTACGACTACCGCACTCGATTCAACCAAGTATGCCCATCCAAATCTCAAAGCACCGCTCCTCCTAATCACATGTCAGTACCGCACCGATCCCGATCTTTCGGCTTCGCACCAGAACTTCCCCTGGATCAACGTGTGGGACGACCACGGTAAGCAGATTGGCAGAAGTTAAGTGAGACACTCTGACAACCCAGAAATCGCCAACAACGGATACCGCGACGGCTTCAGCGGCCTCCGCAACACGGAAGACTCCTTCCTGAACTATGGCCCCCAGATCAGCGTAGACCAGCGCAAGATGAACGCCGTCCGAGCCTACTTCGAATGGATGCCTCTTCGGTCAGCCTCCTCCCAGTCCATACAGCTCCATCACTGACATCCCCCCAGCCAGGTCGACATGGACGACGGCCTGCGCATCTGGCGCTCGTTCAAGATGGGCGACCTCCTCGACCTGATCATGCTGGACACGCGCCACTACGACCGCAGCATCACCGACATCGGTGCGCACCCTCCCCTCCCCTTCCCCATCCGTCCTCGCTAACAGCCGCAGGCGACAACGAGGACTACATCTACATGATCCACAACGACGCCGGCCGGTCGCTGATGGGCGCGCGCCAGGAGAACTGGTTCTACCGGCAGATGTCCGAGTCCGCGGCGCGCGGGACCAAATGGCGCGTCGTCGGCAACCAGCTGCGCTTCACGCGGGTGGAGACGACCAGCGCCGACGACGGCACCGTCAGCTTCAGCCTGGATAGCTGGGACGGCTACCGCGCGCACCAGAACCGCACCCTCAAGCACCTCTTCGACAACAACATCGGCGACAACATCATGATCGCCGGCGACACCCACGTCAACTGGGTGAGCGACCTTGCCTGGATCGGGGAGCATGACTATGACGAGAGGACTGGAGCGGGCTCCGTGGGTGTCGAGTTCGCCGGCACGGCGGTCTCGAGTACTGGGTTTGGTGGCACGATCAGCAGTGCGGAAGAGGAGGCGGCTGGCTACAAGGAGAACAAGGAGTTGCTCTGGACTGAGGGGTACTACCGCGGGTACTATGAGCTGCATCTGCGGCGGGATGAGGCGGAAGCGAGGTTCTTCGGTGAGTGGCATGCTGTCTTTGCGAATGGAGTGAGGCTGACTGTGTAGGCTGTCCGACGGTGGCCACGCGCAATGCTTGGGAGTTGCCTCTGGCGAACTTTACCGTCAAGCATGGAGATAGCCATCTGATGCGCCCTGTGGCCGGCGGGAAGGTGGAGGCTGGATTCATCCAGGAGGGTGAGGTCAAGCACACCAACTTGACTCTTAATACTGAGACTGGGGAGTGGAGGGTTATAGGGTTTGAACAGATGTTCCTTAAGTCTGAACATTAGTATCTGGACCTTTGTTCAGATATTCTGCCGTCTGGTCAACATTGCACCCTGTTGGGAATCGTTTCAGTCTTTTTTAATTACTTCCAGTGCCTGGATATGTTGAATGTGACCTAATTATGTATATCGTCTCTTGGCGAGCAAATAGGATTATAATCTAGATGCACCACCATATTTCTTCCCATCTGTTTCTCACCCGATCAAACCAACAACTAGCTCTCTTCGTCCGGTCATCGCAATCAGATTACAATCCGCAAGCACGAGATATTGGGTATCGATGGGTAATCATGCACAACCTTCATAGCCAATTCAAGAGCCAACCTTGCGGGTAGCAGGCAACACACTATATCTACAGAAACAGATCTGCTTTCCAGCCTAGACAGGAGACTAGAACAAGCATCCGTGTCAGCAATACATCTAGTAGATAGTAACCTAGAAATGTAGGACCAATCACGTACCGGACTGTCCAAGCAGATCGGAAAGAGTTTGTTCGGCATTGCGATGATCCCTATAGTTCGTTGAGATAATGCAAGATGATATGACGAAGAAAGAGTAAAGCCGATTGGAGTAATAAAGCCAAGTCTGTCCCCTTGGGCCACTCCATGTACTTCCACACATGTCGTATAAACTCAATTACCAGTATGATATATATTACACTGGAAGGTCAGCTCGAGATGTCCCAGTCCGCGTCTATGAATGTACAAACCTCCACTGACTTCGTGCAAACCTTCTAAAAGCACTAATATTTGGCGAGTGTCCCGCCGAGGAAGAGTGAGGGATCGGTATAGAGGTTCTTTTATCGGTATCCATTTGGTTCAATCTGAGAATAGATGAGATTAAGACAGTGAAGAAAGGAGGAGAGCGGATAGGGCGTGCTAGGTATTTATCTAACTCCTTCAACTAGCGCTAACCGATATCCACTCACTTTTTTAGGGTCCGTCGGGCACTGTCCAATATCCATGGTCATTCTGGCCGTGGACTCCATCTAGGGACTTGGGTTTATGTAATAGCAAGTGGTAGTAGATTGATAGCCCGTCCAGTGGATCCCACTGGAGTATCCTCCGAACACCGTTGTGGATTAAGATCAAATCGAAACCGTTATCCCTGGGAGGGTGAACGCCGCTGAGTGTACCTAGGTAGTGCAGAATGCAGACCTAATGCTGACTCTTGACCGCTCCCGGACGCCCCGTCGGGCCGGCCGGGAAGGCTCTATAAACACGCCATCTCTCCACCAGCTACCTGGCATCCTTCCACCACCACTTTCCGGCAGCGTCAAAATGGCCACTGTCAACTCTGCCGATTGTTTCTGGGGTGCCCCAACATCAAAGGCCAAGTTAGTATGTACCTTATGCGTTTCTTCACTTGCTGATTCCGACAAAGCTTCTGCGAGGCGGACTATACGATCAGCAAATATGTCGCCGAGTTTGTCAACAGCCTGACGAATATCGTCTACAGTAAGTCACCAGAGGAAGCATGAAATTATAATCTAACCTTCTTTATTAGTCATCTACGGCATCTACGGGTTGCGCCGACTACAACGGAGCGCGGACAAGTATAAGGATCCTTTACGGGTCCTTCCCTACTGGGGATTAATAGCAGTCGGCCTGTGCTCATTTGCATTCCATCTCAGCCTCAAGTACCACACCCAAATGAGTATGTGCTGCGTCTTTCCAACATTAGCTGCTCTCCGGATTAACCTCTCGAATAGTGGACGACCTCTCTATGCATTTCGCGACAACCCCGGTTCTACATCGTGTCCTCACAGCTAATTCGAATCGCCAGGACTCTGTCATTTCTGCTATCGTGCTTGGTTCTGTTTTGCTCATTCTGATATTATTCCATGTGATTACTGATGAGTTGATCCTTCATTCCGGCTTCTTTATCTGTTCGGTGACCGTCATTGGGCTTTACACTATTCGGCTCATTAATCGCCGGACGCTGCCGGACTCAGTTGCCCGGCGACAAATGTGGGGAATAGTTAAATTTGGAGCAGGTGGGCAAACCTAGCCTTACAATAATATTCTAAATTACTAACTTTGGTTAACAGCAATCTTCAATCTGGGGTATTGGTTTTGGCTAGTTGATCAGTGGGCCTGCACGTACTTGACTAAAGCGAGAGAAACAGTAGGTTTTCCCTGGGCTTTGGTGTTAGAGTTTCACGGGTGGTATGTTTCAGAGCCCTTGCCCTTCTCTTACCTCATGAAACTCATGGAAATAGGTGGCATATCTGTACTGGGATAGGGGCCTACATCTTTATCGCTGCTGTAGATCTCCTGGTTTCAGGTGAGGATATCAGTGAGCCCAAGCAGTCATTCGCCTGGCCTGCTTCCTGGGCAGCGACATCGATTTTTGCAGGACGTGGACTGTCTCGTGCCCAGGAGGAGAGTAAGAAACAAAAGTAGATCAAGACCATATATGGTTCTTGAGATGAAGGAAGTGTGGCCAGATCTTCGCAGATGATATATGCTTTATTACAGATCTAGGTATTCTTTTATACTGGTTGTGAGCATGATGAAATACAGGTTATGCTTTTCTTCTACATTCTCTTTTGATGTCTCTTGTTAGGTGTTTATCAAATATTCTGTGCTATGACTTACTCTAGGACAGGAAAAGGAAGGGAAAAAAATCTCTATACAGACTTGCCACCGAATTAGAAACGGTTAGGTCTCAAGCATAAAGGCACAGGCCACATGGCCATACGGAGTACAATGCCAACCGTTAAAGAAGAGATAAGCTTAACATGGCCATCGGGTGGAGACCATAAAAATCTGTTTGCCGCTTTAAAGACCATGGTTCATCGTGCTCGCGTTCGCGCTCGTATTCTCGTACCCTCGTATCCAGTATGGCAAAAGTGGGTTTCACCCATAGCCTAGACTGGGTAGATTTGAATCGCCCAAGCTTCTCTCTCTTTAAATACACCAAGTGCAGAACTCTTGTTCTCACTTTATCTCTGTTCTTACGCCCTGATCACTATCCAGCCTTGTGTGAGCTGCACCCAACGCAATGGCAGGAAACAGCGACGACTACGTCTACAAACTATACCGTTATGTTCCTTCAATTCCTGCTGGTGCCATCATGGCAGTGGTCTTTGGCTTACTCGCCATTGCCCATTTCTATCGAATCATCAAACACAGGACCTACTTCTTCATTCCGTTTTTTATTGGCCTTCTCCGTATGTCAGACCTGAATGAGCAATTCAATGACAATCTCCTCGCTAACGTCGATTCGTCACAGTTGAAGCAGCAGGATACATCGCCCGCATCTTCTCCCATTTCGACACCGAAGCTCTCGGCCCGTATATTGTCCAGACGATGTTGATCCTCGTCGCGCCTCCGCTCTTCGCCGCCTCCATCTACATGACCCTCGGGCGAGTGATTGTGGCGCTTAATGAGGAGTCGGCTTCACTGGTCCGTGTACGCCTGCTGACCAAGGTGTTTGTCGTTGGGGACGTCATCTCGTTTCTGCTACAATGCGGAGGTAATCAATCAATCAGCCCTGCGCCCATCGCCTTCAACGCAAGCCGCTAACCGATTCCGGTGTTGAACAGGAGGTGGTTATATGGCTGCCGGGACTCTCGACACCATGCAGAACGGCGAGCACATCGTCATTGCCGGCCTGGCCATCCAGCTACTCTGGTTTGGATTCTTCGTCGTCGTCGCATCGGTCTTCCATTGGCGCGTCGTCCACCAGCCGCGACATACGCATCCCAAAGAGCTCAGATCGCAGAGTTCGCGGTTCTCCTGGCACTCGCTGATGTGGGCCCTCTATATCGCGTGCGCGCTCATCCTGGTTCGGTCCATCTTTCGAGTCGTCGAGTTTGTTCAGGGCAATGCCGGCTTCATCATGAGACATGAGTATCTGCTGTACATCTTTGATGGGCTCCTCATGGCGTTGACGGGGATTGTGCTCTTTGTCGTGTTTCCTGGTTCGTTCGTGTCCACCCACGGCCGAGACGACGTGTCAGATATGGTTGCTCTGTCGGATTCCTAGTGGCGTTTTCTTATTTTGTGTGAGGATATTGGATGTGGGTTTGCCTTGTTCTGTTCTGCTTCGCTCCGTGTTTTATAGATATCCTGCCACTTAGAGTTGGGAGTTTGGCATAAGATTGGGTTTTTGGAGACAAGATTCGTGTGAGGCGGGGGATCAAGCTCTCCTCGGTCTCTCGACAGGCTGGTGCCTGGTCACTAAAGATATCCGAGCACACAAGGATGACGGGACCCCACTTGGTGAAACTCGGTACAGAGTACACAGCCCGTTCACCCACCACGAACATCTTCCAGCATTGCGGTTCAACTTCCACTATAAATAGAAAGTGAGATTATCGGTACCATACTCTGGAGATGGTAGGCATCAGTGCTCCGTAAATAGTTACATAGGGTCCATTCTGCAGAACAAGACTAAACCCTACTGGTAGGACAATCCCCGCATTCCTAATTAGGGAACAGAACCAGCAGTAGACATTTGTCATTACTTCGGGACAGATCTTATCTCTAGGGACTCCGCATATTATGATACTATATAGTAGGTAGTAGTAATTATCTAGAACCTAGATGAACTATCCGACTATTTACTATTATAGAGAATACAGAGTCACCTCATATAGTATATTCTATAATATAGCTAACAGTTTTCAGTGCGCTGCAGTAGAATATACCTATCATCTTCTACCATGTACAAGTCATAGATCGACTATATATCTTCTTCCTAAAGAGTACTTTGGGAAACCCTTCTTTAGACAGGAACAGTTCTTACTCGGGTTTTTCGTTGGATGTATATCGCCGTAATCGGGAACTCATCTTATGGTCATCGGTCCATTGTCAATCAACTGAAGAAAGAAGATATACCGCCTTCGTGGAGCTTACTGGATGTAGCGAAGACAGAGATCAGCATGAAAAAGGCCTATTAACACAGCAGATATTGTGGGCCGATGCTTGTCGAGGCCATCCGCCTAAGGGTCCCTGGTTGCGTGTTTAGAGTGGATATTGGTCCCTTGTAATCGCCAAACACTGGAGAGTACCCACGTACCTGGTATACCACGAAAAGTGACACACCCCGCCAGAACCATCAAACAAACAGCTGGGGATTCTTGCGCCAAACTCCAAGTCCCTTCTGTAACATTGCATTCCCTCCTGGCTGTTGAAGGAGCACTGCCACGATGCACATGTGAGCGTGGAATCCCCACAGTCATCACGCCTCAAAGAGGAAATTCGATCACGAAACCGAAAGCACGTCCGCTGGGCCACGCCTCGAGTGCAGAGTCTCTGAATAACAGCTGCTCTCTTGAAACTCGATGGATGGGATACCATCTTTACCAGAAGAGGATATTCTGCAACGTAACGCTGCTGGAAAGTCTACCAAGCACTCTAATCTTAGAAACCCTTTGGGGTCCAAATAAATGCAGACTGGCGTTGTTTCACCCAGAAACAAATCGTTCGTCTAAGCGAGCCATCCAGGCTGCCTCGAAATCGATCACAACTAAGGTCAAAGCTACAGACTCCGTCGGATCGATGGACCACACGTCCGGTCAATGTCGCCGAACCAGTTGCTGCATTGCATAATACCAACTTGAAATACAGACCGTCTTCTCGCTACGGCAGATGAAAAGCTAGTATTCGACCAGCAACCTCTCTATATTTGCTGACGCCATGACAGCTCTCCAAGGCTTCACAAGGACAACCATCCCTGTACTATCCAGACAACAGCAGACTTGAAGGTGGAGGATGTCATTCTTTCATTCAAAAGATGCCTCAGTGCCCAACATTGTACGAAAGCACCACGCCATGGGGCGGTCGATGAGCCAGACTGGCAGGCATTCCGCGCTAGAAGGCCGAAATTTCCTCGTTTATTGTCAAAAGAAACGGGGTCCTCCGTAACAAGACCTGGGCCCATCTGAAAAACGATACTGGATAACATGTAACAAAACACGCTCACCGAAGGAACACTATCAATCTGAATGTAACGTGAATTAGACAGCTTTAGGAAGCATAGACGAGAAATCCGGTGCACTAGTATTGGTCCATATGTGGCTATCGTAACTTAGTCGGTCAGTTTCTCTCACTGCCTACCAAAGGCATCATGCCAAGTCTCTTTTAGACGATAGAATTGGGTGTAAAGTGAATCAGCTGAGAAATTCCAGGATCTTGAGTCCATACCAGCCATGTAGTACCACGATCTTGACGTCCCTTGTGCGCGGCCAAAGACGAACTGGCCATAGAGGAAAACACGCTGGGGCCTACCCCTTGTCTCAAATGCACAGGATCCTCCAGGTATCCCAGCCAGTACGACCCTGGGCGACCCGTGGGTCAAAGGCCACTTATTGGCGTGGTTTGCAACCCGCTAGTAGTCGCGCGCCGCACAAACAGGCTATGATTAACGTAACAATGGACTGGTACTGATTCAATCGGACGTTTCTCTGAGCCCGGCTTCCTTGCCAGGCATCCGAGTCACCCGTGGGCCGATACTGCAGCGGTTACTGTAGGTAACGTCTTCGTGCTGCGCCCATGTACCCGACCCTATGCTTGCCCTCCACGTTGGATCTATTCTTAAAGCCCCGTGGCCGCCGAGGTGCGAGGTCTTATGGAAATGAGATATCATGGCCGTCCTCTTGGGAAGATCGAGACAGCTCGCTGCTGTGGTAATTCTCTTTGTTGTCGTCTTTGCTATCTTGCAGTTCAGCTACACTGACGATTTTGCCCTCGCCGGGCGCTTGTCGGAGTCTGTACGAATAGTGGACGGATGTTCCCCTGCTGCACTCGAAGCTATCGATAACCCTCGTCCTATACTCGATCCCTCAATACCGAACATTGTCCATCAGCTATGGAAAACAACCGACGTCCGAGAATACTCCACCACAATCACGGCGTCTCGCGAAGCATGGAGGGACATGCTCGAGCCCTCCAACTACACCGTCAAGCTATGGACAGACGACGATGTCCTCAACCTCATCAAGTCTGATTACACGTGGCTGCTGTCGACATACGAAGGATACCCCCACGACATCCAGCGAGCCGACATTGCGAGGCTGCTCATCGTGCACGCCGAAGGAGGCATCTACTCCGATCTGGACGTATACCCCAGCTCCGCGGAGCATATTCAATGTCTCCAGAGGCTTGGTTTGGAAGCCATATTCTCCCCTACGGCGGGCACACTTGGCCTCAGTAACCATTTCTTCATGGCCAGGCCTGGCTCTCCATTCCTGCAATGGGTGCTCTACGAGGCCAAGCGGAGGAGCAGCAGGCTCGCATCGCGGGGCATAGTCCTGCCATACCTTCAGGTTTTCTGGTCCACGGGGCCGATCATGGTGACGGCGGCGTTTAGACAATACGCCTGGCTATACGACACGCTCCGGCTCGATATAGGGCTGCTCGACGACGGGTTTGGGGGTTCGGTGGTGCGACATGCCGCTGGGCGGTCCTGGCAAGGGGTGGACGGCCGGGCGCTAAATTATATTGCGGATCATGCTGGGATGGAGGCCATATTAACTGTCGCTGCATGTTTTCTTGCAGTGGCGGGACTTGTCTATGTGGTTAGGAGGTACAATGGTAGATTCTCTAGGTGACGAGGTGTATCGCCCATTGGTCCTAATTCATCTATTCCAGTACCCTTCCTGTTATAGACCAGTCTGGTATCCTCTGTTATAGTTATTGTTGACCTTCTCTAATCATGTAACTTGACAAGAGTACTAAGGAAGGTAGTAGTAGATGGGTGCCTGGAAAAATGGAATGTCTTGGCGGATGGTTGGAAGCAAACGGAACAAACGTCACTGTAGCTGTGAACCCCCTTGAAAACCTCCGATTTTGAGACATGCTGCCTAAGTTTGGCTTCGCTGCATATCCAGACTACAGGAAGTTCTGAGATGTTCTTTGCCAGGGAAAGAAAATGCCATGACCATGGAATTGTCCCACAGGAGTGCGCACAGAAGAGTGCGAGCGCGCCACACAAAGTCGCGCCGAGGATGCTTTACCTGCAAGGCTCGCAGAGTCAAGGTATGTCATTGTCTTCCTCCTCGCCATGCTCGCACACTCATGTAGCCAGTGTGACGAGATCAAACCAATATGCGGCGCCTGTGAGTTGAGAGGAGAGCCCTGCGACTGGCCTGCAGAATCTGCCTCCCAGCGACACGACACGCCTGATCAGCCGAGGGCTGGTGCAGATGGCTCTCGCAATGAGCCACGCAATCAAACAACGCGCGACGCACCCGGTCATAGTGCAGAAGAATGGGCGCTCTCAGGGTCACCGCATCCGCTGCAGTTCAATATGCGCCCCTCGGACGCCCTGCGCACGCTGGGCGGCGCGTCTCAGCACCTGAACATGATTGACCTGCAGATGCTTTCTCACTTCATGCTGCACACGGCCAAAAATATGTCGCTGAACCCGCGGCGCCGGCACATCTGGGAAACAGTCATCCCTGAGTTCGCCATGAGAAACGAAGGACTGATGCATCTGCTCCTGGCGTTAGCCGGGCTGGATCTTTTCTCGTCTGACAGGTCCGTGGCTGATGGACACCATCCGTCTCCTGCAGGGAGCTCGCCAGCGGTCGCAAATCATCACATGGATGCTGCTTATCTCCCAGTCGTCATCGAGCACCATCAACGGGGTCTGAAGGCATTCCGAGAAGAGCTCTCCAACCTGTCCAGCTCCACTATCCATCATGCTTTTGCCGGGTCGATGCTGATCGTTGGATTCGCTCTCGCATCTCTACACATCCGGAACTTGAGTGATGGGCCCCTATCTGAGTCTCACCCGCTCCAGCCTCGTCTGGACTGGATATTCATGATTCAGGGGCTGGGTACAGTTGTGAGGCAACACTGGCCGGAATTGAGAGTTGGTCCTCTCAGGGACATGACGTATTTCATCTATAATAACGACGACTGGCGCATGTACCCCCGGGAGACGTTTGTCGGTGTCCCTCATCGGCCCTGCTCGGCAAGGATTGCAAAATTCTACTGTGGCGCCTGCGACGCATTGATGCACCTCAGAACTGCACATGAGGCCATGCAATCAGACCCCCGCCTGCTCGAGGAGCAGAGCGGATCATTCGAACAGCGCCTGCTGTCAAAACAAAAAGACGCGCTTGATACTGTAGAGCAGACTTACATGCGGGTCCTCTACGTCGTCCGCTTTTCTGGGGGCGCGAGCGCGTCGCCTCTTGATGTCCAGGCTGACCTGGAAGAGGCAGCTATCATGGCTTGGCCAGAATCCCTAGCAGGGGAGTTTCTAGCTACATTGAAAGAACAGGGGGTGCTTTCGAATCTGTCATATGTCATTCTGGCGTATTTTCACCTCATTTTCTCTCTTCTTGAGCCATTTTGGTATATCAAGGGTGGGTTTGATGAAGAGATCATGAAGATTAAAGCTTTGATAGAAGAATCGGGGGATCGGGTCCTAATATCTCTTATGCAATGGCCTGTATCTGTCATAAGCGTCTGACATACTGAAACGAAAGGAGTAAATTTTGCCAACAAGATTGCAACAAGACGGAAATGCTACTCTTCTGTAAGAGTAAAAGGGATCATTTCCTTACCCCATTGTACCAGAAGTCGACTTTATGTGCATGTCCAAAGACTATCTATCGATAAAGGTACTTTCAGCAGCCTAGGCGGGGGCATCGTCCCATTTGTGTCCGCAGCAGCGATCACTGTCATATTGAGGAGGCCATTGTTGAAGCTGGATATAGGTGGGTAGGTAGGGAAAAGGTTGGTAGACTGTTGAAATGGATCAGGTAGGTATAAAACTGAGGTTGCAGACTGGCCACTGAGTACGGCGTGAGTTCCATGAGGATTGAAATCAACTAGGTAGTATGCGAAGCCTGAAGCCACTTATTCCATATAGTCGTCTCAGGGAATCAACACGGTTCCACACTCGCTCTCAAAGAGATCCCTTCTACTTGGTAGGTAGCTGCTCCATCCATTACAGCCATCATCTCCCACATCTTTTCCAGAACTTAGGGAGGTTAGGTAGTTGCGCGTGGCGGAAGCGCGGTCAATCCGCAGTGAATGGTCTTTTGTTTACGCTACCTCACAAAGACACTTCTGTTGTCCATATAATTATTCTGTTCCCCTCTTCTCACCAGGTCCTACCACTTCTCTCCCTCCTCTCCCTCCTTCCCTATTGATTCTTCAGCCTTCCCCTACTCCAGCATGTCGGTCTCCAGGCTGGAGGATCTCCCAGCTGATATTCTGCGGCTGATCCACGACTACCTTGATGACGAACACCCGCCGAGTTTGCTATCACTGGCCTTTGCTAGCAAGCGATGCTACATATCCGCCGCCTATCGGCTCAACCGCGAGCTCAGGATCTCCTTTTCTGGATCCCTGGATCCCACTGACGAAGACGTTCGCAAGTGCACTCAAGGGCTCGAAGGTAGTACGTTTCTCCTGGGATATGTCCGCCGGCTGATAATAGTCGACGGAAAGTATCAGCCAACTGAGGAGTGTGAAGCTCGATTTATCTATCGCAACGATCGGGTATTCAATTCGATCTTTGGAATCTGCACCGACGGCCTGACCACCCACGGCGCTGACCCGGATGAAATCTACATGCCCCTCCGCAGTATTGATGCAAATCCCGATAACAAAATGAACTTCCCCTGGAGACCTGTGGCTGAGCTACTCGAGAAACTGGGAAACCTGACGGAGCTCGTGTTTGACGGCCCTCAGCAATTCCCCAACGATCTCCTTGAAGCCCTTCACCGATTCCAGCCGGCCTGTAAGCTCTACATCAACCACTTCTGGCTCAAAGCCTTCCATACAGGGCGAATCAGTGGATACGAACGCAAGTTGGTTACGTCCCCGTGCCTATACGGCATTCGGGTCCTGTACGATGGCACCGACGGGCAGTATGCAGTGTCGAAATCCAGTGCAAGGTCGATTGCGAAAATAGTGGCCACTATATCCCCCAATTTGAAAAATGTCATCATGCGGGACGTCGGACAGGCTACCAAATGGAACCTCCTCGGTGGGATGCGGTCGAAAAATGGATACACTCGAGGCTCGCTGGAATCCTTGACTCTTGGAATGTGCCATGGAACCTCCCACTGGGAACTTGACCCAAACCTGCTCAAACTTACCAAAAATGTTATCAAGAACTGGGCAGCTATCACTGACTTCACCGTCCTCGAGACGCTCGATCTTTTGGACCCTTTAGATATGCAGGCTATCGCGCTTCTCGCGAGCTGTTCCTTTCCCGGCTGAAGAACTTGGGGTTTTCCTTTGGCCCAGTGCGACCTTCTAGACGGTGGATTACCAAGTCACAACGTTTTTTTACAACCCTACCCTCTCTCTCAACTTTACGTCTTTCTGACTGGTCTGCTGATGCCTTCCCTCTCCGTCCCACGCTTGACCGCCACGCGCGGGGACTATATCGTTTGGTCATCTTCCCCACGCCTGGGGCCTACCTTACGACCACAGACATAGCCTATCTCAGCGAGGGTTTTCTTTCCCTAGTAGAGTTGAGTGTTCCGACCCAGCGCACACGAGGAGATGCAGCCGAGATCTTTGGGTATACGATGCTCGGCGCTTTGCCCAACCTGCGATATCTCAACCTGGAGCTGTGTACGCTGCCCAGAATCGTCCTCAGAGACGCATGGTACGGTAGGCTTAACATACGTGTGGATCGAACTTGGAGTCAATTCCGCCGTGAATATCACGACGAAGGCCACGAAATCTACGGACTTAGATTGCGCAAAGGCCACGTCATGGAAATTCTGACAAACTCTGCAGTTGACGAGGCCCTTGCCTGTGATATCTTCGAAGCCATCCAGTTGGCAAAGCCACGTGATGCTGTACCTCTGAAGAGGTTGCGGCTAGAGGTCAACAGGAGCAGCCTTGTGAAGGTTAAAGGGCCGGTTATGCAAACGATTCTCCGCACTCTCTCTCCGCGGTGGTCGATTGAATTCGTCTCGCCGGAGAAAGGGTGGGCTGTGAGGGGGGAAGAGGCCTGCAGTCATGCCGAAAAGACCCACACGTTTTACGGTGTTTTCAACAGCCACAGAGTTGATTTCTTCGTGAGCTACGAGCCTATCTTGCGCCTTATATGGCCTGCGATAGAGGAATCTGCGGTATGGTGGAATGCGTGGGAGAGTATTCCGCTGAGCCGTTTATGAACGGCGACAATTGCTTTTCGGTGTAGCTTCATTTGGGGCGAATAGGGAACCATTCAATCAATCAAGAGACTATCAACTGGATTTAGCCGATTGATTGAAGCGATTAACTAGTTAATGCAGACGCTTCACCAATGTAGTAGAAATCTAGTCCCCGAACGCCCATCCCATATCTCAAGGCAGAAAAAGGCATGATAAACATGGAAAAGAGTGAAAACGCCGCCAAACTCGTTGCCCGCCACTATGCGAGACGTCTCCTCTGCGCCATACTGCGCGTCAAACACCAGTCCTACTCCACTCCATGTGGTCATTCGAGAAATTGACGCGTTGCCGCACCTAGCAAGACCCCTGCCGGGCAGCTGCTCGATCCATCTAACCATTTTCTTCCACATCTTTTCCAGAACTCCATAGGAGGCTCCATCTACCTAGGGGGTTTAGGTAGGTAGTCCCGCATGGCGGAAGCGCGGTCGATCCCCAGTGAATGGTCTTTGTTTCCCCTGCCTCCCAAAAGCCACCTCTGTTCTGTTTCGTCTTCCCATAAGAATACCTCCATTCCTCACCTTTGCGCGGGAGAGTATTCTGCTGAGCCATTCATAAATAATGACAATCGCTTTTCGGATATGCAGGTTTGTGGCGGTTAGGCGGTGGCATCTGAGGGACTTAATCGCCGTACTTTCGTTGTGGTATTCACTTCCTTTGTACGGACCTGGTTCATACTTTGATACTTGCGGTATCCGGAGTCCCTTTGTCTTATTAATAGAACGTGGACATCAGTGGGGATGATGGGCGGGACTAATTGGCCCGCCGAAACGCCCCGGCGATCCACCGCGAGGTTCAGGCAGGCTTAGGGGCCAATCGGGAGTAACAGAGGCCGGAAGTGGCTAAGACAAGCCCCAGAAGCCCCAGCATTATCAAGCCGAGCTCTCTGCTGACAGTCAATGCAGGGCAGACCCCTACTCCGTACGCATCGCATCCTGTTCACCTTCACCTCTTGGACATCTCCCCTCCATGTCCCCTCCTCCTGGCTGTCCTCCGCATCATGGGGTGTATACCGAGAGGTCGCATCCTGGGAGCTGCAGCCATACTATCAATCGTTCTTTTCATGCTTCTGTTCTTCATCAATCCGCCACAGATCCACTCACTGTCGACCCCGCTGTCTGATGCATCAGCTGAAAGAAAACCCTCACATTCGCCTCCTGCTGCTCTCCTGACACCTTCTACTACCTCTCCGACTTCTACTCCAACCGCTTCCTCATTCCCCTCAAGCCCGATCAACAACAACCCCCATTGCCGGGATCTCCCCGTTACCAGCCATATCCAAATCATAGTCAAGACCGGAAGCAACATCCTCTACGATAAGCTGCCGACGCAGCTTCTGACGACCCTTCAATGCCACACCGATCTCCTCCTCCTCGCCGACAGCGAGCAGGACCTGGGTCCATACCACGTCCATGACGTCCTCGCCAACGTGAACGAGACCATCAAAGCCACCCACCCCGACTTCGCCTACTACCGCACCCTCCAAGAGTACCAAAAAGACGGTCTCGACCTACGTCTTCTCCGCGACGCATCCCACAAATCCGCCTGGGACCTCGACAAATACAAATTCATCCACATGCTCGACCAAACCTGGACACGCCGCCCCGGCCGCGACTGGTACGTCTTCGTCGAGGCGGACACCTACCTCGTCACGCGGAACCTCCTCCTCTGGCTGGACCGTCTGGACCCGGCACAGCCGCTGTACCTCGGATCGCCCGCGTACTTCAAGGGGGAGCTATTCGCGCACGGCGGCAGCGGGATCGTGCTCTCGCGCGCGGCGATGGCGCAGGTCCTCGACGACGACCCCGGGCTGACGGAGCGCTACGACGAGCGCATGCAGTCTGAGCATTTCGGCGACTACGTGCTGATGAAGGCGCTGCAGGAGAAGGGCGTCGCGCTGCAGAGCAGCTGGCCCATGATCCAGGGCGAGAAGCAGAATTCCTTGCCGTTCGGGCCGGGCCCGGACTCGGGCGTCCGGCACTGGTGCCAGCCGTTAATTACGATGCATGGGGTCACGCCGGGGGATGTGAGTGCGATGTGGAACTTTGAACAGCAGCGCGAGCGGGTTAATGTAGGTTTTTGGCGTTATTGGGATGTGCGGCATGCTAACACAGTGCAGGAACCGCTTCTCATTTCGGAGGTGTATCATTATTTCATGGGACGGGATTTGCCCGCGGAACGTGACGACTGGTATAATTTGTCCGACGACTTGATGTTCCGGGCGCCGGGTGTGCAAGGGTCGCGACAGATGCCGCCGGATGAGATGACGCCGGCGGAGAAGGAGGCTTACATGTCGTTTGAGCACTGCGGTCGCGCCTGCGAGCAACATGCGCGGTGTTTCCAGTACGCTTATGATAAGATCGATCAGAGCTGCGGGTTCTCTTTTTCCTACCGGCTAGGAGGGCGGAAGCTATCCGCAAAGGACGAGCACCGGTATAGATCTGGGTGGGTGCGGGAGAAGATCGAGCGAGATTATAGACAAATTGACTGTACAGAACCAGGGTGGGTATAGCCTATGTTACGTTCTTGTTACATACTACGTGAATTCATGCATCTGGTTGATGTCTATGTTTGGATCGCGAGAGTCCGCGTCTAGCCGGTCGTCGTCCTGTGGAAGTAATTCCTCATAGGAAGTGGACACTAACTTGAATCCAGTAATGACTTGTAGCTTACCACAAAAAAAAAAAAAAAGGGATTGGAACTTCAAAAAAGTATGAAGTGCAAAAAAAATGACCTACGCAGGATTCGAACCTGCAATCTTCTGATCCGTAGTCAGACGCCTTACCATTGGGCCAGCAGGCCTGGTTGATGTTTTGACTGTGATTTAATGCTTTATAAGGCAAAATTAAATTTGTGACCTCTCTGTTGGGAACCCTTTTGTGAACCCTATACTATACATCCTTTGTCCGGTCTATGTATGCCAAAATATAGGCCTATATGGCATTTACTATGCTATATGGGAGTGCGTATCTTGTATTGGCGGAATTTAATCACTATTCCAGATACTATCAGAAATATATATTCACTCTATCTGGAAGGGAGGATTGGGCTGTGCATATGTACCTACCTCACACAGAAGCGCAGTATACAAGCTTGCTTTGCGTCCTCTTCCCCACCACCAGTATGAAACGTTCAGACGTCCAAAAGCTCATATTTATACAGCTTCTCCCTGGGTCGACATGCCCAAGTCACTTCACATGGATGGCTTGTTCGTAGTTGAAGGAGCCTAGGTCCTCGGAGCGAGCCGGAAGATCCCAGCTGTTCAAGCCGAAAGAATCACACATATTATCACGATTGGGAACGCGGTCCAGTCCTATGGGAAGTGAACGGCCTATCCACTACTGTGATATTCGTCCGCCCCGCAGTAGCTTATAATATTGAAGATGAGATGCGCGTAGACATAGAGGCTAAGCCTTGCTTTTCGGGTTGATACATCTTATAACATACACTCAACAAGAGACATCAAAACTGCATGTAGAAGGGAAGCTATAATCACGCGAGTTGTGATGTCTAAGTGTAGGAACAGAGTGTTTTATAATAGTTGAAGACATTGTTTGTGTTAAATTTCTGTCTAGTACCGTTCGCTTCGCCGTTAACGTCCGATTCAATAGATAGAATGTCATAACCATCATCGTCGATAGATTCTCATAACTCCTGACCGGTCCACTCTTCCTGTGTCACCTCTTGAATTTCCATCCATGACCCTCCATCTTCTCCATTGGGTTAGGGGCTTGACATTCACGGGGAACGTACACGATGATCTCCTCCAGCGAAGCGATTGTTCTAGCCCGAGCATCAAAACCGGCGATAATCTCAGCAGCGTCAATCTTAGGGTCCCGTGAGTCCTGTGATACCATTTCAAGAACCACAAAGCCGATTCGGGACACTACAAGCGTCTTCAAATTGGAGCACTCGCTTTGGATTTTTGGAAAGTCATAAATAGCATTGGCCATGCGGGGATCACTTTGTTCGTAGATGAGTGGAAATATGTCGATCTGGATATTGCCGGATATACCGTGCGTTGTGGGAGCCAAGTCGGTCGAGAAATCAATCCGACACCTTCGTAGAGAAGACGAAAGACTGGTCTAAAGTCGAAGATGTTACCACCATAGAGGACCCCTGCAGCCTCGCGCTGGTGCCTTGTTGGTGCGGACGAGATTGATCGCTAGGTTATGACCTCTCATATACTAGGGATTGACGGGCTCTGCGCTTGTGAGAAGAAGGTGATATATTTGATTGCGGAGTTCGCCTGGGAGGGTGAAAAGTTTGCTGGCATGTTGCCGCCGTCCTTGACCGTGTATGGTTAATTCGTAGAAATCTTGTAGAGAGGGAGAGTCGGACAAGCTGCTTCTTGACGAAGAAGAAAATCAAGAGGTGTATACAGCAGAGGGGGGCCTAATCGGGAAACTCCACGCCTGAGGCATAAAACAGGATCATGATGAGATCACGTGCTACCACGGCAAGCGTCTAGCATGACTGAACCATGCAGGGATGTTTTGGTAGTTTGAACGCAGCGAGAGCAGCCCAGACACAAGCCACGATGAGCCATTCTGACTCACAGCTTACTGTCTCCATCGCCAAGCCAAGAGGAAACCGAGGACGCCGATGACTTAACTCTTGGCCCACGGAAGACTAATCGGGGCCCTCGGGTCCCGACTATCTGACATCTGAGAAATTGTTGCCTTGCCATCTACTGACAACCCAGACATTTATATCTACTTTAGGGAACAGCCCGAGAGAATGCGTATTTCTTCGTGCCACGGATTTCTCATAGCTTCGGTCGCCAGCTACCTAGGAGATCTACTACGACCCGTGTGTTGCGGCAGTACTCCATAGAACATGAGCGGTTCTACAGGATCAGAGCATACTGTCACTGTGACGGGCGAAGACGGAGCCCCTACACCTCAAGATGAGCCGGAAAAGCCCTCAGGCGAGGATGGCAGCTTCAAGGATTATATTGTGTGTATTTCGGCCACCAGGCCTCTTCCGAGCTAACACACCTTGCACAATGTAGAGAATCTTCCACTTCGCCGACAAATGGGATTGGATTCTCAACGTCCTTTCTCTATTCTCATCAATCGCGAGTGGCGCTGCCCTGCCCTTGATGACCGTCATCTTTGGTCAGTTTACCTCCAAGTTCAGCAATTTCGCCAGCGGTACGAGCTCTCCCGAACAATTCAAACGAGACGTCAACCATTTCACATTATGGTTCATCTACCTGTTCGTCGCCCGGTTTGTTCTCGGGTATATCGCATCGATCACCGTAACCATCTCCGGCATGCGGACTGCAAGAGCGATCCGAAAAGCCTTTGTGGACCATCTTTTGCGAATGGAGATTTGGCACTTTGATCTTCCTGGCCGCGGCTCCCCCGCCACGCAGGTCACCACGAACGCTAATCGCATCAATACCGGGATTGGCGAGAAGTTGACCTTGATCATCCAGGGCATTGCAATGTTCTTCTCTGCCTTCGTCGTTGCGCTTGTCGTGCAGTGGAAGCTCGCGCTCATCACGATCAGCGTTATCCCCCTCATTCTCGTCATCACTGGTATATGCATGGGGATCGATGCCATGCAGGAGGCGAGGATTATGAAATTTTACTCGGATGGAGCGGTCGTGTCTCACGAGGCGCTTTCTTCCATCAAAACCGTGCATGCATTTTGGGCACAGAAGCTGATGGTGTCGCGATTTGACGAGTATCTCGTCAAAGCCCACAAGGAGGGGAACAAGAAGTCCTTGAACTATGGAGTCATGTTCGGAACCGAGTTCTTCTGCTCCTATGGAATGATGGCACTGGCCTTCTGGCAGGGTCATCGCATGTATCTGTCCGGAGAGATACCGGACATTGGAACTGTTTTCACGTAAGCTCACGATGACAAGCTCCGACGAGTTACATGCTCACTCTGCATAGGGTTGTTCTATCTGTCGCCATCGCGGCAAGCTCTGTGACGATCTTCGCAATGCAAGTCACCGCCCTGACTAACGCTGCTGCCGCCGCCGCCGAGCTCTTTGCGATCATGGACAAGCCATCTTCTCTGGATCCATTGTCCGAAGAGGGTATTCAGCCAGCGACCTGCATTGGACAGATTGAAGTGCGAGATTTGAAATTCGTTTACCCATCTCGACCATCTGTTACTGTCCTCGACGGATTTACTCTCTCTATACCCGCAGGGAGAAAGACAGCCTTGGTGGGCGCCAGCGGTTCAGGGAAAAGTACTCTTGTAGGACTTTTAGAACGATGGTATAACGCCGAGGCCGGTAGCATTACGCTTGACGGGGTGGAACTGTCGGAGTACAACACCCGGTGGCTAAGAACAAAAATCAGCCTTGTCCAACAGGTTTGTCTCTCGCTCTTTTTATGCGCAAATTGATCTAATGATTCTCCAGGAGCCTGTTCTGTTCAGAGGTACTGTCTATGAGAACGTCCTCAAAGGTCTTAACGACGAGCAGCGACAACTTCCCGCAGACGAGCAACGAAAACTCGTAGAGGAGGCCTGCAAGGCTAGCTTCGCTCACGACTTTATCATGAATCTCCCAGAAAGATACAATACCTATGTCGGTGAAAGGGCAAGCATGCTTAGTGGCGGACAGAAGCAGCGGGTTGCAATCGCACGCAGCATCATCTCTAACCCCCAGATCCTCCTCCTCGATGAGGCGACCAGTGCCCTCGACCCTGAAGCAGAGAAGATTGTCCAAGCAGCGTTGAACCGCGTCTCGGCAAACAGAACGACCGTCACCATCGCTCATCGTCTGTCCACCATCAAGGATTCCGACAACATTGCCGTCATCTCGAAAGGGAAGGTTGTCGAGCAGGGCACACACCAGGAGCTCATTGATTGTGATGGGCACTACGCACGATTAGTCCGGGCGCAGGACCTCGGGGGTGGCCCTACAGACGAAACACATAAAGCGGAACATACAGAAAAGGAAATGGGGTTAATCTCGCCAGACGAGAAGCCTTTCATGTCAGAGACAAATACGGAAACCACCGACGATCAGCCGTATGCACCTCCATCGGGACACGGCATGTCACTTATCCGCTGCGTGGTCCGCATATGCATTGAACTGAAGGACCTCCACTTCATATTGTTCGCTCTGGTCATATGTTGTCTTCTTGCGGCTGGCACCTATCCCGCACAGGCTGTCCTCTTTTCTCGGCTCATTCAAGTCTTTTCGTTCGGAAAAGGACCCGACAAAGCCAATTTCTACGCTCTTATGTTCTTTGTTGTGGCCATCGGGAATTTCACCGTCTACTTCATCATTGGAAATTTGGTCAACATCGTGTCGCAGAGAATGATCCATCGCTACCGACGCGAGATGTTTGAACGATTGGTCAACATGGACATGGCATTCTTCGACCACCCAGAAAACACCTCTGGAGCGTTGACGTCAAAAATCTCCACCGTTCCAACGAACTTGCAAGAGCTCATCTCCATGAACATCTGCATCTTACTTGTCATCATCTTCAACGTCCTGGCGAGCAGTGGGCTGGCCCTCGGGTACGGCTGGAAGCTATCCCTCGTCATGATGTTCGCGGGGCTTCCCCCTGCTCATTGGTTCAGGGTACGTCCGGGTGCGCCTCGAAGCGAAGCTCGAGTCAGACGTGTCTGCGAGCTTTTCCGAAAGTGCGGACGTCGCGAGCGAGGCTGTTGGCGCTATTCGAACGGTGGCATCGCTGGCAATCGAGCCGGAGGTGATGCAAAGATACAGCCAGTTACTGGACGGAATTGTCCTCCGGTCGGTCAGAAGCCTGAGTTGGGCTATCATTCCATACGCGTTCTCGCAGTCGGTCGAGTTTCTTGTCATGGCCTTGGGGTTCTGGTACGGTTCCCGGCTTCTCGCCTCGGGCGAGTATGATACGAATCAGTTTTTTATCGTCTTCATCGGCCTGCTCTTCGCAGGGCAAGCGGCGGGTCAATTCTTCGGTTCGACGACGAGCATAACAAAGGCCCGTGCGGCCGCAAACTATCTGTTCTGGCTGAGGACCCTCACCCCGGTCATAAGAGAGAACGATGAAAATCACAACAGTGGGCCAGACGGTGACGCTGATCTCAGTCTGAAGGACGTGAGCTTTTGCTACCCTCAGCGTGAGGTCAAGGCGATCGATAACGTTTCCATCAACGTAAGCACCCTTTCATCCCCAGCTATCATTCACAGAATCCTAACATCCTCCAGATCAAAGCGGGCCAGTTCGTCGCCTTTGTAGGCGCCTCTGGCTGCGGAAAATCAACCCTTATCTCCCTGCTGGAACGATACTACGACCCGACCTCCGGCCAGATCGTGCTAGGCAACCACGACATAAAGCACATGTCGCCTCGCCTTTACCGCTCGCACCTATCGCTAGTGCAACAGGAACCTGTTCTGTACCAGGGTAGCGTGCGGGAGAACATATCGCTCGGGTCCAGCGCCGACGCGCCGCCGTCTGAAAAAGCAATCCACGAGGCATGTCGCCAGGCCAACGCGCTCGAATTCATCGAATCCCTCCCCCAGGGCTTGGAGACGCCGTGCGGGTCCCGCGGACTGTCATTCTCCGGCGGACAGAGGCAGCGCATTGCGATCGCGCGGGCCCTCATTCGCAACCCTCGAGTCTTGTTGCTTGACGAGGCCACGTCTGCGCTGGATACGCAGTCGGAGCGGCTCGTGCAGGCTGCGCTAGACGATGCGGCTAGTACGGAAGGCAGGACGACCATCGCGGTGGCGCATCGGTTGTCGACGATTCGCCATGCGGATTCGATTTACGTGTTTGCTGATGGGAAGGTGATGGAGTCGGGGGATCATGAACAGCTGCAGCGGCTGAAGGGACGGTATTACGAGATGTGTCTTGCGCAGTCGCTGGATAAAGCTGTTTAGTTTGTTCGTCTCATTCCTCTCTATCTAGAGAATTAGAGGGTTGCATAATACAACGATTTAATGCATGCATTTATCGCTCAAGAAACGCCTTTCTGCATTTCGTCAATCGTAGCACGTAAACAGAGCCGTCATCGAAGGAACATCATCCACAGTAGCAGTCCTCCATAGGATGAAACCAGTCGGACTCATCAAATCACGACTGGCGCTCATTCCCGCCGGCCCCACGACGAGTCTTCTCCGCGACCACATTATGCGCCACAGGGACAACACTAACCGGAATCGCATCGAACTACAGCCCGTATCCACGTTAGCATCCATAGCCACAAAAGCGCAGGATCACCTACCCCGAGGCTCTTCAGCAACTCCTTCGTCTCCTGATCGACCTCGAGCTTCCCCTCTTCAGTCTGGGTGATATCCAACTCCGAGACCTCAGGGATGTACTGGTCCTTGCGTTCGCGCTCTTCCTCCTGCAGCTTGAAGGAGATGCCGCGGACGGGGCCGCGCTGGATGCGTCTCATCCTGGGGCTGTCAGTACAACTATCATTGGATGCATGCAATTTGAAGATTAGGAGGGAGGGTGAGGGTCAGCATACAGGTGAGTGGTGTATCCTGCAATCTGCACATCGCGCATACATTAGTCTGGAACTTTGTTCTGAGACGGGTGGGTACCCACCTTGTTGCGCAGACGCTTGCTAGCGATGATGGCGACTTCATCGCAGACGCGCTTGTTGGTCTCGAAGTCGAGGGTGAGACGCGGGTAGTAGCGCTCGATGATGATTTTGGCGGAGCGTTTGACGGTCTTGGTACGGACGCGACCCATGGTGATGTTTTCTGTACCTCAGTACTGTCTTGTATAGTACGTAGTACGTTTTTGATGGGGAGGTGGAGATGGATTCCGGAGAGCTCGTGTGGAGCGGATCGGCAGTTGGAGTCTGTTTTGTGGGCCTCGCTTACGGAGGAATGAGAGGCACGTGATACGACCGCTTTGTTTGTCTATGTATAGTACGAACTGAGTCTGCATATTAAAATCTAACGGTCTATGAATAAAAAGTATGTAAATATCTGAACAGTCGTCCAGAGAAACACAAGAAAAAGAAGTATAACGAATGCAACGATCGAACGAGATCAATAACGAAAAAGATGTTCTAGAGAATGTTATAACGCCAGGGGTATGCATGAGGTATGCATCCCCTGAAATGATGCCTGCCAGATACTTCGGATCACCCAACCGTCCTCTTCCCCTTCGGAACCCGCGCCAACCAATATATAAACACCGCTCCAGCAATGTTGAATGCAATGTACACCCACATCAACCCAAAGTTGCGCCACGCATCGTGGAAATAGCTGCCAATCTGCGCGAGGTACGTATCCGTCTCGCTCACCGAGCAAAAGGAACAGTTCGACGTGGCGTTCTCATCCAGAAGATAGCCGCTCTTGACCATCTGGATGTACGGATTCATGTACTCCCCACATGTCTGGTTCGCTGGGGGATCAAACACCAGGTATTCGACTTTCTCACATCGCGCACTCGCCCCCGAGAGACCGGTGGAAAGCATCGCCGAGACCAGGTATGTGAAAGGCGAGACCCGGTACATGAAGACCCAGAAGCCCGGAAGAGCGTCCTTGGTGGCAAGGACACCGCAAAAGATCAAGCACAGCGAGAACAAAAGCGATGCGATATTACCACCCGTTTCCGCCAGTTCAATTCCCGCAATCACCATATGCGCAAACGTCGACGTGAAAAGCAAAAAGGTCCAAATGAGCAGGAACATGAGGCCTCCGCGTTCGGTCACCGCGTCCGTCGGTTTCGCATTGTTATACAGCCCAATCGGGTAGTACCAACAGAAGAAAATCAAGGCGGCCATCAAGGTGTTCCACGGTAACTCAACTATGATATTTGAGGCCATGAAAGCTTTCCATGAATACGCCTTGGACGGACGCTCCCTTACCTCGTAAAGAGATCTCTGGGTCACGAAGTTGGGCATAATCTGTTGGACAAGATTGCCGAAAATCGTCATCAACATAAACACACTAAACATCTGGTTCTGCATCCCCTGAATGGAATTGCTGGCATGGAAGAAGGAAAATCCAATATAGAGAGAGGTGAGGACGCAGAGCGCTGCTTTCGACCAGAGATATGTCGGCGTGCGATAATACTGTGCAAAAACGCGCACAAGGCATTCCCAGAGTTGGAGGTAAAAAGGTGCGGCGAATTCCTTAAACGCGTCCGGATCATCATTATTCTTCGGCTGGGCCGACAGAGTCGACTTGAGCTCTGCAAGGTGCTCCTTGACTTGGCGGTATTCAGGACTCTGTCGCCACACTTGTGGCCAGTCGATATCGCTATGGGACCCGGGTGCTGCTCCGATCACATCCAACATCCACTCCGCGGGATTCTCCCCCGGAGCCAAATGATGAGCGCCGTTCCGCTCAAAGTAGCTGGACAGGGTCGATGAGTTCTTGCCGATTTCGCCGAAATAGATCGTTTTACCTCCTCTCGCCAAGAAAAGGAGTCGATCGAATCGCTGGAACAACATGGCAGAGGGTTGATGGATTGTGCAGAGGATAGCCTGACCATGTTTAGTCAATGTGTCAATCAGATCCAGGATCGACCATGAGGTCTGACTATCGAGGCCGGATGTAGGTTCGTCCAAGAACAGGAGAAGTTGCGGCTTTGCAGCCAGTTCGACCCCAATCGTCAGTCGTTTGCGCTGTTCCACGTTCAACCCTTCTCCGGGGACGCCGACGACGGCGTCTGCATAAGCTTCCATACCGAGCAGTTTGATCACTTCTTCCACATAGTCGTATTTTTCCTTCCGACTGAGATGGGCGGGCTGTCTGAGGGCGGCGCTGAAACGAAGCGCTTCTCGAACGGTAGAAGTCGCTAGATGCAGGTCTTGCTGTTGCACGTAGCCGGTTTTTCTCTGAAAGGACTGGTCACGGGGTTGTCCATCAACGAACATATCCCCAGTGACGACTCCCATCGTGACACGCGTGGCCAGAACATCCAGGAGAGTCGTTTTGCCTGCGCCCGAGACGCCCATCAACGCGGTACAGGTGCCAGGTTTGATCCAACCGTCCACATGGTCGAGGATTCGCCGGGGCTCTCCCTTGATCTTGATGTCGTAACACACATCCTCCCAGTGGAAGATAGAGGTTTGTCTCTGAATGTTGGCGGTAGTCTGCGCGCCGGCCTCGTCTGTCTTTTCACCTCCAGTGTTCTGCGGCGACTCGGGGTCGTCCGCGGACGGGAGCTTGGCTTGATGACCGCGACGGAACAGAAGCACTTCGCCTTTGGACTTTGCCTCGGAAATGAATTCGGTCCCTGCCAGGTAGGTACAGGCAAAAAAGATCATGAAACCGATCACAATCCCAAAGTTCCTCCACAGATGAGAATGGACGTATCCAAAGCTCTCCTTGACATACAAACCTCCGTCCACCATATCGGACCCAGTCTGGGCACCGACCGTGGAGCAGATGCGATGTTGCATCGAGACGCTGTTGTAATCCCCGCCTGAAGGGACAATGGAGACGCACTTGAAATGTCTCCCGACAAACTCATTCACCATGAAGCTTTCAAAAGAATAGGCGATGGGATTGATGTAGTTCATCCAACGAGACCAGCCAAGCATGTTCCGTGTGGGAATAGTGAAACCGGTGTAGATGACCATGCCGAGAATCAATATCGCCGCCGGGACAAGGGCCTGGGAAAGGGAGCGCGATGACGCGGCAATAGTTCTGAACACCATTGACATGGCAAAGGTTGTGATCACCGAAAAGATCCAGAAGGTGAAGAATGCGCCTGGTTCCCGCCGCAAGTTCGTCATAAAATACAAGGGGATGTTGAACGTGACGGAATTGATGAGTTTGTACGGTGTATCGCAGAGCATTGACGCTAAGGCTTCTGCATAAGGGTGATAGAAAGCAAACCGGGCCTGTTTCTCGACAATTGGGCGCTGCGCATAGAGGGTCAGAATCTCCAGGGCACTCGAAAACGCGTTCAAAAGCACCGCAAAGAAGAGCAAAGCCCCGCGAGCGTAAAAACTCGACGTATCATCCTTCAGGTTGAAAAACACGGACCCAATGATTAACGCCATGCAGAAGTTGCCAATCAGGGCAGTGGCTGTCAGACTGAAGTCTCCTCGAAGGCGTTGGAAACCGCGGATGACGCAGATCTTGATTTGATTCCAAGTAGAGATGGTGTATGGGGACTTGGCGCGCTGCGAGCTGGCTTGCATGGCCTTGCGGGCTTCGAAGAACGCTTGCTGAGAGGGACCGCCGATGGGATACTGGCGTTCAAACTCTTCAATCTCGGCGAGCAGCTTAGCACGGGCTTCACTCTTCTTCCAAGCCGCCGCAAATTCATCTGGAGTGCGGGGGGCAACATTTTCAAATCCGGGCCGAACAATGCGCTCGGAAGGACTAGTGAGCGACGTCAAGAAATCGGCGGTCGTTTGGCGCTCGGGGCACTCGAAGCCCATGTCGACGAAGAACTTCTTAGCTTCGGTCGTTGGTCCGAAGTAGATCTGCCGTCCTTCGTATAGCACCGTCACTTTGTCGAAGAGGTCGTAGGCGTTTTGAGAGGCCTGGTAGATCGCAAGACAAGCCGCAATACCGGAGTATTTGCTCATCAAGGAGAGATTCTTGCAAAACTCCAAAGCGTTCGCACTATCAAGACCTCTGGTACTATTATCCCAGCATTGCAAGGGACTCTGAGCCAGAGTGGCCTCAGCGATACTGACACGCTTGCGCTCACCACCGCTGACCCCGCGAATGAAGTCATTTCCGACCCGGGTGTTGATTGTATGGGAGAGGCCGAGCATTGTCATGACGACGTCTCTCATGTGCTCTGCATATTCATTGGCAGTAACGCCCTCGAGGCGGTTTCTGGGGGCTCTCGCCAACGCGGCGAATTTAAGCGTGTCCCCGACCGAGAGCTGAGGGAAGTGAATGTCGGTCTCGGCGGAATAGATAGCTTCGCCTTTGAAGTTCTTCTGCATCTGCTTTGCGGAAATTCCTGGGAGGGCATTGTTAGCTCATGACTTCGGGGTCGACAGGCATGATAATCACTTACCCTGATAGTTCATGACAGAATCGTCCGACATGTTAATTCCGTTCATTTCACCCGCAATCGTTTTGAGCAAAGTGGAACAACCGCTACCGGGCCTCCCCAGAACAATCAACATCTCACCACTTTTGACGAGCCCATCGAAGTCCCGAAGGATTTGAATCTTCTGCATCTTCATACCCGCCAGCCTCCGAACAAGCGTCCCAACCTCCAAAAGCGTGTTCAGTACATCTTTTTGATAGTCGGTGGGGGATCCAAAGCCGTGCACGCTGAGGTTTTTGAAGGCAACCCCTGCAGTGCGGTCTGGATATCTGTCCGGGTCGCGGGACCTGATCGCGAGAAGCATCTTCATCCAGTCCCGGGCTCTGAAGTTGGGACTATTGGGGTTCACCGTCGACTCGGGATCGTCCGTCTTGAAAGGGTTGTGAAGAGTGCTTTTGGTGGAGAATCGGGTGGACTGGCGGGTTAATCGCCTTGCCAGGTCCCCCACGCGAGCCTCCATCTGTGTCTCCTCATCGCGGAGAGTCTCCCCTGATTCACTTTTGGATTGCACGGAAGGGGCCGGGAACTCCTCTTGTAGGGCGTCGTCGATGGCTGCACCGTGTTGCGGGGGAAGATTATGGCTCACCACCGACTGGGAGCGGGATGGATTGGGATTGATAGTCCCAAGGAGCGACATGCTGAGAAAGTTTTTTTTCTAGAACATTGAACTTGTCTATGGAAGAGAAGGAAGGAAAGAAAAGAGAAAGAGAAGAGAAAGAAGGTAATTGGAACGAAGAAGGGAGATGTTGGCGCAGGAAAGGGCTGTCTCTCAGGCTATATACGATCTGCAGGTCAGCCCAATTTCTAATAGGAACCGTGTATACGCAATAAAGCCTACGGCTTCAGCGATCGGAAGGGTTTAACAATAAAGACCGACGGAAATCCCGGCTGGAATGGATCCATTCTGCGGCGAAGGAAGTAGGGATGTTCTCGAACATAAAGAGCATCCGGGTCCCGACGCTACTGCTATCTAGTCCTTTTGCTTGGTACGTACATACATGCCCCTGATCCTGGTAGACTTCCTGATTCCGATTCCGACCCAGACCCGGTAGAAGGGAATCCGGAGCCATGGGAGATTTGTTTTCAAGAGGGTCCATGAAGGACTTGATTTGTCCAGGCCTTTACTAGTACTTGGAGCGCAGGCACACTGTTTACTCGGGGGCCGCCACAATGCTCAGGTAGTCTATTGCAATGTGAACATGCTGCTTGGCTGTTGCAACCATCTGTTTTCTAATGAGAAAATTTACAGCCATGACTTTCCAGGCACGATGTTGCTCACTACGGAGTATATCCAGAACGTTTACATAGATAGCCATGGGTGCATGGCATCCGTGAAAAGATATGAGGTTTGCCATTGTCCGTGCGCACTGGGCTGTACGGCTGCGGTACGAAATAAATTACAGTAATCTTCAGACTTCCGGCATCCGAACGCACCGGTTGATCTCGCATACTCCCGTCTATTGGCTGGATGCCGGATATAAATTACGATATAACAATACAATACCGCCACTGCGCGTTAACTATTCGGATTCGCCCCGAACCACGCTTTGGCCGTTCCACCGACCCTAAATTCATAGCCAGCATCGGATGGCTCAGATCCCGACCAAGCTTAACCATGGATTGACCGTTTCCATCCCCAACAGGCCAGTTCCAGTGGCAACCTGTCTCTGTTCCCACGATTCATGTGCCTGTGTGTGCTGTGTGCAGAGTGGCTTAACGCTATATGCTTTGTGTGACCCAGCTGACTCGTGCAGAAGTCCTTTAGAAATTCGGTGGCGCTTAGTACCACGCCACTCGCGGTGCATGCTTAGCCCAACATCTAAAATGTCCATCGCTCTTACCCCACGCTACGTCGGGTTCGCGTAGCCCCTTGGGCTCGGTCTACACAACTTGGTTCTTCAACCCCCGAGGTAACTAGTTACCTGCCTTTCTTTCTCATCATCCTCGCCCTGTGCCCTATGCTTCCACAATGAGCGTACCCAAGCGTACCTCTAACGGGGTCCCACAGTCAAACACCAAATCGACATCTGATCTGGAGAAACCCCCCCACAAACCGCAGTCTGAGGAGATGACGCCCTTGGAGCCTGAAGGCTCCAAGCGCCGTCCTACCAAGACTTGCACGGCATGTCGTCGCCGCAAACCAAAGGACGACGTCAATTCTAGATCCATCTGTTCTACTTGTAATACAGCGCGCACAGTCAACACTATGACAGAGTACCGGCGTCGACGTCAGGAGAAGAAGTACGTGTCTGAGGTGATGCGCTCGACCAGTGCTGATTAGCTTGCAGCCTGAGGATGATCAACCGACTGGAGGAAAACATAGAGAGAATGGAGGATCGCCTGCAAGAGCTGGGGTTTGATCTAGGGAATGACCACCTCGGTATACCACAGTTGCAGAAAAACGACCAACACCCGCTGGGGGTGTCGTCGCCGGACTTGTCCACGTGCGAAGATTATCCAGCAGAGCATCCGGGGATAGAGTCAGAGATTCCGGGTCACTCAACTGCCACGAACAGGGATGCACCGTCGGTCGCTGATGATCAATTCAAAAACTTGGAGAACATGGTCCCAGGAAGTCTCAGCTTCTTTGTCCCGCGAGGCTTGGTCAACACCTCGTGCCTGGAAGGTGAGTCGGTCGCAAAGTCTTTCGCATTGAAACCCTCTTAACGTGTATGCAGGAATGAATATCATCTCAGAGGAAGGAAGAGAGTGGATAAACCAACATATAAGCAGTGGGTGCGCCTCGGCATTATCTGACTTTTATCAATGCGAAGCAAGCATGGAGTCGGCTAGATGCCTGGAAGGAGTGTTCCCCAGTGCGGCGTACCGTCCAGTCCCCCCTAAGAGTGAAGCACTGAAGCTCCTGGAAGATTATCTACAGTATTTCCACATCATCTGCCCGATTTTCCAACGCTCAAAATTGGTGTCCTTATTTCGCGACTCCGAGCTACAGTACAATTCCCAAACGCCCAGTCGCTGGGCATGCATAAACGTCGTCCTAGCTCTAGGACATATGCGACCAGGGAGACCCCATGAAGACATGCGACACAGTCAGAAACAGAGTTTGATGTATATGAAGAACGCACTTGGCACAGTCAACCAGCTCTACCTCCGCCCCCCAGACTTGTGGGCGATTCAGAGCTTAGTCGGAATGGTATGGTCCAGAAATCCCAAGGACGCGTCCAAAGTTAATTGTTCAATCAGGTCGTTTTCTTCCTAGGTAAAGGAAGTCCTCGACTATGCGAGTTTCTAATTTCAGCAGCCATCAATATGAGCCAGCAAATGGGACTGGGAAGATCCGAGAGAGGACATGACCTCTCTGAAGAGGAAGCAGAAGAACGACGGAGAGTCTTTTGGCTTGCCTACTGTGTGGATCGAGAGTAAGATCGGCATATGAAGATGTTGCTAGTTCGGCCAGGCTAATCTCCACCAGGGTATCTATCCGGTTTGGCAAACCCCTATCTCAAAACGATGAAAACGTGGATGTCACGACAGAGGGTATTGGCCTCGAGCAACAGCAGGAAAGTGGATTCGACGCTTTCAGCGCAGTTTGTCAACTTGCAGTGATCAGGGGCAGATTGTACAAGCACCTCTACTCCGCTAAAGCGACTGATACTTCTTTCAACGAACTGGCTGCCGCAGTAGGCATGCTGGACGAGGAACTGCAACAGTGGAGTGAACGCATTCCATTAAGACATCGACCGGGAGGCTTAGCGCGCCCACCAGGAGCGCCTCCCATGTCGCCATGGGTTCTCTACCTCCATTACTCATACTACAACTGCATCATCGCCATTCACAGTGTGACGGCCAATCAAACGTCCAAACTGGTCGGAACGCGAAAGGAAGATTCTCCCAACATGCCTGGAGCCCCTGCAAACCACAAGGTATATCTGTCAGCGTCCTTGTGCGCGAAGGCTGCCAGAGCTTCGATTAATTTAATGCGACACATGCCAGAGGAAGATGCGCTCCTAGTTGGGTATGTGATATCCGCCTTGCACAATCTGAGGGCGTGTTGCTGACCTTTGTAAGATACCTCATTCATTACCCGATTGTAGCATCGACGGCACTATCATGGTGCATCATGCGCAACCCCAGAGAGATTTATCGCACATACGACGAAAAGCTCATTGCCAAGGTGGAAACGTTTTTGTCGAGGACTTTGAGTATCCCAAACGATATCACCGCCCATCTTATGAAGTTCTGTCAGAAATGCCGATTGATCGCAGAAGCTGCCATTGGGATGTCATGACTGTCTGTCTGGAAGCGGATTGATGCTGTCGCAGCTCGAAAATTGAAAGCCGAGTACTCTCGTCCACACCAGCGATGAGACTCGCAGGTTAGTATTATCTATTCTCCTTACCTCTCTTGCTCCTACACAGACATTGAGTGAATGTTTTAAAATGGCCAATAAGCTACATAAGATAAGTTGCTATGACAGCTAACCAAGATGCAATCAACAGGACGGCATTATCAATTAGGATCTTTTCCAGGAATAAGATACCAGAAATATACTGCGAGCCACAATGAGACATTAAATTATACACGAGAGCACAAAGCGCATGTCATCCCGACCCCTCCCCAGTGCCAACGACCCGACGATGGACAGAATAAGCGATCTCAAGGCACACCTCGTTACCTAAAGAACAGCAAGAGCAAGAACGCCCATAACGCCCGCTCCAACACCTGCAAGACCAGGCTTCACATGACCCGCCGCATCGGTGGAGTCAGAAGAGCTATCGGACGAGCTACCAGAACTGGAGTCGTCATTATATTGGGAACCATCACCATAGTAGTCCTGAGAGCCGCCGTCGCCGGTGCAGGTCTCGCCCTCGGGACAGCAACCATACTGGTCGTTGTCACCCATGGCGCAGTACTCGTCGGCAGCACAGCCACCGGACTTGTCGGGGCAGCATGTGTACGAGCTCGGGATGCAGTAGATGCCACAGGTGTCTTCGCTGGCGCTGCATCCGCTTGGGATGCTGGAGGACGAAGGAAGAGGGGACGCGACCCGTGCGATCAGAGGCTTGGGTTTGGGGACCGTCTTGAGGGGGCGCAGCTGGACGGGAGCGCGCTCGGTGAGGGTAGGAGTTGTTGCTGCCGCCATGGCGGAGAGGGCAAAGGCGAGGGTAATGGATGTGAAACGCATCTTGGTGTATGTCTCTTGAAGTGGTCTCAAAGGAGCTCAGTATGTATAAGGGTACACAGACCGGTTATGGATAGAGAGGATCCCATTCCTCAAGACGGATACCCCTAACTTATATCTCATTTCGCTACGAACTCGCGCCTCATTGTGAGGCTCTTTTCTTCATCCCTATCTAGCTCTAGCGGCGAGGATGGGGACCAAAGCATGTCCACAGGGACATGGACAACCGAATAGACGAACACATCACCTACTTGGCATGCTAACACGCCCCAGTATGTGCCTCTCCGGCCAATGGGACATATCATCGCCTACCGAACACGAGGATAGCCGAGCCTCGTTTTTTCAGGGTCTATTTGCCAAGAGAAGCTGAACGCTGGACGGTTTCCACTGGTGCCCCGAATACGAGGCATTGGGGATAGGGCATCCTGAAGAGCCAGAATGGATACGCTAGTTGGGTCGGAATCTCCGATCATTTCTTGGCAGAGTCTTCTCTCTGATCAGCTCTATGCAATCATGAGGAGGCAGTAGGCTAGCGGCTACATGAGAATACGAGTTTGGTGTGGATGGAGTTGAGAGGAGCAGTTGAAAGAAGAAGAGAGAAAACAGTAACCATTCACCATGTGATAGTGTGCGGAAAGGCCTACTTAATCCATAAGCGAAATCGATGTTGGCTCCTGTAGCCTTAGCTTCACAACTTCCCGTGGTGAATACGAGGTCCTCTCAACGACCTACTGCCCGACAACAGCGGCGCTGTTGATCATAATAAGAGCCTAGGCCCCATTAAGCGGCTGTCTCCAAGTCTTTCCGTCGATCATAGTCGTCAAGGTGCCATTCGCATTGAAGATGTTTGCCAGAGTGTCAATCTCCAGATGGAACCCGCCGGGGCCCGTTTTCTTCGTTGCATGTTGTTGCCCAGTTGAGGCGAGGTTCGAGTACCAGTCGAGCTTGTTGAGTGTCAGTGAAAGCATCGTGCTGGTTACCTTCTCCCACCCATGAATGAAATGAAGCCCGTCATCAGAATAGTTGTCATACGCGACTTCAATCGTCCTGGGGGCTGACCCAGCGGCGTTGCCAATGATCGTTACGCGGGCAGACCCTGACACCTTCCCCTGCAGCGTATAACTCCCGTCTCCTGGATACGAAAGAGCGGGAATAGGGCTTTCAGGAACATATGGCGTTCCCCACGGAACTTCATCCGAGACCGGAGCCACGGGTTCCAGGTGTAACGGCTCACGACTCGTCAGGTGCGCCAGCATCAGACGGGTTATACGACCACCGGGCTCAGTCGAGTTCGGGCAAGGCAAGGGGTTGTTCCCACCACATGCGGGCGGAACCACCATGTTCTGGTAGTATGCAATTCGGGTCCCATCGTGAGACCACTTCGGATCGGCGCCTGCGTTCCAATTGGGATCATTGATGCTACCAGGGCTGCCATCGCCTGCGGCATTGACTTGTTGTCCATTGTAGTCTCCACGGTCTCCGTCGTGGTCTAGCAGCCAGGGCTGGAAAAAGCGCCTCGCCCCGTTGTTCCGGACAGAAGAAACAGCCGTGACCGTGACCATGTCAATGAGAGGGGGCACGCCTCGCATGCCGGCGAGGAACATCTGCCGACCTGAGCCCCGAGTATCGAGGATAACATGCCACTTGTCGTCGGGGGAGATATCAACCGGATCGACGTATTCGGGATCGCTTGTGAGCCGACGGACTCTGCCTGTGGTCAGATCGGCAGCAAACACATCGATGTTGCACGATTCTACGGAGTTTCCGATGTAGGTGACTTCTTTTCCGCGTCCACTGAACCCCCGAAGCTCTCCGACCGAGATAGCCGAGTCATTGATAAACAGTTGGTTACCGTGAACACTGATGCTGGCCGGGTTCTTGGGGCTGAATAGCCTGGTGACGTTTACCAAGTCATACCGCGCAGTCCGTGGCTCCCCCGCGCTGGGGTTCGGATTGAACTGCAGCCGACTGAAATATGCAAACTGGCCGAGCTGGCCATTCTCAAACGTGAACGAATTGAACCCGAGATGGACATTGTCCGGGTGCAGCCGCAGTTCTCGGATATCCCCTCCTGGGCCTGATCCATCCAGCTTCGTATTCCACCTGATCGGATAGATATGCACCTTGTCTGGGGTGCATCCAGGGGATGCGAGTTGTTCATCGCCACAGTCGACAATGTTAGAGCCCACCAGGACCCTCTTCCCATCGCGGAAAGCTTGAGGATAAGGGGCCAACTCAGTGCTCCCCGCCTTGTTACTCTCTGGAACGCCGCATGTTATGCACTTCCACGGGTCGCCGTTGGGAAACGTGTCGCCATCCGCTTTGACGATGATCAACTGCGTACCGTTGTAGATGCTAGCCGGGTCAGGAGCAGCCGGGGCTCCGGAGAAGTTCAGACTAACAAGAACATGGTTGTCGTCAGGTAAGAAGTTTCCGCTTTGAATCCGGGAGTCGCGCAGAAGACATCCCGTCCGCCCTGGATTCAAGTCTGGCGTACAAGATCCTTCTGTGGTGTCGGGCGTGACCGGCGGCAACGGCAATTCCGTGACCACAATCGGCTCTGGTGAAGGTGGAGGGGCCAGACTCTTTTGAACAGCCGGCGATCCATGAGCAGTGAGAATGGGAAGGATGTTTAGTAGACCAAATGGCTTGCGAAGAAGATGCATGATGATGGGATAGGCGCGAGTGTCCTTTCCAGCGTTGGAAGGAATCCAGACGCTGTTGTCGTTCTTAAGAATCATTTGAGGCGCCCGGCATAGACTGTACCTTATGACATGCAGGTTTCCAAATACCCTGGAAGTACCCTTTTCAGGAAACAATACGGATACGCGACGATCACCGGATTCGTATCCGTACTGTTTACCCGATTCGGTAATGTTCTCTGATAACAGGCGATCAGGTCGACATGAGATACCTATCCATTGTTCGCTGCTCACTTCCAGGAACTGCGGCCCTATTTGATAGTAACATGTTATGTGCGTGTCTTGGTTCACGAGAGGCGCATTTGAAGTCTTGTGGGCGAGAGTCTGGTACGAGTTAGCCATGATGATCTGAATATGTCCTAGGACGACTCACTCACGGTCTGCTTTTCGCATTTTCCAATACTTCATGCTAAATACTGATTGCCACCATCCATCTCTTCGCTGTAAACCATCAACTCCTTGCGCGTTGGGGTACTGTGAAGCCATTCTCCCATGCCAAATCAGTACCACACAGTGGCAAAAACCTTCTGCATGATGGCGCTCTCAACGTAATATGGCGGAATGAATTTCTCCACCATTCGATCCCAGGACACTTTCCAAGGGGAGCCAAACATCGCACGATAAAACTCCCAGTATTCGGGCCAGAACCCGGCAGATCCCCAGTCCAAAAGGACGACGGTTCCGTCAGCCCGGACAATGATGTTTCCGTGATGGAGGTCACCGTGTGTGAAAACAATCTCGTGGCCTTTGAGGCCTCGAACTGTCTGATAGAGAAGAAACTCGCTGGTGAAAAAGACCGAATCAGGATCCCCTTCACTTTTCAACAATTCAGCGGGGAGGCGGTCCCGTAGAGCCTGGACTATACCTTCGTTAAAGCTCTCCTCGGACTCGTACGGCCCATAGCTATACTTCGTGTAATCGCCAAAGCCACCCTCAAAGATACCATCACAACAGGATGAATAGTCAATACCGCCAATGAAGTCCCCTTTGATGCTTCTCATCTGCTCAACGTAATCGCGTAGTTGCTGCAGGACCTTCCCCTGCTCCGCCTCGGAGACGCGGTCGAAGTAATGCCCAAGCGGTTCTCCTTCCTCATAGGACATGATTATATACCCGGTGCCATCAAGGATATATGCGCTCAACAACTTGGGTGTCGGGATAGTCGTTCGCTTGGAGACTAGAAACATAGCTTCTGCCTCCGCTAAGCGGACTCCATAGCCGTACTTCACCACCATATCTGAGTCGGCAAATGCTAAACTAGCGCCCTGTTTGCCCGGGGCTACAGCCTCCGCGGTTTTGAGGTCTTCAGGGTCCAGTATGATCTCAGGTGGTCCTATTGTCTCCGAATATATGAGGCGAAGCTCTGTCCCCTCTGACGCTAGTTCATCCAAAGACCGGGTATCGGTGGGTTGCACGGAAGAACGGGATAGTCCCTCTGTGTTACCTTGCTGTTCTGGGCATGCTGTGGCCGATGTGGGGTCGATTTTTGACGCTTCTTGTGTATCTGATTTGACTTCGTCGCTCTTAGCCTCAATGCTCGCGTGCTTAAGGAGGTCTGAATCCGCAAGTGGGGCGCCCTGCCCGCCATATTCAGGTGACACGTCAAGTCCCAGATGAAGGACAAGCTCTTTGGGATTCTCTAATAGCACGGTTTGCCTCAGTAGGTATTCCGGAATGTCCAAGCTTGCAAGGTAGTCATCACTTGGGCGGATGATATAAGCCTTTTCCAGTAGACCAGGATAATGAGAGTGAATCCGTGAGACTAGCTCTTCCAAAGCCATGCCCAGTGTCGCTCGAAATGAGGAACGACCCTTCCGGTTCGGAGGGACGTCATGCAGTTTAAAATCCACAACACACAGAGCTGTCAGACTGCTGGGCGTGTCATCTCCAGATGCGCGTGTAAGGAGCAGATCTGCCAGCAGCTCCAGTACAGCCAGTCCCAAATCGACAAGCCCTGATGACGTTCTCAAGTCAGAATATATTGGGGCGTATCCTCTCATTAACTTCTCATCTATCGTTACCCACATGACGTATTTCCCTTGGATTTCTGAAAGGTGGAGCAAGTTCAACCCTGGAAGCGTGCTTTTTGCTTCGCTGATGAGGGCTCGTGGGGTGTTGCGTCGTCGCCATTCCAATGTTCTGGTAAGCGAAGCTTTTGTTCTGGCAACTTGCAACGAAGGCAAGAGACAATGGTGGTCAATAAACTGTAGACGATTTAGCATTCTGGGAATTTTTATGCACATTCGAAAGTTTACCTTTTGGATAAGTGCGCAGATTAGCTGCTTATCGCCTTTCTGTAAATCGATCCCCCAAATCTCTCCATGTTTCGCGCTCGCTGAGATGGATGGTAACGCTTGCATGATTTCCCTGGCTTCTCCAGACGGGCAATCCGTTGATAGAGCGGCGGACATGGTGAATCATCCCACTGACCACGATGGTCCTGCAGTTAAGAAAAGGCAGAAAAGGCAGCAAACTGTTTGTCTTCTGGGATAATGCGACATATGAGCATGACAAATAACATCTTTGGTCTCTACTCACCCCCTATCTTGGCAGAGATATATATACTCGTGCGATAAAAAATTAGTAGAAATCTAGACATTCAAGTAGCGCTGATGTAAAACAAAGCCTAAGCGCCGGGAAACCGGGGACAAGGCTACCTGTCCAATGCCCTGTTGTTTCCATCTGTCAAACAGCGCAAGGTCGACCACAAGGCGAAAGCGGGGTAGGCTGGCGGCTATAGAAATATCCTTTTATTTTTGAATCGCGATGCTTCCCGTAGGCGCTCGTATGTGCCTGTATCCATGCGTCATGTCGTGGATGTCATGGGGAGCGAACATTGCAATCGCCATGAACGTGCATGAAACACTTCGTTTCCCGACTCCCAGTTGTTCAGTCTTGATCAAATCTTCGGGAACAAATTGTCTTGTTTTGTTGGCCCGTTGCCATTCTATATATTCTTCTAGGCTCCTACTCGCACGGTAAACCATCCTATCACGACCATGGATTCAACGCCGACTACAACAGCCACACATGGCCTCTCCGTGAATATATATGGCCGTGGCGATGCTTCTCTGGGAGACACGCCATCTCACATGGGAATCACACTCTACGAGCTTGGCGCATCAACATGCAACATGTATCACATTCGCAATCCAACGATACAGACTTCATCTATGATCCACGGACACAGCCTTTTGACGACCCAGGTTTGAGAGGCCGCTGTGAACTGACCACGTTCTCTGCCGAGGCCAAAGACCAAGCCGCCTCTCTACTATCCGCATATGGAGAAGATAAATCCAACATTCCCGTGTTCGGTGAAGGGAACTGTCAATATTGGGTTGTGGGTGCAACTATGATGCTCGAGCGTGCCAGATTATTAAAGCCTGGAGAAGGTGACTTTTGGAGAGACATGATAAATCACAGTTCCGATGATATCGAACGAAGCTGTATCAGAACCAACAGAAAATGGACCCCCGGGGCAGGATTGTCGATTGTTGGAGAGCCAGATGCGCGGTTCTTTGATGCGAAAGCATCTGCAGCGAAGCCTATTGGGAAGTTGGAGCATAATGCGACGTTTCAAGCTCGGATGCAGTCGCTTTTGGGTCATCGGCAAGAGGGCAATATATCGAGGGGAGAATCTCCTCCTGAGCGTCCTTTTTATATGTCGAGCCCTTTTTTCAGTCAAGCTCAGAGGAAGAATGGAGGACTAAACATTCTGATGGGTTTGGTACGGTGTTGAGATTAGAGAGTCTGACGTCCTTCTACATTATGTCGCGTATAGCAATCCTTGAGTACCTAGGTACCTAGTTCACCTGCACAACCCGAATTACTTAACTTGGACGGGTCAGCCCTGACAGACATTTTAAAAAGAATCCTAATAAATCATGGATGAACTACAATTAGCAGTTTACTAACCGAGTTCAAACATCTAAATCTGTTTTCAATGCAACAGAACAGAATCAAGTCGAACCGAAGCCGATGTCGAATAAGTTTAAGACAACCCGAAAAATTTGTGTCCCGTTCGTTTGAGTAACCATTTTGGTCCAGAGTCAACTACATAGGTACTTCGTAGGCTGTCATTATGACCGCCTGCGGATACGGTCCGTGTGCGACACAAACTCGATCTCTGCGGATGATTCGATAGGATTATGAGACAGTCCCACGCGTGTCTACGAGTGTCGCACCACCATCGGAATCACACTTGTTGATAGGGCGGCCCACGCTTATTGTCGTGGTCTGAATACCACCCAACGGTTTCCGATCAATACAAACTGTGTGTTATAGCCACCGGAAGTCCTTTACGCTTGAACGGGTCCCAAACATTTCCCGGCCGGGCTTAAGATTCTGCCGCTGCTGGGACAGCCGAAGTTTCCCCGGAGAACGGGTAGACTGAATGGGTCCTATACCTAGTTCTTCCAAGTATATCTTTGGTCCCATTTAATTCTAACTACTCCGGAGTAGGCCCACGAGCCCTAGCGAGAGCTCTCTTTGATGTTATGTAATGCTACCGTTGGATGCAAGGTCGACAAAGAGAACCCATGGGGCAAGAATGTCTTTGGGCTACCATGCCTGGTAGGCTCCAACGCATCATGAGTAGAATGCTGGGATATCCTGTGTAACAGTGGATGGCTGATGTGGTAGAGCAAGGCTCCAAGAGTTGAAAATATGCCATTTGAAGCACGCACCAGCCGTTATATGGACGCGATGAGTAGAAATTTTGTAAGACAACTATCACCTGCGGTCTTCATATTGGTACGATCGCAACTCCAAATGTGCTACTGTGTGTACCCAGACGGTCGACATACTCATTGCCCTGGAAAAGCTTCTCCGAGCGTCGGAACCCAAGCCGAAATTCCTGAACTGGCGTGCACGATGAAACTGCAGATCTTTTTCAACTTTCAGCAGGCTAAGATGTGTTTCATCTGTCTGATCTGGATATATTGCGACGTGCAGGGGTCTCGACGGATGAAGGGTGCAGATCATCGATTGTTCGACAGACCTGAAGGCGGACGCAGTAGCATAAGCTGGTCGCTGGTATCTCTGGATCTCGCGGAGAGGTCCTCTCGAGAGAAAGGGGTTGATTCCAGCCCGAATAACAGCTGCGAGTCATTCTGTCCCGACACAGCTACAGAACCAATGTTCGGCCATTACTTTCAGACGCACTCAGACGAGTCGAAACCACAGGACACCCCTCGGAAATTGGAGAGAAATTGGCGCGACTTGGTACTCCGTAGACGGTCCGTATCCAGCCCAACGCGGGGGACGGAGATTATGCGCAGCACAGACGAATAAGCGAGGGAGTTTCGTGCGATGAAAACTCTAGTAGATGAGCTCACCTCTTGGCAGCCGAGTATCAGCTTGCATGACCGTGGTAGCAGCGGCTTTCCAACCCCGGCTCAGACGTCTGGCTAACGCAAACGTCTCACCGGGTGGGATCCGTGGTGCGATTCTGGGGATCCCCGCGGGGAGACAGGCCTGATCGGTGCGCGTCGTAAGATGGGTTCTAGACTGACATTCTGACTGACCCGTGGACACGGGATCATGATCATTACAGTATTGTTGGAATACGGAGGACCACGCGGCATCGTTAGATCCTCGGCAAAAACAATCGATTCGCCACCCCGCGCCCCTTTTGTTGAGTGCATGCTAACTGACTAGTCGGGATCGGTCGTAGCCTGATGCAGACGGCGGCATCGTCACCGTCCCAATGATGGCCGCCAGCGCACGCTTAGCCTGTCTTGGCATACGGCCGTCGCTCCCACCCGCAATCAGAAGAATCTCCGCCTGGTGTCATGCCAGCTCACGTCCCTCCCCGCTTGCTAATCGGGTCACGTTGAACTTCAGCTCCAGTGGCAAAGCCCAAAATAACATCGCATCCGCATCATAGACACGCGAGCGCTGGACGGGCCGAAATCAGATGACCGATGACTCGGTGAGATCGGGCATGTTCCTCGGGCGAAGGCATGTTGAACAAAGACTTTGGGTGGAGGACGCCACAATGCCGTAGTGTCTCATCACCTGCGGGTAGGATGGACTTGCGAGGCTTCTGTTGTCTCGCAGGATCGCTGCCGTTGCAGTGGCGCCGAGTGTCCGTCCCCTTCACGGAGCTGGGAGCCGATCATAGGCGGATGTTCTGAATCCTGGGGATTATGGTTACATTGAGCCTGTCGGAATGTGTTTTCTCGAATAGTTGATTCCCATCCTGCGATATCTCGCCAACCGTGGATGATATTTTTCATGCAGGGTCCATGAGCGTCTGGTCCCTTCTGTCACGGCTCGATGGGGGTGTCGGGATTGACCGTAATACCGATCAATACAGTAGAATACCAGCGTTTTCTTGCACGCAAAGGGAAATGATCGGGCCATCCTTTCCTGTTTGGGGTAAGCTTATCGGTGCTCGTGGGGCTATATTCCCGGTCGGCCACACGTGGTAGGCTGAGTTTTCCGACCCCTGTCACTTCTGCCCAATCACTGCGTGTCCCGACCGGACACTTGGCCGAACCTGGAACGGGCGCCGATGGAACTTTCCACAGGAAAACTTTAGTATACTTGAAGTTCGACTCCCCAACTTCTTCTCGGGCGCCCGTCCGGCCTAGACCCGAGCCTCTGTTTGGCCAGAATTCCCTGACTTAGTATCTCGCCGCCGCTGGTTCTCCAATCATCGCGCGCTGGAGGAAGGCGAACCATGTTTTGGCCGCCTAGCGTGTCCGTGCACATGGCTGGACGGTATCACCTCGACCCCAGGCTTCCCCTAGTACGGAGTTGCAGCACGAACGCAGACTCCCCCAAGTCGTACAGGCTCCGAATCCCACTGAAACATTCGCCAGAGCCGACCTCGAAGCGAACGAATGGAGTGGGATATGCCTGGTTCGACTAGCCATCTAAGTGGACTATCAGCTAGTTAGTCCCCTAGTTGGTCCCTGTTCTGGAATAGCCCTATGCCTTGGGCTGTCCTCGGCTCATCCAAAGCGAATCCAGACAGCGTAAGCGAATTGTTCGTTCGAAGCGCCACTCTTGGCGTCTTCCTGTCAATGGCATGGTGACCCGTGGGGCGACAGGAAAAAAAATCGCATGGAGCCGAGTGAAGCATGAATCCCCGTGGGCATTTCCCCGGCCCCGGGTCTGAGCCGATTCACTTCTGTCCTGCTCCCAACCGTCTGGGGATCCGATCCATGCATTATAAAAAGCAGTTGGTCTCCCCCCCGGTTCTTGCTCTCTTCGTGATCGTCAACTACTTCTTTCCTTCAGTATCCGTATCCTCCTTTGATATCGATCTTATCTACCTCCTCCCCCTCTCTTTCACCACACCATCTTCTCTCTTCCACCCCACTCCTCTTCCAAAGACCAAATTTCAAGACCCTCCGGCTCCAAGCAGGGCGTTCCTGTCATAATGGCTGATGGTGTGCCTGATGTGGCGCGGGTCGAGGCCCCCGTCACCTTCAAGACCTACATGATGTGCGCCTTTGCGGCTTTCGGTGGTATCTTCTTCGGTTACGACTCTGGTTATATCAACGGCGTTATGGGTATGGACTTCTTCATTCAAGAGTTTGAGAACCTGGTATGTCCCCCTCTCTGCATCTTCCGGTCCCAACACAGCCAGAGTTGCTAATTATCTGGTCATGGTAGGATCCCGCAACTACCCCCGAGGCCGACTTTGTCGTTCCCTCCTGGAAGAAGTCCTTGATTACCTCCATTCTGTCTGCTGGAACCTTTTTCGGTGCTCTGATTGCTGGTGATCTTGCCGATTGGTTTGGGCGTCGGACGACTATCATCGCCGGCTGCACCATCTTCATCATCGGTGTCGTCCTTCAAACTGCCTCCTCCGCTCTCGCCCTTCTGGTCGTCGGTCGTCTGATTGCTGGTTTTGGTGTCGGTTTCGTCTCCGCCATTATCATTCTGTACATGTCCGAGATTGCTCCCCGCAAGGTGCGTGGTGCCATCGTGTCGGGATACCAGTTCTGTATCACTATTGGTTTGATGCTGGCGTCCTGCGTCGATTACGGCACCCAGAACCGCACCGACTCGGGATCCTACCGCATCCCCATCGGTCTCCAGATGCTTTGGGCCCTTATCCTCGGCGTCGGTCTCTTCTTGCTGCCCGAGTCCCCGCGTTTCTACGTCCGCAAGGGTCAGCTCGACAAGGCCGCCGAGGCCCTCGCCCGTGTCCGTGATCAGCCCAAGGACTCGGAACTCATCACCCAGGAGTTAGCCGAGATTGTCGCCAACAACGAATATGAGCTTCAGCACATGCCTCAGGGTGGCTACTTCAACTCCTGGTTTAACTGCTTCCGTGGAAACATCTTCCATCCTAACAGCAATATCCGTCGTACCGTCTTGGGTACTTCGCTTCAGATGATGCAGCAGTATGTTGCGCCTCATTTGGATTTTGACTTCTTCATCGCTGACATCCTGACTAGGTGGACTGGTGTCAACTTCGTGTTCTACTTTGGCACGACCTTCTTCCAGTCGGTAAGTATCGGCGCTCTTGGATGCATCGATTATTGACTGACTCACTGTGATACAGCTCGGTACTATTGAAAACCCCTTCCTGATCAGCATGATTACCACCATTGTCAACGTCTTCTCCACCCCCGTCTCCTTCTACACCATGGAGAAGCTCGGCCGTCGCCCTCTTCTCCTCTGGGGTGCCCTGGGCATGGTCATCTGCCAGTTCATCGTCGCCATTGTCGGTACCGTGGACGGTGGCAACAAGTCCGCTGTCAGCGCCGAGATCTCGTTCATCTGTATCTACATCTTCTTCTTCGCCAGCACCTGGGGTCCTGGTGCCTGGGTCGTCATTGGCGAGATCTTCCCTCTGCCCATTCGTTCCCGCGGTGTTGCTCTGTCGACTGCCTCGAACTGGCTCTGGAACTGCGTACGTCACCGTCCATCCTCTTCCTGAAACACGTTACTAACTCGTACGATACAGATCATTGCCGTCATCACTCCTTACATGGTCGACAAGGACAAGGGTGACCTCAAGGCCAAGGTCTTCTTCATCTGGGGATCTCTGTGCGCCTGCGCCTTTGTGTACACCTACTTCTTGATCCCCGAGACCAAGGGTCTCACCCTGGAACAGGTCGACAAGATGATGGAGGAGACTACTCCTCGCACTTCGGCCAAGTGGAAGCCCCACGGCACCTTTGCTGCCGAGATGGGTCTTAGCGAGAAGGAGCTCCACGAGAAGACCACGGTCGCTCACCAAGAGGTTTAATCCGGAGACATTACCCCTGAGGTGTCTCTTTGCCTGATATGTTGGCTCTGATCCCTGATGTATACCCGCGGTTATGCTTCATGTTATTATAATTTCCCTTGTGCAATGAGATTAATGCAGATACGTGATTCTGTCGAATCAAGATGATTGTAGTAAGGAATATGGAGTATAGTACATCGGATGAAGGAATTTAGAGATGTCGGACTGAACGGACCAACGTCATTGTTAGTGTCAGATATAAAAATGACTGCCAGGCCACCAAAGTGAACATACTAATGGGGCCGTATAGTCGTAATCTGGGTCGACAGTTAGGCACCGTAGTCGGACAAACTACCCTGACTCTTGAGACAGGAGATGAAACGAACATGGCCAGCATGCCTAGCCAGAATCAAATGGTTGCATCGAGCCAGGGCATGTTCGATCCCCTTCCATACTACTCGTAGGATGCCCCGTACGGAGTGCTCGGTATAGCATGCTGAATAATCGGCAAACTGGCTCTCCGACCACGGACGGACTCCGCCATGCCAAGACGTGCTGCGTATGCCTAAAGTACGACGACCGACGACTCCGTTACGCCATGCTGTCGCTATCAAGCAAGGATCGTCAACCAATCCATTGCTTGGCGTGCGGGCCGCGGAATTTCCGCAAATCACGATGGGGCTATTTATCATCTCTGGCTTGGCGCGCTTGCCAAGATGCTTCAGTCTATAGAGGATGAGCTTGATTCACGGAATCCGCCTTCCATGCGTCCTCAGGAGTATTAGGAGTATCAGCATGAGGATAGTCTCCCACAATACCCCCTGACTAAATACTTGCCGTTGACTGGGCCGTCCACCGGCGACTAGCTGTTCCCCGTCGTCCCGAACCTACCTATAGTATGCATCTAGACCTTAGCAGCACGCCGTTCCTTGGATACAGCCTCGCCAGCCAACGCCGATCCGTCTCCAGATGCCCCAAAAAAGAGCCATCTTCATCTATTCCAAGCACCGCCGGAGATCCGCCCTACCAATGCCGGATGGGTCTCTGTAGGCAATCATCCCCGCAGGCGGGTCACGCCCCTCTGCTGAGGAATATTCCTCGTCTCATTTAGCCGGCTCCGTTTCGTAACTAGATAGAGTGCCTTGGGTATATTCGGTATTCATGCTTGGCCGGGGCGCGAGTCCATGGTATAAAGACCGCGACTTGGTCCGTCGACTGCGACTCCATTCCGTTCATTCCTTCCATCGCATTCCCAGTCTCTGCTCACTTCACTTCTTTCAATTGCAATCGCAATCGCAACATGGTCCATCTTGCTTCTACCCTCGTCGCTGGCCTAGCTGGTCTGGCCAGCGTGGCCTCCGCGCATCCAGGCCACGACGTCAAGGCCGAGGCCGCTGAGCGCGCTGCCTACCTCAAGCATGCGCCGAAGCACGCGCGCAGTCTGAACCAGTGCGCCGACAAGCTGCGTGCTCGCGGCCAGGAGAGACAGAACGTCGCGCGTCGCGCCCAGATGGTCGACAACCTGCGCCGCAGCAAGGGCCTGCAGACTCGTACGTTTGCTCCTCTACCATCAGGCCTGTGTAAAGGCC